ACGGACGGGATTTAGAGGTGGTATTAAGGAATGGGTAGAGGAAAAGTGGGATATGTGCTGATTCGGAAGAAAGGGTCGTCAGCTAGGTCACAGCGCGTAGTGCAGATTGAAACCGAGGACATACCATTCAAGAACAGCGTGCGAGTCTCATTATGAGAGGCAACGCATTGTAAAAGCGCCAGCGCGTTGCAGACTCGATTTGAAGCCGCGGCCGTCAACTGGGAGGGGTTTAGAAGGGGGTATACAGAGATGATCTCTTGGAGCAGAGCAGTCATGACACCTAAAAAAGCAACGCAAGTTAGCCAATCGCGTACACTCCCACAGCCATCTTCAAGGGACGAGGATCTCGACGGCGTCGCCGCGAGGGTGGTGGCCCATACCGAATGAATGCCAAATGACCAACGCCAACTCAGGCACCTGCTCTCTCTTCTTGCTAAGCTCCATGAGAGCTGCCTCTCTGCGGTTCGGGTCCAGAAGCTCGGCCACCCAGATGAAGACCTTGCGGTTCTCATCGCTGATCCCGCCATCCATCACCGACACCGCGCCCGGCATAGAAGCATCCCCACCTATCGCGCTGGCACCGGCGCCCTGTGCTGGATTCGCACCACTGGGGTTGGAGGCCATGGCAATGCGGTTGTAATGTTGTTGTTGAGCGGCAGCCGCGGCAGCCGCTGCGGCCTGGACTTGGGCATGCTGTTGGGCCACTATGGAATGTTGCTGCTGGGCCTGGTGGGGATGGTGCTGGGCTTGGTGATGTTGCTGTTGTTGCTGCTGCTGCTGCTGCTGCTGCTGTTGCTGTTGCTGCAACCAGGACGGATCAGCCTGAGGATATTGATGCTGATGGGAGAAGACGTGAGAGGTCTGCGTTTGGAGCATGACGGGCGGGCGAAGGACGGATCGTGGACTCGTAATCCTCAGGAGAGAATGGAGGGTCCCGAGCGACCGGGAGGAGATGAGAGAAAAATACGAAGTGGTAGAAGGGAAAGTGCGATAACTGTCAAGGACACGGTCCCGAGGTCAAGCACATGAATGACGGTGTTGTGGTCCGTGTGGGGGGTGGGATTGAGGAATGAATGGAATGAATAATGAATAATGGACGACGAATTGTGAAGGAGAGAGAGAGAGCGAAGAGGAAGTTCCGGGCTACGGGAGGCGGGGAGAGCGTAGTTCCGCATCCACTGCCGCGCTTTTCGCCTCCGACCGACCCTTCCTCTCTTTCCCTCTCTCTCGTCCCGTTCCTCCCATTCCTTGGATCAGTCCGCGCCATTGTCCTCCTCTCTCTGGACTCGTCGTGGATTGTCGTTCTCTCATTCGGAATGGTTCCCGTCGGATCCTTGGAACTCCGCTCCTATGGCTTCTCCAAGCTTGCCCTGCAGGCCGCACTAGGGGTCGCACGAGATGCTTCGGCATGTGCATGATTATCAAGATCCAGCATTTTATCGCTTTCTTGCGCTGGTCACAACAAACCCTTGATATACCAATGTTCTTTTGTTTTTCATTTCATATTGTTTCAAAGTAGTACCTGCATTTTCTATCTTGTCGGAGATCAATATACTCCGAACCTTGCACTCATTGCCAAACCACCCTCGATAGTAACATCCAATTCAATCGCGAATCGATTTCGGATATGTCGAATTATTGATCATAAGATTGGCTTTGTTTCGTGTCACGTATTTACGACGTTTTGTGTCTTTCGTTCAAATGATTCCCAGAAAAAAGAAAGGAAAAGGAAACTCAAGGGGCACGCGCGAACATTAACAACGGCCCTTAAGACATGGAAACATAACTCATTATACACATCAGATTTCGGAAACAGACAAAAAAACCAAAATCAACACGAGGAGCGAATCTTCATAATACATTCATCGTGCAACGTGCCAAATTAGCGCCATTTATGCATATTCTAACCTGGAATCGGCAGAATTTCAAACATCAAAGAAAAGAGGTCATCGGGGCTCGACATTGTCATTGGTCATTGGTCATTAAGTCATTGATCGAGCCCGTTGCGTCAAAGCTCATGATCGTCGTGAACGTGGTGGACGTGGGTATGATCGTCGAGAGCGCCGTGTCCGCCTATCCGAGCTTTCGCTACCTACAACGCAGTCAGTTAGCAAGTGTCGTCTGAAAGGAGAAGATGAGAAGAGAAGGCTGCACTTACTTGCGCTGGTGTTGGTGTAATAATCCGAGTACGTGTAGTAGCTGCTTGGATAGGTGTAGTCGCTCTTCTCGTCGTGGTCTCTGCGTCTCTTCAATCCTAGACACAGCGCAATCGCACCGAGGATGATACCGATGCTCGCCATGCTGCTCCATTTCGATTTCTTTTCACCAGTCGCGGGAGCCGAGGGCCGGGCTCCGAACCAGGTGCGTCCTTCGGGTCTGGCACCATGCGCATGCGAGTGATGGGAGTACCGATCTTCCACATACGTCGTTTCCTTTCTTCTTCTCCTTCCGAGACCCAGACATGCGAACAGAGATTCCAGTGCCCCGCGACAACACAAACAAGCCAACAGTAGCAACAGAAGGAAAGCACCGGCGATCGAACCGATCACAATACCCGCAATAGCTCCTCCGCTGAGTCCCCCATCGTCTGGGGCCTTGACCCCCACCATGGCTGCTCCGTCCGTGCCTACAGGGGTCTCGAATGCTTGCGTTGTTGTCGCGGAAGCGGTGGCGGTGACGGTACTGGCACTGGTGCCTCTCACGGGAGGCAGGGCTGTAGCGGTGGCCCAGATGGAAGAACTGCCCATGATACATTGGTCGTTGGAACAGACATAGGCAGCTCCGCAGCAGGTGTTGCCGCAAACCGTCTCGCCCAGGTCGGGCTTGCAACTGCCCGAGCCGCCACCCCCGGTTGTTGTTGGTTTCGGGGCCCGTGTTTTCCATGTTGAGGTGAAAGTCGAGGTGTCAGTCTCGGTGACGACCCATGTGGTGGTGTGGTATTCCCATCCGCCGCCGTCGCTGCCGCTGCCGCCGCCGTCTTCGCAGACCGCTTGGCCATTACTCGTACTGCATGTCTGGCTGCTGGTGCAGCAGACCTGACCGTAGTAGCCACAGGGGTTTTCGCAGCGCTTTTCCAAGCTGGCCTCGTCGAAATCTACCGGCGATGCCGCAGAGAGTTGAAGTTGAGCCGATAAGGTCAGTAACGAGATCGCCGATCGGAGTAGTCGGGAAGTATGCATGGCGGATGGCGATAAAATGCGACACGAAGTCCACGAGGTCGACTGGGAAGATTTCTACTGCGCTTCCCTTAATCCCCGAAACTCCTAACCCACGCACCACCTGCGACACTTTTATCTGTCGAGGACTTGAGGTAGCCCTGATCTAGTCCCTCGACAAGAACCTAGTCGCAAAGCAAGAAAATCAGGGTCTAGTAAACAAACTGTAGATATCTTTGTAATCAAACCAGATAAGATCGATGGAATGCAGAATTAGCATCCGACAGAAACGTAAAGAAAGAACGCAAGAGAGGAAAATAGTAGAGAAGGAAAGAATGGAGGGGGAGGAGGAGAAGGAATTGGTGGTGGTGAACAGTCCCGAGGGGGGGAAGCAGCGCATGGCCGGCATACAATCGATGCACGATCCCTCCCCAGCCTCCCGTCATACCCAACCTCCCCATTTTCCCGGCCATGGATTTGCATCAACTTCTCCGTTGGCGTTGGGTCTTCCTAAAATTAAGGATGAATTAGATTGACAAGAGCATTGTGGGCCAGTCTTTCCCAGCCTCTTCTTTTCTCTTTTTCTTCACGTCTAACTAAATCTCCTCAGACAATCTGGATGTACCCCGGTGTACCGATTGCTTACACTTACAGCCGGGACAACCCCTCCTTCCCTGACTCTGACTCTGACTGACTACTTCATCTCTCGACTAAAACTCAATTCAGTTAATCCATTTTGGACGAGGATTTCATCCTCCCCGCTTCTCTTTCTCTCTATCGGTCTTCTCGATCCCATCTTCGAAACATCTCGTCGACACGGGACAATCGAGACCCGACTAAGCCACAATCACGACCCAATTATCCCGCATGATCGGAGTCTACGGAGTAGTGTCGGTGTATCCAGAACTATCTGTACTCTGTGTACGGAGTAGTATGTACCTTACTCTAGGCTCTAGTCCCTGAAACCAAAACCTAATTGCCCAACCTGATTTGGCCGGATCAACCACGGAAGTGACTTGATGGCCACTTAGGTACATACATACCTACGTACCTACAACTTACTTGCGGAGTACTGTACTGATGACTTCACCTGCCTGACGTGGTCGGCTTACCTATCATGACTGCCCAGTCTCGGTCAAAAGTCTGACTTGGCGTTGGGCAATGGCATTGCATTGGTCCCTTCGCCTCCCCTAGGTGGGGTTTCAATGCCCTGCTCACTGGCCGGGGGGATGTAGGAACGGGCACCTAAAATTACCTTATGTAGAAATGTAGATACTGGAACCGGTTAGGTGCAAGTACCGGGGGTGGTTTTGGTCGGTCTGGGCTTCCAATCGGGCGTTGTTGGTTTCAGGGCCCGAGTTGAGTGCGGTGTGGGCGTTAATCTATTTGAATGTTGCCACTGGACAGGACTTTTAGATTGCACTGACGAGGCGATGTGTGATTATGCGGTGTGCTGACTGCAGGTTGAATACATGAACGGGGAACGAGTGCCTTAGGATGACTGGCCTATGATCAGCTCGTGTTCGATTTGTGATGGATTGATAGTTGCAAGAAACGTAAACTTTGGTTATTCATCTGCGAAATCTCCTATGTACAAAATTTGATAAACATAACAGCATTGATAGATTTACAGTCTTTCCATAGACCTCGAAACATAGCATCGTCATCGTTCAGTAACCCATTATCCATAAGCAAGGTTCAAGTTCAAGGCACAAATGTACACCCAATAATAGCAGAGAGTGAAACATGCGCCTCGGAAACGTAGGGAGAAGAAAAAAAAAAAAAAAGAGCAAACAGGAGTATCCCCACATCTTATATTCACTTGGAAAGAAAAGCGCTCAACCATCACACGAGCATCCCGGCCGCTCCAATGATCACGCCGAAGACGAGATCCTGCAGACTGGTGGTCCGTCCTGAACTGCCTCGGCTTTCATCATCGGTCTGAGTATGATACGTCTCACAGTATCCCAGGTTAAGACCATGACAGGCCTCTTGGCTCAGGCTGGAACAGGTCGAGACTGCGGACGGTTTCGAGCCACCCTCGCGAGTGACTCCGCCGCCGTCGCCACCCACCGTGACGGCGTAGCCCCCGCCCAGCTCTGATAGACATTTCGTATAGTCGTTCTCGCACCTGGAATAGTAGGATGAACACACGCCGGCATTCGAAAACGAGGTAGGAACGTAGATGAAAGGATAAGCACCGGGCATCGTTGAGCCGGTGATCGTAGCGTCATTCGGAGCGGTCGTCTGAGTCGCCGTTGCGGTTCTGGGAAATCGGAAGCTCGTGCTGGACGCTCCCCCGCCCCCAGACCCTCCTGTTAGACTCCCCGTACAGCTTGCTCCGGTCGGACAGCAGGCGATGTTATCGGCTTCGTCGCGAGCGCACTTGGAGCCCTGCCGGCAGCAAATGTCGTCTTTATCCATGTTTGTGCAGGCATTATACCCAGCCGGACAGTCGCCATCTCGCTTCAATAATCGCCGGAGGATGTCATATGCTCCTTGTCTGGATTCTGGCGTCTCCGGAGGGGAAAAGGGGAGGGTTTCTATCGATAAAACGGTCGAGGCGAGGAATGTGGCCGAGATCCACCCAGATAACTTCATCCTTAGCGGCCTGGGGCTATCGTCTGCCCGCCACGTTGTATATCAAGATACCAATATCAACCGGCGGATCAGGATTTCGATGAAATGATTCGGTTGAGCGTCGAATGCGTGGTTCGTCTCGAGCGTTGGGCCAAATGCGACAGGAGATCGAGACTGATCAACAAACTACTTAAAATGGCAAAAGTAAGTATAAGCGGGTGGGCGATCGCAAAAAGGACAGGGAACGAGATCAACGAGGAATAGTACTCACTGGTCGCTATAATCGTCACTTCCAAGAGGCACTCACGACAGATTTCGTCGGAAAGAATCCAGACCGGACAGGTGGATGATGTAGTTACGCACCGGTGCTGTGCTGCCAGCGCAATCTCCACCGGAATCCCTGCCACAGCAACGGAGCGTCGCCCGTGGTGGACCGCCATGCCCAACCACCCGCCCGTTTCTTAACTCCCATGCTTCCTGTAAGTGAGTCCATCGGACTCCGAGGGCGGAAGGATTTTTCTTTTCCCTTTCTGTTTCTTTCTTTTCAGTTTCTATATTTATTCCATCGTTGAACGTAAGCAATACGTCAATCAGATAAACCGGACAAAATCTGCTCTGTCCTGATGAGAGAGACACCTAGTACGGATACTCCGTACTGGCACTAGGTATCTAAAAACCCATTGAAGGCCTAGACAAGATTCAAATATGGGGTTAATTAGTGACTGGGCTGGTATACCGTCTGACGAAGTATATCGGGCATCTGTACTCACAGTCCAATGGTTGACTTTCCGTTTTCTGTCCGTCAAGGTTGCATTGGAACATGTGACTGAGGGGTCACTGTACTACCTCCTACTTCCCTTCTTGAGGGCCATGCTCGATCGCTGTTTGTTATCTCAATCTACCGCGAAACCCCTCAAGTCTGGTTAATATCACGGCTTTGGTTCTATAAAGTCTAGTCTTCACGTTGAAATGCCCTCGACGAGTTCCGCCCGTGATACAGGCCTCTTTCCAGGATAAAATGTCTGCGATCGATGACTCTATCCCGATGAAAATCCCCAGGGTGGATTTCTCTTCGTGGAACGACCACCATGACAAATCTACCCGGCTGCGAGTGGCACAAGAACTTGTCCAAGCTTGCCAAAGCGTCGGTTTTGTCTACATAGTAAACCATTCTCTGCCGGAATCGGTCCTGGACGAGGCCTTCTCATGGACTAAACGCCTCTTCGATTTGCCCGCGGAGGTGAAAATGAAAGCCCCTCATCCGGAAGGCTGGGCTGTTCATCGGGGGTACTCGCCTCCGGGGTTCGAAAAGGTCTCGCAGAACCTTAGCACCGGAGACGATGAGGAAACAAAGCGGAAGGCGAGGGAGATCCCAGATGTCAAGGTAGGTGATATTGTGGCAGTAGGTGAGGGATACGTGGCTCATTTCCTTCGATATAATAATGAGACTGCAGGAGGTCTATGATATCGGCAGTGATGAGAACACCGAGCAGCCCAACCAGTGGATTCCTGACGAACTGTTTCCTGGCTTCCGGGCCTTCATGAACAAGTTCTATTGGGAATGTAATAAGGTCGGCGACAGCGTACTCCGCGCCTTAGCCGTAGGCTTGAACTTGGACGACGAGTCCTATTTGGCTAAGCAGCACTCGGGGCATGAAAATCAGATTCGATTGCTTCATTATATGCCTATCCCCGCTGAAGAGCTGGAAAAGGGGCATGCCACTCGCTGCGGAGCACACACCGATTGGAGCTCGATTACGATGCTATTCCAAGATGACTGTGGAGGACTAGAGGTGGAAGACATCTCTCGACCGGGGACGTTCGTTCCCGTGGAACCTGTCAAAAACGCCATTGTCATGAATGTTGGGGATCTACTTCAGAGATGGAGTAATGGTAAGGCCCAGTTGCTCTTTTTGAGAGAGAACTGGCCATATCTAACCTTGATAGACCGACTTCGTTCGACCAACCACCGAGTCCGGCTCCCACCACTCGCTGACCGATTCGAGGGCCCCGATCGAATGACACGCGACCGATACTCGATTCCGTATTTTATGACGACTGATCGGGAGACCGTCATTGAGTGCATACCGTCTTGTACGAACGAGAATGAGCCCCCAAAGTACGACCCTATCAAGCAGGTAGATTACACCAGGATGCGAGCTTCTATGATGTATGAAAAGTGATATTTCCGTCCATTGGGCCAAAGTGGTATGGAGAGGGAAATGATAATTTGGCTTCGGTCTTACAACCAATATACTTCGTAACCAATAATCTCAGGAGTAAGAATTATTATCAGAGCTACTTCGTAGGTACTGTAGGCGCCGAGATCACAAGCCCTAAGCCCTACTTTCATATCCGTATCGGGTAGTCCGCCTCCGCGGACATCAGAGCCTACCAAGCTAAGTCGGCGATAAGTTGTCCATCCAGCTTCCTATCAGCATACCCTTTTCGAGCATCCACCCCGACGCGCAAACACCCTCTACTACACAGGCGAAGCTCAATCCCCAGTCTCCGAAAGCCCTCGAACGCGTTGAGAACAAGCGCTTCCCGAAACAAACTACTGCAAACCAGCCCCTCGCCGACCCCTCATCAACCCCCCATCTACGTGCCAAAATGTCCATCCCCAACGAAGCTTTGCAGAAGGTGAACTCCCCCGCTCCGGCCAAAAATAGCGGCGTCTACAGCCTTGTCTACAGCATGCTGACTTACCGTATGAACAGCTCCTCCAAGAGCTCGAGACCCGCATCGTCGCCTCCCAGCAGCAGATCGGCATCACTAAGGCGCAAATCACAACTAAGCAGAGAGATGTTCGGTTGCTGGAGTTGACGTCGAAGGAAATTAGCTCGCTGCCGAAGGAGACCCCCGTGTATGAGGGAGTGGGCAAGATGTGAGTCCCCCAAGACCCCCGCGGCAAGGGTGACTTCCCGGTGTCTGATTGGGATTGGAATCTAACCGTGACATAATGCTAGGTTCATGAGCGTCCCGATGGACACAGTCGATAAGCGCCTATCAACCGAGAGTACGGAGTTGAAGTCGGATATCTCGGGCCTGGAGAAGAAGCTGTCTTCGCTGGAAATGACGCATAAGAATGGTCGGGAGAACCTCGAGCGGATCCTGAAATCAGGCGATAGGGCCTGATTAGGTTCTCCGTGGCTGGTCAGTTTTTCTTTCTTAATTTGCATCTATTCATATCTACGCTTGGAGTTCTTGTGGTGATGATTCTGTTTTTCTTGGCTTGGCATCGCTGGTGAGGTCAGCGTGCGATAAAAGTCTATCCTGAAAAGGGGCTGAACAGGAAGATGTTGACGGTCGGATCTATTCTGGGGGGATCGAAATAGATTGGAGAATGGTTGGTTGAGGCTACTCAACGCCTGCCTGGGTGTGGATGGGCATGGGCCATGGAGTAGGTTGAGCGCTTGCTGCGTCGATGACTCCCCGCGGTGAATCTGGCAGGACCAGAGGAGTGGTCCCTATAGGGAGCCTCCATTGCGGCCGTTGAGTGGAGACAAGGATCCATCCCGTTCATACTGCCTGCACTATACTACCCTCTGGCATCTACGGCGAAATCCGATCTGTATGGCTCAGATCGAAGCGAAACCAGGCCCACCAGCTCTCCTAGATAGCACCTCGTTTCAATAAAACCATAAAATAGATTAAATTAATCTCCGTGGCGGTACCTGACTCGATCTTTCTTATTCCCCGAACCCAATCTATATGCAGGAGATGAAACAGGGCGAGACGCCAGAGCAGATCCAGCAACGAGAACGCTGCCTAAGGGGCAGCAAGTCATCTGTCAGGCAGCGAGGGTGGGTATGGCCGTCCGTCATGCAGCCCTGGAGGATGATCTGGCTGCCCAGCCCTTCCCTGTAGTAAGTAGTAACAGGACATACCTGAACTCACTTACCACAATTCTCGATCCAGGGAGGGAGATGCAGGTCACACCAGCCCGTCAGAAGATCTGTCGGCCATGTGAACGTGATGGCGATCAAGGTTTACTGGGTCTGCGGGATTAACCGCCTGAGTTCCCTGGGTTCCTAGGGTTTCCCGCGCAGGGGAACAGCTCTCAACCAACGGACGAAAACAAGACTCAAGAAACGTCGGATATCAGATCAAAGCACTGGTCCAGAGCCTCTTAAGGTCGAGTTTCGAATAACCGCTGGAGGAGCCGCAGGAACCGCGGGGTTTCTACTTTCTAGTACGGAGGGGTGCTAATAATAGTAGACAGGTCTTATGGTTTTACTACGGAGTAGTAGAAGTCGATACGAAGGTACCCAGATAGAATCGAAGATAAAGTTACCTACTTTCCCAGCCACCACGAGTCTCCCGTGTGTACTCCAGAGTCCTTGCAAAAGACGGCAAAGAGGCAAAAGGCAAAAGAGGCGGAAGGAAGAAAGTGCCAGCCCGATGATCAGGCTGACCCAATGATGCCCATCCAAGACGCCTTCGCCCGCCCGTAACAAATCACAGGAATCGCCCTTCCACCCCCACTTTCAGCTGAGGCTTTCTAGTTTCTTTCTCTTCTCTCATCTTTTCTCGTGTCTTCTCTTCTTTCCTCCTCCTCCTTCTTTCTTCTCTCCATCTCGGGATTCGTCGGACTCGTGCTTTTCCTTCATCTTCATACATCTCCCCTCCCCCCGTTCCTTGTCCGGGGTGCTTTTCATCCGGGGGAACTGCCCAGATTAACTCCTAGTAGTTAATTCCTGTCATTATCCTGCCGGGTCTTATTCCCACCTTACGTCACTGCTTCACCCCGCTTTAATCTTTCCCGCCTGAGCCTTTCCATCCCGATCGTCCGCATTTAAAATTGATTCATCCTGCGAACGGAGGCCATCCGAGAAACAAATCTATATAACATCCATCAGAACCAAGAAGGAGGAATATCTCTTGCTTTACCCTATCCCCCACAAAATCACCCGAGAACAAGAGATTAAACTGCAAGCGAGAAATCCCCTCTCCACAAACATCTCTTATCAGAATATGAGACGACACTACGCTCCGGTCACCGATTCCGAAACTGAATATTCAGAATCAGACGTCTCCATGGAGATTCCCCGCCAGAGAACGTCTTATCGGAGACGCTCCGTCTCCCGTCATCGTTTCAGCCCCGACCATAGCAACACCTACCTGAGTCCCGTGCTGCAGGACGTGCACGTCCATCGCTCCGCATCGACCGGCGGTCGACGACGCAATGAGCCCGAGCGCGTCAGCCAGCCTCCGGCCGTCATCGTCGACATCAAAAACGATTCCCGCAACAAGAGCTCCAACAGAAACCGGCGGCACCAGAACCAGCAACACCACCAGGAAAACTTCATCGATCCCTACGAGTCCGAAGACGACCACGTGCTGCGAAACCACCGCCGGCCCCGTGCCAGTACCAGCAGCATCTCGCGGGAGGCCTCGCCGCGCTACGATGCCGCGCTGCACCATCCTCGTGATTATGACATGCTGATTGATCAGCGTATGCTGGAGAGGAACGACGCTCGGCAGGACCTCGAGCTCCTGAGACAGCAGCAGGAGATTGAGCGTCTGGAGCGGGAGCTGGCGCGCAACCGTGACCCCCACCAAGAGACCCGTCTTCTGAAGGCAGAGGAGGACTGGTATGAGGATGAGATCAGCGATCGGCTACGGCGGCTCGAGCGATTCGAGAAGAAACAGCGCATGGATGAGGAGCAACGGCATGCGGAGCACCGTTATAAACTGCGCAAGTTCGAGGAATCGCAGCGGCGAGCGGCAGAGGATGAAGAAGTCCAGGCCAAGCTGCGTTTGGAAAAGCTGAAGGAACTCCAGCGTAAGATTGACGAGGAGGAAGAACGCGAGCGGGTCAAGAAGGAGATCCGGGATGAGGAGGCAAGATTGTTGATCGAAAAGCAGGAGAAGCAGCGCAAGGAGGCTATGATGAAGGCGGCCGCCGTCGAAGAATGGAAGCTGAACGAGGAACGCCGGTTGATCGCCGAGCGTGAGGAGAAGAGACGGCGAGATGAGGAGTTCAGACTTCGATTGAGAATGGAATTTGGATATACCGAGGAGGAGATTGAGGACTTCCTCAACAAGAAGAAGCACCCAGAGAAGGAGGAAAAGAAAAAGAAGAACAAAGACAAGGAGAAAGAGAAAGAGAAGGAAAAAGAAAAGGAGAAGGAGAAGGACGATGATAAGAGTGACCATGAGGGGAAGAAAGAAAAGGAAGTTGACCATCAACGGACCACTTGGATCAAGGTGCGACCTTCTCTACCAACGTCTACCCTTCTTCATACCATGTGTGACTGACATCGGCTTAGGTCCATCGCAAGCATCTTCTTCCGGATACTCTAATTGCTTATCGCCTGCCCTGGGACTGGGATGATGTAAGTCGTCCCGAATGAACATACACCACTAGGACAATGCTAACTGCTCGTCAACTGTAGCTGGACAGCAACTACATCATCATCAAGCAATGGATCAGCGAAGACTTCCAGGAAGAGCTCTTTGCCCATACCCGACGATTGCGCGAGGGTAAACTCGTTACCCAGACCTCAAACACTCTGACGGAGCTGAAGGTCAACGACAAGAAGAAGGACAAGATGTTCCTTGTCCGGAAGAAGAGCCCCAGCCGGCGTGCTTGGATCTTTACATGATCGAACATCGGCAATTGCCCTGCAACAAATTGATACCTCGCTACGTTTGTTTTCGGTTTTTTTCGCGGCTCACCTTGACGATTCTTATTTTGGTTTTTATATATGATCTCTTTTGGGTTTTTCTTTTTCTATTCCTTCTTCTTGACATGTCCTAAGATGTGATATGATATGTTGATATTTACTTTCTTGTCATGAGTTGGACATCTGATAACATAGCTTCATACGATAAACACGATACACACGATAATTTCATGACGAATTCTGGTTTTCAACAGTATCATAGCCTATTAGGCATATCATACAAACACGGTCACATGATTGAGGGCGTCGGTCGGGGAAGATGCACGTGCCCTAGCAGGTCAATCAAGGGTCCAAACTAGACTCTCAGGGCCGGGCATCCCTTGGGACCTATGCTGCCTGGTACAACAACCAGGATCTATCGTCAAACATAAATCCAACCCCCCACATTGCCAAAGTAGTTGCAAAGACGGCATTGAAACCCTATTCGTTAGTGTCTGCTCGTGTGGCTGAAACGATTCACTCGGTTTGTCAAAATGCCTGATCCGGCTGATCTCCCCAATGAGCTGTTCATCATGGTGCTGGATCTAGCCCTCCAAGGCGAGTCAGATTTCCAACGACTATGCGGTCTTTCCTTCCTTAACCGTTGCTGGCATGCAGTGGTTTTGGGTCGAATATACTCGAAATGGACGTTCAATGGGGCTAGACAGCCATTCATGACTCTCTGGAAATATCTACGAACAATGCGTCGCAATCCCAACCTAGCAGCCATGGTGGGGACATTGAATATCGGCAATTGGGGGTTCTTTGACCACGCCTATACTCCTGGTCGGGATAATGCACTTCCTTGGGAGGAAATAGAATTAGTCAAACGAGCCATTCACGATGCAGGCATCGGTCATCTTGAATCCAGTATCTTGGAAAGCCTAGCCAAGCGAGATCGTCGACCTCTGATGGCCCTCCTGTTGACTTCTCTGCCGAACCTTTCAACCCTATTTGCCCATGTGCCACGGTCTGATCCTGTCCTCTAGCTGGTACTTGAACAGGTCATCACTCGTCAGACAAACAAGAGCCTATCGCCAGCACTTCGTCATCTAAAAGAGGTATACCTAATTCAAGAAGTCCCCGTTCTTCCGCCTCTAATTGGGCAAGATTCCGACAACGATTCGGAAGATTTGGACGATGACCGTCGTGACGAGGAGCTACAGGCTCGTGGGAAGTCAAGCTCTCTGCGCTTCGATGGTCTATGGCCCATTTTGCATTTACAGAGCTTACAGAAACTTAGCCTGTATGATGTCGATCCAGATCATTCGAGCACCTTGCTAGGGCCTAGTGCCGGTGCTTCTCCCGTTGAGAGCCTTGACCTAGTCGTTTCTTGGGCTATCTGTGCACTATTCCAGACATCCAGGCCTTCATTCGACTTCCCAAAACCTTGAGAAACTTCTCGTTTTACGTGAAAGACGACATTTTGGATGAGCCCGATATGTCTATGATTACCAGGCCTGGGATTTGGAATGGTCTTTTAGCGCACAAACTAAGCCTCGAAACGATCGACATCTATTACGACGGATTTATGTCCGCCTCGCGCGGCCGATTAGGCCTCTTACGCGACTTCCCGAGCCTGAAACATGTCAGTGTTCAACTAGAGACATTACTCGGTGATTGCGATGAAGATTCGCCCGAAATCCCCTTGCTCCTTAAAGAAACCCTACCATCCACCCTGGAAACATTGACCCTCTACGATAATGATGGTTTCAATGTTCTGGCAGATTTACCTACGCAGTTGCAAGGAATGGTCAGCCCGGATTTTCCCTGCCTAAAAGGCATTTTTCTGGAAGCTGGACCAGGCCTTTATGACCATGAGAACGAATGCATCAAAGCGTCCTACCAAGCCGTTGAGCGGAAATGCAACGAAAACGGCGTTGAATACGAAATCCAAGAACCTCACCAGCTCAAACATGGCGGGCTTCGTCGAGACCTGTGGGCAAAGATGAGAGAAGATGGAAATGAACGCGCTGAATGGTTCGGCGTGGCGCCCAAAAAGTTCCGGGATCTTGAAGAGCTCATTCTCTGTCCAGCAAAGGAAGGGAAAGAAGAAGAAGAAGATGATGATTGTGACGGGTTGTGGTAGGTGCGCTTTTACTGTCTTCCGCCTTTAATAGGTCGGGTACCGTTGCCAGTATAAGACGATTATCAACTGCATCACCAAAAGACTAGAATACTAAGTCAACAGACTTAATACGCGCATCACTCTATAAAGTGGTTTTTTATAATTAATTAATTCATTACATTACTCTTCCATTTAACAAAGACTAGTCTTTTTAGCCTTGCAACGGATATTCACGAGCAATAATAATTATATAATATACAGCTAGTCTTTAAAGGAAATCTTGTGTTAGCTATAAATCGACTTCCTTTATCTCAAAGTAGTTTTCTACTCTAGGAACTGACGACTCAGAGTTACTCTCTTGAGTATAAAATAAACATATCTTAAGTATCAAGTTTTTATATTGAGTACAGACTATAATAACCCAGCCAGGTCTTTTCTTCCTACACGTACCATTCAAAATAATACGATATTGTGCGATTGAGCCTGCCTTCTTCATAATCTTCTGCCTGTTTGGCAGTCAGTAAAAGCTGTAGCTAGAAAGAATACTTGAGACTTACTAAGGCGTTAACAAAATAGTCTACCATTTCACCTCTTTTTCGATCCATTTTTCTTGTCTTGGCGAAAGACCACTACTCTCAGAAAAAGTTTGAGCAGAATCAAAGTCTATCCAGACTACTCTCTCGCACGTTGAGGATACCATCATATTGCGGGGCTTGGGATCACCGTGCAGAACTTTTGCCTTGTGAAAATCACCGAGAATCTCGCGAAATTTAGCCAGACGCTCTTTTGAGAAGTTAGATAGATCTATTTGCTGCAGATCTGGTATATATTCGATAAGTATAGCATTGGGCAATAATATGTCGTTTAGGAACATATCAAGATTTGGCCAAGCAGTTGGTTGAATCTTTCTAATTGTTCCGTAAAAATCTGGAACGTCTCTCTTGCAGAAGCCCTTGGACTTCAATCGATGATATGCGGTAGACTCAGAAACAAAGAGATTAACTTCGCGATCACGAGGATCTAACTCAGAGGGCTCTCTATCATGATACTTTATTAATCATAATAAACCAATAATCTAAAGATAATATTTATACTTACCACTTTCATCACACATATTCTTGCCCGGAAGTGAACTTTGAAAACCACTGAGTACTTGCTCTTTTTCAACGTTTCGAGGAATTCTACCTCGAATGGTTTCACATCAATTTCAGTAGCCATGAGGCCTATGTGATATTCGTAAAGTAAGCCAAAGATGAGGGTCGAATGTGAGTTGTGCTGGTTGGTTTTGCGACTTGGATAGTGTTCGTCCGCCACTTCGATGCCTGAGGCACAAGTAACCCCTTACAACTGGTTTTGCCTGCGACACGTGCGACTCTTCTTTTTGATGCTTCGTACTAGCTCATCCTAGCAGAAAATTTTCAGCCAGTTCCTCTAGATACTATTGCGCCCGTGGCTGGAACAAAACATGTATAGTAAGCGCCCATGAGAATGTGGGAAACGGGGTTTGGTGAGTGGAAAGGTTGGAAACACGGAATCCGAGCCCATCCATCGGATATTTTGCCAGATAATCAGCAGTCCATATCGACAGGGATTAACGAAGAACAAATCCGATCCTTCGATTATTGCGGTCCAAGGCTGAAACTATATACTTTTTTAGCTTTTCTAAGCACTCTTGAAATCATTATTGGGCCAAAAGTATACATGGGAAAACATCTGGGATAGTTCCTATCTGCGGTTTTTGGTAATACAGAGAAACGGATGCGTGCGAATATTCATATGCAAATTGCATTTTCTTTCTTCTGAGAGGAGTGCTGATATATTAAAATGCAGATAGATCCGGTCATCTGAAGATCCACTTCACTGTATGACATGAAACAAACCAAATGTCTATCAATGGCCATTCCCAAGTCTTTTGTTTTCTGCTTCAAACGCCACAAATCATAATCTCCGACAAAGGGCGAGCTCGAACAGACATACATATAAATACATAGTGCTTTGAAAAAGAGAGTTAAGATGTCGTTATACATGAGCCTGACTCTGACTCTGCGCCGCCCAATGCTTCTCCGCACGGAGAATCAACTCCTCATAGACGGTCCACGCCAGCGCCGAGCTCAGCGCCTTCCGACCAATGCGGAGTCCCAGACCACCGAACAAACTGCGCACCCCATCCTCATGGACCATCAGGCGCACCGCGCGCATCATATTCCCATATTTCCCGGGCATCAATTGCAGCCGAGTCTTGACGGCATCGAACGGGTTCGTAATCGTCGTGGCCAAACCAGCAGCCAACGCCCCAGAGACGAAATTAATCGACGAAGATGACGACGATCCGAGAGGCTGCTCGATGCTTCCTCCGGTGCCCTCCCGCGCCACTGCCACCGTCGCCAGCCTTCGCTTCAACTGCTCGTAGAACAGCACATACAGACCCGCATACGGCGCGTCACGGGCCGCAGTGGCCCCGAACCCCGAGAATAGGCCGCGGAAGCCCTCGGTGCGGACGATGTCGCGCGCAGCGCCGTACAGGCTGCGGTAGGCGTAGTAATCCGACTCGTAGCGCACCTTGAGCACCGTGACGGGCATCATGACGAAGCCGGCCGCTACCCGCGCGGCGGCGCCGGTGGTGAGGTTAGCCGAGTTGGAGAGTTTGGGGAGCGCGGACGACGAGGCGGCGGTGAGGGCGCTCGTCGTCGGTGTTTGCGCGAGTCCTTGTCGGAGGGCATTCAGGCTGGTGAAGTAGAGGGCGGAGCCGAATCCCGTGCGGAGCGCGGAGGGTAAGGTCCCGCGCCATAGGCCGCGGATTGGGTTGGGGGAGGAGAGGATGGCTTTGAGGGTGGGGAGGAGGGCGGCGGTTTGTTGGGACTGTTGGACGCGGGTTTTGAGGAGGTCGGCGGGTTGGAGGAGGATGGAGGAGGTGAGGCCCGAGCAGAGGCCGGCGGCGAAGTGGAAGGTGGTTTTGGATGCTGAGAAGAGGGACTTGAATGAGCAATTGCAATGGATGGATGGGAGCGGAGGGAAGGAACTATACATGTAGACGTGGCCTTCACCTGCGGCATCTTATATGCAGCATTGTTGGCCATCGCTTGAAATCCCTTCCCCCGGGGATATTGAGGGATTTCAAAAGCGATTGGTATGGCTAATGATGGCTATAGAGGCGGTAGGTACGGAGGTATGAACGAAGAGAGAGAAGAGGAAGACGATAAAGCACGGGGCTCAGCCATAAACAGTAAGAAAAAAAAAAAAACCACAGGGCAGACCGCTAGACAATTGGCGACAACATATCAAGCGGTCAAGGTGAAAAAATGGAGACAGGGAAGCAAAAGAGGGTCGCCGGATCAGGCACGAGAGAAGCCGGACGGATTTTCTCCAGAACAGCGACGGTGAAGTCATTCCGCGGGCTTAGTCATCCGGTCGGACTCCGCATCCGAGGTTCATTGATTGACGGGAACTGTACGGAGTATACTTGACACTCGGAGTATACTTGAAAACATTGGACGAGATTACAGAATAGGGACTCAAGAATATCTCGGAAAAAACACCCTTCATGCAACTCTGCAATCAGGGTGCTCTACCACCTGCCACCTGCTATCTCCGCATAAAATGCATAAAATGCTAAGAATGCTGCCTGCAATCCAATGGGTGGCGGGCACTATTGTTAGAGGGATGTACGTCACCGTCCGGAGGAAAGTTCGCGTTAGTAATAAGCCTGACCATTCAGGCAGTCTTGCGTCTCTTTCAGTTCCTCTCTTCCTCTCTTTCTTTCTTGTCTACCATGCCCGCACTGCCGTGATCTTCTTTTCCCTTCCTCTCTTTTTCTATCTCTCCCCCTCCACTACCCCTCCGTTCCGCGGTGTGCCGGTGTCTCCAATGCCTGACTGGTCTTTCCCATATCCGCCTGCGAAGGCTGGATACTGGAATCCCGTTACTTCGACTCTAAACTGGTGCGAAGAGGTATGTATATCCGCGCGCTTTACTCTCTGGTACCTGTTGACCTCTTATACTCATGCGAACACTCGACAGGACTACTATGCCACCATCTACTCCGCCGAGATCATCAACACGCTCACCAACCTACTGTTCATGTGGCTCGGAGTGAAGGGGTTTCTCAGCTGTCGGCGTCATGGTCACGACTCCATCTTTCAGGTCGCCTACTGCGGTTACCTCCTTGTCGGAACCGGAAGCTTTCTCTTTCACTCTACTCTAAAATGCAAGTTGCTTGTCGGGCATTACACAAAGTCTTAAGACGCCGGCGGACCGATCGCTGACCTATCATATCCGTTTCCTACAGATCCCATGCAGCTGGTCGATGAGCTGTCCATGATCTACACCACTTGCTTGATGTGCTACGCCTCCTTCTCCTACCGGCGACCGACCCCGATTCGCATCGCTCTGGCCATTTCTCTGGCCTCGCTGGCCGTCTTCATCACCCTCTACTACCACTACCTCCAGGACCCGGTGTTCCATCAGAATGCCTACGCCCTGCTGACGACCGTGGTAGTTCTGCGCAGCATGTATACCATGGAGGTGACGCTGCGCCCGAAGTGGCGGCATTCCACCGAGGAGGACCGACTGGCGCGCGAACGACAGGGTCTCCCCGTACCGACCAAGGAACACCAGCATTACGAGAACGTGCGGGACACGAAAATCCTGAAGACCATGTGGTTTATGGTGGTCTACGGGCTTAGCTTGTTTCTGGGCGGCTTCTTCATCTGGAATCTGGACAACCACTTCTGTACGGAGATCCGCGGATGGCGCCGGGTTGTGGGTCTTCCGTGGGGTGTTTTCTTGGAGGGTCATGGATGGTGGTAAGTTCTACCTTTCCCTTTTTCAAATGGAGGAACACTTGTTGGGATATACGCTAATTTACGTGCTTTCTTTTTAGGCATGTCATGACCGGCATCGGGGCGTATCTATATATCGTCTGGGGAATTTGGCTGCGCCATTGCCTTAACGAGCGACAGGAAGAGTTCTACCTCTGGTGGCCTCATTTCTGGAATTTCCCTGAAATCATCCGGGTCAGTCCGAAGGGACAGACCGAGAATGGCGCGGTCAAGAAGTCTAACTGATTTTGGTTTCTCAAGAATATACCCCTGTCCTTGTTTTCCTCATTTTGTACTGGCTTGAGAGTTTTGGGGCCTGGAGCCTCAGGCCGTTGGCAAGTTATGGTTGACTTCATGATTCTGCCAACTCATCTATAGACGGCGGTTCTGGTTGACTAGATTCTATTCTTATAGAAAAGAAACGAAAGATGAGATGCATTTATAGGTATTGTATAGTGTATAGAGTAATCAATGCAGATGGCGTCCAGGTGGGTCAGTGTATATACCTCCGCGTATTTCAAGTGCATCAATCTATCAGTGCCGGAACAGACCGGCCCATCCAACTGTCCCAAGCCCCTCCACAGGAGCTCTTACAACTTCGATTTCGAAGCCTCACCAGCCGGCTTCTTCCGCCGCACCGGCGCCGGCACGTGCTCTTTCCAACGCGCATCAATGGTCTGTTTCTCAACCTTCGACTTCCGACTCCACTGCGCACGGAACGCCTGCTCCTCCTCCCGCCACCGCTGCATCTCCTTACCCAACCACTGGCTCGCCGCCTCCCCACACTCGCTCGGCGCTTCCTGGGCCAGCAGGTGTCCATACTTCTCAAGATATACGTCCCGGACACGGCCGACGGGCGCGCCGCCGCTGCCGCCCAGCCCCGTGCCCGTATGCGTCATCTTATCGGCCATCATGTCCGGTAAACACATATCCGACTTCCCGCCGAAGATATACAGCACGCTGGGTCGCAGGTGCGGCAGCTCCGAGAACACGCGCGACGGCTCCGGTCGGTAGAATGGGAACGAGCCGAAATGGTCTGGGTTGAGGTCCGGATGCGTGACGCGGTTCACGGGGACGTCTTTACCGGGAGGACCGTCGTAGTTGGGACGTGAGAAGGTGAAGACTTCTTGGTGGAGGGGGGTGGTGAGCGTGACGGGTCGGTCGTTGCCGCTGGTTGCGTCAGTAGATTCGTCGGGGTAGATGGCTGTTGGGAGCTCGCGGAGGCCGGATTGGATCCAGCGTTCCAGGACGCGGGGGTCCCATGCTTGGTAGAAGGGGTTGCGCTGGAAGCTTTCGGCGGCGGCTTTGCGAGAAGGCCAGCGGTCTCGACGGTAGGTGGATAACTGGGTGGTTTTGGTGATGACGAGTTTCTGGTGCGCGATTTCGAGGGGATCGAGCTGCGTCGTTTGTCGTTGGATGACGGGGTCGAGGAGCACGAGGGTGTGAATGAGACGGGGGTGCATGAGGCACACGCGCGCGCTGACATGGACGTATCAGAGAAGCGTTCGAAGAGTATGAGTTTGTCCTAAGGGATTGGGATAATAGGGGAAAGCACTGACAGATGAGCGCCGCCCATGCTATGGCCGATTCCGACGATAGGCCGCGGCATTTCTTTGCGTTTGACATTGACCAGATGGAGCAGGTCTCTGGGATGATCGAACCAGCTAGCTGTTATCATGAAGCGAATCAGTCTCGGATACAGTGCCATCTCCATCTCCCCGGGGAAGGTAACGTACGGTCGTTCCCTAGGAGGTCCTCATTGATCACACTGCTCTGTCCTTGATGCGCCACATCGGCCATCCAGATACTTCGGATCCGGAACCCGTTTGCCTTCGAGCGAGCGTGGATTTCCTCCCATAGCGGTTCGTAGAGTTCCTGGGGCCCTTGCGATCAGCCATGTGCGACGCCGGCGACTAGGCGCAGCGCGGGTTGCCGAATCGTACCTTGGGGAAACCGTTTGCATGCGCCGCTAGAATCGTCACGTCTCCCGGCTGAGGATTCTGATTGTCCAGAGGGATATACTGTTTCACGGCCATCTGCAGCTCGTCTTCCTGTTCGTTGGCTGTGGCCGCGGGATATTCCCGGATATGCTGGCAGGGCACGACATGGTCGACAATACGAAAGGGCCCGGAGGAGGCCGTCGGCGCGGACATATCGCCTTGTATAATTATATGGGCAGAGAGATAGATAGATGTTTAGAGCAATTTAGATGATAGTATCGAAGTCACTATCTCGTCATCCTGGCATGGTTGTGTTCAAATAGTTTAAGAAGAAAGAAGGTCCCCAGTGGTTCGCGGAGTGGGTTTGCCGGCGATCTGCGACGAGCCGAGGTCTCGCGCTGGCGGGAAAATGGCCGACATGCGCTGCCGATGCCTTGCTATGAGTTTGATGACTTGATGTACTCCGTAATTAGCATAACTAGTGTGTTCAATTTTCGTGGGGAAAAAGAGGATTCTCTCGTTACAGTACTAGCACAGTAGCACTAATACATGACAGAAGATATGCTAGTTAATGTTTCTCGGCAGATAAAGTGGATTGACATACCGGTCTCTGGATAGCCCATGAAACCATGCATGTATGTATACTGTACGGAGTATAGAAATAAATCTATCACTTGCAGCGGGAATTCCGCTGACAGGACTCATTTGCAAGATTGTTACTCCGTAATGGCCGACACTACGCCGGAAACTGATGGGTCGAATGTGATGCATCGCCGTGGCGAAGGACGCACGTGACCTGGTGTCTCGCCGACGCGCCGGCGCGTCGCATCGCAAATCATTCAGTCAACTCCAACTTCGCCTCCCTCTTGTCCTCTCGCCAGTCGTGACCCTCTTTTTCTGCCTCCCATATCAACAGACAACATACCACCAGATATTGCCTCCACCATGGCGGGCCACGAGGAGTTCCAGCTCTTCGACCAGTGCCGCGTTTGCATCGTCTGCTCCAAAGACCTGTCTCTTGATGCTGCACACCAGGTATGCGATATTCTCGTCGACTTGCCATCATCCCAAGTCTCTTAGATACTGACCTCTCTGGACGGATAGTATGCATCACTGCTTGAAGAAAACGGCGGCGAATCAGTCATCTACGAACAACCAGCCACTTTCCCCCCGCTAGAGGAATTCACCCACCTCGTGTCCTCCACTATCGACTTCCCGGCCTTCGACACCGCCAATGACTCCCTGATCCCCGTCGTAAAACCGCAGTGGCTGCAGGCCTGTCTCTCGAAGCGAAAATTGGCCAACCCCCGGCAATACAGTCCCGATCCTCGTCTGTTTCTGAACGACGTGGTCGTCACCTGCGGGGACATCCCGGAGGGCGATAAGGATGCCATCGTGGGTGGCGTGCTAGCGAAAGGTGGGCTGTATAGTCCTCGCATGACGCATATGGTCACCCACCTGGTGGACTTGACTGTGGATTCCGACAAGGCTCGCATCGCGATTACCAAGAAGTTACATGCCAGAATCGTTCTGCCTCACTGGTACGTTTCGCAGCCTGATCGGTCACTATATTGGTGCTCTAACATGTCATTTCTAGGTTCGACGACTGCCTAAAACTCGGAAGACGAATTGACGAACGCCCGTATACGCTCCCCGACCCGGAAATCCTACGTGCAGGTCCCGACGCGCCGATCCGATCTGTCGAAAATCGCGATATCGTCGGTGCGTCGACGCCGGAGCCGACTACTCTCCCGAACGTGATGTCTCCCAATGTTCGACCGAAACTTGATGTGTTTGAAGGGAAGCAGGTGATGCTGTCTACAGATCTTGGAATTGGTCCGCATTTGATAGAGTCGATTGGCGAGATCATCAAGCAGGGCGGAGGCACCATGACTTCTGATGTCTCGGAAGCAGACCTCTTGATCTGTCGCTACAGAGAAGGCGTGGCCTATCGGATGGCGTCTCGGTTGGGCAAGGACGTTGGGAACCTGTCCTGGTTGTACCATCTGATGACCTACAACACCTGGACATCGCCCCTCCGGCGACTCCTACACTACCCAGTCTCGCGAACCGGCATCCCGGGATTCAAAGGGTTCAAAATCAGTCTGTCGAACTACGTCGGAGAAGCCCGAGCCTACCTGGAGAACCTCATCGCAGCAACCGGCGCCGAATGCACCAAGACGCTGAAGCAGGATAACACTCACCTAGTAACGGCGCACGGGAACAGTGAAAAATGTAGCGCAGCGAGGGAGTGGGGTCTTCAGGTCGTCAACCACCTCTGGCTCGAAGAATGCTACGCAAAATGGAAACTACTACCCGTCTCGGACAACCGCTACAATCACTTCCCCCGCAGGACCAACCTCGGCGAAGTAGTCGGACAAACGCGACTGGACAAACAGGTGCTGGAAACCATCTTCTACCCTTCGGAAGACTCAACGGAACCATCTGCGCCTCGACCCATGCAAGTGAAAAACCAGAACACCACTGCTACCGCAGCAGCCAAACAACCCCTGTCGGAGAAAGCATCGGAGCAGGACAGCGAAATGTCAGAGGCCCGGTCCACCACCACGCCACGCGCGTCGGCGAAGTCGCGAAAGAACTCGGACAGTAAAAAGTTGCAGACGCCGGCACGGATGCGGCTCACGTCTGAAGGCAAGGAGAATGAAACCCCGTCGTCAACGAGCAGTCGAAAGTCAAAGGATGCCGCCACTGCCCGTCTTCATGACTACGCCCCGGATTTGGCCTTGTATGAAAAGGAGAGGAAGCGCGTCGGGGGCGTCATCTACGGAGGCCGTCGAGTGACAGACGAGGACCGCGTGGTGTTGAACAACAGCAAAAAGCGAAGATCGTTGGAGGCCGAGGACGACCACGATGAAGACGAAACAGCAGAGGCCAAACGACAGAAGAAGGCCAAGCCGCCTATTACCATGCATCTGTTGATTACTGGGTATCAGAAATGGGTGGGAAATCTGAAGAAAGAGGACGCAGACAAGGTTTGTACAGTTGCCATAGGCTTTCACTATTACGGGTTCAAACGCTAATTGCAAATAGCGACAACTTCGGGACCTCGGCATCATGGTCGTCCAGGACGCCCGGAAATGTTCCCATCTCGCCGCTCCGTCTATTCTGCGGACGCCCAAGTTCGTCAACGCGCTTGCGTACGGGCCCGTCATCGTGAATGTCGAGTTCATCACAGCATGTCTCAAGAAGAACGAGCTTGTGGACCCGGAGGAATTCCCTCTGAAGGATGAAGCTGCGGAGAAGCGGTTCGGATTCTCGTTGGAAGAAGCAAAGGCTAACGCTAAGAACAACAAGAACCGGCTTCTGCAGGGGTACAAGATCCACTGTGTGGAGTCCATTCGTGGCGGCTTCGATGCCTTCAAATCCATCGCTGATGCTAATGGAGGAGATTGTTCACTCTTCCGCGGACGTGTCTCGTACCAGTCTCAACGAGAAGAAAGCGACGAGGCCAGCTCGGCAGAGGAAGAAGATCCCAGTCGGAAAGAAATATACCTTCTCAGCAGCGTGGCCGCTGATCATCGCAAACTGTGGCCTCGCTTCCGACAGTTGGCCCAAAGCGTGCACAAGACGCCGCGAATTGTGCGTGTGGACTGGCTTCTGGACATCGCCATGTCCCAGACCCTGCACCCCGCGGACGCATATGAGTTGACTGAAGAGATGGCTGACAAGTTCGAGGAATAAAGCCATGAATTGGAGCTTTGGTGTTGGTGGGGTTCTGGGGATCGATTTGGGTCGATGGCCTTTATTTCGGAATTGACCTGCCTGTTTCGAGGGCACTTTTGTTGTGTATATTGCCATACTTCTTTTCTGTCTCCATAGCCATTCATAGCGTTGATCATACAACGGCCATGCGAGATTCACGAATGTAACGCCCGCGTTTTAAAAGAACTTGACACCTTCCTGGCCTTCGCTGCCGAAGACTTGAGCCTTGCCGCGTTTGACCAGGACATTGAGAGAACGAAGCATGACTTCCTGGTCCATGCCATGCCATTCTAAGCCAGTTAGTCTTGAGCCATCTCGGTAGATAAAACGGATATAGATATACCTTGCGAAACAGTCGCCTCCCCCTCTAACAGCTCATACACGGTGAGCACAACATTCTTCTGGCCTGTATTCTCAACCTAACCAACATCACCGTCAGTACCACCTCAAAATACACAAGTCGTGAAGCAAGGGGAATTGAGAAAACCAGGGAAATAAATACCCAATCAGCCACCAACCCCGCCCACTCCTCCGGCCTCCGCCACCAAATCCACGCAATGGTTTTATGATTCGCATCGACCCATTCCGCCCGTTTCCCCCCGCCTCCGTCCTCGTCCGCACCACCGCCGCCGCCGCCGGACGAAGAGGACGAAGTGGCCATCCAATCGATAATATCGCGAGCATCGCCGAGCGCGACACGTTTCCGGAGCGTCGCGTTGTGAAATAACGGGGATTCAACGGCGTCGATGAGCGAGAGTCGGAAGGTCCGGTGGTGTCGACACCAGGCTTGGATGAGGGCGGACCATTTCTGGAGCTGCGCGGATCGCGTGCTGCGGTTTGGTTGGGGGGTGAAGAAGGGGGGGAAGTTGTAGGTAGGAGGGAAGGGGAAGGGGTCTGTTGTCGAAGTGGATGTCATGGTTGGTTTGATGAAAATGGGGGTGGGAGAGAGGGGAGGGAGGTGTTGCGGGGGGTCAATACTAGTTACTACGAGCGCCAAGACCATTCCCCTTTGCGTTCTAGGCGCGTTGGAGTCGCGCGGCCTGGAGATAAAGGTTCTATGAGCAGCTGTGCTTTAAATATTCTTATCTTACGTCTTCTCATTCCCAGTCAAGCATGTCTCTTGTAGATAAACGCAAGGAAGACTAGTTTAGTAAAAAATAAAAACAAAAAGGAAGAGGGTAATATGTGGGAATACCATGTCACAATGTTGTTTTATTCGCTAAAGCATTGGTCTGTTACATCTAATCTACCCAATTGCATGATAAGTTGATAACCAAACAAGTCAGCTCAGCAACCATGAAACTGTTTTAAGCAGCATATGTTGAGCCTTGGCGACTAATTACTTTCCTCAGATCCAGTCAAATGACAGTCATCATCTTGACCAGCCGCGTATCGCTCATTTGCTTGCCCGATAAAGCCGTCCCTGAGTTCTCTGGTCAGGTCTCGGGCATTTCGATAGGCTATCAGACCCCGCTGATAGGTCTCTGGGTCACCATGTAATGCCCATTGCCCAATTTGTGTCATCACATAATCAGTATGACGGTCTGGGTTATCGTTATTCGTAGACCTTGTAGGGTGAGTCGCGTATAACCCTAGAATTCCAGCATGAAACGTAGATGTCAAGGTATAGGCATTATTGTCGTAATGAGTTGGCTGATTGCTGCTACCCTCGTGCCCATATTGCTGCAGAGCATGCATAGCTCAAGCCCCCAGAGCGCCGTCATAACAGGCCTGGCGCTTAGCCCCAGGAACAGACCCCGCGTGACCTTTTGCTTCAACAAAAAAGTTCGGTGCCACTGGTCTGCTGCTCTGAGTTGAGGGCATGATCTGGCTGTCCAACTGTTTCCGAATTCCAGGCTTTAGCTGGTCTGGGGATGCGCCGTGGTAGAAATCAGGCTTAGCATTAGCTAGCGTGCCGTCGGTCAAAGGAGCAAGGTTGTTAAATGGGTGCCCACCGTCAGTGTGGAAACAGGCCTTGCGCTTGCCCTCAAGAACAGGCAATATGTCCTTGACAACTAGCTGCTCACGCGCAGCATTGTCGTTAAGCTCTCTGAATTCTTCGTACTCTTTTTCCAGAGGGCCTTGTGATAATGCTAGTGAAGGTCGAGGAACTCGTAATCTCCTGTGGATGTCTGCAGAGTTGTCCGGCTTGGTTGGTTTTGTATCATCTGGGTATTTATATGACGGTAGGAAAATACCATGGTCGGTAACATGCTGCTCGAAATGTAGGTCATAAACAGTCGTGCTCCCGGTTTCTGGCGTAGACTGTGTTTGAGTCGAGCACTTCGATCTGGAATTGGTAGGATCCATTGAGTATTGATGAAAGTAGGCTGGTGCGGGATACTAGACGCAAGACCAGTTAGTATATATCTGCTTGGAAGTAGGTGCTGAAGGAGGATGAATAGTAAAAGTCTTACGTTTCTGATATCCGATAGATCTAGTCCTCCACAGCGGGAAAGTTCTCTAATCTCTTGTAAACAAGTAGCAGAACAGTTGCGCAAGAAATCAGGAGCAAAGATATAAGGTCTAGAAAAGAAACCCTCGTGTAAATCTAGAGGTTTATTTCGTCGGTTGACTTCCCTTAACGCGCTCTTGGTCAACCACAGCTTGGTGAGTTTATCCCAGAACGACGAGGAGGGATGGCAAGAGTGGCGATTCCGTCGTAGACGCTGATGCTTGAAGGATTCCATATAGGAAATATGTGAAATAGAGTAACTGAAGAAGAGGTTGTAAGGAACAAGAAAGAAAGATTGTTTCGAAGGTTTTTTTGATGAACCGAACAGACAGATTCTGGTGACACAAGCATAGAACTAAGAGAGTAGCATCAACACAAAGCACAAATCAACCTAATGACTCGATCGTTCCAATACCACTGTTTTCTGCGGTATGGGCCTTGGAAAGGTCTCTTCCGTCAGAAAGTGGAAGTGAGAGAAAGGAGGACTTTCTAACACTCTTCTGTTGGGCGTAGCAGTGGGTTGGGCTTTTACAACCAGGCTAGTTATCGTTGCTTGACACAACATCTTGACTTCTTTGGTGAAGTAGCTAAAGGAATGGTGTCGACACGAAGAGATATACCTACGTATACGGTGAAAGGTTGACATTCTCAAAGAAGTCCCCAGAGTCGATCAAGACACAAGAATCAACAATTCCACTAACTAGCGTGATGTACACACAAAATCAGGACAGACCCCAACGTATCACCTGAGCACAATTCCCACATACTCCACCGCATGGATCTTCCGTGTTACAGACCGAATGATCCTACTTATATGCTTCGTGCCTTCTTGTTTCTATCCGCCTCACTGCCAGCGTCGGACCTCCTCTTGCGGCCAGAAACATTTCCTTGCGAACGCGCGGGCTCAGATGCGGGAGCCGTGGTAGTTGACGGCTGCGTCTTCTCCCCGTTTTTCAATTCGTCCGGGGCCGCGAGATCTTCTTCGGGAGTTGCATCTGTTCCAGCTTCCCCTTGATCCAGCTCCTGCGTCTTCTCCTCCAATTCGTTCGGGGTCGCGTCGTATTGGGGAGTAACATGTGACCCAGCTGCCTGTTGACGGGACCCCTCTCGTTCTCGAGAATTTGCCGCCGCAATGAGTTCGTCACGCTGTTTTTTTGCCCAGTCTCGCGCGTTTCTATAGGCTGTGATGCCTTTTTGAAAGTGCTCCTGGCCGAATCGCATAGGGTACTCAGCAACTCTGATCGTCGTATACCTCCGAGGTTCGCCATCGGTGACATGGTGCGTGTACAGGTTTAGTACTCCATCATGAAGTGTTACCGAGATTGTATACGCATTGTGGTCGAAAACGGGCTGCTCCTTTTCTTGCTCGTAAGTCCGGAGAGTCTGCATCGCTCGAGCGCCGATAGCGCCCTCATAACATACCCGGCCCTTGAGGGTCATTTCGCTAGTACCGTCCGCTGCCTTGAGCTCCAAAAAGAAGTTCGGGGCAATTAACTCGTGCTGATTTGAGGGGCGGATGTGTTTGTTCAGCTTGCCGCGGATGCCGGTGTCAAGTGATTCAGGCTGTGCGCCGGCGACACGATACGGGTTCACGTCACCTGTGGAATCGGCCATGGGTGCTAAGTCTTTGAATACAAAGCCGACTTCGCACTTTGAGTCTTCGCTGCCCCCCAGTTCCAGCACCTGCGTGAAGTATTTTCTCAAGTCGTTGCTACCTTTTCCACTCGAAATGTTTCTCCATCCTCTGACGAATTCCCGGAACTCTTCCTTGGTGACCTGTGGGGATGAAGGCCTATCTTTTGCCAACATTTCGACAATGGCGCTCATATTCGCTGGCTCCTCCACCTCTCGGCCATCTGGATGTATGTGATCAGGCGGATAAATATGGTTTGCCTCCATATGTCTCATGAAGTTGGGATCGTAAGTTGTCATTCTCGCGGTTGCGTCCGGTCGTCCCTGGGATTCTGGGGGTTCCATGGTGGGGATGTACGCTTCTGGAAAAGAACACTAACACCAAAGCAGACCATCAGTTATTGATCTCGGGTTCGTCGGGGGTTGCTCAAATGGCCAGGGAACTTACAAATCTAATTTCCGAAAAGTCAGGTCCTCCTCGTCTCGAAAAGCGCCTAAGCCTTTGCAAATCCCGCGGCGTATAACTTGCGAGGATCTCGGTAGCTGACCGACTAATATCAAGAAATGATTCTCTGAAGAATGATTAGTCTTGTCCAAATCAGAGAGCATAATTCAGAAGGGGATGAGGGTTCTCTCATACTTCGGTAACGGTGGCTGGTAGTATCGTCTTGCTGCCTCTCTCAATGCGCCGCTGGACAGGTAGATTGTCTGGAGATTGTCCCAGAAAGCTGGCGGTTGCAAGATGGACATCTCTTTAAGTCCTGGACTTGGTCTTGATCTTTGCGGGGTGATTTATCTGCTTGCTATACAAAGCTGACAATTCACGAAAAAGGCCCTGAAGGGAGACAACCAGGCCTATAGCCAACTGTTTGCTCCTTTGAGCAGGGCGCATCGTGCATACATAAAGAAACAGAAATGAGCAATCGCGGTGCTCTCCGGTTATTTTTCACAAAGCGAGCCTCTGGATAACTCAAACATCCGGTTCCAGCATAACAAAGACCAGCCTATGGTAAGCTGAGCTTGCAGAGGATTCTCCCATTCGGAGAAAGGTTGGTCAAGGCAAACGATCGCTGCATGTTGCTCTGCTTGCGTCTGTCGTTTGGGATCATAATAGTAGGCATAGAGGGGGAAAAGCACAAGGAAAAGAGACCCGTTGTCAACTATACAGTATCCAACGCAAAAAATGGCAGATGCTGTTTAGGAGTGGAATATGCCGTCAAACACTGTAGTTATCATTTATCAGTTATCAGTAGTGATAGCGATAGGAATGGTGGAGTAGTGGAGAAAGATTGCCTGCCGGTCCCGAGAACAAGAAATTTTCCGCCCTCCGATTTGCGTCTGGCTCTCTTTCTCTCTTGCTCTCTCCGCAATTTGTCCTTCCCAACCCCACCAAACAACCAAATAGAGACAGACACAAGCAAAAAATAAGACAACAATATGTCCACTCCCCCCGCCAAGCGCCAGAAATGCGAACTCTCCCAGCGCGGCGGTCAAAAGCGCCAGGGTCGCGACCAGTATCGCAACGCCTCAGCGGAGGACGCAGCGGCGGCCACCAAGTTGCCGCAGAAGAAATTCTTCCGCCAGCGGGCGCACGCAAACCCGTTTTCTGATCATCAATTGAAGTAGTATGTTGTGTCTCCCTTCGCTTCTGTCGCTCGAGTTCATGCTTTCCGTGGAGAGAAATGTCCGGTTCGGTTCTGTTTTGTTCTGACGGTCTGTCAATCCAGTCCGCTGAGTCCCGCGCATATGGACTGGTCGACGCATTTCCCTGCTTTCGTGAATCCGGACCCCATGCAGACGAATCTCAGCGGAGCGCGCAAACTCGTGAAGGATGTCGAGGTGGTGGATATTGGGTGTGGATTCGGTGGGTTACTGGTTGGTCTGGCGCCAGTGTTGCCGGATACGTTGATGGTTGGTGAGTTGGGACCTGTCTTTCCCTACGTTCCTCTTTTAGACCGAAATTGGGGTTCTTATGCGACAATGCGGTATACTGATTAACACAATCTCTACTTTTTTAGGCATGGAAATCCGCACCCAAGTCCTCGAATACGTCACCAATCGCGTAAACGCCCTGCGCTCCCAACAACTGCAATTACAACAGAGATCGGCCTCGAACAATGCGACTCCCACGCCCACGCCGACGGCCGACCAATCCACCGCTACGCCTACAGAACCCACCACCGACGATGCCCCGACGGACCCCTCTACGCCGACAGTTACGACTGAAACTGAGCGCGCGGGACCCGTGGCCGGCGGGTACCAGAACATCTCCGCGCTGCGCAGCAACACGATGAAATTTTTCCCCAACTTTTTCGGCCGCCACCAGCTCTCTAAGATCTTCATCTGTTTCCCCGATCCGCACTTCAAGGCCCGCAAGCACAAGGCGCGTATTATTTCCGAGACGCTCAATGCCGAGTATGCGTATGCGCTGCGGCCCGGTGGACTGCTGTACACGATTACCGATGTGGAGGAGTATCATCACTGGGTGTTGCGGCATTTCCGAGACGAGGAGGTTGTGGACGAGGACGAACAAGAGGGGGGAGTGAAGGAGTTGTTTGAGCGGGTGTCGGAGGAGGAATTGCAAAATGACCCCTGTGTCAGGGTCATGAGTGAGGAGACGGAGGAGAGCAAGAAAGTGACCCGGAACAAGGGCAATAAGTATGTTGCTGTATTCAGGAGGAAGGAGGACCCCGAGTGGCCGGCTTAGATGGGTTGCTCTTCCATCAAAACTTGGAAATAAAACAGTTAGACGTAATATCCAATAGATGTATGATATCTGCATCGTGCAAGAAATGTGGGGAATCAACCGACTGGGAATAATAGACACATCATGCAGATAAACCCAAAAGATGTGCATTGTAATGTATATGCTGCGTCTAAAACTAACGAAATGTACAACTCCCGCTTGCCGCATATGCAAATTATATCGAGATATGCCCCAGAGATTTCGAAGGTGCAGGAATGCCAAAAATATGCAAGGCAAAAGATGCAAGAAAAAAGAACCAAATGAAAGAAGGAAATGATAGAGGAACGTGCCAAAATGCATACGAAATAAAGAGACCTGATCGCCCAAGAACATAATCATATCTGTCATATGGGGTCATAATTCCTTATGCAAATCCCGAGGCTAAGGAGTGGCCTTCAATCGGATGCCTTCACATCGCTCACAAACGGCTAGTTGGACAGGGCCGCCGATGATACGACCTTTGGCAGTTCGTTTGGGTTCGCCTTCGCGGACGAAGTATCTTCCATCAGTGCCCAGTCCGCTACCACATTCATGGCAGTTGAAACACTCGTCATGCCACTGCCCACCGACTGCTGTGATGACAACATCGTCGAGGACTGGTTTCTTGCAGCCAAGACACCGAGGAGCAGTACGGCGCGAATGGCATTGTAAACACCAGGCAAAACCATCTTTCTCTACAAACGGGGTGTCTTGGTCAAAAGGCTGTACACATTGATTAGCAACCATATTGGTGGAGTTCACAGGGGCCAGGGAGTAAAGCACATCACCACATTCGGCGCAGAAGAAATGACCGACGTGCCATTCTGCTCCACATGCTACGACAACCTCCCCTTCAATAGGGGTTTTGCAGCTCTTACAGCGAGGGCTGAAGATTTCATGGAAATCAAGATGGCAGTAGAATCTCAACGTGCGCGCCTCTTCATCATACGCTGACGCGTCAGCCAATCTTTCGTACCGCTTGGCCTCGGGCTCCTGGTAGAACGCAACACATTCAAGGGCCGTCTGGCAATGGAAGCATACAAAGCATTCCGGATGAAATCGTGTTCCAGCAGCTGTTACAATTCTCCCTGCAATCGGAAGCGAGCATGATTCACATTTTGCCGTTGGGACTCCAGAACGGGTATATGCTGAGAGCCACCGATCCTGCAGTGCACGAGCGGGCTTCCTTGGTGACGAACTGGAGCTTTGACCGCTCTTTGGTGGACTTGGGCGAGCACGCGGCTGATTGGAGGCGGCCTGAGCTGAACCACCGCCCATTTCGGAAATGGTAGGCTCCCTCTCATCCGGTACGTTGATGACCGGAATTGCGGGCGGCTCCGACACTTCTATCGTGGGCGCAGCAGGTACCACGGGGCGCGTGGGAGCGGCGGGTTCCGGCTTAGGGGGCGACTGCGCCTCGGTCGGTTTCCAGGCTGGTTCAAAACTCACAATCGGCCGGCCGGTGCGGTCACTGACGGCTGTCGGCATGGGGAGTTTGCTACTGCGATCTTTGAGCTTCTTACTAGTTGCCGCCCTGATATCGTCGCTGCGAATCTCCAGACCATCTTTCGTCGCAGGACTGGGTTCCTCAAAGACTTCTTCTTCGGGTTTCGATTTGGGTGTCGGGTCATTGGTCTTGTATTCGGCATTGCGCGATTGGGTTGGAGGGTGCTTGTGGAGTTCAAAACGAGACAGCTTGTCAACAAATGGAATGCTACCCAATCGTCCTGGAAGCGGCCGCGAACCACGAGGAAGTGCATTGCGTGGTTTTGACCTCAGAGCAGATGAATCAGATCTCGAGAAATCAGGGCGCTCGTCCCCTTCTTTGGGAGGGGAGCCGGTAGGTTCCTCGTATATGTGATCATTGGGGTTTCTAAAGATACCACGATTCGAGTCGCTGGCGACATTTGTAAGACCTAGCCCGCAAGCACCATCTCGCGATTTTGAAGGGCTTTGCTGTTCACGAGGCATTGAAAAGTTAACTCTAAGACTCTTTCGTAGCGAGCCATATTTTCTAGGGCTGGTAGTTTCGTCTGAGCCTGTCCTTTCTTGTTGCGTGTCGCGTGTGGGACTGCCACTCAATCCCTTCGAACCTGCACTAGCTGAAGGAGTCTCAGACACTGATGAGCGGAACAGGCCATTCCGCCGGGGGCTCGAGGGTCCTGAAGGTTGGGCAGGGGGGTTAATTTTCGATGGCGAGCCTCGAAAACGGTCAACGTCAGGATTCCGATAAGGAGCATATGGGTTCTTTGAGGCCATGCCCGGATTCTGATGCATCCACACAAGTTCCGTGGCCTCATCTTGTGCCGCCCTTTGGATCCGAGTTTCTTCATCCTCTTCTTCGTGGACATTCATTTCCTCCAGCGCATTCCGCAGCGACCTCGCCTGCTCTCTCTCAAAACGACGTTGGTTGCTCTCACGATACATCCCGGGCGAAGGGGGACTAAACCGGGAATGCACTCTAGTCGGGGAAATATTCTGACGAACGGGAATGGTCCTTGGTTCCTGCACGGAACGTCCTGGCGAGCCATACAGAGAGCCTCGAGGAGAGAACGGGCGATGGTTTGATAGAGAACTGGTGGCTCGGGGTGGATCAACGTCGGCCGCCGGTTTGGTAGGCGACCTTGCAGAATTACTGTACGTTGACATGGCCGACGCAGCCCGTGGGGGTAAATCGTCACGAGAACCCGAACTGGGTGTTTTCGTAGGAAGAGGTCTGGATCCGCTCGGGCGTGCTGGACGGTTTGTCCGTAGATCTTTCAAGTAATTTGCTATATGGAGAAGGACGCACGACCCATCTGTTAGATCCTTATACATCACACCGCTATTTGAAAGGGGGATAAATGCCATGACTCAGCCAGCAATGTAGACTCACCGATCTGGTCATTCGACATGTACGACGGCCCAGAAGGGGAAACCTTCCGCTGGCCATCTTTGGCCTTTGCATGAGGGAGGTAGGATCGGTGCATCGTTAACGGCAGCCAATTGATGTGCCTTCGGTCCCAGGTCCCTCAAGGAGAATTGAATGCGGGTGAGTTGGCGGTCGTCAGGAACAGAGCTGTGAAGTCAGTCTAATATAATAATGATAAGAACATCTGAGCCAATAAGGTTGTAGACGGTGGCTGGGGGATATGAAACCAGGATGGAGCGGGCTAAGGAGATCTTTCAGACCGATCTGCTGGGATGGGTTTAATTAAACATCAGAAGGGCCGGCGGTATGCTTAAACCTGTTAGTGGCAGTCAGGCAAGTCGATGACTGCATCGTGGACCTCTCGACGATAACGAGGGAAGGAGCTATGACCAATTCGAGGGGGACAACAACAAAGCACTGCAAACTCAGCAAACACCCCCGTTTTGGGACTGACGCCGTCGCGAGGCAACGCGGGGGTGCTGAGTCATCCAGGGTACCCGCTAGTCCCGATCCGGATACTTCCTCGGCTTTCTTTAATGCCTGAAATTAGATGCCTGACGGCTGGATTGCCTGACTGCCTGATGGATGTCTGCCTTGTTGCCATGAAGAGATTGCAAAGACATCATTGTCATTGCTTCATGCGCCAGACGGTGCCATCTTCGCACGTTCCACAGACAGCACGACGAGACAGGGAAGTCTTCTGGAGTCTTCACTTCCCCTGGATTGTCTCCAATGCCCCAACTTCCCCCCACCGGCTCAATCGGCACCATAACCGCTTATCCTCATCCATGGTTTCGCCCTAATCCTCTCCACCCGGCGAGGCAGTCCAATGATGATACTTATTGGAACCTGACCAGGTCGGCCATTTGGCCGACCTCCTGCGGCCAAGGCCTCGCTAGTTGGCCAGGAAGTGATGGATGGACTATCTCCTATTCAATCTATGACACATTAGTTACAATTCATTCGAGATGATTAATATCTCTTCCCTTCCTTCTCTCTTACTCAGGAATGGTTTGTCAACTCCAGGTTTCCAGTGTGACTGAACATGCGATTATAAGGGTAAAATTGCCTGTTGTTAGAGTATTGTCTTAGCTCCAGTGGATTGGGCTACAGTTGGGGTCATCATCCGTCACAAATGGCAGACAATACTCCTATCGATATCATCCATTCGCGGGACATTGATCGAGGCGACCCTGCTGCCAAAGACTCGCCCAAAGATCCGGGCCCGGCCATCTCGCCTCCAGTAGAAGTACAACGAAATGCGGATGCTAAAAGTCTCGAGACCAAATACCAGCAAGACGTCGTACCCGATGGTGGTTACGGTTGGGTCTGTGTTGCGTGCGTGTTCTGGATCAATGCTCACACATGGGGGATCAACAGCGTCAGTGATATCAAACCCACCGCTAGTTGAGCTCTCAGCTAATCGAGGGAAGCTATAGAGTTATGGTGTATTCCTCTCCCACTACCTCTCACACGACGTATTCCCCAACACCTCGGCCTTGGCCTATGCATTTACTGGCGGTCTGAGTATCTCTTGTGCTCTTTTGGTTGCGCCGTTGGCAACGTATCTCATCCATGTCTTTGGAACCCGGCTGGTGCTCAATTTGGGTGTCTTTTTTGAGACCATTTCCCTAATCGGGTCATCCTTTGCCACTCAGCGGTGGCATATCTTCTTGAGCCAAGGGGTCTGTTTCGGATGGGGAATGGGCTTCCTGTTTGTTGGTAGCGTGGGGATTACCCCCCAGTGGTTCCTTCGGCGACGAAGTCTCGCCATGGGCATCAACGCAGCCGGGTCCGGCCTAGGAGGGTTGATTTATTCCCTCGCGGTAGGCGCCATGATCCCTAGATTGGGTCTAAGCTGGGCGTTCCGGATCCTAGGAATCATCGCCTGCGTGGTCAACCTGATCGGAGCCAATTTGCTCAGGGACCGTAACAAGGATGTTGGCAGCCGCTACCGGGCCTTTCATCTACCATTGCTGAAACGCCCCGAGTTCATACTATTCCTCGGCTGGGGGATTCTCAGCATGCTGGGATATGTCGCAATCCTATTCAGCCTGGCCAATTTCGCCCTCTCCGTCGGCCTGTCCTCCCATCAGGGCAGCATCGTCAGCGCCCTGCTTAACCTAGGCCAAGGTCTCGGTCGACCCTTCGTGGGTATGTTCAGCGATAAACTTGGACGGATCAATATCGCCACGCTCCTAACATTTCTCTGTGGCCTGTTCTGTCTCGTGATCTGGATCTTTGCACGGAGTATGGGCGTTGTCTGCTTTTTCGCCGTTCTTGTTGGCACAGTCGCAGGCACATACTGGGCTACTGTTACGCCAGTCCTTGCCGAGATCATGGGCCTGAGAGACCTGCCCAGCGGGCTCAGTATTAACTGGATCATCCTGGTCGCGCCGACTACAGTCTCCGAGGCTATCGCTCTCCTCTTGAGAGATAACAACTCCAAAGATTCCGTGTATCTAAGGGTACAGATATTCACGGGCTTCATGTACATCGGCGCTGCAATGTGTCTATGGGTCGTGAGAGGTTGGAAAGTTGGGGATTTGATTCGAGCTCAGCAGGAGAAGTCATCGGCGGCCATGGCTGCACATGACTCTGTCATGGAAGGAAGCCGCCGTGGTGTCGAGGAGAAACGGGACCCTTCGGTGGCACCGCCTGTCCAGTCCGGTCCACAACCAGCACTGCTGCAGCCTTGGTCTCTGCCCGTTTTAGTGCGTGGGATGGTGACTTTGAAAAAAGTATGAGAGCGACGTTTTTGCTAAAGGTCATTGGTTCTAGAACGGCACAAATACTGATATAATCAAGACCCAACCCTAGATATGTAACCAAAAGAATCAGCAGGTGCATGTCTCGAGGATTAAATCACCAAGCAGCTGTACATAAAGAAGGCTATGTTATACCACTCAACGCCATAAATTCCGTGTACAATGCACATCCAAGTATCATTATAGTAAATACACTTTTATCTTTCCTTTTTCTTTCTTTCTTTTTTTTTTTTTAATTAGCTTCCCAGCACCAAAACACGTACTCTTCTCTTTCCAGCTCCCCGGCCACTTTCTTCCTTCACAGAGCTAACGTTGACTTGGACTCGCTGGAAAAGCTCAACCGTCATACCCCGACTCTTATCGGACTGTCCCTTATCCGAAACATGCAGCGTGTATTCCTCGTTGTCGAAGTCACTCTCACGGCGCACCACCAGTTCTCGTCGCTGCTCGACTGATCGTACGGTCGAGTCGCCAGGCAGCACGAAGTCCTCCAGGCGGACAACACCTTCGATGCCGAAGCGCGGTACAAACACCACCACTCCGTTCTCGAACACACGCATGACGTATCCTTCCTCATCGATACCCGCGTCCACGCCGTCCACGGCCACCTTCTCGCCACGGGCCTTGAGGGCTTGTCCAACGTAATATTCGATACTGGCTCGACCGGCAAATTGGGCATTGCGATGCCGGTAGTTGATGTTGCGGCAAATATCCTCCAAACGGTTACGAGTCATGACACCCTCGACAGACGCGCGGCCATCTTCGCCGTCGTAACCAATGGCAGATGCCAATTGTCGGTGAACCAGCAAATCGGCGTATCGTCGAATCGGTGAGGTAAAGTGGGTGTAGATGGGTGACGCCAGTCCGTAGTGGCGGAACTCTGACTCAGCATGGGCGCCAGCGCAGAAATACTCTGCAGATGTCATGCACCGAGTGGCAAGAATACGAACCAGGGTGTTGAAGAAGGGGTTTTTCTCATCAACACAGCTGTCGAGCGAGTCAGCAAGAGCCCGGGAACTGGAGACGTCGAGTCTCATATCCCGTTTCTTGGTAAGCTGGTTGGTGAGATCTTCGAAATTCTGCGGCGGAGGGGTGGCGTGTCGTCGTAGTAAGGCGGTTTGAGAGAAACAGTCGTAGATTTTGGCTGCAACGGTGATGTTGGCGTGAAGCATGAACTCCTCCACAAGACTGTTTGTCTCCAGCATGGCTTTGGTCTTGACATCAGTAAGCGGATCTCCAACCTCATCGTTGTCAGCCTCGATTCGAACTTCCGGTGAAGCAAGGTTAAGCGCTCCTGCATCCATTCGCTTCTGGCGGAGAATCTTGGAGAAACGCAGCAGAGTGCGCATGCTCTCTGTCAATTCGTCCTTCTGCGAAGAATCGTCAATGCGTTTTTGGGCCTGCTCATAACTGAATGCTTCACGAGATCGAATAACAGACTTCGTGAAGTCAGCGGAAACAACCTCGGCGTTAGGAGTCATTTCCCACAGGACGGAGAAGGCATAACGTTCCACGTAGGGCTTGAGAGAGCAAAGATCTGTGCCCAGCAAGTGCGGAAGCATGTCGATACGCTTGTCGACCAAATACACTGTCGTTCCACGTAGGCTCGCCTCGAGATCCATTGCGTTGTTCGGCTTGACAAAGTGCGACACATCCGCAATGTGAACACCGACTTCAAAGTTGCCATTAGGCAGCGGCCGCGCATGGAGCGCATCATCAATATCTTGACAGCCCGGGGGATCGATACTGCAAATGAGGAGATCCCTCAGGTCCTTTCGTCCTGTCCAACCGACGTCCTCCTTGCTCGCTGGAACTCTCCAATCGTGTCCTTCAGCCGGGAGACAGTCCAGAACGGCCTTAGGGAATGGTTTATATTGAACATCATACTCTAGAAGAAGAGCCTCCGTTTCTGCCCCCTTAGTCTCCAACTCTCCCAAAGACCGAATAAAGTGACCTGTCGGGTATCTAGAGTCCCGGTCCCAGGCATCGATTGTGACAAGGATCCGCTGTCCAAGAAGATCTCCGGCCTGCCTGGTGCGAACCCTGATTTTCGGAACCTTCTTATCCATGGGCAAAACGAACACATTTTGCTGTCGTCGTCCAGAGCTTGCCTGGGTTCCTGTAGAGCCCGAGTCGACGTGCCCAACGTACTGTCGCCAGTTTCGCTTCATAACACCAACAACCTTGGCTGTCGGCTGAGGCTTGCCCTCCGAGTTCTTTCCGTGGGCTTTCTTGACCTCTTCCTGCAAAGCCTTCCGCTCCTTTTCAGTAACCACCGCTTCGTTATCCCCAGCATCGGGATTGTCGTTCTTGGTCACTGCCTCTTCATCGACAAGCTTGGTCGAGGGAGACTTCCATTGGTCTTGCGGGAGCACTTCAATCACAACGACATCTCCGGAGATGGCTCGGTTGCTGTTATCCCGGCCCAGGATCAGGAGAGGCTTATCGAATGCTGCGACGTTGACGGAGCCTTCTAGATAGTTGTATGGCGAAACATTGAAGACGCCTTGATGTAACGTTCCAGCCCGAATCCCCGTCATAAGCTTCGACATGGTATAGTACTCCGGATAGAAAAGTTCTCCACGCGCACCCTTCGCTTCCCGAGCTTCCCTAGACTCGTTGATCATATCGAGCAACCTGTCGGAGTCCTCCAAGCCAGCAACGTAATCTGGCAGCGACAGAGCTGTCACACCCTCTTCCTTCGCCTTTCTCAAGCTGTCTTTATCATCCGTAATCACCACAATGACGGGGATACCCTTCTCTTTCTTTCCTTTTCTGAGTGTGCTCTGCAGATGTTCTGTGTACCACTTTGCTACAGCCCGCACCGCTCGATCGTTGCGATCATTTATCGATTCATTCTGATCCCTGCGAACGTGTGTCTCCAGTCGAAACTCGTTGAAGAAGAGGTAAAAGCGCTTCTCGTCGGTTTTGATCAAAGAAAGCAAGCGGTTGTAGAGGGGTAGAGACTGGTTCTTCAGCTCCTCGAGCACGGTTTGGAGAACGATCACATCGTAGAAGGCTCCGGTGTGTTCAAAGAGGTCCATTCCGTTCAAAAGCGCATTCGTATCGGGAACAAGGTAGTGACCTCGGGGGAAGGCGCTGGTACCGGCGGGTTGATCTGAAAGAACAAAAGGCGTAACTGGTTTCGCATTAGCCACCACTGTCCGGAAATATCTCGAACACCGGATTTCCTTACTATTTCCATTTGCATCAGTCGGCGCGACATGCGGACATGTCGAGCACAGCTTCGATGAGCACGGGATATCCTGTCTCAGATAGAGCTCACGAACGATCTTTTGCACCTTTCCACTTTTCGTGGACCGGACGAAGACTTTGCTGGTGACATTTGCGGCATGCGGGTCCGAAGACAAATCTCTTCGAAGACTCTTCATCTTGACTCGAATCAGCCCGACTTGCTGTCAGGTTGAAATTTCGCTGGACAAAGAAATAGCGTCGCGGCTGATTATTGCAGACGGTGACGTTCTTTTCAAACGGGTTCCGCCAGCCGAGTCGCATTCGAGATGCCCGTCCCAATCGGGTAAGTCTGCCGATCGACGTACCGGTAATCGCCATCGCATGAGTGAATGATGGAAGCATCTCCAACTATCTTAAGGACTTTATATTGATCTTGTAGCAACATAAATTCACTTCGTCTCATTCCTCTATAAATCACTCGCAAGAATGGTCCTCGCAGTAAGGAAATATTATCTAAAGGCCAGTTTTATGGGTTACTAATCCATGCTGAACAGGCCGTGGGGCAGCTATGCTCGACTGCGAGTATGACTGCTAATCTGGCCCAATGTCAAATATTGGTGCGCAAAGCAGTTGCAGCTGGTGCTAAAGTATTCCCTTCTAACTTCATTGCTACGGATGAACTACTCATTACTGAATAGGCGCTATTTCTTCCTGAAGCAGCAGACTACATCGGCTCCTCCGCTGCAGAGACCGTTTCACTTGCTCGTTCCGCACAGGGCAGTGAATTTGTGTTGGGACTACAAGAGGAAGCCCGGAAGGCGAAGCTGCATATCAACGTTGGCATCCATGAGCCGGCTCCAGGCGGCCGAGTAAAGAATACCCTGGTCTGGATCGATGAAAAGGGTGTCATTTCCCAACGTTACCAGAAGATTCATCTATTTGATGTAGACATCAAGGATGGACCAATGCTCAAGGAAAGCTCGTGAGTGTTTCCTTCAAACTATGGCGTGGGTCTCGTGATAACGTTAACTGTCTATGAAGGAGTGTCGAAAAGGGCATGGAAATAGTGCCTCCTTTCGAAACACCTGTTGGACGTGTTGGTTTGTCCATATGTTTTGACGTAAGTCGTAGAGGGTATTCCCATAACGCCGACAGAAGACTGATTCAATTTGTTTCCTTGCAGTTACGCTTCCCTGAGATTAGCCTTGCCCTGAAACGGCAAAATGCTCAGATCATCACTTATCCTTCAGCATTCACTGTCCCAACAGGGCGTGCGCACTGGGAGACATTGTTGAGAGCTAGAGCCATTGAGACTCAATCCTATGTGATAGCAGCAGCTCAAGCTGGTCCCCACAACGAGAAAAGACGAAGCTACGGTCATTCTCTGATTGTAAACCCTTGGGGTGAAATTGTGGCTCAACTCGGGGATGAGTATGAAGAGCCACAGATTGCAGTGGCGCACATTGATTTTGACCTTTTAGACAAAGTCAGACGAGAAATGCCGCTACTCAGGAGGACAGACGTCTACCCGGAAATTTAGGAACTGTTCGCACAAGTCTATGTCAAACGCGATTGTACATTTAACATCAAGTCTATGATATAACGGAATCCTCGACAGCTTTATCACACGCATGAGTGTCAACCGATTACTTAGACAATCCAGTTGAATAGTAACTATAGGTACAAGCATTTGATTTCATCGTTTCTGAAGTATTCTAGACTTGAACATAGAAAAGAAATCCAGGATATACGTCGACATAGTACATGAAATGAGAAAACCGAATGGAAAAAGAAAGAGGAAAAGAACGAGTAATTCAAATATAAAGGCCTGTCTAGAGCCGAACCGGCAAATCGCATCTGCTGGTACAGTACAATCCTTTCGCAATTTTTCGTCCAAGTCCGATCATTCTATGTACAGCGTACAAGGCAACCTCCGGACTGATACAGTCTATTTCTTGACCTTGTCAGGGTCTTCCAGGATACCCTCCGCTTCCAGCCTCCGTCGAGCTTCCTCCAGAGCCCACGTTTGTATCCTATCATGATGTCAGTTCTATGCAATTGAAAGAAATACAAGGTATTTATTCCGGCACAGCCATTGAGGAGCGCGAAGTGGTCATCCTCACGACAAGCCAAAACAAAGGGGATCAAACATACGAGGTGTCTGGCTTGAAAACGTATGCGACTCCCGCGGCGAGGAGACTTCCAATGAAACCGTAGTACCACATAGTCTCCCAGCCTTCCTTCTGGTACTTCTGGCCGGGCTTCACGCCGAAAAGCCAGCCGGTCGGGGGGTCGTAGTGATCACCATGATCCGCGGCACGGAGCTGGCTGCGGGTGGAAAAGCCCTGGGCGTTCCGGGGTGTGCGAAGGAGAGCGCGAGAGCGAAGAGTATGCGTCAATGGCCGAGCAGACATTGTGAATGTGTAATTGGTCGACGAGGTTCGAAAAACTCTAGGGGTTCAGGTCTTCGATGGTAGGACAGGCGGTGGCGGGTGAGGAACCCCTGTCAGATACAGCGAGGCAGGGACTGTTGGAACCGGGCGCCGAGAAACAGTAATCTCTTCGACCAGCGATAACAAAAGCCGGCGCGATCAAGAGACTTTGAATGTGAGTGCTGCGTGGGCGTCGCAGGAGGTGATAGGTGGAGGGGTGACGGGATCGAGACAGCGGTTGATGTTGGACGAAGCCGCAAAAGGCCGATGGATTGACGGAGTCATCACGCTAGTCCCAATCGGGCCGTTCTGCATGGCTGATTTGATGCCTGGTTGCACAGGCATAAACTGATGCCCCAGGTGTCAGCTACGCGCGACGCGTCCCTCCCTTATCGCATCCTCAACTGAAACGCAATTACAGCGCGCAGTTGCCACTTACCACTTACCCCATGACCCCAATGGTGCACTACAGGTCGTCCATTCTTTTAACATCACCCTCGCTTGCTGATCTTTAGGCTTTTTGTCGGTGTACTGCATAGTATCGACTTGAACTGGTATAATTCTCCGAAGCCCAAATCACTGTTAAATACACAGCTAATAATCAATTCAAAGACCTCCACCGAAATGCGTGTTACTCCTATACTGGGGCACGCAAAGCATTGACCATGCAACCCGTGAACAGAGACATGCGCTCCTACCCGATCTCCTCGAACTCGCGCTCGAAACTCAATGCATTTCGGTATACAAGCAAGGATGGAACGGAGCCTGAAACATCGCCCAAGAAGACCCCGTCAAAGAAGGCAAATGCCAATAAAGAGAATCAGGCGTCATGGCTGAACGGTGTGGCTGCGCCTCCTTTGGATCGAAGCAAAGAGGAACCATCCTTAGGCGCAGCAGAGTCAAAGCCCATCAAAGAGTGTCCTCAGACCCCGGGCAACAGGATACCCTTAGCAGACTTGATCGGTAATGCCGAAGACGCTATCACCCAAGCTCCCGGGCCGCAATTCACGCCAGAAGATTATGTGACCTGGCAGCATGTGCCCGCGAGTTCCAATCAGGACCCGATGTCTCAAACGCCGGCAATCAAAGGCAGAAAGCGCCGCCACAGCTCGTCTCCGACCAGCTCTCCATTAGCCGGTAACTCCAAGAATGCGCGAAAAGGGTCCTTCGATTTGCAGGCATATCAAGGGCTGATTAAGACACCTCAGAATGATCTTGCAACTGAATTGTGGAACAACTATGTGGGCAAGATGGGGGCCAACGGCACTAAAGTCCCTCAACCTCAATTGCCCAACATTCTGTCATCTTCACCCCAAACACCTGTTTCGCTAAGAACGAGTCGCGACTCGTCTGGACTGAGACGGTCGACTAGCTGTCTTGCTGAGTGGCCTAATTCCGCAGCGAAACGGAGAAAGGTAGACGGGGAAAGATTAGGAAATGGGCGTGGTATCTTCTCTCGGACAAGAAGCACTGTAGCCGATTCGAGTAGCTTCAACCCCTCAAAAATCAACTTTCTTGTTGAAACAATCGAGAGAAGTCTTCGCGAGACTCCAGCGGCACAACCGGATCCCTCAGGCTCGCCTATACCGGCCAGCAAGAGAGGGCAGAGGGATCGATCGGCATCACCAGTGTATAGTAAAGGCGCCCCTCAACATACGACAAGGAGCAATCAAGAGAACGGGGACCAACGAGCTTCTGGGTCCCAGGGCACGAGAACCGTGCAGAAATCCTCGTCTGACTTCGGGGACGATGACCTTGATGATGATTTCTTTGATCTTGCGCAGGCCTCTATGGATCCATTCGTGGAACCAAGTCAACATGGCACTGCAATGGGGGCTATGAATACCAATTACGCCGGCGTGTTGGCCTCGGCCAACCAGCAAAGTCTCCCTGATGCCAAAAGCATCTCTGATTCTAATACAATGGGATCTGCGCCGGCCATGAACACTAACAACCAAAGCGAATATACCCTTGATGCGGATGAATTCGATGATGATTTTGATGAATTCTCGGATAATATTGAAGACATTCTCGCGGAATGCGAGGCAACCCAGAACACGAAACTGGCAAGACCTGCAGCGAAGAACTTCTTGGCTTCCGATCATCCTGGATCGTTAAAGAGTATGGACAGTTCTATGCCCCCGCTCGAGCCGGTGAAAGGGGCTAGCAAACCAGTTGAGACGTCTTCGGGTGACGAGTTTGATGACGATGACTTCGATATGGAGGCCATTGAACAGTCTATGATGCAGTCAGGTGAAAAGGCGTCAAACGGGGTTTGTCTTTCTTAGTGGGAAAAAGATATCGTATAGATATTCGCTAAGTATCTTATAAATAGACCTTGAACAACCGCCAGGCCATCAAGCGTTATCTTATTGTTGATGTCGCTGAATCTACCTATACAACTCCTAAAGGTCGCATTCAGCCAGAGCAGGTCTGCCATTACGTCTCCCAGATAACCATAGCCCCCGCGACTAACACAGTAATCAGGTGCTCTTAGTGCATGACGAGAGAACAAAGCAAAAGAAGGTTGTTATCCTGCGGGATTCATGGTTCGATAGCCCCTGCAACAAGGATCTATATATCCATCTTATCGGCGATTTTGACGCCAATGGTCATTGTGTTGTCGATGACTCTCACAACATGATAATACTCCACCCAGACCACCTTGTTTCGGCGACCGTTGTCGCAGACTCGGTCAGCTGCCAGCGACGAGCTGTCCTTCAAGATCGTATCAAAAACACCGGCGACATCGGAAAACCACAGGTCTTTGGAAACATATTCCATGAAGTCTTCCAAGAAGCCATGAAGACAAATCAGTGGGACACAGCCTCGCTCAGGTCTCTGGTTGAAATTGTTGCTGTGAAGCATATCGAAGAGTTGTACTTGATTCATATGAGCATTGCAGAGGCAGTCGAATACATGATGAGCAAGGTCCCAGCCATGGTGTCTTGGGCTGAACTTTTCCTCAAGTCACAACCAAGCGTAAGTATACCTATTGATTTTCCCATGGTCGCCTTTTGCTAACATGCGTGTTTTTTTCAACAAGGCTCAATCTCTTGTTGAAGATCGGAATAGTTCCAAATTGCGCCTGAGCATTAGCAAATTGCTCGAGGTCGAAGAGCATGTTTGGTCCCCCATGTACGGTCTGAAAGGGAATATCGACGCAACCGTGCAGGTCGCCTGCCATGAAGAAGGAAACAAGAAGAATCTTGTTGTTCCACTTGAACTCAAGACGGGTAACAGAGATACAAACCAAGCTCATAGGGCTCAAACAGCTCTCTACACCCTTCTGCTATCCGATCGTTACGGTTAGTATATTTGCTTAATACGATGCATCTGACGTCTGCTAACCTCTTCGTTCCATCCTTCAGACCTGGACGTTACATTCGGACTACTCTACTATCTCGAAACTGCAAAAATCTTCCGGATTCGCGGAATTCGCCACGAACTCCTTCAAATGATACAGGCACGCAATCGTCTAGCGGGATATATGCGCCAAAGAACGGAACTCCCGCCGATGGTCAAGCGAGCGGGGATGTGCAACAAATGCTTCTCTAAGACTCCCTGTTTCATTTATCATAAACTTGCGGACGACGGTGACGGCGAAACGAGCGGGCTCGGCGACGAATTCGTGAAGGCCATGGAACACTTGAACCCCCAGCATCGTGACTTCTTCCAGAAATGGGACAGTCTGCTTACAAAGGAAGAGCAAAGTATGATGAGATTCAAGCGGGAACTCTGGACTCTTCTGAGTAGTGAACGAGAGGCTCTTGGCCGGTGCTTCGGAAACATTGTCATTGAACCTGGGACAACATACGAAGACAAAGACGGGTTGAAAATCAACCGTTATCGGTACACTTTCATCAAGAAGCACGCTTCGGCTAACTTCTCATTTACCGAGTCTCAGCTTACTGTCGGGGAACCCATTGTCATATCGGATGAGAAAGGCCATTTCGCTCTCGCGAACGGTTACATAGTGCAGGTCAGCACCAAACGGATCACAGTTGCAGTGGATCGAAGACTCCGAAACGCCAGGTCCAAAACCAAGGATTTCGACGCCAACAGCAATCAATCGTTCAAGGGCATAATGGAAATTCTCGATAGCGGTGCCACTCAGACAACTACATCTGCCTTCGAGCCGGAGGAAGAAGTTCTATACCGACTGGATAAAGATGAATTCAGCAATGGAATGGCTATTGTTCGAGCCAACCTAGTCGCCATGATGGAGAGAGATCTCTTCCAGGCCAGACAGCTGAGAAGGTTGATCATAGAGGGAGAAGCACCAGTGTTCAAACCCACGGAATCCACCTACAAAATGCCTGAGGCTGAGAGAGCAAGCTTGAATGTTGATCAGAAGCAGGCGATTGATAAAGTCATGAGTGCGCAGGACTATGCATTGGTCCTAGGAATGCCGGGAACTGGCAAGACAACGACTATTGCTCACATCATCCGCGCTCTGGTAGCGCAAGGGAAAAGCGTGCTCTTAACCTCCTATACCCACACTGCGGTCGATAACATTCTCTTGAAAATCCGGGAAGACAACATCCGCATTCTTCGAATCGGAGCAGCTGCCAAGGTGCATCCTGACGTTCAGCAATTTGTTAACCTCGCGGCCGCTCCTAAAAGCACCATGGAGGAGCTGAAAGCAGCGTATGAAGACTCTCAGGTGGTCGCCACGACCTGTCTTGGAGTCAGCCACAACATCTTTAGTCAACGCACTTTTGACTACTGCATTGTTGACGAAGCATCCCAGATTACTCTCCCCGTGTGTCTTGGGCCCATCCGGATGGCGAGTACCTTCATTCTTGTCGGTGATCATTATCAATTACCGCCGCTCGTGCAGAACAAAGAGGCCCAAGAAGGTGGTCTTGACGTCAGTCTATTCAAACTACTCTCTGATACTCACCCGCAATCTGTCGTTAATCTGGAACATCAATACCGAATGTGCGATCAAATCATGCTCCTGTCAAACACTTTGATTTACTCAGGGCACTTGAAATGCGGCACTCCAGAAGTCGCGGCACGCTCACTGGTCGTCCCTCACATCGGTGGGCTCAAACAACACCATAGTGAGCCTTTTTCCCTATCTGGCCAACGGCAACTTTGTCTAGGTGCGACTCGTGGCCATTGCTGGCTCCATGACCTGCTTGACCCGGACGCCAAAACACGCCTCGTCAACACAGACAAGCTGGCCACGCCTGCTCGGGACGTTGCGACTGGGTCCCGGATTGTGAATCCCACGGAAGCAACGCTTTGTGCGCAGCTCGTCGAGGCATTCATCTCCAGTGGCATCCCGGCCCGCAGCATCGGAGTCATCACATTCTACCGCAGCCAGCTCTCCCTTCTGAAGCAAAACCTTCGTCGCCACCTTCCTGACCTTGAAATGCACACCGCGGATAAGTTCCAAGGCCGAGACAAGGAAGTGGTGATATTGAGCTGTGTACGAAGCAACGCAGACAAGCACGTCGGTGACCTACTCCGTGATTGGCGACGAGTTAACGTCGCCTTCACTCGCGCACGAACCAAGCTTCTTGTCGTTGGAAGCAAAAGCACCCTCCGTGACGGCAACGAGCTGCTCGGCAAATATGTAAAGCTCATGGAAGAGCAGGGATGGGTATACGACTTGCCGAGAGATGCCGTGGATAATCACCATTTTGATTTCGACAGCCTCACCCACACCCAACCTCCTCTGCAGGAGGGCTCAACGCCTAGCCCGAACAAGAGCCCGTCGCCGCACAAAAAGCCGTCAACTCGGAACCCACTAAGTCCCCTTCGAGGACGCCAGGCTCCTCAAGGTGGTCTCAGGAAACCTGCCAAGAAGGGCATAAAATTGCTCAGCGGGAACAATGTTTTGGGTAATCGTCCAGTTCTACAGGACGTCGTGAACGATCTTGTTGGGTAATGGTTATAATATCTGTTTTCGCGTTATCATTGCGCGTATGGCATCTGTTGGATTGGCACTACTGGAGTCTGGTTTAAGGAATGGATTACAGGAATTTGGAGTGGCTTGAGCGGACTTATTGGATGACGCTTCTATAGTATATTGGCATAGCATTATAATTTAAATATGAATGATCCCACATCTCAATCTATGATATTATTCATCAGGATTTACGTCTCCAAGACCGAGGCACCAACGTATTCCCAGCAGACAATAGGACGAGGTTTCTTCGATTGCGAGCCCGCAGGCTCCTCCTGATCATCCGCCGTTTCAGCCAGCGGCAAGGCCAAAATCGTATAGCCATCTTTCCCTTCCACGGCGTCTCTTCCGATTGCGCTCGCTGAAAGAGAGAACCAAGCAGACGAAGCGGGGGCTTTATGTCGGGTTTCCCGTCTATTGTAAGTCAGTCATTGCATTCGCCAACAAGCGTTCCCATAGGGAAAGAATTCATCCAAAATCTAGTCGAATGGAACGTACAGTAAAGCGATAAACAGCTGCGTCACCCATTTCGGGGAAGCAAAGCCGTGCCATCTCAGACTGACTAGATCGGCGGCCTTCGCATCCTCGGCGTCCGGCACGCTGTATCGACATAGATAGGGATCTGTGTCATCGTTCGCCGAGACTAGGGAGGATTGAAGCGTCACCATGGCAAGCCACTCGGAGAGTTCGTTGCAGGAGTCGTTCAGGGCCTCTGATGAGCTTGGTGTTTCTGGGTTAGTGGCGGGTTGGAATGGCGGGACGAGGACATCGCGATGGTAGGTTCGCGAGGGTTCGCATTCGATGACGTGTGGGTGGTTTCCTTTCAGAGATGGATCGTCTGCGGTGGTGTTAGCGAGCTCTATATCTTGATTGTCGAGTAAGTGTATTACCTACCTTGGGAGATACCACCAGATTCCGAGCCCAGATCATAGAAAAGCCAGGCGACGGAGTGATTGAGCACCTTCTTAAAGGCCCAGACGATTCTCTCGAAGCCCTTCTTACCGTGGAGCATGGATGGTAGACGCAAGTTTAATTCCACCACTATTCATGTCCCGTCAGTATCTGCATTTAAGAGGTTGGGGTTTGAGATGGGAGAAGGTGATGCAACGCACGATATCGTTCCTTGCCGTGTTTTCTGCCTCCGCTTCGGATCGGCTTCCCTGTGAGTCCGGTGCGTTCGTAGATCTCCTTTCCGAGTTCTAGACGGAGGATCCCTGGGGCTTGTTAGTATGGATGTATGCGTGCGGTCTTAAAAGACTTGCTCAGGCGCTACACACCATCTCTGAGAGAGAAAACGTTATCCGAGCCTGATCGGCCCTCAGATATCATGAGAACGTTGCCTATACCGTGTTAGCGAGCCTTGTTCATGTCAAGATGATATTACGGTCAACGAAGAGAAGGTAAAACGGGGAAATATACCAGATTTGATGTATGTATTGAAAAATTCGCCCTCGAGCAAGTTCGAGAGAGACATGAACACCCGAGCATATCGCAGTGTTTGCAGTTTGGAGTCTACCGAACTCTTGATGGCCGCGTAGGCCTTCTCCGGTAGCAGCACCTCTACCTGTTGGGGGTCATCAACAATGCTCAATCTTATCGCGTTCTCGAACGAGCAAAGAGCAACATACTGTGTGCAAAAAAGAGTGACCCGTCATGGCTGAAAAAGGTGATCTTTTAGATGGTGGTTGCTTGGGGTCGATGAAGGCTGGCAGTTCAGCCACGCTGGTGTAGCACTTCTCGCGCCTGGACGCGTCGTCGTCAAAGTCGAACATGATTAGTTTATTCTAAAGTATAGGCGAGGAGCGATACAGCAGCTGGACACAGTCCAGCGAAGCAATTATGGTGCGCTCCGGTCTTGTCTCCGCCCGCCTTCGCGGTATGGGGAAGGGCGGCCCGGTTGAGGATGCAAATTTTTCTCTCGATATTCTATATTATATCAGGATGTATAATCCAGAATAAGATATCAAAGGCTGAGTTGCGACAAATGACCGCCAAGATTGGTTCTGCTGGGAGGTGATTCCAGTCCTGCGATGGGATTTTATGGGGTCGAGCGAGGATGTTGATTGGGCGAGCCAGTCGGGAAGTGCATCGCTGCTCTCAGGAAGTCTTCACGTCTGCATTCTACTCTCACTGCAGTAGCAGAGGGAGTCGGCTTCATTCGGTCTCTAATTCTAATTTCTGGTACTGTCAGGCAGGCAGCTGCAGGCTCGAGCAAACTGGAAAAGCTCAAGAAGCGTTAAGCAGTTTGACACCACCGGTAGCGGATCTATATAATCGGATGAGATGGTCGGGCATTCGAAGCACAATAAAGACTGTTCAGCTTTCGCTGTTGAGGAACTTTGAGAGAAAGTCTGATAAACAACTGAGGATAACATATTAAATGGGTGAAAACCCCTGTTACTCAGTCGAGAGCGAGGATGAAAAGAACCGTGCAGTCTCTGCCTCAGGCGACAAGGCAGAAAAAAAGCCAAGATTCAGGCATGAAGACGTCGAGGCACTGAGGCATCAAGGCATTCACCGGGCATCATCGCGTTCTTTGTCTCGCGCAGCTCTTCTCCGCACTCCTCATCTGACTTCCACAAGCTATCTGGCTCTCCCCAGGCTCCCTCTACGCCCAATCCGCCTCAATTGCATGATCGCAACTTGAAGGTGATCCCGTCGCCTTTCTGTGAGAGAGAATTCCTTCCTCTCCGCCGACCGCGGCCCCTCGGGGCATCCATGTGGCTTACAGCTGCCGCCATTGCTAGTCCAGCAGTCAAGAATCCGTGATGGCCCCTCCACGACGGAACCTCCTCCCAAAGGACCGGTTCGCATACTCATTCAGCGGCCTTAAAACTCAGAGCTATACTGAGCCTGTTCCTCGAGGCGCCGGATCTCCCACGTGTGTTTCCATCTCCCCGTTTCCAGGATGCCATCTGCGCGAAATGCTATCCCGAAGTCCCAAAGTCCCAAAGTCCCAGGCTGATTTGTGAATTTTGTTTCCCCCCAATTGCAGGATCCGAACTATAGCATGGAATCCTACCGGTCAGCTCATTGCTACCGGCTCCGCAAATCGTACCCTTCGTATCTGGAACCCCGAGCGCGCGCAAGTGAAACATTCGACCGAGCTCCGCGGTCATGCCGCGGGCATCGAGAAAGTCCTCTTCAACCCGGTCCGGGACTCAGAATTGGCTAGTTGCTCGACTGATGGCACTGTGCGGGTTTGGGATGTTCGGTCTAAGCACTGCGTGAGCCAGCTTGACGTCGGAGGCGAGGCGTTCACCATGTCCTGGTCTGCCGATGGCAGCGTGTTGATGGTCGGAAGGAAGGTGAGTATCCAATGCCTTCAACTGGCTAGTTTGGAGCCCATGTAATGTCTAACTGAACCGCGCCAACCTCCTAAAGGACGATACCTTGGTCCCTATCTCTATCGAATCGCCCTCCACCCCGACGATCCTTGACGGAGCACCCGCCACGACTACCTCTACCTCCAAACCTCCCCTCGTCCCATCGATCTACAAGACCCTCGATCCGCACCCTCAACCGATCCAGACCAACGCGACCACCTTCTCCAACCACATCGCCACCCCTACCTCGCCCGATCTGCACCTCTTCGCCACGACAGGCGAAGGCACCGTCAAGGTCTTCTCCTACCCTTCCTTCAACATCATGCACACCCTGAACGCCCACACATCCGCCTGCCTGGCCATCGCCCTCGCGCCGACAGGCCGCTACCTCGCCGTCGGCGGCAGCGACGCCCTGATCTCCCTCTGGGACACGACGGACTGGATCTGCCGCCGCACCGTGTCGAGCAACAACGGCGGTGCGATCCGCGGCGTGAGCTGGAGCTTCGACGGCCGCTTTATCTGCGGCGCCTGCGACGAGGCAAATCACGGCGGTAACGGCATCGAGATCTTCCATGCCGAGACCGGCGAGAGCGTGTATACTGTTCCGACGGGCGGCGGTGCGAACTCGGGCATCCCCGCCGTGGCGTGGCATCCGTCGCGGTACTGGTTGGCGTATTCGATGATGGGCGATGGTCCTGGCAGCTCGGGGCAGGGTGGGTTGAAGATCGTGGGTGCGGCCGGTGGTGGGTTGTAGGATGGATGGCTTCTTCTCTTCATCCTTTACCGGTTTTCATTTTGTTCCTATTTTATATCAAGAGAGGGGGATCTGTTGTGTTGTGTGGATTCTATGACCATGTTTATGATTCTTTCATGGGTATTCGTTGTCCCGGAGTTTGTTTTAGACGTCTTCTACAATATATATGTTATATTTGATCTTGAAGGGATCGATCTACTGTGGTGGGATTGATTTGATTTCTAGGCCGCAAGCCTGTCCTAAACACTTCTCTTTGACGAAAGGAAGACACAGAGATCTGGCAACAACGCAGAATAAGAAACCCCGTCAAAGTATCTTTGAATTATCATAAACCCGCATTTGCATAAAAGTGGATGCGTAGATAAGAGGAAGAAGAAAAAGAAGAAGAGGAGATATGGTATAATTTCCGAACAGAGAAGCCAACAACAAGGAGTAACCGGTTGGATGCAAATTCAACTAAAACAGCCCTAGAGCCCCAAACGCAGCAACCACCTCCCGGTCCACATTAAGCAGCCATTCCTCCTGGAACCGTTGCTCGCCTCCACATCCGACAATCAGGGAGCGGAGACGCTCGCGGACAAAGTCGCGGATGTTGATCTTGTGCAGGATGTCGGCGTTGTCCCACTCGCGGCGACGGATGTTCTCCGGCGCTTCGTGCTCCGCTGAGGTGCCTGTCTCCGCGTTGTTCCAGTAGATGAGATGGTCGCCGCTGCGCGGGTCATTGGGGTCGCCTTCGGCGCCCTCGGCGAGTTCGGTGATGATGTCGGTCCAGATGTTGAGGTAGGATTGGAGGTGAGTGAGGATGTAGGCGGGAGGCTGCGAGTCGGGGCCGTTGAGGGTGAGGAGCTGGGTGAGGGCGAGCGCGTGGAGTTTCTTCTGGTTCGTGCTGCCGATGTTGTCGTAGTGGAGGAACCATTCGGTCAGGATCCAAGTGAGGGCTTGCTCTTCTGAGGTGCTGGTGGCGCTTGCCACGGCGGACGCGAAGATCTTGGGGTGTGCCAGGGCCAGGCGAGCTAGGACGGAGAAGTAATCCGTCTCAACTACGCCATAGACAGAGCTCTGCTTTCGGTTAGGCCCGGTGGTTTGACTGGCCTCGTGTGCGGAGTAGAGGCCCTCGAGGAGCGCAGGGAGGAAAGAACTATCAAGTAGCGACCGCGTGATGACGTTGTAGGTGTTTTCGCTTCCACCGTCTACAGCTTCGGCGCCGCGGATCATGAGCTCCACGAGACGTGGCACTATGCCGAGGCGCTGCTTGGTGGTAGACTTCAAGAGGGCTTCGAATGAGGCAAGCAGGGGAAGACGAATGCGATCGCCCAGTATCTCCTGAGGCGCGAGGAAGATGTAAGACTCGGCGATTTGAAGTGCTTGAGGGGCACTGTCCGTCGCCGCTTCGAGGATAGGGAAAAGAGCTGGGATAAGGGCGAGGATTTCAGGAGAAGCCGGAGTTGGAGTCTGCATGAGAATGGCAGACCACAGTTCTAACGCTTCGTCTAGAAGGTAAATGATTGTTTCCTGGAAGAAATTAGCAAGAGTAGGATACTCGTTGCAAAGGGAGATGCGCGACATACAGAGCCTGGTTCGACCGAATTTTGAATGAGAGGGAGAATGAGCGAGTGGTATCTGGCGGACTCTTGTTTGAGAGAATGTATCAACGAAGAAAGAAGCGTGAGGATAGCCTGCTTCATCAAATGCTCTTCGCCCGATTCTTCCCATAATGGCGGCAATAAGGCAAGGATCTGATCTGAGAAGGGGGCAATCTGGCAAAGGGTTAGCATCTTCACCAGTCAGCTGTTAGCGACTGAATACATACATGATCTTCCATTTTCACCACGGCAGTGCGCACGGTATCCAGAAGGCCCATCTTGGTCTCGGAGAGTTCCACCTCTTGCACTAAAGACATCAAGTTCTGGAGCACTGATGGCGCGTATGGCATAAATTGAGCGGGGGAGAATTCGAAAGGGTCAAGCACGCTTTTGAGTTGTCGGCCAGCACTGATCCGGACGACTAGATCATTTAGAGGGTCTTGCTTGTTGAGCAAATGCTGGAAGATCTGATAAATAGCATCATTGTTCAGCTCATTTGACTTCACAGGGACCCATTGGCCCAGCAAAATGGCGATTCTTCTTCGAAGAAGGTTATAACCCTGCTCTTGTAGCTGTACTTCAGGGACGAGCGTCGTTTGCAAGAAGTTGTTGAAGTCTAAATGCTGTTCCAAACTTGCGGCTGCCAATCCAATGGCCGAGTATAAGGAATCTTTCAAGAGCACATCGCGCTTTTCGACGCCTACGATGGGTATCTTGTTAGATTCGAAATCCCAACAACATATCCTGGGGCTTGGTACTCACTGGCAAATGAATAGAACACACTAAGAAGCCGGGGGATGAGCAAGTCCTTGAAATGGATCACCAGGTCAAGGAAGAGCTTTTCGGAACATGATCGGATAGAAAATTCCCAGGCATCAGAGATATCCTCCTCTTTTCTCTCCCATTCCTCGGGGTCTTCCTCCCATTCTTGGAAGTCATTCTTCCTAAATCGGAAAAATTGTGTGACAAGCAGTTCCATGACGTTTACCACAAAGTCGTGCGAAAAGAGCTGAGATTTGATGAGCTCCACGGAAGCCTTTTTCTCTTCTTTGTCTTGAGGAGTTTGGTATTTGAAGGTCTGGGCCGGGTTAAATGCCATCTTTGAACAAGCTCTGATCAAGAGCAAGGCCCTAAGGCCTGTCTTTTCCATCAGCGACTTCCCTTCCGATTCACCACCTGCCCCTAGCTGGTCGTAGTTCTCTCCTAGTTTGGCCACCAAGGTCCAGTAAGATTGCACAAGAGGAATACTGTCCGGAAGCAAGGCAAAAGACGCAGGCCGGTCTCTGGCCATCTCGACATGAAGCTTGGAAAGTTGCAAAAGGTGCTTTTCGGTTGCCTTGTGCACCGAGTCAGGGATACTGACGGAACCATTAATGAACCCCAGGAATCTACTAAAATGAGTGTGAGTCAGTACCCAGAATTGACGGACATCATTGTCTCGACTGGGGTGCTCAAATCCGGCAATGACCAAGCGCCGAATGACCTTGAGACAGACAAGGCTTTGCTCTAATGCTTCTAGCAACGATCCCTCGTCCGCGCCACCTTGCTCCAAAGAATTGGCCCACATATTTACTTTATCCACGTATATGCCTCCCAGGAGATGGAATATTTCCGGAGCAACCGACTGGAGGTTAGCCCTCGTTCTAAGCATTTTAGCTGTCGATAACTCCTTTATTATCTGTAAGATTATGACCAGGGTTCGTGGCAACTGGAGAGGGTTGGCGCCTGGCTGGGTAGAGGAACGGAGGAAGGTAATGAGGGACGAGATTCCATCGGGCCTTTATAAAAGCTGTTAGGTAGGGCTTCGAAGCGCAAAGGTGGAAAGTTCAAGGCATACCAGTCATGAGGAAATTCGTAACGCATGATTTTGGCAATCATGAGTGCATTGTGAAGGGCTAAAAGAGGAGCGGGCTCGACGATACCAGCGTGAAGAGCCCTGGTCTTGATATGGTCCTTTTCCTCCTTTTTGATGGCGCTTTATCTCAAGTTAGTTTACCTCCGAGTATGGGTACGACGCGTAGCTTTCGGGTATGCCTACTTCGTCGCGGTTTTTCGCCAATATTTGTCGATGCCGTTTTTCAACTGAATGATGGACATGTACCGAACTTCGGCGGGCACAGAATGATCCAAGAAAACATCCTACCACAGAAAGTCATCAACAATTGTGAAGTCCAGGAAGAGGTATGGCGTTGGTCTCAAATACCTGAAGGAAGGAATGGTACTTTTCCTGCTTCTCCCAGTGTTGAAGCTGCTTGGTCCCGGTCTGTACTTGCTGTTGTGTCGAGCTAGCAGCCAGAACCAGAGCACTGAGGACATTCTGCGGTGTCAATGGGTTTGACTCGCCCGGAAGCTCAACGACATGAGCCATGGTGAAGGAAACGGTTAACGGTGGATCGATGGTCCGGTAATTGACACTAAAGCCAATATCGGCCAAGACAGGAACCCCAAAGACTTTCAAATATGCGGTATGCAGAGAAATCCCGAGTCTTTGAAGCCCTGTCTTGCAATCGAGTGCAAAGCGATGCTAAGGGGGGACGAGCTGGGCTAGCAAGAAGAATGCCTCCTCCTTAGCTTGTTTGTACCTCATTGTCCGCTCCCCGCCCGCGGCGGGATGCATCGGGAGAAGGCTGATCCGCTCCGTCAGAACCCTAGGGCTGGACCCCGGGAGCTAGTTCTCAACGGGTCTCCTAGTTAGGGCTTGCCTAGAGGGTCCCTTGGTAATGCTACAGTTCGATGATATCATTTCCAGAACACCAGATCTTGCCATGCCAGGTTCGATGCCAGAATCCAGAACAGTTTTTGCGGGTCAGCATGAGATCTCAGATACTCGATGCAAGCAAATTACATAGCTATGATGTTGTCTGATGCAATGTCCCAATACCCAAGGGTCTGCGACATAAGTGTTGCCAACGTATATATTCTGCAATGAATCTCTCCCAACCTAGACAGTATCAGGCATCCTCCAATCCTCTACATTCTAAACTTATCATCTACCTATCTTAATTCTTCCCTGAATTTTCTGGGTCATATCAAATCCTAGCAAAATGTCCGATAAGATGCATTTGGCTGCTCGCGCTGAGCAGGACCTCAACAGCTACCAGGCCAAACAGGGTCTTGGCCCTAAGAGTGACTCCAGTATGTTGCCTCTACTTGACAGCCTTCAATACATACGAGTACTAATCTAATACTTAAACAGCTCTTGAGAGTGGCATCAACGAGATGGTCGATAAGAAGTTCGATGAGTCCACAGGCGTGAAGACCGGCCGAGCTGCAGGCGCTACCGGAAGCAACCGCAAGCCTATCCCCGAGGACGAGGGTGGTACTCGTGACGACCGCGGTCGGTAAGTTGCTTCACTTGTCTCGCTTTATAACAAACAGCTATGTTCTGACTCTTTGAATAGTTTGGCACAGGCCGGGGAATACGAAGGCAAGGGCGGACCCGAGGACAAGGTGAAGCTTGAGTCCGAGCGTCGTCCTGGTGATCAGGACACGCTGAACCTTCAAGATATGAAGCGTGAGGGAATTGCTTCCTAGAGTGACCTTATTCATGTATTATAATGTTGTTATGAAGCGCAAGAGAAGCATGTTATGAATTCATAATAATATCAGCATCCTCGAAGAAGTTCTCCCCTATGTCCTTGGATTTCAGAATGAGGTGTTTTCACAGTAGCATTGGCAATGTCCTGGACCAAATGTTTATGCTATGTATTGGTGTCTAGAGTATGCTAATCTAATAGACTAATGCAATATTCAAGTGGTACCGTTTGTTTTAATGATGCCTATCCCTTGGCAAATTAGATTCGCAATGTAGTCCACGCCGATATTCGAGGACACCAAAGAGACACGGACTATGCTTCTTTGGCCTTTTCATGATCATCCAGTACCTTATCCTGAATGCCATGAGATTTGCAGGTTCAAACAAATGAGGATGAAATGGTATTCAATTTGATTGATGCTTCACGCAGGAGACAGTCTTACGAAAGAGATTCAACCATCAATCATATCCTTCTACAGTACCCAACCACTTTGAAATAGATGAAGCTGGCGTACAGAGAATGCATATCCCACTGGTATACTTTGCATATAAGGTCCTAGCGCTGGCTGCACGAAATATGCTGATATTGGAGAGCAGCGAAAAAGCACCGCTGATTGTCGGGCACATCTTATCTTCGGTCTCATCATTGGCAATCTCCTCACTCAGCTTGTGTAGTCTACCTCACTATGCCAATTTCTCTATATGTGTTGTCGATGTGGTAGCGGGCTTCGGATCTCTAGCACCCAAATGTATCCGCTTGGCGGGTTTAGGCCTGACTTGGGAAAGTGGTAATGGATAATTTGTAAAGATAACTCGAGAAGAGGATCTTACCGGAATTATCTCATGATCAGGTTTTATGCCGCGTCAAACCTAGACCGCACATAGTAAGTTTCAATGTCTTCACGAAAGGCTGGCATAGCTCATGGAATATGGAAATCAACAGATTTTGATATACAATGACTTTAAGAAGAATTAGTAGCTTGATAATCGGCAAAAGAGCTTGCATTCCGGTGTATCTTTGAACGACTAGCTGGGCTTGACGACATCTCTGGTAGTGTAGTTGGTATAGCAATATATAGACTGTCCCATGGATTTCGTAGTCATAGGGGCTCATTCACTCCTTCTCGCATAACACGTAGCATATGTACAGGATTCCTTCCATGTTCATCCCTTAGAAGTGTCCTAGTACAACCCCAATGAAAATTCCAGTAACTGACCCAACAAGCGGCAAGGTCAATGAACTGCCAGAATTGGCAGTAGATTCGGGAGAAGTGGAAGAGGCCGAGGATCTTCCATTGAGAGAACTCTTCCTGGTCGCTGTCACATCTTCATTGTAGCCACTCTTGGTATCGTAAGGGAACGGGCTTGTATAATTGAAGGTGGGCTTGGTGCCCTTGTAGGTTTCCTTGACAATATCAAGGATTCCATGGCCAGCAGAACATTCTCCCTCCGTTAAAGGAATGGGCCACTCGGGTGAGTATTCAGAATAGTCACCATTAGACATGGGGCCAGGGTATGTTTCATTGAGGTGAAGGTGTGTAGTGTCAACTTCATAGTTCACATAACCAGTCTTGTTTGCCACGATCTCAAGTAGATTAGCGCCGCAGTCCCAGCGGCCGAGAGATGGCAGACCCCAGTTAGCGGACATCGTTGCAATGACCGAATAGTGAGTGTAGAACGTATCGTCCTTGGTGCCCTTGAGGTTGTCCGGAATGGCACCACCCAAAAGGATGCTAAAGATTTTATTGCCCTTCGGATACGTATTGTCCTCGTCAAAGGTGAGTAAAACCAGGGTGTTATCCATAAAATACGAGTTCTTAAGAAGAGGCGTCATCCAGTTACGCTCCCACTTGGCGGCAAAGGTGATGTTAGTGTCATGTGCATCGTTCGTCATGTTAGGAGTCACAAAAGCCCACTGGGGCAACTTCTTGTTCTTCAGATCCTCGTCAAAATGAGTGAAATTCTTGATTTGGCGCAAGCGAGTGCTGTTCTCAGCGACCGAGTCGTACAAGACCAACGGATTGTGCTTGCGCACATAGTCATTTGCCTTTGTTTTTTGGTTAGGATAGTCGTTTCCCTGAAATCCAGGATAAGGCATGTGCTCCTGATATTCTCCCCAGGCAATTTGCTTCGTGTCAAGAAGATCGGCAATAGTCGACACGTTCGAAGGGATTTGGTTGAAATCGTCATTGTCCATGCCGAACGTGTCACCGCCGGCGGCAGCACAATAGTTCGGTTCGGAAGGATGTGTAGTGGCATAAAAGTTGGTCCTATGATGTGTTAGTATCCAAATTTTGAGGCGGGGATATGGTCTAACAGTGTGATTCCTTGAGAGGCCAGCCACTGCTTGTTTTCATCCGCCTCGGCATCTTCGTAATCCTAAAGAACGGGTACCCATGTTAGGAAATTTGAGTGACACGAGCCAAGACGTTTCACATACGATATTTTCGAGCCACACTTGAAAGAAACGATCGAATGCAAGGCCTTTGACATTGGAAACTGGGGAGTGCGGTTCGGTCGAAGCGGCGGCGGCTTCGATCTCTGACTGCGACGGCTTTCTCTCGGTCCCAGTACGGGCATAGGCCACGGAAGCTGCCAGCAGTGCTGCAACGAAGGACTTCATTTTGCCCACGGTCTCTCCTTACCATGCGATGGATTTGAAAGCGAAGGCGAGTGGATGGAGGAATGATCAGCTAGAAGAACACGAGGGAGCTGTTCTTATACTAAAAGTGGCAGGGAATCTATCGCATGGGACCATGTGCCAGGCGCACGAGACAAGAAGGACAAGACCCGGAATCGGACCCCAAGGTAGTATCCACTACTAAAAAGAAGTATAAGTCTGTACCTTTCAATTCCTGGGATGCACAATCACGCGGCCAGTATGAAAGTCCTCATTCGATGATTGATTGCCCTAGGGGTAGAACCAGCTGGGTCCCGAAGCAAACAAGAGCTAAGTAAATGGCCAGGAGGAAGACAGTAATGATAGGCAGTCGTTCCGCAGCACCGATAGACGAGACTACATTCTTGAAGCTTGCTCCTTCTTTCCATGGGCCAATAATGATCTGGCCCATTGAAACCACCTACAGTAGAGGGCAGTGAAGGGTAGGAACGATAGTCGGAGGAAGTGGGGGAAGAGCAAAGAGTGGGCTGGGCTTGGCTGGGCAAATGCTTAGTCCCCGGCCAGGCATGCACGTGCGGGGGGTGGCCGACGCGAGAGGTTGGAGAGTGGCAGTTGCAACCCTCCACCACCTGACAGCATCTTCTTCTGCCGTAGCTTCTTTGTACTGTACAATCCTTTTGAAGGCTGGTCTTGAACATGATGTTTATTCCATGGAAGTGTTAAACAATATGCCTACCTAATCAGTAGCCATACTGAAACAAGCCCCAATACCAAACATACTCCGTACAAATGTTCCAAGGTGGCAATAATTGAATTTGCCTACTCTACGGTGTAGTCTGTCTGCCAAGACCCCTTTGAGGTTCACGTTCCGGAGTGATGTAGTAGTAGTTTAATCTAGGGGACTGGGAACCCTGGTCTCCAGATGTCAGCTGCATCAGTGGGAGACATCGAAGATCATCAATTCTCCTCCTGTACGGAAGATGCATCCATCGCGGCTTCCCCTTTCGGGCGAGCAGCGATAAGGGTCACGTGGTGACCGGTCAACCTCGGCAGTCCCAAAAGTCCGACGGGCGCATTCTGGGGAAACCGACCGCCGGCGCCCTGGCCATAGCATGCTTCACTCTACACAACTACCTGCACTCGTGCATTCCGCAATCCAGCCCACCTTCATCGACTCATTGCCCCCCTTCTTGACATTCTTTTCGCCTAGAATCGCACAATGATTATACGATGAGCTCGACAAATTTTGCCGCTGCTCAGGAGCGGGTCCTTGAACGCCGCCGTCTTCGTGAGGCCGAAGCTCGCGCGAGGCTTGCGGAGCAACAACGGGCGTCTCCGGTTAACCATCCCGCACTTCAACGGCTCCCGTACCCATTAAGCCGTCTCCCACAATCTGGTCTGTCGCTATGGAATGCAATCAAAGGCCGCGAGGGTATACGACCGGCATTTCGGGTCGGTCAGGTTGATGCCGAACTGTTGGACGAAGAATTACTGGGGTTGCTTAAAGGCCAGGTTGGAGAGGCGTTGAAGTATTTTGGGGTATGGTGAACTCCACATCCCGATTGAAGTCCTTAATACTCTAGATGCTCTCGTTACTGACTCGGTGGAGTCTAGCCACAAATGCGTGAGGACTGGTCGCATGAAATTCAATTCTCTCTCCGCGCGATTCTCTTTAAGCTTTCGCTCTGGGATCACGATGCTTCGTACGGCGCCGCGTTACAGAACTTGAAATACGTCGATAGCCGTAGCAAAGGCCCCGTTCATTCCGCCCCAACCAGATGGCAGAAGACCCTGTATGGCCTACTTACGGTTGGCGGTCGCTACGCCTGGGATAAATGGGAAAGCTGGTTGATCAACCAAGAAGGCGGCTACGACGAGGTAAGAATTCCGCTGCATATGCATATTGAGGTCTCTTTGTACTAATTCTAGCAGCCATCTCAGGAAGTTCGTGTACTTTCCCGCATGACGGACTTAGTCTCTACATCACACTCAATCGCGGCCTTTGTTTCGTTTTGCGTATTCCTTGTCAACGGTCGATATCGAACGTTAGTCGATCGAATCCTTCGCATTCGCCTCACACCTCCTTCGGCACAAGCAAGCCGCGAAGTGTCATTCGAATACCTAAATCGACAACTTGTGTGGCACGCTTTTACCGAATTCCTCCTCTTTCTGTTGCCACTTGTAGGCATTAGTCGGTGGAGACGATGGCTGTCTAGAGCGTGGCGCAAGACAATGTCTACGCTCAAATCAAGTGGGGATGATGAAGACGAGCAGGTTCGGAAACAGGGCGAGTTGGCGTTCCTTCCCGAAAGAACTTGCGCGATCTGCTATAAAGACAACAACCCGGCTTCGACAACGGAAAATGAGGTGATGGCTGCATCGAGTTCGGCAGGAATCGTCGGCTCGGCTCAAACAGACATCACCAACCCTTACGAGACGATCCCGTGTGGTTGTGTATATTGTTTTGTGTGCCTGGTCCAGAAGTTGGAAGGTGAAGAAGGCGAAGGCTGGGTCTGCCTTCGTTGTGGAGAGATCGTGAAGAAATGCAAGCCATGGAATGGTGACGTCCTGGAAGAAGTTCGGCCTCAGTCAAGCTCCGGAAAAGTTGTCGGGTTCGCCGTGGACGACGGGGCTGACGAAGCTGGCGCAAATGCCAGTGAACTGGAGAGAGGTGATGAAAACCCTATGGGACGTTCGAGTCCTTTGCAAGATCTAAGCTCAGACGAAGCCCTTGGTGAATCCAATCATTGGTCTACCGTCGACAAGGAGCCTACTGCAGATGGACCCGAAGAGCAGACAAACGAGATGAATTGAGGAATGAGGATCAACGTTCATGACCGAATTAAAGGGCCTCTTGCTATGTAGCCAGATTACGTGCGACTATACCCTTTGCTACTATATTTCATGCATTATAATTTCCGGCAGCGAGTGTTAGCAACACGGCTCCTATCAAATTATCTGACAATTACTGAACCTGCGATCTGGAGGTCATCATAAACCAATGCACCGTTTTCACCGCTGCTATCACCCTCTTCCTTTTCCTTTTCGATGTCTCTTTCAGTGACCGGTATGAACCGCCCAGTCACAACGATTCTAGGACAAGCGACTTCGATAGTTTCATGCTTTTGAACGAGCCATTTGCGAAATAGTGAGAGCACAGTAGTGATCGCCGGGCGGACGATAAGCACGAGCCGATATCTCTCTAGATCGTCGTACGTATCCTCAGGTTCCCGATTAAATCGGTGCGGCCTCATGTGGCCCGCGTAGCTCCCAGCTCAGCGAGAGTGTAAAACAAGGTGTGGCCTGGCTGTGAGCACCGGATGGATCTACCCCACCACGCCAGTCCCCGCCGTCAAATCACGGCTTCCACATTGCAAACCCGGTCCCCAGAATATCATCACTCACTTAACAAGACAAATCGCAATTATTCAATCTCCCCCGCAACGGAGTTCTTGCCGAAGGTTTCTTCACGGAGGGCACGTCGCAACTCCGATCTTTCGGCTGAATGAGGGGCCACTTTGATGCCGCGGAACGGGTGAGCGTGTGTCAGTGCTATTTATGCTTCGCCTGCCACTTCGCTCCTTGAATTTCTGGGACAAGCTCTGAGAGTGCGCTACTCAGAAACCGTCCCAAGCTTGTTCGTTGAGTATTTCCCGCCGTTCTGTCGCTGTCGCCATGAACCCTTCTAAACCCGCGGTGACGTCTACGCTGGGAGAAGCCGGATATATCCAGTTTCCCAGTCTTCCCGATGATGCGAAGCATGAGGATGGCACGCTGGCCTTGAACCGATACTCGAGTACTATCACTCGCGGCCATGACTTCCCCGGTGCTAAGGTGGGTACTGTCGCTCAGTCTATTTCGGTGACGCGTTGGGTGATCGATTGGGAACACCAGCTAATCTTACCGATTTCATTCAATAGGCAATGCTGTATGCCGCCGGTGTGCCCGACCAACATGCCATGGCCAAAAGCCCCCAGGTTGGAATTGCATCCGTATGGTGGGAAGGAAACCCGTGTAATATGCATCTTCTGGATATGGGAAAGACTGTGAAGAAGGCGGTTACGGACAATGGGATGATTGGGTGGCAGTACAATACCATCGGTGTTTCAGATGCCATCACCATGGGCAGTGAAGGTGGGTATCTTGTGTCCTTTGTGCGACATCTATATTCTGGATGCGATGCGTTGAAGTGACCTTGTCAGCTAACGAAACGAAAGGCATGAGATTCTCTCTTCAAACACGTGAAATCATCGCCGATAGTGTCGAGACAGTCACCTGCGCCCAATACCATGATGCCTGTATCGCAATCCCTGGCTGCGACAAGAACATGCCGGGAGTGGTAATGGGTATGGCCAGACACAATCGGCCATCAATCATGATCTACGGTGGCACAATCCAGATCGGATACTCCGATCTTCTCCGGAAGCCAATCAATGTGTCTTCGTGTTTTGAAGCGGCCGGCGCCTACACATATGACACTCTCCGCCAGCCGGATGATGGTGGTGACACTAGCAAGACCAAGGATGAAATCATGGATGATCTAGAGAGACATGCCTGCCCTAGCGCAGGCGCTTGTGGTGGCATGTTTACGGCGAACACCATGGCTACGGCGATCGAGTCGATGGGTCTATCCCTGCCTGGGTCCTCTTCTACACCAGCAACTTCTCCTTCTAAGATGCGAGAATGCGCGAAGGCGGCCGACGCTATCAAAATCTGTATGGAGAGGAACATTAAACCCCGGGACTTGCTGACCAAGCGATCCTTCGAGAACGCGCTGGTTATAACAATGGCTTTGGGCGGAAGCACCAACGGTGTGCTTCACTTCCTCGCCATGGCCCGAACCGCAGGCGTTGACCTAACATTGGATGACATCCAGAGGGTTAGCAACAAGATTCCCTTCATTGCGAACCTTGCCCCGAGCGGGAAATATTACATGGCGGACCTGTACGACATCGGCGGTGTTCCGTCGGTCCAAAAGCTACTCATTGCCGCGGGTTTGCTGGATGGTGACATCCCTACCGTGACCGGCAAAACCCTGGCTGAAAATGTGGCATCTTTCCCCTCGTTGCCTGACGATCAAGTCATTATCCGTCCCTTGGATAACCCCATCAAGACGACTGGTCACCTGCAAATCTTGCGCGGTAACCTAGCCCCCGGCGGTGCGGTGGCCAAGATCACTGGGAAGGAGGGAACCAAATTCGTCGGAAAAGCACGCGTGTTCGACAAGGAGCACCAGCTGAACGACGCCCTGAATCAGGGGAAGATCCCCCGCGGCGAGAATCTGGTCATCGTCGTTCGTTACGAGGGTCCCAAGGGTGGACCTGGTATGCCGGAACAGCTCAAGGCCAGCGCTGCATTGATGGGTGCCAAACTCAACAATGTGGCCCTGATCACGGACGGGAGATATTCGGGAGCAAGCCACGGGTTCATTGTCGGCCACATTGTCCCGGAAGCCGCTGCTGGTGGACCAATTGCTGTGGTCCGGGACGGCGACGTGATTACAATCAATGCGGAGACCAACGAGATCAGCATGGATGTTTCACAAGAGGAGATCCAGCAACGACAGCGAGACTGGAAGCCTCCGGTGCCGCATGTTACACGCGGAGTATTGGCCAAGTACGCAAGATTGGTTGGCGATGCATCGAGTGGTGCAATGACGGACCTTTTCTGAGGATGGTTGAATGGTTTCGTGTCAGTACTCCGGTGTAGTTAATACTTGATAGTTTCTAAATGGGACATTGGAACAAACCAAACAAACAGGGACCGTGACCGATGTGGCTTAGTCCAAGAACTGACGCCACGGGATGCAGCCTGACGTTATGAGTGGGCGGGCTCGGATGACTCATCCGCAGACCTTGAGGGTTTCATCGTCCACGGTTCAGAGCCCGAGGCTGTGACAGGCTGCATCGCATCTCATGAATAATTCTTTCCTTCGGTCTTCAGGTAAGGAGTCGCTCCCCGGTGGGTACCAGTTGCTCCTGGTATCACCTACACGGTATTCTCAGTTGGGCCCTTCAGGTGAGTGAGACGCCGACGGTCATGTTGTGCGAGGTACATACTCCACCAATTCTGCACGGTGCCTGGACCTCTCCCCCGTGTCACTCTGCTCTTTCCTCTTTCTTTCTTTCTTTTCTGTTTCTACCTCCTATCCCTTTTCCTCGCCCTGGGCCGAGTCTAGACATCATGACTGACCATTCTTCCAATCACATTAGCATTAAATTCACGTTGACCCCGTTCTTCTGGAACAAACCCTAGCTCTTCCTCTTATGTGATCTATCCAAGTTTAAATCCACTCCATTCGTCATCGGAACCCTTCTCCAAAAAGAAATCAATAGTCGCTCCTTCCTTGGCCTCGCCTCAAATTGTGGGCCTGTCAGATCACCCCAGGGCCACTCGGAGGCAGCTGGTCGACCACCGTGCTCGAATCTTGCCGGTCATTGGCCAACGTTCACCAGACGGGCGCATCGCAAACAACGTGTTGAGGGCGCCGGATCTCACCCTCTCCGTGTCTCAGGAAGAGCCTCCGGGGCCTGCTAGTCCCATTATCAGGACAGGATCGGCATCTTGATGTTCTACGGCTTCGATCGACCCGCTTCCTTGTCGCACTATTGAATCGTGGACTGCCCGCCCGCCAAAGAGGTGCCGTCGTTCTGTCTCGTGGAGAACTCGGCTTACATTCCAGAACATCCCCGTCGTTCCTGTTTGTCGGCTCTTCGGGCTGGCAGGGAACCCTGGACGTTGGAGGAGCTTCGAACACAGGTGACCGAATGAAGGATTCCCTCCACGGGAAATAGTCTGCAGTCCGGACCGATATACTAGGGTAACCCTATAAAGTTCGGAGATCTTGCCTCCGTGGCTGCTAGTCGGAATGGGTTCAACCGATGCTGCCATAACCCTTAGCGGACCCTCGGGCTTTGGCGCTGTTCGTCGTTCGTGGGATTCTCTACATGCGATCTTCTCCAACTCTAGTATATTACTCTCCTTGACTCGCTTTCCTCAAGATGGAAACGTGAATTGGGGCAAACTTGTGTTTTTGACTACTTGTGTGCTTACAATGGCGGGCTGTGGCTTGCTGTCATCCTTCTTGCGGCGCAAGAGTCCTAACCGTCCGATTTTCAGAAAACGTTTGCGACGGGCTGCACGAAGGGATTGTTCTAAAGGCTCTGCTGGAACCATCACTTCATCCGACGATGAGGAATACGATAGTAGTGGGTCTCTTCGTCAGGTTACGAAACACTCCTCGCATGAGGAGAAGGTACCTCCCCAGCGCCGCGAACAATCCGAAGAAGGTGAGTGTCTATACACCCCCTTTCCATAACCACTGTGTTTATTGACAATTCAAAAGCGCACGACACAGACCCTGGTCTTCTGAAAAAGCATTCATCCTACCTTTCCTATACTACCTCTGTTGCGACTTATCCATCGATAAGGACACTATATCGCCCTCATCCACAGGCAGACAAGTTGCCAACGAAGCCCTCATCCGTCCCCTTGTTGGTATTCGTGCATGGACTGGGAGGGTCTTTAGCTCAGTTCAATCACCTGCTGACAAGCTTGTCAAACGTCGGGCCATGTTTCGGAATTGATCTACCGGGTTGCGGATTGTCGAACTTTGCGCCGACCTCTTGGGACGCATATACTGTTGACGCACTGGCGGAGTTACTCGCCTCCGCCATCGATCAGCATCGCGACAAAGAGAACGGTCAAGGGGTCGTCCTGATTGCCCATAGTCTTGGCTGCTCTCTGTCGGCATTGTTGGCTTCCTCAACCTCATCGATAGGATCCCAACTTAAAGAGCATATCCTTGGCCTTATCGCTGTTTGCCCTCGATCATCGCCTCTATCTCCTCAAGAGGTTGCTTCGTATCGCCGTCTTCTCCACATCCCTGGTCCTATTTTTGATCTATGGCGCCACTGGGACCGTCGCGGTGGCTTGACTAGTGCCAGCGTCACCAGACTCGTCGGTGCGGATGCCGACTCCGATACTAGAAATCTCCAGGTGCGATACAACAAACAGAGCAAGACCCCTGTGTGGAGACGCATGGCTTGGGGAACCCTACCTACTTACGACCGCAATGGCTCAAATCCTATTGGGGGACTCCCGGGAAGAGACGTCTGGGCAGGTGTGGAAACCCCTGTCTTGCTTGTGGCCGGTGAATCCGATACAGTAACCAAACCCGAGGAACTGCAGAAAATTCTTCGGTTTTTCGAGGGTACGGAATGCGTTGTTGGTGGCGATACTAAAGGCAGCCACGCTATCCCTGATGCCTCCAATAACGGGGACAAGCAAGCTTCAGAGAATTCTCTTGCGCATGAGGAAAAATACGGCATCGAGCCCCGAACTGATGAAAAAGAACTCACGCCTATCTCCGAGACAAATCAAATCAAGCGCTCTGTCAAGACAGTCATTCTTCCTGCTCCAGCTTCCCATGCGCTTCTGTATGATCGTGCTACTTACCGCACTCTGGCTGGAGTCATTCAAGATTTTCTTCGCCAACACATCGATCACCGGCTCAACATGGGCTGGCAACTGCAATACTTGAATACATCCGGCAAGTGGGATGTCAAGAACCTGGCCAAATGGCAAAAGGTAACTCCGGTCTCGGAGCGCATTGCCAACACCTTTGTCGCCCTTAAAATGCTACGAGAGGTCGACGAGGAACACAACCCGGTGTTGTTCTCCCAGAAGTACCGCGATCAGATCTATGCTGTAATTGATATCAGCTATGAGAACCCCGTATACAATCCGGCGTCGATGGAAAATGGAGGAATTCACTACCACAAGCATCCCACGGTGTCAAAGATTCCGCCCACTACGGACGAGACTAGAGACTTCATTGCTCTGGTGGATCGACTTGAGAATGAGATCACCGAGAAACTGGAAAAGCCTGAGAATAGCCACCTTCCACGGCCTATGATCGGAGTCCATTGTCATTATGGGTTTAATCGGACGGGGTTTCTAATTGTCTGCTACCTGATTGAACGATGCGGGTACAGCGTGCAGGGGGCCATTGATGAATTCGAAAGACGACGACCGCCAGGCATCCGCCATGCGCATTTTATCGACACACTCTTCGTGCGATATTGCATTGGATTAAAGAGAGCACCAACTCTTTGAGCCCTTTGTTATTTTCCATTGTATTTCCTATTTTCTTCCCCTTTTTACTACCTTGGGCAGGCGCTGAGCGTCTGGCATTTTGCTTTCGGGGATGAAACGGTGTAATGGTTGGATGGGTCTTGTAATTGACGAATTATGATCATTATGCGATAGACTGTATAGTATTAACCTATTGATAATCATGACTGTTGTTGAATTGACCGAGACTTCTGGTCCCAGCCAAGCCAGGGAATGGCCATGTACTGATGTGCACCGTAGTGGTTGATTGCGGAGGCCTAGACGATGGAGACCAATAAATTTACCCAATATAGAAGGCGGCAGAGGGCGGCAGAGCATATGGTGCCTTAGGCAAGATGAACTAGTTAGGGTACGGCTAGTCCCGAACAGGCTAGCGCTAAGCGAAGCGTCCACACAGCAGCGCAACCGAGACGTCGCCGTGTGTGAGAAATTTCGACTTGACCGACCGACTCCCCAACGACGACAACGACGACCCATCCCCAACACCTCGTCCCCCTCTTCAGCTCCCCCTACACCTTCGATTCCCGTTCGAGGTCACAAGTCGCAAAAATGGGTGGTGTCACCGTTCGCGATGTGGACGTAAGTTGTCACCCGTCCCTATCAGTCAGCTGTTGCTTCAAGATGCAAGTGAAATGGATATGGACAATGGATCTGGACTCGGCATATGGCATATCAGGGCAGAGGCAAGGAAGAGGAGGCCAAACGTCAACGAGATCGGCCGTCGCAACGATTTGAGCGACAAGAAAATACGCTGGGCTTGGAGTGGTTTTTCGATAACTGGGATATAAAAAGTCTTGAATCGGGACTTGGAAAGAGTCGGACCATCTTGCGACTGAGTTTACGACTTGGGAATATGCGGTTATTCCAGCAGACAACACACTTTTTGGAATGCACAGACGATGCCACCAGGTTGGAATATGGACATGCCGAACCAAATGATTGCCATGGAAAGAGGGGGGAAATCCTTTGCTCCACGCATCTATCACGATTCAACAGTTGTGCTATATTGGCGGGAATGATATATGCTGACGATATTTGTTTTTGTGTTATAGGCGCAGAAGTTCATTGGCGCTTACTCTGCGTTCTTGAAGCGTCAGGGCAAGCTCCCCATCCCTGGTTAGTTTTCTCCCCTCATCCCCACCGAAGTGGACAACATCTGCGGCATCGAAGATCGTGAGTGATCGGAACCAAGACCAACCCAACTAACTGCATCACAATAGGATGGGTTGACACTGTCAAGACCTCCGCTTCCAACGAGCTCCCTCCCCAGGACGCCGACTGGTACTACATCCGCGCCGCCGCCGTCGCCCGCCACATCTACATGCGCAAGACCGTCGGTGTTGGCCGCTTCCGCAAGATCCACGGCTCGACCAAGAACCGTGGCTCTCGCCCCGCCCACCACGTCGATGCCTCCGGCTCCGTTGACCGTAAGGTCATGCAGTCCCTGCAGAAGATCGGTGTCCTCGAGGTTGATGAGGAGAAGGGTGGCCGTCGCATTACCCAGAGCGGACAGCGTGATCTTGACCGTATCGCCAAGACCACCGTTGACGAGGAGGAGTCTGACGAGGAGTAAATTAGCCTCCGATTTCTAAAATAATGAAAAAGTCCTGATGTTCACTCAAACCACCTTCTTGATCTTCTTTTTCTATCTTCCTCGAAAACTCTTTGACATGATTTGGTTTATCTTTCCGACCGCTTCTCGGCTCTTGAGAACTCTTATTTTCCTCCCCAACCCCCAGCGGAAGAATCATCGACAGATTGAAGGAAAGAACAGGGATGAAGAAAAGAGGAAATTCGGGTGAAATCGATCCAGTAACAATGGATGGGTTCCAAACGGATGGTTGACGGATGGACGGACGGATGGCTACATTGTGATGATACTAGGGATATCAACCAGGGAGAGAGGAATGAAATTTTTCTTTTTACTGTTCCATACCAGGGTTCCTTTTTCCGACTCAGACGAACAGTCCTCGAGTTTGGGTCTGAGTCTCGAGTCTCGAGTCTCTTACGGAGACTCACTCGCGCATTTCCCATTCATACCAGAATAGATTCCCATCTTGTCTGGACCGAGGCACTCGTTTTATTTCTCGTGGAGGTCTCATGGCATAGGTGAGACGATTCCTACTCCACATCTCCTCGAGTAGACTAGGTAGACCGAGGTCAGAAAGACGTAAAGCGAAGTAAATTACCCTGTGATAGGATGCAAGGATATCTCTATAGAACGACCAACCATGAAACCATATATTATACACAAAGCAAGCAACATACAGCACACCACATCCTACACCTTCAACTAGAACAATACAGAGCAACATCTATTTCTTCCCCGACTGCGCCGTCGGATCCTACATTCGAGTTCTCAGTCAGCCAACCCATCCATCTACCTCGCAATCCCCAAAAGCCAACGACAAAGAAAACAAGGAAGCAAGGGAGAAAGAGAAAACCCACCAAATAAACCTGATAAAACCTCATCTTCAACCCGTCCGTCCCATTATCCCGATCATCAAACACCACCCGTCCAGCCCAGGGCACCTCCACCTCCTTCCCCTCCGGATCCGCTCTCAGCACGTACTTGACCGTCCCGAAGAGCATGAGCTCATGGGCGCCGCCGAAGAAGATCCGTTCGGGGTAGTGTTTCCGCGAGGCGACGTGCGTCCAGAGGCCGTGGCGAAGGGGGAGGATTTCTAGATCATACAATCGGTTTAGTTACTTTATCACAGTTTATGTTGCGGCATGTTTTGTCGAGTATTGTGTAATGTATATATTCTTCTCCTTGATTGATATGTGGTTTCGGAAGGGCGGAAGGGAAAAGATGGGGAACAGGAGAAGGAAGAACATACCACTCGACCCCTTTGCAACCTTAGGGCCCATTATGAGGGTCGCATCGTCCGCGAAATTCTCGACGTACGCGTCGTGTCGGGACTCTGTGTCGCTGGTGGCGTAGAACGACTCCATGAAGGAGATCATGGCGGCGGCGTTGGGCGGCGAGAGGGACGGGTTGGAGGCGATTGTGTAAGACATCGTGCTGTGGTTATGTTGTGTTATGAGTTGGGTAAAATTGAGAAGAAGGAACTGGAATAGAAAAGGTATTTGACATTGGTGAATCCTCAAGAGAGAGTATAATAAGGTATAGAATGGAGAGAGAGTGACGGTGATGTCAGTAGCCGCTATTCGGGCCGATGAGGGGAGTCGATGCGATCCGATCAGCATCCGATGAATAAATCAATGGGACTTGGTGGGGTTCTCTCTTGGCTGGTTTGGTGCATTTACTCCGTAGCATTGGTGATTTTGAAGATGTACATGTTTACGTACCTACAGACCGTGGAAACAATGCAATGATTTGTAGAGATTGGACGGGTCAGGACTATGAAGCATACACTCGGCGGGATCAATTTTGTAGGCTTTAAGGCAGTACGTAGCTATATATATTATTCTATCTCCACTCATGCCTTCCTGTAATCCTCTTCTGCCGCTTCAAAGCCCTCCCAGCTCGGTCGATCAGTTCCATTTGGCCGACTAGCCCGCACGAATTGGTTGTTGACCCCGTCGATCTCGCAGACCGACCGAACCACTTCGATATCCGCGTTGTATGCCTTGGAATGCCACTTCTCAGTTAATGCGGCGTCTCCAGCCTGCTCGGCAGAGAGATAGAGGTGAGGAAACCGAGTTTGCATGATCTTCAGAACCGTCGAGGAGATGCGGTCGACGCTGTCGCAGTGACGCAACTGCAAAAACTCCGGGGGCTGCGCCGCACGCATTTTCTCCTGAATTGCCTCGGAGTATTTGCCCACGGCAAAGAGCAGCAGATCGTAGTGCATCAGGGAGGACTTGCCGTGGTACGAGCCGCCTTGCTTCGCTCGGAGGTAGAGGCCAGTCAGGGCGGCGATGGCGCCCATGCAGCCGGTGCCATAGTCGGAGATAGGGAATGGAGGCACCATTGGGGCCGAATGGCCCATGAATTGTCCCTGTGCCCATGCCACGCCGGTAACCTATACAAGCCTGTAAGTCTTTCTCCTGGAATTCTAAAAAAGTGAATAGAGGTATGCAGTACTTACGCAGTCTGCGATTTGTTGCCAGCCAGGACGACCGGCCCATTCACCCTCATATCCAAAACAATTCTCATTGACGTATACGATTCCCTTTCCGCGCTTCTCGCCCAGTGATGCGAGCGCATTCGGGCCATATCCTAGTTTTTCAAGGGCTCCCGGGCGATAGCCATCAACAAGTACGTCTGCATCGGCTAACAATGCTTCGAATTGGCGACGTCCTTCCTCAGACTTCAGGTCGAGATCAGCGGCGTGCTTGCCCATGTTGCCATCGACCTGAAAAAATGGCACATCTGAGAGACTCGGGCTGGTGATTTTCAATACGTCGGCACCGTATTCGGTCAAAATCCGCGTGACTGTAGGCCCGGCAATAATGCGGCAGAGTTCAAGAACCTTCACCCCTTCGAGAATCTTCTTGCCTCCGCTGCGGCTGGTGAGGAAGGGCGTCGGAGGCAGGTCCCCACTGAGACGAGATACCTTCCACGGAGGCTGTTGCACATTGAGCTGGCCCTATTATTCGTTAGGTCAGCATGAAAGGCCCCGACACAAAGCAGCACGAGGATTGACAACCACGTACATGTGGAGTTTTGATAAAGTCTTCATGTTTGAGAGCTGTGACACCCGCCTGTCTCCTCTCCGCGTTCATTGCCTCCAACTCCGCCGCGCTGTACTTCTGCACATGACTTTCGATAACCTTAATGATCTCCTCGTAATCCGTCAGGTCTGGCCGATGTCCATCTAGTCCAATCATATTCAACGTCGTGGAGGCCTCCAGGGAGCCATGAATGTGGAAGAACTCTCCCTCATTCTTGGTTTTGTAAAGGTTCGCGGACATCCGACGGTAGCCGTTCGATTGCGCGGCGAGCAGATCAGTATCTAGATCCGTAAGTTTTATGGCACTATTCGAGTGATGGGGATTGAATCCAATAGTAATGACCCCTTACCTTTCAGCTTCTTCTTAACCTCCGGGTCCAACTTCGAAAGCCCATCCACTTTCGCCAAATAAGCCTGGCAACCAAATGCCGTGGCTCGTTCTAGATTGACCTTGACTTTCCTTTGGTGCGAGCAGGGCCCGTATCTCAGATCTGCGATTGCAGCCGCTACCGACCCCTCAACACCCTTCAACGCAGCGAGCGTTTCCGTCTCCTTAAAGGGGATCGGGTAATAGATCTCGTCATAATCCGAGTAGAACGACACGTCGTCTTTTTTTTGCACTACCTCGGAAGGCAATCCAAGTCGCTCCCCTTGGTCAAGAAGCAGGGAGAAGATTCGACCTGCCTCTCGAATAGGGGAATAGACATTGACCGCATCCGAACTGGAGGCCATGGTGTCAATCGAAGATGATAGCGCAACAGACGATCCGACACGGTGTTTGGGGATGAGTTGAACAAAACGCAGAATCGGCCGATCAGGCGGAGCTGTCTGGATTGACAAGGTATGAATATCCAAGCGAGTTTTCAAAGATCTGAGAGAGAATGATTAATATTTAATTCCCATGTCCCCGGGTCAATTCCGAACTGCGCTTCGGGGTGGATGTAGGGCGTTAGGGACCGATCGGCAGTCACGATCGCCTTGGACCACCGGAAGAGGTCGAGCCAGGGAGCCAGACATTGTGCAGAAAGCCAGTTCAACCCCGCAGAGACGGTGGGTATCCGAAGGAAACTGGAAGTTGGAACGCAAGGAAGAATGCGGGATGGCGAAAAGGTTCCCTTTCGGATGCGCCGCCGATAAGATCGGAAGCGGATGACGTCGGCTGAGTTAAGCGGGTCACCTGACCGGGGCAGCCCTCCATGCGGCATCTGCAGTTCTGCATGGGATGAGAAAAAATCCCATGGGAAATGTCCCTCTTGTCATTCGATGGCCCCCATCAGATATTCCCCTCAGCTGAAATGTCTGAACACCTGAATGCCGTGAATGAGCCGTCCTACGAGCACGCCAAGAGGCACATCACGCCCCCGCTAGTCCCTTCCGAGTAATCCAGCGTCAATGTGAAAGCCTACTGCTCTGCATTCACCGGCGCTTCGACAAGCATTGAAATCCCGGGGCTGAAGGGGGGCCGTTTTTGCACCCTAAGCGAGCAGCATGACAGAAGATCGGGCGGGTTTGCCCCTAGAAGGACCTTCATTGGTCGCTTCAGGCTGCACCTAAGCGCTGCACTCCGGCATCAGCGCGTGAAGACAATGACTATAGCGCCCAGGCGTCAGTTGAGCGGCAAACCCATGTCTTGGACTAACTGCTACCGTAGTAGCAGGATCTCATGGAGGCCTGAGAAAAATTCAGGTGTGGGATGAGTTGTGGGCTACTTCTATCGGGTCTCGTCCTATCTTTCTGGACTTTTACATCTGCCCCGTTAATCCTCTGTCAAGCCTCCCTCTCGCCCAACAAAGTATGTCGACCATAGTACAGACGCAACCTTCTTCTTCTGCGCAGAACCCTTTGTGTTTTGCCCGGCCCCCCTCGGACGTTTTATCCCTTCGTGGCACTATCTCTGCCCTGCCCAACGAGCTCCTAGCCTACATTTTCTGGAACCTCGAGGACTACAGACTTCCTTATGAACGACAGCCCCCTTTACAATGGCTTGTGCTAGCCCGAGTCTGTCGACGCTGGCGAGACATCATAGATACGTTTTTGTACCGCAATCTGATCCTGCGGGGTCGTGATGAGAGCCGCCATTCCCTGTTGCTGAAGGCCTTCAGAGATCGGCAACACCTTCGCGAGTATCCACGAACGCTGAACTTGACGCTCGAAGGGAACGTCGTTTCTCGAGACATCGCCCAGATCATGGCTCTCCTGACCTCAGTCCGTGAGATCTCATTTCAAGCTGACTTCGACGAGCCCCACCGCCCTCTCCTCCAAATCATCACGAGCATGGCCCCGGAGAAGCTCTTCCTCCGCGGGCTGGCCTTCGGACCGTCCGTGAACATGCTTTTCGATGTCTTCCAGTACATGCCATCCCTGCATGAACTGCACCTTACCCGGTGGGGGTGGAGTCGCGAGAAGAGGCTACACACGGGCTATACCCAGAATGATAACGTCCTGGTCGGATCGGACGACCTACGCCAGGCGCTGTCGATGGAAAGACGACGAACGGCCGCGTTCACGGTCCTCAACCTCCAGGAACCGAACACCTCCGCGCGGGTCACCGAGTGCCTTCTTCACTGGCCCGCTCGACTGGAGGAACTGAGCATGAAGTTCCTCTGCCACTCCCACTACGCCGTCGACTACCAGACGCACAGCCTGCAAACCCTCCTTTCCATCCACCAGCAGACCCTGAAAAAGATCACCATCGGCGTCATCCCCCAGCACCAGGGCGGCATCCCCGATTTCTCGGGCTTCCCGTGTCTCGAGGAACTGTGCGTCTCGGCGTACTCGATCCTGCACGATCCAGAGGAGACGCCGTGGACGGCGTACCGCAAGCTATCGACGCCTTCCCTTCGTCGCCTGGAGATTGATTTCAGCACCGAGGACCAACACTGCGAGTCCTGGACGGACTATTTCGAGGACCAGCTGGACTGGACCGAGGATTTCCTCGAGATCGTGGCCCCCGGCTTGCACACGTCGCCGCCGGAGACACGCCTGCGGAATGTCCACATCAACTTCAACCCCAAGATGCCCTGGCGCCCGATGGAGCTAATCTGGCCGTGGCACTGGCTGATCGAGGCTACCAAAGTGGCGACTCCGCTGGGAATCTCGCTGACGTATAGTACGCCGAGCTGGACGATGGAAGATTACGAGCAGACGCAGGAGCGAATGCGGCGATTCAACATGATGATGGGGTCTTGAAGGGGGTCCTTTGACTTCACATGGTAACGGGTTTTGGTAATGAGTTTGCGATATGTTTTTTTTTTTTTTTTTTTTTTTTTTTTTTTTTGCGTTCTACATTAAAGTTCTCCCTTCTTATTTTGACGTTCTGTCGGGTCTGAGAGTCTGGATCCATGGTGTATATGTCTTGCAGTCAGGTTTTCATATGATTTATTTGTGTCTGGAGAAACTATCTAGTTTATTTAATCGTCTTCCTCTTTCAATGAGTTCGAAACTAGAACCGGTCGTCAGTTTCAAGCATCCGCGTAATCGCACACATGCAAAACCACGGCAAATCTCCTGGCCTAGAGGGCCTGTCTTCGTAGTCCTGAAGGTGAGGCACAAGTCTCGCCTGCTCATTTAAGACTTGTTCCGGGGGGCTGGCCTCGATTTTTCTGTCTGACGGCGCTTGTAGCCACGAAGATTTCGGTTTTACCGCTCAGCGATATATGTTTAATAGTTTGTACAGATTGCAGGAACTTTTCTCGGTAAAAACAATGATTTGATAGTGCAGGAACAGAAGTCCATGAAAAGAGCAAAGAGATCTATGCGAAAGGAGTGAAGTGGGAAGAGAAGCTGATGGTAGGAATCCCGAAACACCTGCTTGAATGATACGAAAAGAACGACGGGCAGCAAGGTATGAAGAGGTGGAGATAACATAAAATTTAGAAAAGCAAAGATGAAGAGAGAAAGAGGAAGAGAGGGCAAGAGAAAAAGGAGAGAGAAACGGCCACCATCATCACCTATTTACGATTCTAGCCTTCTGCTTTGGAGCCCGATACGTTGCTTTCACCGACCTCAGTATCCTCATCCCTTTTCTCGATGTTTCTTTCGCTGACCGGTACTTCACGCCCGGTCAGGACCATTGCGGGACCAATGAATTCGAGGGTTTTATTATCATGACCAAGCCATTTGCGCAACGGCGAAAGCATAGTAGCGATTGCCGGGCGAACGATAAGCACGAGGCGTCGCCCCTCCAGGTTGGCCTCGTTGTCGGGTCCGCCGTTGAATTCGTGCAGTTTGATATGGCCCATGATGTCGCACTCTTCTTGGCTGTAGGCAGCCTCCAGCTCAGAGAGACGGTAAAACACGGTATGACCCCCGTATGCGGCTTCTACTTGAGCGATTACACCGGCGGCAAAATCAATAACCCTGGAAAGGGAGATCATCCGCCACTCCTGATTGAACACGAAAGGTGCGTCGGCAAGGAGCCATTGAAAAGGCTCGCTCTCCATCAGCTGTTCAGCAAGCGCTCGGCATGGAGCAAGGCGGTTTTCGTCGTATTCAAACAGCGACCAAGTCGCAGCACTATGGTGTTTACTTCCGGGTTTGTTGAACATGAGGCGACAAAGTTGCATTCTCCAGAGTATGGCGGCTTCAGGATTGTCTGTAGAGATAAACAAGGAGACAAGGTTAGCAACACATATCATACAGCCATACAATGCAGGAGACGGCAAGGTGGGCGATGAGCTCACATACCCACAAAAAAATGGTCGTAAAGATGTGCCATCGCCTGGGTAAATGAGGAGTCAACGTCATCGATTTCGGAGTACATTTTGCCATCAGAGAACCAAAAAGGGTTTTGGTAGCAGGTTGTGAATATGATTTTATAAATCATTGTCTGGGCCACGGCCCTCCCGAACTGCTCGCGCGAGGAGACAGAGAGCTCGCTTTGAAGAATGTCCCAGTCCTCCTGTAGGCAAACTCCTTCCATCTCAGTGATAAGCCTGCGTTTTTGGTCATCTGACAGCGCCTCAAGAGAAGGCAATATCCATCTTTCAGTCCACTCTTTGACTTTCCCCTGCACATCTTCCAGGGACGCCTTCATGGTGGTGAATACCCGTTCCAACAAGGCGTCGCGATCCTCGGGCTTATCTATGTTGTAGGAAGGCCAGCTTTGATCGGGATTGATCAGAGTACTCATCATACTTCTAAACGTGATAGGCTCGTCATGCGGTATCTTCGAAGTAGACGATTCTGATGGAGGGGACGAAGGTTCCTGGTAGGCTTGTTAGACCTTAAAGCAACAAAGGTAGAGTGTGGTTGATCTCTCAGCGCACCTTCTTCGTCCTTCTGCTTTTCTTTGATCTGGTAGTGGACATTTTGAAGCGAAAGGGGATATGACAGTTTGAGGGGCGAGTAATCGGGCAAAAGAAGAGAAGGGAGAGAATTAGGGTTGGAGGAGGAAGAAGAAAGGAGGAAGAAGAAAGGAGGAAGGAGGCAGAGAGCAAGAGTCCTTCCCTTCCCCTCTTACAAGCCGAAAAAGCCGCAGTCTTTGTTGAGAAAACCCTTCAATGAAGACGCTGTGCCGTCCGACTAGTCAATCAGCAACCAGAACAAGCCCTCTCTTAAGACAATCTACGTCAGACATGCAGCCTGGCTGGAACATGTTTTGCCCGTCTATGTCTTCACCTGTCAGCGCTATTGACGCCAAAGGGGTCCCTCCTACAAGTTTTTGGGAAGAGGCATTCTGCTGACTTTATCAAAAGACAAAGGCCATTTTCTTTTTCCCAATCGCTTGTCTGTTGGCTAGGTTGTCTCCTTTTTCCTTTCCCTTCTTGTGCCAGTCAGTGACAACCATTGACAATGGCAAAGGAGGCCTTAATCCCGTAGCCAAACGGATTTATTCTTAGGAATAGGGGATAGAAGCAGAATCGGAGCGGTAGGGCAAAAGAAATCTCACTCTTTTCTTTGTTTGGGCGCCCTCGTTTTCCCATGCCGCCGTCAAAATCTCCGTTTCCAAAGGTGGATGGACCACCAAAACCCCGGCCATAAAATGCTTCAGGGCCTGAAACATGTGGAAAGTCGGTCTGGAAAAGCCGACCAGAGCTGACCCGTTCATTCAGGTACAAGTAGGCAGGCGTCAGGTGCTTATAAAAAGACCTCCCTTTCTTGCCTAAACCTGCGACCTTTTACAGCACATTCGAGCACTTCTTCAGAATCCCTCGGATTATCTCCACGTCAGTCTATACCCAGGCGGTTTCTTCCTCTAAACCAGATGGCGTCCTCTCTGAATACCATCGTTGCTGGTGTCGACTTCGGCACCACGAAGACATGTAAGAACTTTTCCTTTACAGGCATATCGCAGATTTACTAACCCCACCGATCAATCCAACACAGGCGTATCCTACTGTTTCCGCAATGGGGGCAGATCAAGCAACCCAACCATTCATTCGTGGACTCCCACCGGCTGCACAGAAAACATGATCCCCTCAGTCGTTTCCTACACCCCGGACGGCAGCTGTCTGTATGGACCGGAAGTGTCGCCCCAGATGAAGTCTTTGGTCTGGCAGAAGCTGCTCATTGAGGGCCCTGGGGAGCGCAATGCCTTCAATCCTGCAGGCATAGAAAGGGCACCTTGGGTGAGGTTGTGAGTTCGGAAGCCTCGCGACTCGCAGGTGGGAGAGAGCCTGTGAAAATCATCTCGGATTTTCTAAAGCGACTCTACACCGAATTCTTCGCCTTTCTGGTCGGACAATCATTTGGAAGCGCTGTTCCGCCAATCCAGTTCTGGTTTACTCTACCAGCAACTTGGTCCAACCCCACTCGCATGCGCATGCTGGATGCAATCAATGGGGCTGGTTTTCTCAGCCGAGACCTAGACACGATCTATTTCGTCACCGAGGCCGAATCTGCTGCTTCTTATTATGTCCATACCCATCCCTCGTCGTTCAAGGTTGGTTTGAAATCCATACACATCCAGGACGTGTCTCCCGCTCACTTATCGATTTGATAGCCCGGCGACATCGTTGTAGTTTGCGACGCCGGTGGGGGCACTACAGTTAGTTGGAATGAAGAAAACTTGGATGATTAGTCACGCTGATGTAGTTACCAGGACTTTGCCACCTTTTCCATTCAACGCGCAAATCCAAGTCTAGCTTGTCAACAACTCGCTTCCACAGGTAGGTTGCTTGAGACAGAGGTTCAAATGGACATGATATTGATCAGTGGCAGCGGTTCGATGCGGCGCTTCTGATGTTGATTATAATCTGTACAATCTCCTATGCCGTGGGCTCGGCCTGTCGGTCAACGAGTTGAATGAAGGGCTCCGTGGACCGACAGGCAAACTGATGCGAGTCATCAGAAGAGACAAGGACAAGTTTGGGCGTGACCCAGTAACAGTCCCACTGCAAACTGTGGCTCGTAACGCCAACCCTGCAGTATATGATCGGAAACGATCTCGATTCACTTTTCATCCTCATGATGTGCATGGCGCATACAAGTCTGTGATCAATGCCGTCCTGGGCACCCTCCTCCAGGAGTTGAACCGCATAGCAATCTCGAATCCCAGCACCATCGTACGTTCTCATCCGCCCCATTTGCTTTACCTGATATCAAAGCCATGCATTCATTAGACTGACTTGCTAGGCAGAAAATTCTCTTAACTGGGGGGCTCACCAAAGCTTTCCATGTTCAAGAGGAGATGAAGAAGTTCTTGGTTCGTCAAGGCCTGGCACATTCGATTTGTCCTGTCACGTAAGTATCGTCTTGGTTCCTGTTGCCACTTACGATCCGTGCATGACTCATTTGCTCTTCTTCCTTCATAGTGAAGCGGTTGCACATGGAGCCGTATGGCGAGGCCTTTTCGGGGGACTCAGCCAGTCACCCAAGTCTCCCAGGCATTTCGGCCTAGTGTCGAGAGAACTTCCGCCACTTTACCCTGCTGAGCGACAGCCATTGCATGTGCCTCCAATTGTTGTTCGTCCTGTCTGGTTTCTTCCAAAGGTATGTTTGCTACTTCATCCCCACCCCACTGACCTATCCTAACTCTTCACAGGACCAAAAATTCAGCGTCCCTCATCAGGGGGGCTTGACAGTGAAGGTTTGTCATGGAGAGAAAGATAGCGACATAGTCAAAATCGCAATTTGCGAGAGTGACGGGCTGGGTGACCCACCGGCACGACTAGACGGTCTATGTAAGTGTCCCCAAGATCCGATTCTGATTTTGGCGGGGTTGTTTCCATTAACACGGTGCGATATACGTGCAGCGTGCCGGACCAATCGCTACGTCACTCTAAATTTCACCGGGGCCGACCTGGAATATTTCCGGCACCAGAAAGTCGGGGACGAGGTCTTTTACTGTCTGGAAGTTAAGATCGTTTGGACCATACCGGCCGGCGACGGATGGATGACTCTTCACGCGTTCGCCCTGGGGCGCCAGTTTGGGGCAGAAGAAATCTGCATGCAGGGTGGGTTCTGAATCTCTTTGGGAATAGGTACCTAGCGTATACTGTACATCCCCCGGCGTGGCTTGGTTGGTAATAGTCCTGTGTTAGAAGGGTGTATATTCCATTTACAACGATTTTTGTCCGTTTCCCGCGTCTCTGAATGTACGCTGTGGGGTTTATTATCCCCAACCCTCAGAGCTGCCAATAATTCCGCCCGTTTAGACACGGATGGGGAAAGACGTAGGAAAGCCCGGATGAACGGAGAGAGCGGACGGGAGAAATGAATGATGGGAATGATCCAAGCTCCTTTCTCCAAGAACAAGGAGAGGAAGGGGAGGAAGTTCACGGAGTAGAACAGACCAGTGGGGGTTCCTGACAAGCGGCCTCAGGCCAGTCACTGCCAAAGAACCCCCACGTGCCGTCGCCGCCCGGAATTGGTGGAAAGTTTATGGCGGGCACGAGGCTGCGCAGTGTGGTTTAATTGCCTGCAGTGAAGAATCATGGCCAGTGGAACATGATCGACCATCCACCGTCTGTGCAGGGTACACAGGATGTACTGCTCATACTTACTCTGATATACAGAGAGTACTTCCGAAGTACCTGCCATCGCCAATACCGCCCGTGTATGGTATGGTCATGCTCCGTCCCAGAGTGGGCAGCCCCGGAACTTCCCGGCGCCGGTGGCCGCGGATCCTTCCCCCCGACAGCCAATCAAGGGGGCCACGCGCCGGCTTTCGCTCGTACGCACCCGGTATTGGGGGTCGCTATGGGGCTGGTCATCCTGGACGGGGCTCGTACCTATGGAGTATCTTTGCGATAAAGTCTTTAAAGGTCACACCTGCCCGCTTCTCGGACCTAGATAATAATACCTAATGCCAGGATACCTGCATCCCCGGTACCCAATGCCGCGCTCTGCCTGCAAAGTGATACCTCTGGCGCAAGTACCTTCTAGGTAAAAATACGAGGTCACACCTGACATTCCATTCTTATCTTATTATTGACGGCCCTCCTTACTTGCTGCCCCCCTCCCCTCCTCCTTCTCCTCTCTTTCTCTCTCTTGCTGCCCCCCCTACTCCTTCTTCATCTCTGTCATCTGCTCCAGGCTTCTTCTGTCTTCTGTCTGACTTCCTAAATTAACTTATCCGTGGATTTTTCTTATCTCTGCCTTCCGCTTCTCCTGCTCCCGGTCGAACTTGACGTCCTTTTGACTTCGCTTCGCCAAACCCAACAACCGCGTGTACTAGCTACTAGTACCTCATTAGCGCGTCGCATCGCATCGCATCGCATTCACGCTGCAGTTTCCTGCCTTGACTGCGATCTCGACTCTCTGGAACTCTACCAGTCTCTTGTATCCCGTAAGTCTGACCGCATCCTTTGTTGCTTTCGAAGACCGTGGATTATTCTCCTCTTATCTTGTTCTTTGTCTGTCTCACCCACCCCTCCAATCCATTTGTTTGTTCTTGACTTTCACTCCCTGTTAGTCATCCCTTCATCCGTGGTTGCGTTGCGCTGTCTGGTTGGCCGATCCCTTTCTGACTCAGGCGATATTGATCGAAACAGGTTATCATTTGGCCACCTCACCAGGGACGACTCAATCCTCCCCTTCCTTAATCAATCCATCATGGCTGCCCCGATCACCACTTCTAGCATTGCCATGGCCCTTGCTGGCAAGACGGCCTCTGTCGATATCCCCAAGCCTCGTTCGGCTTTCGCCGGCGATGGCGATTCCTCACGTCATCCGGCCCTGTTGCCGACTCCCCCCAACTCTATCTCTCCGACCCTTCCTCCGCAAGCCTTTAAGCGACGGGACAACCTCCTGGGCTCGCCTCCATTTGCCACGTCGCAGTTCGACTCCGATATTGATCTGGGTGATGTCGCCCAACATGCGGTCAGTCGCGGTCAGCATCTCTCTCCCGGCGACGTTGATAGCACCGGGGCCATTAGCCCGGAAATGCTAGCCCAGTATCATCTTCCAAGCATTATGCTGCAGCATGGTCCGCTAGCCATCCGACATATCATGGGCTATCTAACCACGTTGGTTCCTGGTTTTTCCGCGATCGCCCCCGCCAAAGCGCGAAGATTAGTCGTGGCTGCGTTAGAGAGCCGCGGGACCTGCGACCGGGGAAGTGGCGCGGAAAGCGAGATCGTGTTCGAGAAAGTTGGATGGGGTCGGTGGGATGCACGACGCCGTGGCGAGCCGCTACGGGATGCACAGCACCCGAACCTGTCGCCTCCGTCAAGTCTATCGAACTCCTTCCCGCAAAAGGCCATGCAGATTCCAATCAAAAGGGATAGTCTACAGCCGTGCGGCTCCAGCATCGCTGGCGACTCCGCCGTTTTCTCTTACACAGAACGAGACTACGGCGGCCCTGGGGATATCAGTATGTTAGAAGATGAAGCGGATAAGATGTCCCTTGATGGAGACGAACGTGAGTATTGCTCATCTTCGGAAGCGCCGGATGACGAAATTCCGGATGAGGATTGGGGCGAAGAGGACGTGACCGACGAGGAAGATTGGGCGCAGATAGGCGCAGCAGCGCTTCGTGCGCGATCACTCAACGGTGGAGGCGGTTTTGTACATGGGCAACACCCGTCTCCACAGCTCCGAGGGGGCGGGCCTGTCTCGTCTTCGCTAGCGAAATCAGTGCCGCAAAAGATACCCGTTCAACAGCTAGGGTTCTCCCTGCCAGATGGCGTGGTCAAGGACAGAGAAGAACGTGCCGCTGTCGAAGCGCTGCTGCGACTTGGCTCCATGTGAGAAATGTGTGAGAAATGTGTGAGAAATGTGTGAGAAATGTGTGAGAAATGTGTTTTCGTGGCTGGTCCATTCAACAACTTCCATCTCTCTTACCCCCCTTTTTTTTCATTTCATTCTCGTATAAAATTTTCGCAACGATTATTGATACATTGCCAGTATACTCGACTGGCTCGACTGGCTTATGATGCATTGGGATCCGGAATCCATTGGGATTTGGTAGGCGTTTTACCCGGAACCTCTATATTGAACATATCCTCTTCTGTTTTTGCATGACGCATCCATCATAGTTATTTATGACTGGGCGCTTCCTTTTTCTTTTGCGCGGGACAGGACACCTGACACGAAACACTTTGCCCGTCATGTTTCATCTAATACCTCTCCACTCATCGCCTTGACGCGACCTACCCTTCATTGTAATTTGCAGTTCTTTCATGTTCCCCGCCGCGAGTCGAAAGCCGGATGCATTTAACATGCAGATTCGCATAGGGGCTTTTGTCCATATCGTTTGGCAGGTACCGAGATTCATGACATTCGAACCTGAGAGCAAGACTCTCGGGGTGTCTTACATATAGAAATTAATCATTTGCCTTGGCATCACGAGCTTTTCCGCTTGACCGTCATACGTAGGAAACTAGTACTGTATAATCCATCTTCCTATCACCTCATCCTTTGTAAGGCGTATGATTGATGATTGATGATTATAACATAGTCCCACCACCAACCTCCGTTAACATGCTCACCGTGACTATATTAATGAAGTCCTAGCCAATAGTCAAACCTAACAAACCATATCCACACCTAGAAAGGCGGAGAGAGAGACAATAAGTAGGAGTATGCATGCAGTACATGGTTATAGGTAGACCGTAGTACGCATCTACTTACCTACATCGAGTTATTGACTATTCATGACCTGTCAAAGCTGTTAGGTCGTGTACGTATGTGTTGTTTTATACCTAATACCTCGAGAGGGTTGATTCTGACTGATCTATCTCTTTTTTTCTCTCGCTCTCACCGACTTCTCATCCCCTGTACTCCGTACTCCGTACAACAAACCTACATCTGTGCGTGCAACCGTTGCAACCATGTAATCGACCTACCAATCGACTGACTGGAGTATTGCTGCACGTATTTAGACACAAGGTAATTTGAATTTTGCTCTACTCTCTTTGGTCTCTAACACTTGTCTCCAATGTTGAATGTCCTTAACGGCGCCTTTGTATCTATTTTCAGTAACATGTACTGTACATTCGTACATAGAACCCATCAAGTAATTCATGCAACCTTTGGTCTAATCCGACCCAGTCCCGTCAAATCCAACATATCCTACTAGAGCTGCCTCCACGTTGGAATTTGAATGGAATGCAATGTCTTCTTATATACCTAACCTAACCTTACCCAACCCATGTAAACCAACGCAGGCCGACCCAGATTTTTATTAGAAACAGAGAGAAAGAGAGAGAGAAACAGACCAACCAACTCACATCCTAAACAAAAAGATCATAAAAAACCCCCAAACACCCATCCATCCACATTCCCAACCCCACGCCTATCAAAACAAAATACCCCCCTAGATAAAAAAAAAAAAAAAAAAAAAAAAAAGCCTACTACATTACCTGTACGTCTACTCAAACCCGATCATACACAACATCACTTATCATGAGCATCATTAATCCGTCTCCAAACCTCAGCCTCGACCTCCGCTAGTTTACTCCCCGCACTGGAAACCCACGACCGGGCGCTTTCCATGAAACCAGACACGGAAGAACTACCTTCGTCGGCGTCGACCATCCCCGTGCTGCCGGGATGGTGGTGTAGCGGGAGGCTGCTGGAGACGGGCGTAGGAGCTTGGTAGACGGATGCGTAAGGGGTGGTCGTGGCGTTGGGGGATTGTTGGAGATGAGATGGGTAGGTGGTAGGAGTAGTGTTGTTAGCAGCAGCGGTAGGAGGAGGAGGATAGCTGTTCATGTAACTGTGGGTACTACTGGCGCTGTTGTGGAGAGGAGGTGCTATGGGTGCCGCCGTGGGTGTTGGTAGAGGGACACCGCCGGGCTGCGGATTTGGCGGTCCATCGCCGGCTTTAGGGGGTGGAGGAATCGCTGAAGGCTGCCCATGCCCTCCTTGACTAGGGGAAGATGTAGGGTTTGTCGAGGAGTCGATAGGATATATAGGTAGCGGTTCGGGTTGAGCGCCGGGCCGGGGAGCGGGAGGCGAGGTGCTGCTGCTGCTGGTGGTCGGGTCGGTGGTTTTGGTGGGTTGGAGTGTTGGCTCTTCCGGTGCTGGGATTCCCGTTGGAGCTGGAACTGAAGGTAGGCTTCCTGGTTGAGCGGTGGGGATGGATTGAGATGGTGCGGAGGTAGTTGCAGCTGATGTGGAGGGTGGGAGATGCTGTTGGTGCTGCTCGTTCTGGGGATCGGATGGCGATGTCGATAGAGAAGTCGGAGTACGAGTCGCTTCACCCGGAGTGGAAGACATGTTGAAAAGATGTAATACTCAACTGAAATTTAAATTGGAATCAGAATGATATCTCGATCGAGGGAGCAAATACAGTACACCCTAAGGGAGCTCCCAGGAAGCTTCACCTTCAAAGGAAAATGAAGACGTCATCGCATGCACGTGACAAAGAGGCCATGTGATCGTGAAAATTTTTCTACGCAAAAAAAAACAAATCCCAAAAACACGAGGATTCGATTTCGTACGGGTCAAGAAGTACAGTTGGAAAAGAAAAAAAAGAAAATAAGCTTGCAGGCAGTAAAATACAACTGGTACAAGAGGAAATATCACACTCTATGCGCAAGACTTTTTTACCACTACCACTCTTCTTGACGCATATCTCTAATAGTTCTTCCTCATCATTACCAGTCACCTGGCAGTTACGCCAAATGATGGTCACCCCCTTTCCCCAAATGATTCACGTTGACGTGACGCGAATTGAACTAAATCAATCGCTTATTTGTACTTCTTTCCGAAGAGGAGGAGCTGGGCCTGGTCGTAGATGGACAGGACACCGGCACCGGCGACACCACGGAGGATGTTAGCACCGGCACCCTTGAAGAGGGAAGCGGTACCCTCCTTGGCGACGATCTGGCGGAAAGCGTCGAAGGAAGAGTTGTACTTGACGGCCTGTAGAGAGATCAATGTCCGCTCGTTGCGATTGGAATAGGGGTTTAAAAAGTTTTACTTACCTCACCGGAGGTCATCATCATACGACGACGGACGGTGTCAAGAGGGTAGGAGGCGATACCGGCACCGGTGGTGACAGTCCAGCCGAGCAGGAAGGAAGCCAGGAAGTTGTTCTCGAGGGAGCCGGTAAGGAGGACGGGCTTGACGGAGTCGTACATACCGAAGTACAGACCACGGTAGACAACGATTCCGAGAACGGAGGGACCGAAACCACGGTAGAGACCGGCAATACCGTCGGAGGCGAGGGTCTTCTTGTAGACGTCAACGAGACCGTTGAACTGACGGTCACCACCGCCCTTGGCGGACTTGGCGTCGTTGGCAAGACGGGTACGGGCGTAGTCGAGAGAGTAGACGAAAGCGAGGGAAGTGGCACCAGCGGCCTGGATTCAGAGTTAGACATCTGGAGATTGAAAGGATCTGGAATACATACACCACCGGAGGCAAGGTTACCCATCATCCACTTGGCGTATCCATCACGGTCCTTCTTGTAGGAGAACATGGACTTGTAGGTGTCACGGAAGGCAAAGTTGAGAGCCTGGGTAGGGAAGTAACGGATGACGTTGGCAGTGTTACCTCTCCACAGGGAGACGACACCCTCGGAGGCGGCGGTACGACGGAAGCAGTCGGTGATACCGTTGTACTTGCGGTCGAGACGACCGGCGCGAAGCATCTCATCCTAAAGGGAGGCTGGATTAGAATCTGCTTACGGTAGGAAACCTCCAAGAAAGGGGCTGAAAATTTTTTCGCGACGAGCCATTTCCGGTAAAAGCCGGTCGTCGACCACGAAAATCACGTCGAATGGCTCGTCATTCGAAAGATTTTGCAATCACCCCCTTTCACCATTGAGTATAGGTAAAACCATACCTGGTTCTGGATGAGGAGCTTGATACGCTCGATGGGGGCGGCAGCAGTCTTGGAGACAGCAGCGGAAACACCACCCACTAGAATGGTCAGTTAGTTGGCACGATCGTAAACAGGACAAAAGCTGATTTCGCCTTTCAGATGTCGATCGATTGCGAAAGGCACATCGACCGAACACCTGTTCATTGGATGGACATACTCAGGAAGTCAACGACGAATCCCTGAAGAAAAATCTGTTAGTCGAACATTCCCCCAACAACCTATTGCCAGATCCGAAAATTCCCAGCTTCACGCTCCCATCTACAACCATAACATCAAGAATTTGCATCCTCGAAAGATTCCAAAGACTCGACATGGGTCGAACAGGGCGCGTGACCTAAGATCCCGGACTGGCGACGAGGGCGAGCAGCAACTTACGGGCATACCCAGGACCGACTTCTCGGCCTGGTTAACGTCACCCTTGGCCATGATGACGGCTGTGAAGAACAAGAACTAAAAGAAACAAAAAGAGAGGAGATGGATTGATGATAGTGTCAAGAAAACAGGACACTTCAAAAGGGATGGGGAAGAAAGAAAGAGAGAAGAGAGAAGGGGAAGGGGAGAAAAAATAGCGAGGGAAGGGCTCTTGTAAGCGGGAAGAAGCGAGCGGAGACGCTAAGACCTTTTAGTTTGAGTTTTCCTGGCCTGAAATTTTTTTTTATTGCAGGCAAAAAAAGAAAAAAGGAAAAAAAACCGGACCCGGCGCTAATGCTGGCCCAGGCAACGAGAGCCGATATCTCCCGATTGCTCCCAGAAAATGCCTTCCCGACGACGCAGAGTCGGGCAGAGGAATTTGGATATGGAGTATCCTGTTAACAATTGGAATAATCGATGAAGACTACAGAGGAGTATAACTATGCGTGTAGTAAAATTCAGCAAGAATTCTAATTCAACATTAACTACTCTGTACCAGTTTCCAACTACAAAACCTCTGTTTCTCTTCGCATGCAATTCCAACCCCCATCCCTTGAATACGGAACTGAATACTCCGTCCGCCTTGGTTCTCCCCCCCCGGCTTGACCGAACCAGCGCTGGAGCCTCGACGTCTCCGCCCACACGCGCACCCACCGCGACTGGACTGGACTGGACACCTCTCTTCTTCTTCTGCTGCTGCCGCGGCGACAGACTCGGGGAAATCTCTCCTTTCTTCCAGACATTCAATTCTCTGGTCCCGAGTATCCGATGGCAAATTTGGACTTCTTCTGACTGGTTCGCCGTCACTTTGTCTTCCTCGAACTTACCCAGAATAGTTAGCTCTCTATTCCATATTGTGGTTAATTTGATTTCTGAATGAGAAAAAAAAATCGAAAATAAAAACCTGTCAATCATAAGAGCCAGAAACAATGAAAGATGGATTAGAATTAGACTGGGGCATGGACAATAACAATCAAAAAAAAAATAAAAATAAACATGATGCATTCGATAATACGGCGGCGTAATGGGATTTCCACAATTCCTGGCTGGTGTCGGCTCTTTCGGCTGTCCTTCCCTCCAAGTCTCCTCTGGGTCTGCTTCCGGCACTCCCGCCTTGCCGCTTTAACGGGGAAGTGTGACACGTGATTGCAACCCTCCCTTGGACTAGTTGCTCTCCAATATATATTTCGTTTGGCGGATTTAATTCTTCTGCATAGAATCGTCCATTGCAGACAATACTCACATGCTCTGATTAGCTTGTAGAATTTACCTATTGTTTCGATTTTCTACGCAATGTAAGACCAAATAGACAAGAAAGATGATTGGATCTCAAGCATTTCATTATAGACATTCCAAACCGCACTTCTTTACAACAACCTAGATGCATGAATGGAATATAACAGCCCTCTCGTACTTAGTTCTTCTTGGACCTCTTTCTCTTCTTCTTTCGTGGTTTCCCTTCGCGGATATCAACGTTGTCGCCATCGGCGGCATCGTCTTTCTCGGCGACCTTCTCACCACCGAAGGAGAACTCGGGCCCATCTTCGTTACCAAAGGTATCCTTGCGCCATTGCCTCAATCGAGCCTTCTTGCCCAGTTTCCTCTGGTCCTTGCTCTTCTTTTCTTCGTCGCGGAATGATGCAAGCTTCTTCAGACCGGCGAACTGATTGAGTTGGGTGTCGTCAGCCATCAGGATGTCCCGTGCCGTCAATCCGAAGCTCTGGGGAGATGTTTCTCTATAGCGGAAATGTCCAGTGTTCTTCTTGCTTGCACCCGGAAGAAGGGCCACGTCAAGGTCCAAATTGCGGTCGACAGCCTCATCGATACGAAGCCGATCCTTGCGAGCCTCACGCTTCTGATCCCTTTTCTCCTGTGCTTTGCTCTTCTTGCTCTTGGAAGCGCCTTCGCCGGCGTCGTCGGCATCCTCCATCTCAGCATCCGATGCGGGGTTTCCTTCGTCGTCTTCGAAATCAGGGACAAGATCAGTGATGTCGATATCATCATCCCATGTCGGCTTCTTGGGGTGTTTTTTCTTGCCCTCGCCGTCGTCGCCCTCCGCGTAGTATTCTTCGCCGAAGTTCTTCTGCATTTCCTTCTCCCAATCCTTGTCATCCCAAGCGCCATCCAAGAACTTAGCCCAGTCCTCGTCGGTAAATTGAGATGCGCGAAGCCCTGCTACCTCCTTGACCTTGTTGACCTTTTCTTGGAGTTCTTCTGTTTTGAGTTTGCGCAACCGGTTCTTTTCGGTCTCCCGCTGTTTCTTCTCCTCCTCCTTTCTTTGGCGTTCAGCATCTCTGATCTTCTTTCTGCCACTCTTATCATCCCGACGAACGGATTGTTGGTTGGTTGCGTCACGAGAGTGAGTGATCAGCTGGGTATTGATCTTGCTAGGGTCCTCGAAGCGGAAATTGTATGCCTCCTCGAAAGCCTCCGCCCGCGCATCTTCCTCCTCGTCGTCCGATTCGAAAGGTTGCAGGTTTGTTCTGTCAGCCGGTATCCAAGCCCTTGCAGAAAGGAAATTTGACAAGAAGGTTTCCGGGTCTTTGTCCGCGTTCTCAAGGTCGAGCTTGTTGGTTTTCTTGGATTCGGGGGCTGGCTCCTGTACTGACTTCCGCACGAGGAGGTCTTCATCCTCTGCGTCATTAGAAGAGTGATCTTCATCGTCGGCCGCGGCGTGCATTTGCTGGACAATCGATTTCTTCAGGTCTGCTTGCTCCTGGGCATATGACTTAGGCGCATCGGAGGTGTCATCCTCTGGTAGGAGATTGCCACTCAACAGGTTCTCCCGGTGGTAATCTCGAAGGGTCATTGGTTTCTCTTTCTTCTTCTCCCCATCCTCTGGCTTAGCATTTGCATCTTCTTCAGCGTAGAATTGGACGTCCTTGTCGTAAACTCGGGGGTCCTTTGATCGAATCGCTTTCAGGGTTGCCATAATCTCTTGGTCAAGCGCGGCAGTTGCCAGCTCTCCATCTTCGTCTTCCTCTTCGGATGACGACTCATCTTCCGAGTCCAATCCATCTCCGCGTTGCGCTAGCTTTGCTTCCACTATAGATGGCGGAGTACAAGTCAGCGTGCCATCATTCATACAGCCTGCATGAAAATATTAACAAGCACTCACGTTTCATGATTTCCTCCCGTTTCTTGTTATGCTCAAATCGACGGGCATAGTCTTCGTTGATCTTGAAATTGAAGCCATCGGCCTGGTTGTTGATTGCAACTCCGCCAGACTCATCTCCAGTGTCGCTGGAGCTGTCATCATCAAGGAGCTTGCGCGACTTTTTAGCTGGAGGCTCCATAGCTGCTGTGAAAAACAAAATGCACAACCTAATTTAATGGTAGTGCCTTTGCGTAGGAAACCGAGTAGTATCTGCGCTTTCTTCTTAGAAAGAAAAAAAAAAAAGGCAGTGACTGGCAGAAAAAATTGCCCGCCTTCACCGCCAGACCAGACCCGACGGTGTTGCCTGAGAAACTAGGCTTCAAGACAAGTCACTGACGTAGCCAATTAGATCATGCGCGGGCCTGGTCGAGTCCCCGTATGGCTCGAGGCCGGGCGTTGAAAGCTTCCTGGTTCATGATCCTCTCTCCTTATCTGACATATCTCACTGCCTGCTTTCGATTCTCCTTATTCTTCTTTTCTTATTCAATTCGTGCTCCCTAGTTGGTTTTCTCTCTGTCATTACCCCTTGTTCGCGTCAGTGTATGGCCGGAGACATACACTAGATGTCGACTCAGCCGCAGAAGCCATTACCCCAGGTTGGGAAGCTTGTCAGCGTGGTGTAAGTCGCTCGAATGATTGTCCTCTACGGAATGACTAGGGGAAGTGCTTGACTCTGACATTTACGTACAGTCCAGTAGGTTTAAAGGAGGCTGCCCTCGATTCGCCGACATTCCGTGCCACCACACTCCACTTCTCCGATCAGATTGAATTCCTCGAAAGATGGCTCGATGGGTACGCGAAGGCCGCATCCAAGCTCTCGATGGAGCTTGCGGCTATGGAGGGAATAGTGAACACGTTTCTATCCTACTCTATGAACCCTTTGATGGTCTCCGAAGCCGTCCTCGACCATGATTACACACTGTTGTCGATGAGAAGGAGCGGTGACAGCTCGAGGGATCTATGGAACGGGTTGGTGTCCACCACCAAACGGATAGAATCGCTCGTTTCGGAGCCTATCAGAGTTTTCATACAGGAAGATTTGCGGAATTTCAAGGTAAACTGACAAGTGTCATGCTTACAATATACGCCCGTCAAAGTCTTACCCCACTATAGGAGACCCGCCGCGTGCTCGACCAGGCGCAAAAACATTACGATTACCTACAGTCCCGATATGCATCGCAGTCGAAATCGAAAGAACCCTCGTCCCTAAGAGAAGATGCCTTCCAACTCCATGAGGCCCGCAAGGCGTACCTCAAAGCGTCGATGGACTTTTCGGTCCAGGCTCCTCAAGTCCGAAACAGTCTCGACAGGTTGTTGGTCCGAGTGTCCTTCGATCAATGGCGGGAGTTCAAGACCTTCCATAATAACAATGGCTCGACATTCACGAAATGGGGCCAAGAGATGGATCGTATCAAAGGTTGGATTCATGAAATGGAGGGGAGCGAGAAGTCCTCCAGGCGGGAGCTTCTGTCTGCCAGGAAACAGATCGAGGAAGCGGCGGAGGTGGCCGTAAGGCCGTCGCGTGAGCTGGAGGACTACTCGATCTCGACCGTACCCTATCTTGGATCCCGCCCTTTGTCGACACTCGAGATGACGACGGAGGCTAGGCCGGAGAAGCAAGGGTGGGTGAATCTGCGCACTCTCTCGGGCAAGCCCACACGCACAATCTGGGTCAAACGATGGGTTTTCTTGAAGAATGGAATCTTTGGCTGTCTTGTACAAGGAGCCCGCACTGGTGGAGTTGAGGAAAGTGAGAGAATAGGTGTCCTCCTCTGCAGCATTCGTCCGGCCTTCCAGGAGGAGCGCCGCTTTTGCTTCGAGGTGAAGACTAAGAGCAACACCATCGTGCTTCAGGCAGAGACGCAGAAAGAACTCATGGAATGGATTGCGGCTTTTGAAGCCGCGAAGCGAAAGGCTCTAGAGCGCCCAGCGAGCTCCGATCCCTCACTTTCCGGCAAAGACACGATTCAAGATCCTGCTTTTGCCATCTCGCCTCCTCCGGCCCCCGAATTCGCCGCTGACCCGGCTGACTCGCTCACCCCACACTCAAGCGAGGAGCAAGGCTCATCCGAGCGGAGTGGAATGCTTCCTCTTCCAGACCGAGACCCAAATGCTCTCCGGAATAGCAGCGACTTTGGCGCGTACCGGCGCTTGACCTCCCTGGAACCCGAAAGCTCGGCAAGGGAGCACACCTCGCGTATCATTCAGAAACTGGATCTCCATCGCAAGTCCAACACGGTGCAACCCTCCAACTCTATACCCGGAGCTGGGGGTGGCATAGCAAGCCTGATCTCCGCCAGTCACACCGCTCTTGGCTCAGGTACTGCTACCCCATACGGCTCTCCGGAGAATGATTTCAACAGGGGCAACGAATCTCCTACAACCCTGGCACCACCGACGCTGGCCAACCCTCCGGCTCCTACTAGCATGAGCAAAGCAGCCGTGATTGTTAGCAATGAAAGGGGACTTGGGTTAGGTCAGGCCGACAAAACGGGCGGCATGCCTAGCGGCATGATGGCAAACTTGTGGGGAAGTTCCAACTGGGGGTTCGTAAATCGACTGGAACGAGAAAAATTGGGGCTCTCGGAAACGCATCAGGACACGGACTCTGGGCACACTCTAACGTCACCAGTTAGTGATTCATCAAAACAGAACGATAAACCCGCCGGTGGTCCAACCCCCGCTAAACCATCGGCTCCAGGTCCTCGTCATCGACAGACAATGAGTCTTGATGGAAGTCCAGCCAAGATACAGCAGGCAATCATGGGGGTTACTCATGAGTATCCCAGCTACTACCCGCAGCAGCTCAAAATCCAGGATTCTCAATTCCGACTTTTGTTCCCCAATGTCAAAAGAGAGGAAGCCCTGGTCATGGTGTTCCGGGCTACGTGGAATCCAAACGATCAGCAAGAGTTCCCTGGAAGAGCCTATGTGACTACGCGTGATATATACTTCTATAGTCACTACTATGGGCTGGTATTGACCACCAGTGTTTCTCTGGAAAGCATCAAAGAAGTCACTGCGGCTCCTGGGAGAGACTGCGACTTCTTGTTCCTTCATACCATCCCACCTCCTGGCGAAGACACTCCCGGCCGAGTCACAGTCAAGACATTCCTTGAGCCGCTGAAGCTTCTTCAAAGGCGTCTGAATTTCCTGATCAACGATTCCACAGCCGTCGAGCCACTTGGTTTGGAAGCCATCTTCAAGGCCCTCACCAAAATGGAGACGGATGCTTTGACTCGGACTCCCAGTGTAGACAGCTGGGAGGATGTGGCTGGCGCAGAAGACAAGTTAGCCGACAGTGAAGGCACTACCGATCAGCGCCCCGGAAGAGACTTCCGGGCTCCAATCTACATTGACAAGGATTTGGACATACACTCCAAGAAGGCTATCAACGGCAAGGACGTGCCGAGGTTCAGGCTGCCTACTCAGCCCGTACAATATGTTCCCCAAGGGAATTTACACCTAGCAGCTGAGAAGGAGTTTGATATCAGTCCCAAGGCGATTTTCCATATTCTCTTCGGGGACAAGAGTGCAGTCTGGCAACTCCTCTTGCATCAGAGAAAAGCACAAGGTAGGGTACCACCTCGACCCGAAGCACCGCAAACTGTAGTTAACAAGATCATAAGACATCAAACAAGGCCCTTGGACCAGAAATGAAGCGCGCAACTTACGGCGAGACTTGCATTATCAAATTGAGACAACCGATATCTTAGGTACGTATTCTCAGGTACCGAGTTTGTTTTCCACAGGTCTGACATCATCCAGGACGGTCCCAGGCCAAAGAGATCTCCGATTATCAATTGATCGATGTCCTCAATGATCACCTCTGCTATGTGGTCACGGATAAACGAACTCCATGGCACCTGCCCTTCAAGCGGTCGTTCAGGCTGGTCAGCAAAATCGTCGTCACCTTCATGGCTAAAGGGAAGAGTAAACTTTCCATCTATACAAAGGTGGAATGGCTGTGGTCACCCTACGGTCTGCAGAGTGAGTGTTCACCTTAGTGACATGGTTTCTTGAGACAACGAAAGTTAACAATCCCTAGGCGTCATTGACAAACAAGCCACCGGTGATCTAGAACAGGATGCCTTGGATCTACTAGACTTGGTTGGTGACCAGGTGCGCAGACTCGGAGCTCACAGTCGAACCAAGAAGGCCATTACCATCTTCGGCCACGTCGGACGCCAGAGCTCTGTATCGCAGTTCTCCGGCCAACCAGATTTCAAGATCGAGCCTCGCAAGCCTCGAACTCAAAGAACGCTCGTGCAACTACTCTTCGAGATCTTTGTCTCTTTCCTCGAGAGCGCCATTTCATCTGTGATGCTGTGGACGTTTGCTCTCCTGCGGTGGGTATGGAAGGTTACGAGTGCGCACAAGGTCATCCTTCTGTTACTAGTATCAAGCGTGTTTATGAACGGACTCTACACGTCGCAAGAGGCCTATGAGTGGTGGCATGATCGAAACGCCGAAAAATTCATGGCCCGTCTAGGCGTCCACCCGGATCAGGTCATGAGCAAAGCTATCTACATGAGAGATATCGACGATGCACTTGCAAACACAACAATTGGACAAAACAGCAATAACGCAAGCGAGTGCTTTGCTACTTTCCACCAGCAAACACTAGGCGGCGAAGGGGCCTCGCGCTCCCTCGGTACTTCGAGTCCGAAAGACTCCATGACCAAGAGCGCTGCTCGACGACTTCAGCAGACTCGTGAACGACTAGCCTTGTATCGCCACAATCTCTTGGTGGCTCTCCGCGTGGTCAACAGTATTGAGAAGGAAGTCATCGAGAACGAATGGGAACGCTGGCTCCGACAAGAGCTGCGGCGGTGCCGTCAGGTGGAAGTTCTTCTCGGCAAGTCCAAAGCTGGCGACGAGGCCGATCTGCAGGCAGACCGCATGGGCCAGACCATCTTTGCCGGCCTCTCCGGCGATGTCAGACAATGGTATGACCAATACTGCACGAGTTGCCAGCGGGAACAGGAACAACTCATTGGCGACCAGCGGATATCGGAGGTTTCTTAGGCAGGCGGCGGAGGATGTATGTGCCGGTTTGATTTCTCTTGCTTGGGATTTTGTTGAACGATACCCCGGTTGAAATTGGTTTCTTTTGAGGGGAACCGCATTGTATATTCCTCCCAGCGTGAATAGTTTTGGTTGCATCGCATTTCCAATAATTCAATCCAAGGAGCAGTTCACACCAGAGTAACACCGCTCAGTGACGCAGAAATCAGCACCACCGGCTTAATTAGCGCCACTGAACTGTCCGTCGACAGCGACAGCAACAACCGATTAATTCTGTCGGGGCTTGACGGCGCCCTCCTGGACGACATAGTAGACCACGGTGCCGTCACCACCCATGCTCTTATCCACCATAGCCAAAAGCAGCCTCTTTGTCCCCCACTCCCCAGTCTGACGAGCCTTCTGCCTATAGTCGTAATACTCAGCCAATTGTGCGGCCTTGTCCCCGTTCTGCGACCCAGCACGCTCCTCGCTATCGTCCCCTAGAGCTGCCGCCGCCGCCGCCGCCTCCTCTTGAGCCGTGTCAGAGTCAGGAAGCGAGTCAAACACCGCCGCCAGCTTGCGCAGACTCCACGACTGCCCATGCACAGTGGGGAGCACGAACATGCGCTCCAGCTCGACGTCGTCCTCGCGCAGGCCCTTCTGCAGCATGTACAGCTGCTCGTCGGGGTGGGTGTAGACGCGGTGCGGGGGGATTCCGGAGATCAGGAACAGGGTCGAGGATGCATCCTGTGTCGAGGCGGGGATTGGGATATCGTGCACTTTCAGCGATGTCCAGAGATGCTGGTGTTGGAGGTTGTGGAGGATTTGGATGGTGCTTGCGGAGAGCGGATTGGGAGAGGCAGAGGCGGCGATGAGGGATGTGAGCGCGGAAGGCTTGGGTATGGCAGGGGAGGATGAAGCTGGAGATGATGCTGTCATGGTGGGAGTTTCTAGATTGTCTTGTGTACTGTCTGTATCTGGTCTTAGTGTGAGGTATATGATTGAATGGTCCGTGGCAGGAGAGGAATGTCCGAACGGAGCAAAGGAAGGGTGGAAGGGAAAAAAAGTCGAGGTGGGGAGGGAAATGGAGAATTCCGCGGTCTGCGGAAGGAGAAGAACACATGGCATCATCCGCCTGTTGCACTCCTTAAATTCTCTCATCTCCCCGTCGTCTCAGTCCACTTTGCGCTTCACTCTTTCCAGTCGTCCGTTGTACATTCCTGCCTGACATATTTGCTCTCACTCTCGTCGTTCCCTCTCTCAATATACACCCTCGTTCATGATGGCGCGCCAGAAACAAGCCACTCCTTTACAACGCGCGACTTCCTCGGAGATCATGCACGCGCATTCTGGAGATGCCGATGCGCAAGTCAAACAGAATGGCAGCGCAAAAGCGTCTTCTGGGGCCAATGGAACTGCATCGGCGAAGGACTTCTCTGCAGAAGTTCCTCCCGGTTTGGCGCAACTCGCGATCTGCGTCCTTGGAATCTATGCTTCATTGTAGGTGTCCTCGTTTAGATTCAACAATATTCAGAGAAACTATCTGACCAATGACTCAAACAGCCTTTCCTGGGGAGTTTTGCAAGAAGCGATTACCACAGTGTCTTATCCCGTTCGTCCTTCCACTGCTGATGAACTGGAGCCTCCCACGGAGCGCTTCACCTTCTCGATCGTTTTGAACACCATCCAGTCGACCTTCGCGGCCATCACCGGCTTCCTCTACCTGTACTTCTCGACGCCGAAAGGCCAGAAAGTGCCCTCGATCTTCCCGACGCGCAAAATCCTGTTTCCTCTGCTTCTCGTCAGCATCTCGTCCTCCCTCGCCTCGCCTTTCGGATACGCCAGTCTGGCGCATATCGACTACCTGACCTTCATTCTGGCCAAGTCCTGCAAACTGCTACCTGTGATGTTCCTGCACTTGACCATCTTCCGCAAGCGCTACCCTCTCTACAAATACGGCGTCGTCCTCCTGGTCACCATCGGCGTCGCAACCTTCACTCTGCACCACCCAGGAACGAGCAAGAAGGTAGCCGCGTCCGCCGAGAAGGGCTCCGGCTCGTCCACGTGGGGGATCTTTCTCTTGTCGATCAACCTGCTGCTCGACGGCCTCACCAACACCACGCAAGATCACGTCTTCAGCTCCCCGCAGCACTACACCCGCTTCACCGGTCCCCAGATGATGGTGGCCCAGAACGTCCTCTCCACGCTCCTCACCTCCCTCTACCTCCTCATCATGCCGCACCTCTCCTCCACCGGCCTCCTGCATAACCTTCTCCCCATGCCCATCCCGCCGTCCACGGAGGCCGAGCTCACCAACGCCATCGCCTTCCTGTCCCGTCATCCGGAGGCCCTCAAGAACGTGATCGGTTTCGCGGCCTGCGGCGCCATCGGCCAGCTGTTCATCTTCTACACCCTGTCGCGCTTCTCGTCGCTGCTTCTCGTGACGGTGACCGTCACGCGGAAAATGCTCACGATGCTCCTGAGTGTGTTCTGGTTCGGGCACTCCCTGTCTGGCGGGCAGTGGCTGGGCGTGTTCCTGGTCTTCGGGGGCGTGGGCGCCGAAGCCGTGGTGCAGAGACAGGAGAAGAAGGCGAAGGAGTTGGCGAAGTCAGGGAAGAAGGCATAGATAGATTGTTTTGGTTTATATTTTCTTTTTTGTTGTATGTACATAGTTCGATAGATTATTGATTGTATTTTTTTTTTCTTTCTGATCTTTCCCCCCTTTATATATGCAGGAGGTTTTGATATCAAAGATTACCATCCACGATCATCACTATAGACAGGATAGGATTGTTCACTTCCTCCCCTCAACCATAATAATATGATACCCGAACCCCGTCTTCACATCCACATACTTCGGATTCCCCGTCGTGCTCGGCTCCAACTCATACGCCGCCTTCTCAAAGCTCGCGTCCAGACTACCACGTACTTTCCAACCCAGGGAACCGCCTACAGAACCAAAGAAAGGGCATGTGTTAGCGGGCATTGTCTTGCCATATGACATATGGGGTAGTAAGGTAGGTAGGTAGGTAGGTAGGTAGGGTCTGTATACCTTGTCGGGCTTTATCTTCGGAGAACTCGCGCGCCACGTCGTCGAATTTCGCGCCGCCGCGCAACTTCTCTAGCGCTTCTTCTTTTTTGGAGAATTTTTCGCACTGTGGAGTTTAGTGGTTAGCTTTCGTTTCGTCCTTGGGGGGGTCAAGAGATCTGATGTGTATGTCGGTGGATGTGTGCAAGGAGGTAGGTAGGTAGGTAGGTTAAGCGGGTTTGTGATTGATCGGATATATATATGCTGTGTATAAACAGAGGGCATTCATTCAATATCCCAAACTTACCACCTACCATCAAGCATACACATAACAATACGGATAGATATACAAAGCAACAAACAACCCTCAAACAACAATTAAACTCAACGCAAAAGAAAACCCACATACCAAAATATGCCGCACGTTAATCGAAGTCGCAGGCTTCAAGCCCTTCTTATTATCGCCCCCGTCAGCAGCATCTTTGCCCTTTCCTTTCTTATCACCGCCTTTGTTGTTCTTAGGGGCCATTGCGATGTTATAGCTTCTAGAAATCCGAAAAAAACGAGGAAGGGTGCGCGCGCAGAGAGATAGCTGCAAGAATTAGTTACCCCTCCGGGAACAGCGACGGGTAGTAACGTGATATGAAATGAAGTCATGTGGGGCTGGACTGCCTGAGGCAGGAAGTTGTTTCGTCTTGTCTCTCTGATTGCTACCTACGAGCCTACGACGTAAGTGAGGAGGAGAATTGCATTCCAGTTGTTGTTTCAACTTCGACTCCAACTCCTACTCTTACGTCTACTTCATGCATCTGCATCTACGTCTGCGTCGATCGATCTGCATCTGTCAGAGTCCGTTATTCGCATTCGCATTCAGCACGGAGAAACTACTGTACAGTGCATGCCATGCAACGTGATGGATGATCTCCTCGGGGCTAGGATCACCTCCTTACCGGAGGATGCGTTCTACATAGCGGATTTCATAACGGCAGAGGAAGAGGAGACGTTGTTGCAGAGGGTAAGTTTATTCTTCTTCCTTTCAGTTACTGAATTGATATACTCTATTCTGTTCTATTCGATGCAAACTTCATTCCCATTGCTCGGGATAACCATGCCTACGACAGATAACTACGGCGCCTCTCCCCCGATGGACTCACCTCTCGCATCGTCGTCTGCAGACCTGGCCATCCGCCCTGACCAAATCCAATACGCTGCTTTCGGCACCCCTTCCATCGTGGCTCGTTTCCCCGATCATCACCCCTCGCTTCGACTCGCTGGGAATCTTTGCCGACGCCCCGCACCGCGCCCCTAACCATGTCTTGGTGAACGAGTATCGTCCCGGCCAGGGCATCATGCCGCATGAGGACGGTGCCGCTTACTACCCCCTCGTAGCGACGGTAAGTCTGGGAGCATCCATCGTCCTGGATCTATATCCCAAGGGCCAGCAGCGCGGCAGAGGGGACGATAGCGACGGTGATCAACGACCGCAATATCGGATTTTGCAGGAGAGACGGAGTTTGTTGATTACAAGGAAGAAGATCTACACGGAATTTCTGCACGGGATCGCAGAGACGAGCAAGGATGAATGCCTGGATGCAGACTCGATCTGTAACTGGGATTTGCTGCGGGAACCGGACCGGTACCGATGTGGGTGGGCGGAGCGAGAGACCCGGATCAGCCTGACATATCGAGATGTTCTCAAGGTCGCCAAAGTGGGAAATACGATGAAATTCCTCGGGGGGCGGTGACGTATGCAGTTTTCCTTTTTGAAGGGAAACGAAACCTGGCAGTGTGGGTTGGACAACGCAGCTGCACAAGCCCGTGCAGTTATTTTTTAACCTCCCCAATCGACGACAGCCATTAGTACACCACCGGAATCATGTTCCATTTTCCCCGCACAGACTCCTCGCCAAATTTCTGCGCATACCACTTTCGGCTGGTTCCGGCAGTGACACCTAGGTTGATGGCGACAAACGCCAGCGCTGATAGAAGGGTCTTGTTAACCCATTCTCCCGAAGGGGCGGCTAGCAGTGCCAACGACAAATAGATGGCACATTCTGCAGTGTAATGCGGACACACAACCCTGCTGAACAGCGGATGAGCGGGGACGGTGTACTTCTTGAGTGAGAAGAGGTAGTAGTGACAGTCATGCTGGAGACCCGACGCGAAAAGGAAGAGTGGCAGACAGAGAAAGGTGCGGAGAGAAGGTACGTTGGTGATTTTGATATGGTCGAGGGTGTACTCGTGAGCCAGCAGAGTGCCTATATTTAGCGAAAAAACAATTAATTCAAGGCAACTCCTCTCGTGATCATTGAATTCACCCATACGTACCAGTGCCCTCGATCCAAATTGCAACCGACACTGCCACATAAAAAGCAATGCCAACAAGCCAATGGCCGAACCACATTTGAGATGACGATGGCTTCGAGAGTGCCAGGCACTCCACTAGGCGCCTTATACCCTGAACGAGCATCAGCGCCCAGCACAGCAGGATCTGGTTCAAGGACATCACATCCTGCAGGCGTTCCGGGCGGATCCTAGTCGCAACAGCCTGGAAGGCAGCCCCGCGAGACAGGAGCTGCACAGCCCAGAATAGCGACGACAGCACCGACGCAATGTAGAACTGCGTAAAGTAGCCGTGAGGGACCTTCAAGGCGGCGAGGTAGTCGAGAGGGCGTGTGACCGCAGAGCCCCCTGAGGACTTGGAGGGCGAGGAAATCGGATTCGGTGTCGGCTTCGACTCGCCCGTCGAGGTTGCACGGGCGCCATAAGGGACGAAGCGCGAGCGGAGCGATTGCGACAGGCTGACCGACAGGATCTGGAGAGAGGGGAAAGAAAATTGGTTTTAGTCCATTCTAGAAGGATTCGTAGATCCTCGTCTTTCGGACCCAGAGTGGCATCTCCATGCTAACGTGGTGTTATCGATTGTCATACCGTACAGGAAGCGAAGACGAAGAAGGCTCGGAGAGCGTCGACGGCGTCCATGCGAGTGGCCGCCGAAGCCGAGTCGATTAGATCAGAGATCGGATTGATCATGATCGATTGGCGTCATGGACGGGAATTGTGGGTTGGTTCAATGATGAGGGACTTGTTTTGGAAGGCAGGAGAGGAGGAAAGATCATGGCAGGAAATGGATGACAGCATGATTAATTAATGCCCCAGGCCGTCGTCATCATAACAACTGCCAATCACACGGGAGATCTCGAACCCATTCTTGCCCCTCATCCCATCCTGTTTTGTTTATCTCTACCTACACCAGTCTATTTACTCCGTGTATATTATGATTAATTGCGATATTATCCGGAGATTGTCCCTCTGGCCGCGTATCAGTACCGGGGTCTTACAGAGGTTTGTGGGGAAGGCAAAACAGGAAGAGGACAAAAAACAAAAACCACCGAAGATGAGCAGTCATAATTCATAAATCATAAACAAAACAAGCAAAACAAAACAAAACAAAACAGAAACCATGTAAGAATCGGCGTTTGTTTGATCCACCAGGGTCTCGTGAGAAATAAAAAGCCACGGCACTAGTCAAGGACTAAGAGGAGTAGTTGACGGCCTAGTGAAGGGGCAAGCTGGTTATGTCAGCCGTAAACAACGCAGCATTCTGGCCTCCCCGTGCAGATGGCCAACTATGATTCATGACGGCAACCCTACCGGAAGATAAGGATAAAAGATAAAAGTCAAAAAGGGAAAAATAAGACAGCAAAAAGAAAAAGAATAAGATAAAATAAAATAAAATAGAAAAAAAGAAAATCCAAATTAAATTAAAATGCCAGAATCATCACCACCAGCACCACCTCCACCCCACCCCACTTCCAGTTGCCTCGGACGGGCTCTTTCCCTCTCTTTCCTCGACCGGCTGATCCGTCGACGAGTTCCAATAAAACGATGCAATGTGACGATGGGGCGATAAGCTGGATCAACCGCCCATGTTTATTGGTGGCGAGAAAGTCGATCGCCGCAGTCAAAGTGGGGCAGGGCGAAGTCCGTTAGTCCGAAAACGGTTACGGTCATTGGCCAGACCACGGGTCGAGCTGATGCCTAGTCCGAGTTAGGGTAGCCTCGCACTAGACTGTGTACGCAGCTTTTCCAGGGAAAGGAGGTCTCAAGGGCCAGTTTCAGAGAGACGGATCCGCCACTCTTCTGACCGCCCGCTTTTGGGCCTTTGGGGAACGAGGTTGCCTCCTTCTCTTCTTCTCCCCCCCTCTCCTTCTCCTCTTCCATCTGTCCTGCAGGATGGATACGTACCGTCTCCATCCAGAAGGCGTCCGACAGAATGGATGCATCCAAGTAGCCAGATAGACTGGTCGATACCATTCCCCCCGTTCGGTGACTCATCGCCCTCCTAAATAAAGAATTAAAAATTAAATCAATAATAGTAAGAATATTAATCCGGATTCGACTGAAAAGTCGGGCCGTATTGGTCGGTATCGTACCATGTATGACTAACCCGACTAGCGGAGTCGATGCTCCGCTGGTGGCCAAAAAACCGTGGACGGTGGTAATGGACTGGTAACTTACCACTCTGCTCTGCGACTCTCTCTCTCTCCCGTCCAACTCAACCTAACAACGCTGCCTTTTCCTCACCAAATAATGGAACTTTCCCTCCACTAATCTCCCTAACCCCCAGTGAGCATCGGCCGTTTCAATCTCTCGCTTTCTCGCTTTCTCGCTTTACCTTTCTCTCCTCTTCTTTTACCCTCCTTCCTTCACTTCCTCACTCCTAACTCCGTATTCCTCCTCCCTTTGAATTTCTTTCTCCTCGGATCCTCGATTCTACCCTCGATTTCCTATTGACCTTACTATCCTTCCACATTCCTCGTCATCCCTCAATTCCTCTGGATTTACCAACCATCCTAGGCTGTTTCATCACCCGGAATTCTTTCTTTCTCTACTCGTCATTGTCTCTCCGTCTTTGTCCTCCACTTCTACAACCGTGCTCGACTCACTACTGGCTTCGACCCTCTTGCTTTCAATCAGAGTTTACGCTTGAATTCCCCCCCTCGTGAAGCGGCTTGTTACTTCTTCCCTGGTCCCGTCCAGCAATCGAGACTATTAAACTCCCCGTTCATTGCGAGTCTATCCTCGGGCGTGGTCGAGCACCGGCTTTCGCGCAAAACTGCTGGTGTCTTGGACCACGAGTCTATTTGTTCGCCACGGCCCCCGAAAATGACGAGCGGAATCCCCAGAAATCGAGTGCTACCGCTATGAGTGATGTTGAGACTGTCTCCTCCTTGCCAGCTACCCTGGATGCCGGACAAAACGCTCTTGCGGTCAAGGTGAATCACCAGTCTCCTCCCCCGGGCCCTCCATCCCCCAAGAGGACTTCTCCACCCCGGGTTGTCATTGGGAATGGGAAGGTCGGCTCCGTAGGGGAGGTTGATCCTGTTGCAGGGGAGGGCGATGGGCCACCGAGCCCAAAGGCTGATTCGGAGGCAGAAACCATAATACAATCCGGTCGAGAGTCTTTGTCGCCCGAGAAAAGACGAAAATACATAAGACATGAACCGAAACGACGTGATGATGGGAATGATCGAGTGGACGCGGTGGAAAATGACCTTCCCCCTAACGGTTCGCAGGCGAGAAAACACATGAATGGTGATTCCTTCAGCGAACGCGACCGTGAATCGCGCCGTTTGAGCCCGTCGAGAAGAACCAAGTCCCCTCTATCGACGGTAAAATTAGAGAAACCCGAGGATCCGCATTCCGTTCCAAGGAGATCTGAGCCGCCCCCTCCTGCTTTCACGGCACCCAAAATCTCGAGGAAGCGGAGCTTCAGCGAGACAGTCGACATCGAAGCTGGCCCGGGTCGTCACGGTCAATCGGGTTCAGGCCGCGACAGGGAGCGGAAAGATTTGAACGGTGTGGCCTTTGCTCGTCCTGCATCTACCGATCGTTCGATATCTCCCGTCCGGTCGTCTCACAAGCGAACGGCTTCGGGCCAGCAGCTGGGCGGAGGTGATCTGCAGAGGAAGAAGAAGGCCCCCACGCCACTCATCACCGGCTTCCAGAGACAAAGTTCGGAAGATAGACAATCGGTCTCGTCTTCCGCCAGCGGCTCTCCGTTGCCCAGTGCTCAGATTCGCAAACTCGGTTCCGTCGATGGGGCTTCGGCGTCCCCTGCCAGGCCAACAGGTTACAAGAAACAGCGCGATCAGAATGGTCGGACACGTCTGGCGCGCGCCTGCGCGGCCCAAGAATTGGACGTGGCGATAGCTAGACACGCAGAACGCCCAGAGGATCTGAATGTTGCCGACAACGCCGGTAATACTCCCCTGCAGATTGCGGCCCTCGAAGGCAGTGCCCCCATCGTGAAATTCCTTTTGAATGCTGGCTGCGAGATCGACACCAAGAATATCGACAAAGACACCCCGCTGATCGATGCCGTTGAAAATGGACACCTGGATGTTGTCAAGCTTTTACTGGAGGCAGGAGCGAACCCTCGCACCGTCAATGCCGAGGGTGATGAGCCGTACGACCTCGTTCCGTCCGACTCGGACGATTACGAGGAGATCAGACAAGTGCTGGAGGAAGCCAAGGCATCTGTCCGGCCTGGCAGACGCTCGGAGGAGCGCACAGGATCCGAAGCCAAAGAAGGCTCTTCTCGACGCATTTCTGCCGAAAGTGCACGCGATTCACCTCCTGCACACAGGCCGCGCAGCCCTCCGCTCAGCACCACAACCAAGCGCAAGACAGTCAGAAGCGAAGCCACTCGAAACGACTTGCTGTGGACAACCGCTACCCCGGAGAATTTGCAAGCTTTCGCCGCCAAGGGCGATTTCGTTGGGGTCGCCAACATTCTCAACGTGGGCCAGAAGGCAGACACTGAATCCATGATCGCTGCTGCCAAAGGTGGCCATGACGAGGTGGTTTCCCTCCTGCTTGGCATTGGTGATGCGGACCCGGACCCTCCTCCAGTTCAAGACGGCTCTCATAAACCCGGTTATAATACGCCCATGCTCGCTGCGATCGGTCGTGGTAATCTCGAGGTTATCCGAATCTTGCTCAATCAACGACAATTCAACCCTACCCGACGGCTCTACCGGGACCGCACCTATTTCGAGCTCTCTAGAGACCGCAGGGCCGACAACTGGGAGGAAGAATTCGATCTTCTCCGAGATGCGTACGACAACTACAGTAGAGTGAAGAAGCATCGCAAGCCTGACGGCCCATCACCGCGACGACCGCGCGATCGCGATATTGAGAATAGACGCCCCGGGCGTCGTGATTCCTTATCCCCTGTCGCTCGCCCTCGGAAGCCCATCTCGAGCCCAAACCATCGGGATTCCGCTTCCAAGGATATACTGTCGTCTAAGGAGAAACGCCGGGACAACATGGCACATGTCAAGGAGAAATCTACCCACCCCAAACTTTCCCATCGGTCCAGCGATGGGCTATCTAATGGAGCTGACCCTGATGGGCCTCGCGCTGATCCAACTCGACCAAAGCAATCCATACCAGCCAAAGATGGAGACGAGGCACCCAAAAGAAGACGGTTAATTGCCGGACGACCCCCACAAGATCGCGACCGCCGAAGACCTAGTTTGCCATCGTCCGACTCTATTTCGGGGCGGGAGGAGAGTTCCAAACGTGTCACGCATCCCGACAGCAGCAGTGGCAGCAAGTCCGGATTAAAGCGTGGACATGGCAGTGCAAGCCCCGAAAGGCCGCGATCCCGCGATACAGAGCATGAGAAGCATCCCCGGGAGATCCAGAAGAAGAAACGACGGGTGTTGTCTGAAGACGGGACACCCAATCTTGCAAATGGAGGCCTGAAGAAGAGCCAGTCGGTAGTAACAGATCTCAAATCATCTCGCCAGAAGGACGACGACGATCATCACTCCGACCATGGGTTGAACGCGCCACGGGAATCAGATGCACAAGCCCCGAAGCCAGTCGAACGGAAACCCGTTAAAGAAGAGCACGAAAAGCACGAGACCCATGACCTGGATGACATCCCAATGGAGGATCCTGTGAGCGTATCCGAGAAAGCCGAAGCACAGGCGGAAGCGGAAGCCCGGCGACAAAAGGAGGCACGCATCGCGAAGCTGCTTGAGGAGGCGCGCCTTGCGGAAGCCGAAAAAGCTCGTCTGGAGAAGGAAGAGAAAGAGCGGGCAGCTCGTTTGGCTCAAGAGAAGGCAGAGAAGGCTGCGGAGGAGGAGCGCAAGCGGAAAGAGGCCGAAGAACGCCGAGCCAAGCTGGCCGAAGAGGAACGTCAGAAGCGCCTCGAGCAGGAACGAGCTCGGCTTGCCAAACTGCGCAGGGAGCAGGAAGAGCAAGAGCAACGGCGGCGAGACGCTCTACCTAGCAGACTTCGTGCTGCGGCCAATCTGGTTGGGTCCAACGATCCTCAGGCGAGAAGCCACATGTGGTTGAGGAAATTCATGCCCGTGGTGACTGCGGAGACGAAGCAACTGGATCCATCCTGTTCACCCGATGTCGCGGAGGAAAAATGGATACCAAACTATCTAGTGGCACCGATATTAGCGACCAATGACCTGCAACTTTCACAGTATGCCGGCTGGGAGAAGCGCAACGCGACGCCGACTCAGCGAGGAAATCTATGGCGGGTTACCCGACGAATGCTCGTGCAAGCGGATGAGATGGAGTTCTTGAGCTCGTCATTCGGACAAGTCATGCGGAGAGACAGCGAAGCACGTCCCAAATACTTCGACATGGAGCATGTATTCTGGGTTCGGGTATGTACATGACCAATCTACCTGTGAGGCGAAAGATGACCGCTAACTTTTCTCTAAAGCTCTCCGACTTCATGGATCTTGTTCCGCATATTCCCCATCTGCATGGACTGGATATTCAATTCCTAAAGATGCATATTGATCGCGAACCATCGGCGACACCTCCATTTGATCTACCGCAGCCCAATGGGCATGTCTCGGGACCTCTGCCCGTGGAAGAAGGGTTTCCCAACGGAATTCAAGGCCTTACGAACGGCTATGGTCATGCGCGACCAAGTACATACGTCTAATGTTTGATACTGATACTGCATCGTTTGTTACCTGGCGATTTTGAGTACAACTGTACAGGCGGAATTTCCTTGATGTATGACTATGATACCTCAGTTGATGTGATGTGTGACGTTTCCTCGAGTGTTCGGGTATTTGGATAGAGCAAGACTTTGATAGTCTTTCAGTCTAGTCTTGAAATTGTAGTCTTGTTGTAGACATGGAGTATACGTAGTTGCCGCCGGTCTCAACCTCGTTGATCTTGGCTGGAAATCAATTGCCGGCCAATATGAACCGAGTATCTTTGAGTTCGCAGGCAAGAATCACGTGACCCGCTCCACGTGAGCGCCCAGTTACATAAGCCGTAGGGCACACCACCGACGATTTAGGCGAGAAAACCCGCGGACGATTCCACACTCTCGAATTCAGCACTCCAACAACTCAACTCTTTGAGGAAAATCCGACAGGATATACCAATAAGATCATCAAAATGGTACGTTCAACCTGCGCGCTGCATGAACCCGCGCCATCAAAACCCTGAAAACGAATCAATCAATCGCGAAATTCAAAAACCCAAAACCCCAACCAGAATGGCCGCACCAAAAAAGAAAAACAGGAAGACAGTGAACACCCACTAACAACCCATCTACAATGAAACAGTCGGACGGAGAAGAGACCATGTCCAACCCCCCCGTTGCCGCCGACGAGGTCGAGGTTTCGGCCGACGCTGGCGCCGGTGGCCAGATGTCCGTGCTGGACGCTCTGAAGGGCGTTCTCCGCATCTCGCTCATCCACGACGGTCTTGCCCGTGGACTCCGCGAGGCCGCCAAGACCCTGGACCGTCGCCAGGCGCACATGTGTGTGCTCAACGAGGGCTGCGAGGAGGAGGCCTACAAGAAGCTTGTTGTGGCGCTTTGCTCCGAGCACAAGATCCCCCTCATCAAGGTCCCCGATGGAAAGATGCTCGGCGAGTGGGTTGGTCTTTGTATGTTCTTTCCTCCCCTCCCCACCGTCAATTCTTGTTCAGAGAAGAAGAGGAAGGGAATTTGAATAGGTAACTAACGGATTGAAATTACAGGCCAGCTTGACCGTGAGGGCAACGCCCGCAAGGTCGTCAACTGCTCTTGCGTCGTCGTCAAGGACTGGGGTGAGGAGTCCCAGGAGCGTTCCGTCCTCCTGAACTACTTCCAGACCGAGCAGTAAACGTTTTCCCCTCCGAGGAAATGTTTGCCCCCCCTCGGTGTGTGAGGTAGCATGATCAGGACAGAATAAACCAAGCCGGGAAACACCAAACGAAAAGGATAGGAAAAGGGCACTATCGAATCGATTGTGGGTTGTATTTTGGGTAATCGAGATGTGAGGACAGGACTATGTTCGGATCAAAAGCTACCTGGATCCATCCATGATCTTTGATGTCTGATCTTTTCTATTTCTTTTTTGTTCATTTCTCTGCTTTGTTGTTCTGTGTGATCGGATCTATCAAACCACCATCTCATTCTCTCGGGTTTCTTGTCTAGTTTGCTCTAGACGAGGACTTGGGGGATAAATCATCTAAAATACTAAAAAATTCATGAAGTCGAGGAACCAAATTTTTTTCTGCATCCTATTCGTAAGGTTGTAATAGTAAAGAATGAACGTAATCAAATAAGCAAATGGTATCATATTCCAAGTCTTTGATTGCTAAGATACAATTTGAATTCATCAATTGAACTCCATATGAACTGGCCAGAGGATAGATACCTAGGTACTAGATGCCAACTTGTACCAAAGAAACCAAAGTATGTCACGGGCATGTCTTACCAGGAGGGCTAAATTTGAACACAGAAAGAAAAAAAAAGATCCCACCGGCTATGCGAATCGCAAGTGAACAAGCAATCAAATCAATCCAGGTAGTGAAGATCCCACGATCCATTCCCAAACGCCGAAGAACCAAGGATGCTTTAAAGCCAGTGCCAGTTAGCGGAAGCTGTACGACGGCCGGACCATTTTCTTGGTCTCCGGCCGCAGGGAGAGTTGTTGGTACGGGGAACTGCCAGGATCGTAGTAGAGACCTTCGATGTGGCCGCTCTCCCGGTGGAGAGAGATGTAGTAGAATCCAGAAATGGTGAGGCCTTGTCGGGAGTCGGTGGGCGTGATGAAACAGCGTTCTATGTATCGTTAGAGAGAACCCAGAAGAAAGGATGACAGAAGAGAATGAAGCATACCTTTCCATCGCATCAATATCCAACCCTTGGACAATTCCTCAGTAATCCATTTCCGACTGACCAGGTTCCTCGTCATCTCTTCATCCGTGAGCGTTTTGAATGGCTGCAGCTCCCGCCAGTAGGTACTGTCGATCTCGGCGTCGGCTTTGAAGTTCTTCGTTTCTAGCGTGTGTGTGTTAAAGTCGATGATTTCGCCCTCGAGAAAGGTGACGATGTGTGCGTCGTGGGACGGGGAGGTCTTATCGGGGATGTTGTACGCTTCCATCGTCCCCGATAATGTCATCTCTTGCGTGTTGATATTGTGGATGGTGACTTTCACCGGCCAGTTTTCGTCCTTGCCCGTCCCCAGGTTGTAGATGTTGTTGGCTAGGTACCGTCGACCATTCGTTGTGTACACGCTGATGCGATTGTTGTTGGGGTTGTTATTTTCGCCACCTCCGTTGACGACCATGGGATCATGGGATGATGACGAAGGGCTGGGTACTCGTTGACCGAAAATCGAGCTGGCACTGCTGGCAGCCCGCTGAGATCCTGAGAATACCATGCCGGGCCGCAGCCAGGAACACATTGGGGGCGGCGCTATCGAAGCTGTGTCTAGGATAAAGTCATCATGGTCCCAGGGGAGAAAGTCGAGTTGGGCAAAGCCTCCCGCAGCGGCCGAGGTAAGGCTTTCTTCAAACGAGTTGGAGTATCGTAGTCGGTCCAGGTACTTAATCGTCTCCTTGAGGCGGGGACTCGGGGGATTGTCCATGTTGAATTGTCGATGGGCGCTGATGCGAGCGCGCAGGTCACTGTGAGTCAGGAGTCGAGGCGGTTCGCCACGACTGCTGGGTAGGAAGCGATATGCGCGGGATGCGGATGACCGATCTCTGCTCTCCTCTGCGTCCTGAGTGCCTGCTCGTTCGCGATCTAGCAGATAGTTGTGTAGGGTGCGAGTGCGTGAGAAACGAGGTTGTCGTCGTACGGACTGTAACAGGGCTTCCGTCGTCGGGTCATTCCAGCGGTGGGCACCGTTGTTATCCGCAGGGTCGTCGGGCAGGGCGTGTGGACTTCGACCGACGTATTCGCGGCGCGCATGGCGTCTGGAAGCGGCGCTGCGGTCGGAGAGGCGGCCAAACCAGGAGGAAATGGAGTTGGGGTCTTGGAGCGGTTCGTAGGTCAAATCATCGTCGTTGGCGTCGTCGTTAGCGTCATCGTCGTCATCGGAGGCCGGCGCCCAACCGTACAGCGAACGAGGGTTGGAAACCCGACTTTCGTAGTTGGGCATGTTATGACTGTTGCCGTGATGATTCAGATTCGGGTTGCTGCCGGGGGTGGCGTTGGGGGGAGACTCGCGCTGATTGCGCACGATGGGGATGCGACGATTGATTTCGATGGGGGATCGCCTGCGGGCGAGGATGTCCAGATCCATGGGATCCAACTCGGGTTGGGTCTGTTGTCGGCGTCGGTGCTGACGACTGATAGACGAGATGGACGAGGAGGAATCAGGTGGTGAGCGCACACGAGACCGCAGGAAGCTCACGTTATCGTCATGGGCGTCATCGGAGGCGGGCAGCGAGGGGAGTGGGCCGGATAGTTCGTTCAGCTGCAGCGACGAGGTGGGAGGAGGCGAGTGATTCTGTATTCAAGGATTAAAGAATCGGTTAACGTCGATCAACGTCATTTCCCTGAGGGGGAAAACCAACGGGGGGGGCTTGTAACTGACCGAGGGAGTGTTGACCGGAGGCATTCTCGTCCTCGGTGGCGGAGGACGCCGATGGGATTTCAATCAGCGGGAGGAATTAAGCCAGAACGAAGAAAGAGGAGAAAGGAAAGGAACAGATGAGACCGGATGAGACGACGAGAGAGTGAATGGAAGTCGAAGAGAGAGAAATAATCAGGATGGTTTGGTTGGCGGAAGAAAGGCAAAGTGGGCGAGATTACATGATCTGATCTTTTGCAACTCCCCTTCTTCACCTCCGTCTTTTCTCTCCTTCTCCCTTTCCACTTTCTCCATTGCGGAGTCTTCCTGATGGATCCCCCCACATTCCGATCCATCTATCTTCCACGATGCCTCCAGGACATCTCAACTTACCCATCTCGATCATTATTGGATATGGGTTCTGTACTTAACGTTGATAACATCCGTTCAACCGGAGAAGGAGTATACAACAACGCGCTAGTCATCGCCTGGGACCCCACAGCCCTGTCATCGATCTTCTCGATGCAATTCGACGATGCATCGCGATGAAGTACTCGGCAACTCGGTCTGGCTGACGGAACAAGTCCGACAAACTAAAGATCCTGCGACCAAACTTCCCCTCCATCCTTATCCTTTAAATCCACCTTTCTTCAGCCTCAGTGCTTTGCAGCCAACCCCGTCAATTGATTCAGCCCAGCATCACCTTCGAAATGTTAAGATTAAATCTATCGAATACTTCCGCGTATTCCCTCGGTAGCTCTTCGTTAAGATCGTCGATGAAGATGGTCAACATGGCTGGGGAGAAAGCTCCCTGGAAGGCCACACGGAGGCCGTTGAAGGTACCCTCAATGCTCTGTGCAAGCGATTCGAAGGATACGAGGCCGAATTAGCTCAATCACCCAACTAATCGCCTGCTCCCGGTGACATCGAACACGTCTGGCAGATGGCCTGGCGCTTAGGCTTCTATCGCGGCGGCCGCGTCTTCATTTCCCCCGTCTCTGGTATCGATATCGCCCTATGGGACCTTAAGGGCTGGCGGCTCGGTGTGCCCATCCACCAACTCCTCGGCGGCAAAGCACGGCATAAGCTGTCCGTCTACGCCTGGATTGGCGGCGACAGACCCTCCGACGTCGAAGCGGCCGGCAAGGAGCGTATAGTGCGAGGCTTCCGAGCCATCAAGATGCGCCACCGAGGACGTCAACTGGCTAGATTTGCCGCGCGTGCTAGAATCGAGCGTCGAGCGTCTCAAGACCATCAAGGCGCTCGGCCTAAACGCCGCTCGGGATTTCCACGGCCGTCTCCACAAACCCATGGCCAAGCAGCTGGACAAGGCCCTGGAACCCCATCGTCCGCTCTCCCTGGAGGAACCACTGCTCTCGGACCTCGTCTCGTGCCCGATCGCCCTAGGCGAACGACTTTGCAGCCGCTGGGACGTGAAGCGGTTCCTCGGAGATGCGAGCGTCGACGTGCTGCAGCCCGATTTCAGCAACTGCGGCGGCGTCTCGGAATTCCACCGCATTGCTGCCATGGCAGAAACCTACGACGTTGCGCTCGCGTCGCATTGTCCTCTGGGCCACATTGCCCTAGCTGTCTGCATGCAAGTGGATCTGGCCACGCCGAACTTCGCCATTCACGAGATGAGTCTGGGTATCCACTATAACAAGGAAGCGGGCGAGTACGACACCACGAGCTACGTGAAGGGCCTTAGCGTCTTCGACGTCAAGGACGGGTACGTGGATGCGCTGACGAGGCCCGGATTGGGCATTGAGATCGATGAGGACGTCGTTCGTCGGTTGGCTCGGTCGACGGAGCCCTGGCAGCCCAAGGAACTCTCTTCGGACCGGATGGTGGCATCCGGGAAAGATAGTTGAATGTGTGTGTGTGTGTGTGTGTGTGTGTGTGTGTGTGTGTGTGTGTGTGTGTGTGTGCTCTTCCCCGGGCTTGTTGCATTGGGATTGGCCCATGTATATCAATTCAAATTCTATCAACCTGACGAAGCCTATCTATTATGAAGATCAGCTTGGCAGGCGAGGGCTCATGGCTTGGTCTTTCATGCCAGCCATGGATGAATATCATGACCGCTGACGGAAAGATTATCTGAACATAACCAATGTCTATTGGCTGCAGGAAATAATCCAACATCATCAAAAATTGAATATCTACCAGAAAGGATAATCTAATCTATTTACTGGGTCTAGAAATACGACAAGCCTGCAGCGCACCGCCCTCTATCATACCTTCTTCCGCGCCGCATTACACTCGTCCGCTCGGCGAAGGCAGTCCAAAATAATATTCCAAAACGCATCCAAATCCACACCGCGCGGGATAGCCACGCCCTGCACGAGAGGCGCAACAACCGAACGACCCAATGATCCGACCAGCTCGACGTCGGTCCCGTGAAGCCCGTCGGTGATAACATTGACAGCAAAGCGCTCGCCGTTGCGGTCATCGAACTTCAAGACCTGGTCGGGATATTGCTTCGCGAAGACCGGGTTGAGCGTCGACAGGATCACCGCCACGGCGAGCGGGTCATGCAGGGGAGGACCGTCGTTCAAACCAAACACGCTCTCGTACGTCGACGCGAAGAAGACCAGGAGGTCGAAGAGCATCTGGCGGAGGACGGTGGAGGGCGCGGACGTGTCGTCGCCGCCGTGCAGGATACGAGATTGCACGGCAGGCGAGGCGAGGACCTGGTGTGTTAAGTCGAGAGTGATTAGGGTCGTCTTCGATGCTAGGACGGGGTTGGAGAAGATGGACTGAGATCCCTCGGGATCACACTATTGTAACAACGGCCATCGGACTGTCAGCAACCCCCTGGTAGCAAGAGTAGATAGGGGATGATTAGACAGCAATTACGTACGTAGATATTGAACTCCGCCAGGGGAGTCACGTTGCCAATCCGTGCCTCTTGGCCCACCAGCCGGCTCATGGGCGCGTCGGTGAACCCCTCGCCTACGCCGCCGCCCATGATACTCAGCCCCTGGATGTGCTCTGCCACTTCGGGGAAGGTTGCAAACAGCAATGCGACGTTGGTCAAGGCGCCGGTTGCGATGACCCAGGGTGTCCCTTTCGGGTGCGCCAACAGAGCATCGCGCATCGCTAGAATGGGATTCTTGTCCGTTATGGGGGCGGTGCTAGGCTTGGGTAGGAGTTCCGTGCCGTCAATACCGGAATCGCCTGCAAGATTGGAGAGCAAGTAGACAGTCAGTCCTATGTTGTTCATAGTGCTGGAGATGTAGAAGGGAGGAGGTGGAATTGTTACCATGGATATTTGGCGCATGGATTGCCGGTCTGCAGAAGGGTTTGGCATGTCCCGGGTAAACGGGCACCTCTGGTCGACCGATGGCCTCTAGGATCCTCGTGGCATTGACCGTGGTGTTTTCCAAGGAGGCATTGCCGTGGACCGTGGTGATTCCGAGCAGATTCAAGGACGGGTGATGGGCGGCAACGAGAATAGCAAACGCATCCTAGATAGTGTAAGATAGTTTCTTTTCCTATCCGGGGATGACTCTTCTTACATCGTGTCCTAGTGGGTAAACTGTCAGCTTAGGCGTATGGGGATGGTCCGGAGTCCAGATCGGGACAACGAACCAGGATCGCAATCTAGCCATAGGGGGATTGGGGTGGGAATAGAGGAGGCCATTGTGGGAAGCAGATTGGAAGAGAACAATAGGGCAGAACAAGAAGAATAAGAGAGAGAAGGATGAAGGATGGAGAGAACCAGAGGACAGCGCAGAGAAGACAATGCGGGGAGACCCAGCGATAAGCAGCGATAACGGCCGTTCCTTATCGACCCCAGGCCCTAAGCCCTAAATGACCTCCCCATGCGGACATGCTGCGTCATCCTCGGCGGCGGTCCCGGGGAAACTTGCGCCAACTTATGCTTCGTTCCCTCCGCGTCTACCAAACTTCAACCCCGAGAGCCGGCTCCGTTTGCCTTTCTGCGTTCGTGCTTTTGTTTCTTTGTTTGCTTTCACGTCTTGATTTCTGCTCCGGCCTATAACGTTCTTCCCCGACGACTGGGATGAGATGACCAGCGACCCTCCGCCTCGCCCCGGCCTGCAACCGCTCTCACATCTCAAAGCTGGTCCGACCACCTCCAGCTCCAAGTCCACAGCTCTTCCGGCGTCCTCCACTCTCCAACTGCCATCCTCGTCAATTTCTCCACGGGTTCGATTGCCCAAGGCCCCGAGCCGGGATGAACAAGCCAGTGCGACGAGCCATAAGGCAACGGTCGCCCTGATCCGACGCGTCTTGTGTCCCCAGACCGGAAACCACGGCGGAGCGTCCACCCCACAGCCTCCCGGGGACCTTTTACCCCCTCTCACAAGCTCGAACGAAATAGACCTTCAGCTCTACGCCATAATCGCCGTCATTATCAAAGAGTTTGTTCTCGCGTGGTATTCGAAAATCACCCCGGACCAGACCCTGGTCAATGAAGTGATCCAAGTAATCGCGCATTGTACCCGGGCGTTGGAGCAGCGACTTCGACGAACCGACGTTGCACAGCTGTTTCTGGATGAGGTTCCTGCTCTAGTCGAAGCGCATATTACCTGTGAGACAGTCACTCTTCTTTTCTGCCCCCTTCCTACGTGTCCCATCTCCGGCCAAGTCAGCGGGGTGTTTATTGGTCTAGGACTGACTTCTCTGAACCCTTGTTCATCGATGCCTAGCGTACAGAATTGCGCGAGAACAGTCTCGACTGCCTGGATTTTCTTCTTCGACGCGCGAAATCTATCATGCCTTGTACCCGCATCCGGCCTTCTCGCCGGTCCCAGATGCCTCGGACGCGGGCCTCACGGAGCGCCAACGCGCCAACGAGACGGTATATCGACAATTGCTGGCGCAGGAGGTGCTGGCCGTCCTCCTGCCCACGGAGGACCTAGATAATGTGTGTCTGCGAACGCTGTTGGGCGACATCGTGGCGGACCTGATTCTGGGGAACCAAATCAGCGGGAAGGTGTGCGAAGGCTGGTTTCTGTGGGAGAGTATCACAAAGCTTCTGGATGTCGTGGGACGCCAACCCGCGCGTGAGGATGACACGACCACGACGGGACCGCTTAAACATGACCAGTTAAAGAAGTTTGGGCTCCTGGCGCCCAAGGAAGATATGCAGCATAATCATTCCAAGGTCTTGCTACCCGTGCCCGAGTGGGCGTGGAACGTTCTTCACTTCGGATATCTGGTCTACGTGACTCTACGTTTCATCGTAACGGGTCTCTTTCGCGTTGCAACCAGCTCGCCAGGGCCTTCGGGGTCGACGGCCAGCGTCGGTGGCCACGCACCGGAGGCGTTCCCTCCATGCAACCCTTCTGGCAAGCGCCCCGTGCTGGACTATCGACTGTACGGGATGGTCTCTCAACTAATCGATCTCCCCAACCGAATGCCATGGCTGGGAGGGTTACTGGCCTTGTCCCAATACCTGATCCTGGCGGGTCCAGGCAGGCTAGGTGACACCGACAGCGTCCTTGATAGGTGAGTGGTTATTTTTTTTTCTTCGTTCCAGTTGTTTTTTACCTTCTGGATTTTCTAGTGCTCCCTCTCTGTCCCTAATCTCCCCGGTCCTTCCCTCCTTGTTCCAATTCCCCAGCACCAATCCCCAAGCAGAGCTCAGCATCCGCATTGTGTCCGTGACACCGGACGAAGGAAGAATCAGTGGTGGAGAAGCGGTACGGGTTCGATCTCCGAACTATGATCTACTTGCACGACGAGGGGACGGACGGACGGCACGACGGCTGCAGCATTGCTCGCATGCCGCCCCGGTCACTTGATCTGCTGGGGGCGCGCTCCGGTCCCTGATTGGCAGTACCGTCTGTTACCGGCGCGTACGGTTATCTTACCGTTCGCGTACCGTTTTGACCGTACCTGACCTTGCTGGTATCCGATTCCCTCGGACATACCGACTCCCATTTGAACGTGCCCATGTCGATGATTCTCGGTCCACTTCAGCTTCTGGCCCGGCCCTTTCCGTCCCGTTCGACTCCAGCTTGCCTGATCTTCCAAACAAAGAAAAAAAAAAGGTTGAGATTTGAAAGACAAAACATGACAGAAAAAGAAAAATAGAGAAAAAAAACTTGGCATTCTGTCACCGACTGCACAACGTGCACTTGCACTGCCATCACCGCATGGACGAGGAGGGGAAATGACAGGGGCAGCGCCATCCTCTTCCCTGTCTAGGCCCTTCTGAAGGGGGTGTTGTGGTTCACAAACAAAGACTAAAGGCAAGAAGTGAAATGACTCGGGACGATCATCCAGGCATTGGTTGAGTAAACGGCCATGCGGCATTGAGGCCGCCCCGTCTTCTGCTTTCCCCTTTTTTGGGGCCAATCGACAAGCCGGCCGAGGTCGCGGCCTTCAGCGACGCTAAACCAGGCTCCTTCTGCCTATGAGATTCCCCCCGGCCGTCGTGCCAGAAGGCCCTTTTGGACTTGTCGTCATCTTCAGCTTTGGGCCCTGCTCAATCGCACCAATCGATGGCCCAAGCTCCTGGTCTGCCCTTGAAGCCAAGCAACGATCGCTTTTTCCTGCTTGCTCCACTGCTTTTTTGGTCGTTCCATTCTCACGTCGGTCGTTGCACGGCCCTTTTTTTTATTTTCTGTTTTTCCCCCTTTCAAATTCTTTTGAAAATCTCAACTCAACCGCTTCTCCACAGTCCGGGGGGTTTTTTTATTTCCTTTGCTTTTTTTTTTTTTACCGCTTACTCTCCCTGGGCCGTCTCCGTGTCTGCGTTGCGCAATTTCACTGCCAATTTCCCTCTTTCATTATTTTATTTTGTTTTTTATGGGAATTCCTTTTCTCATAGGCTAACTTGCTCTCCACTCAGGTTCCTTCACGAGACCATTCAGAATCATCTCTTCCCCCCCACTTTATTGCCCAACTTGCTTCTCGCCTCCAGGGCGGCACTTTTTCCTTTGAACGCTCGTCCGGCTCAGGCCGCCGCGGGTACGAATCCCACCGGGCCTCCGACGCCGCACCTGTCCGTGCAACCTGCCTCGTCGCCTATCGAGAGGGGTTCTGGTGGTAGCGATGCCGCTGGCGCAAGTAACGCCAACAGTGGCATTTCAACGCCTAACCTCTCAGCGATTGCGCCTTCCTTGTCGCCGGACCCACGTCCATCCGCGGCCGAAATCGCTTCCGTCAAGCGACGCTGCGCGGTGAGTCTTTTATCGCGGATTCCTCGTCCAATTGCGCGGCACTTCTTTGGTATTCCCGCCAATGGCGCCGTACACGGCCCCCTCGACGGCCAAGCTTCCAATGATCATGATCAGTCCCCTCGACACCCGGACTCTTCCCGAGCGTCGTCGCCCGCTCCTCCTCCCCTTTCTCATCTCACGACCACCACCGCTCACCCGGAAGAGGATGCGTATCTTCTCGCCGCCATAGAGCACGATCTTCTCGATCTTTTCGCGGACGAGTATTGTAACAAACATCTAATTTATTCGATCATCGAAGCTATCCTGGTGAAGCTTCTCCCCGAGCTATCTGAGCGCGGTCTCACCGAGTTAATGGAGGACAGGGGCGTCGGTCTAGCCACCGCCTCATGAGCCACCACCTGGAGAGTATGCATTATCATCCACCCCGACAGTCTGTTCTGAGAGAAAGAAACCAGCACCATCCGGCCCCCAGACCGTTAGTTATGACATGGCATAAACCAGTTCGCCTTAATCAATAATTAGAATAATGTTAATGATCCTGAAAAAGAAATGAAGGAACGAAATCTGTTTCGCTTGTTGCGCTTGAGGATCGAAACAGTTACAGTAGTAGCCGGACATGGCCGTTGAGATCTTCCTTCCTGATCCTTCGAGCCTCCTAGTTCGTTGGTAGTGTACGGAGTAAGTGGGAAATTTCCATCCTCGCAAGTCAAGAACCGCCTTACACAGTACCCTTCTCCACAAGATTAATCGGAATAGAATAGGTAGAGTACACAGTACTGTGTAAGGTAGATTATCTAGATCCGGCCGAATTGAGTGTTCCGGAACCGAGTCCCTACCTATTATTATTACCCCCCGATTTTAGGATCTACCTTACCTACCTCTATCTTACCCACTCCGTTATCCATATAGAGCACGGATCAAGTAACGAGATCGTAAAGTAGTTTAGATAGACTAGTCCACTCAATCCGGAACAGTTAGATAGTAAACAGCCATGAACTCATGGAATGTAACTAACTACCTTACATGACTACAGTACATACATACATACATACTAAGTAAGTAACCAGGCAGTTAGTTAAAAAATGGAATTGGTCTATCCTGAGTAGGACAAGACAAGCGAACCATGAACCGGAAATAATAAGGATAATTATACGATGACCGCATTATGATCATTGCTATTATTATTATCATTATCATAATAAGAATAATAAGTTAGCGAGAACCCTCCCTCCCACCCCCAAAAGGAAAAGAGATAGATAGATGAATCAATTTGGAATATTACTCTTTCATTTCAGTGGGGATGTGTAATGAACACCTAAGTCATAGGTACTAACTACATAATGAATAAGCAAGAAACCAAAAGAGAAAAAAAAAAAAGAAACCAAATGGATCTATCCATATCCATCTATCTATCGATCCATGCAGGGCAAAAGTTCAAAACCGACTAACGCAAAAAAAAGGCGAAAAGAAACAGGAGAGGGAACCAATTGGAGTCATACTCCATAGCAATTACCTGGGTTATACATCCACTGGCAATGGCAATGTACTACTTTTACCCATGCACTGTGCGAGTGTGGACATACCTCTGTACAGAATCGGATAGACACGCATGAAACCAAAAGACCCAATTGACCCTACTGACCCTAACTATACTAGTAAAGTGGATTAAACGATCCTAGATCCTAGAACAGCTCCGTAGAAAGTGAAACCCAGACCAAATAACCAGCACGGTATACGGAAGGAAGTATGGCACCGGCGGGGTCGTTGAGAAGTCGGTACCATGGTTCACAAGTTCGCGGATGGCGGGTAGCGGGTAGGCGTAAGTTGTAAGCGTGGGCGGCGCTGCGTAGTTATGGCGGCATGGCGGATAGCGTATAGCGTATAGCGTATGGCGGATGCGAGGAAATTAGTAGGGAACCAGGGAGGGAGAGAAGCGGGGGTGTGGGCAAGAACAGAAAAAATTAGGACAAAAAACTCAAAACGGAAAGACATGAGAAATGACAGAAAACGGAAGGATGAGAATGCCTGCTCGGAGGATACCGACTAGGAACTAGCTCTGCTGGGATCTACTTCCCTGGTACTACCGTAGAGTCGTCGACTCCTCGCAAGGAAGGAAGGAATTCTGAACAGAAATGGGAAAGCGAACTGCTTATCGATGGATAGATCCATGATGGTATCATGTCCAGGTTCCATGCTGTTAGTCTGTCTTTCTGGTCTGTTAGTTTCGAGGCGCATTGAAAGTCGGGATCATGATAGGACGGGACGTGCGTATGGATCAACGAGGAACATGTTCCATACACACTGACATGGATGTCGGTTACTGTTGGGACTTGGGGAACAGGGGGTACTAGATTAAATGCACAGTAACTATAACAATAAAACCATCAGGGTAAATGACTCAAACATGCGGTGAAGGTTTCAAACAATCGGGGTTCCGTAAGCGAAGAATGTCAGGTAGCTATACAATTGCAATACAAGAAATAAATCAAATAGGACAATGAAATCAACAAAAATACTGGAACTGGAACATACAAATATAAAATATAATGAACGCACAAAACAAATAAGTAGTAAATGAAATCCAAGCTCCGTATTGAAATTCGTTGCTCCCATTGCCATCCGAAAGCCCTAAATGAAATCCCAAGATGTGAGACTCTAGTAGTCCAATGCAGATTGTGTCCGCGTGGGCGGGTTAGTTTAAATGCTAGTTTGGGTCACCACAAAAGGAAAAGAAAAAAAAAAAAATAGAATCCGGACAAGAAGCAGAAAAAAAAAGAATAGCAAAGCAAAGAAATTGTGCGAATCAAGCATAACTAGAAAACTGACTCCTTCGATCTTCCTGATTATTGTAATTCCGTCGGATCCGTGTCCGTCAGGCCCTGCGCCAGTATCTGCCGTATGTGAAATGGAAGAAATGAAAAGAAAACCCGTTTAAACCCCGAGGTTGCCCCCTTATGTGTGTGTATCGTCTGATTTTTCACAAGCTTCGTCGATCCGTTGACTCAGCTAGCTTAATGAAACAGGGAATCATGGAAACATGACGTACAAATGCAATAAGACTAGTAAAACAGAAAACCACCCAGTAGAAAAGAAGAATAGAAAAACAGGGGAATATGCTTTGAGAAGAAAATGGGAGAAAGGGGAAGAAAAGGGAAGATAGAACGAAACCAAAAAACCGAACTGATGATGTGCAAAGATATGCTTTCGGCGTCCGAGAACTCGGACTAACCTAAGCTGTGAATGCTTCTTTTTCTGGTGACGTGGGGAGCATCTTCATGCTCATCGATGCGAGTGAGGCCTCCTGGAAGAGTAGTCTGCTGGCCCTTGGCCAGTTCAAGCCGCTCCATCAACTTCCCAATCGTCAAATATTCCTGCGCCCCAAGACCAGCAGGTTGGGCTTCGAAATAATTCATCACCAGTTCCAGGGCCTTCCGGGCCTCATCCTGAGTGGGAGAGCCCGGAGAACTGACAGGAGAAACGGTGGTTGACTTTGAAAACAGCGGTGGGTAAATGGTCTTGGCCCGAATCTCAGGGTTGCTCCGGTTGCGTTTGATCATGTTGGCCGAAGTATCAAGGCCAGGAAGCTTTTTGGGATCGTGGTTGTCCTCCATGGGGGACTCCTGCAAGGTCCCTGGGAATGGTGGCTGGAGGGAAGTCCTGGGAGAGATCTGTTCGCAAGAGTCATCTGGAATCATAGATCCGGGGTCGACAGTGCTAAGGGGACATGTTTGGCTTCGCGGCCTATTAGGAAAACAATCCGCAGAGGGGTTGCGGGACTGGCTAGTGGGAGTGAAAGGACTTTCCGATACCAACGTGGAGGTTGGGCTGGCCACAGTGGTATCAAGCGAGGTGGCGTTCTTGGTTTGTATATGCTGTTGGTAATCGCTTATGAGCTCGGCCAGGGCCTCAGCTTTGATGTGCCCCTGGCTTTGAGTCGGGGACAATGGGGACGGCGTGGTAAACCCAGGGGATGTCGGGGATAGGAGAGTCGGAGACTGGACAGCCGAAGCCAAAGCCGAATTGATGCTGAGACCAGTGGGACTGTCCGAGTCGCTCTTGGTAGTGCTGAAGGAACTCTTGCGAGATTTAGCACCCAGTAGATTATTTTTATGCTTGAATTTCTCCAGCCAGCTAGTGGTCAGGACTTTTTCTTTTCCTTCATTGGCACCACAGTTACTGGCGAAGAAAAGGGCCTTTTCCCTGATCATTTCATCGCTGAGGGAATAGCCATGTCGCTGGTAATTTCTTACCCAATTGGAAAGAGCCTTTTCGATATCAGGGACTCGCCCTTTGGCTCGCTTGATAGGAGATCGACTCCCGTCCTCTGGGTTCAGATATTTTTCTTTCTGACGGAGCACTTTCGAAACAGTGCTTTTGAAAACAAACCACCGAAAGTTAGAAAGAGCTCTCTTACACACAGAGACTTGGATGTCCCAGGAAGGGGAAGTGTGTACTCTACCTTCTTTCCACTCCAAAGAGCGCTATAATGGATCATCAGCCTGAGTCCTCAGAAACCATGGGACGTCGTGATAAGTACAAACATACCTCCAATGTCAGTCTGCTTGGCCGTCTTGTTCTCCTCGTGGTAGAGGCACATGCGTCGACGATCATCATCCGTAAGCGTCCTCCGCGGCGTCGAGCTGCTGGTGGACGCTTTGCGTGGTGGTGGCGGCGGCGGCGGAATGGGTGCAGCCGGTGTCACGGACGGTTGTATCGGGACCGGAGGCAAGCCTGCCTCCGCATATTGGCCGGGAGTGAGCATGCTCGGCCATGTGCTGGATGGCAGCGTCAATGGCAAAGATGCATATGGAGGTGGTATCGACACATCGTAGGCCGAGTCCAAGGGCATCACGCCATATCCAAATCCATGATAATCCAGTGGCGGTGAATGTTGGGAGGGAGAGAACCCGCCCATATCCACCCACGGTGATTGTGCGAAATCACTGTCCTGTCCATGGGAGCTTTCCGTATCCATGGCGACTGTTGGTTGCGGTAGACGGTTGGAGGGTAGCGGAGGAAACAAGAAGATAGAAGAATAAAAATTACCCGGGGGAGTGGTCTGATACTATAACAAGTGGCGGTCTTGCAGCAGCCCTGACACCGAAATGACAGCCAGCGCTAAGCAAACCCGTCCAGAGATCAGGAAGTCAATGGGCGGAATCAGAGGATCAGATATTGGATAGAGGAAAGAAAAAGCAAAGAAAGGAAAATTTTTCAAAGAGACACAGAAAAGAGATGGACAATCTAGAGCCGGATCGAGGGCCGAATATGCATGATCAAGTTTCCAAGGAACCAGATAGTAAGTAATATGCGATTAGTACTTCGTGACTGACGAATAGATCGGGAGTCACCGTCAGTACGTATGCCAAATACCTACCCAGGAAAATAACAAGCGATCTCCCGTGAGGGCAACCAAGAATTCTTTTCAACACCTGTATCCGAGCACCCAACTAGCAATATGTATGCATACAAGAAAACATGCAGGTTCTTTCTTCGCTTTTGTACAATGATGAAGGGGAGGGTTCAGGAGAATGCGGGTAAGGCATGGGACGGAGTTTAAGGTGGGAAAATCAAAGAAATAGAAGAAATTGAAATGGAAAATCCGTTCAAATAAAATAGAAATTTTAAAAAAAAAAGATCAGGTTGGGGCGCAGGCACAGGGACAGGGACGATCCGAGACGCAGCAGCGAGTGGTAGAGAAGTATCAGAGTATGAGAAGTATGGGGTGGACAGGCTGCGATAGATAGATGTTTCTGGGTGGATGAGAGTCCAAGGGCTGCACGCACGAGTAGAAATGATGGATGTAAAGAGTCGTACCTGATTTGATGCTCGACCGACTAAGTCAAATTGACAGGGCCTCTCTTGCCTCTTTCCATCTGTTCTCTCTGGAACGGCAATTCTTATTTCGCCTGTCGAGAAAATAAATGAATTTTTGTTAAAAAGATCAACGAAATAGGGATGAAATTGAAAAAAAAAATCAGATAAATGAAATATGAAATATGAAATAATGAAATAAAAAAATACCTAATGCATCCGTCCATCATGATCAGTCCGGTCGTACTATAGCAGAGGATATTAATTATTATTATTGGATTATGATAATTATAAATCATTATTTTAATTCCCTTTCTTATTGCACGGAAGGACAATTACAGACACGAGTCTTGATAGTGCAGAGGGTAGAAAAAAGCCGGACCTCCGCCCGATGATTGGTCCAAAGCCCCAAAGTAAAAGAAATACCCAAACGGGCAGTCCCCCCCCTCCCTGGCGAAAAATGGTGGGGGATTCCCACGCTGATTGGCCACTTGCTAAATTGGGGGTGCAGGGATCTCCTGTCGGGTCCAAATACCGCTAGTCCGTAAGCGTATGTACGATGCCGTGTCCAGGTCGGGTATCGTATCAAACATGACGAGGTTTCTGTTTTTCTTTCCGTTCCTAGGGGCTAACGCGCTTGGGGAATGGCAGTAAAATTCAGGCCCTAAGAGAGCTTGTTGGCCCGAATGGGGGTGTCAATGGATGTTCTTTCCACCGCGGAAGGTCGGTCTCCAGCTCCAGAGGCCCTGTTCTGTCCTGTTACACCGATGTTGAGCAGAAAGCGCAAATAACATGTTGGGCTCCCAAATTTCATTTACCTACGACAAGCCCTTAGTCCTACCTTACCTACCTAGTATGTACCTCCCTCCCCTGACTATTCTGCCGTAGATACCGATCTACTAGGCACTTATTGCTAAATCCCCTGGGACCATTGGTACCCGATGGGGGAAGGAAAAGGTGGAGTAGCGGTGCCAAAGAGTTTTTAAGTCAACCAAAGGACAAAAAAAAAAGAAGGTTGCGGCCCTATTTAGGCTTTGGCAGCTATTCCATCTTTCTGTCTTTTTGAATTCTTGAATTTTTTCCTTTCCATGTCGTCCAAATAAATTGACAGTTTGCCTCGAGACGGCAATCCTGTAGCACATCATAAGGAGACAGGCGCCAGCGAAGGATCCATAATCAACCCGAAGAGAGGGGATCGACCCAGGATGAAAATCATACGAAGGATACAGTAGTGTAAAACAAGTGTCTTTTTTTTTTCTTCCTTTCCTTTTCTTACCAGAAAAAAAAAAGAAAAGAAATAAATTAAAAAGATTGAGCAACTTCCTGAGCAGGCCAAGATCATACTCATAATCATATATCCTTCACGGACGGGCAGTGGATCGATAAACCGCTGAACCTAAAGGCCCGCATGACATCGCAGATTTCCGACTATGCTGGATTCTGACAATCATTCAAGGTCCAACGGTTTTCCTTCACAACCTTCTTGGGATTCGATGGGTAGGCTTCTTTTCCTCTGGTACCGAACCTCTCATCCCTGTTCTTGCTCACCTCATCTCTTATATGGAGTGGCCACTTTATCCTTGTGACGCCGACAACATGTGAAGAAGGTGGAGAGAAGGTTGAAGAAAATCAAGAAGAGGGGTTGAAAAGAAGATTCAGTACGAGGCCAAAGATACTGGTCATCATCAGGGGATTAATCACCAAGTCCTCGGGGATGGTATATCAGAAGAGAAATAAAAGAAGTAGATCCTTTTAAGAGTCTGGGATGATGAAGCCTCATTTGGCCGATCCCCAACAAGTGGCGGACTTTCGGCTTGTCAACTTCTCACCTTCCACCACTTCCACCGCAAGAAGACCGAAGCTAAAGAGCGAGTAATCCCGTAGGGAAAAAAAAAAGGGTAATGGGCTTTCCTGGAACCTACTAATCAGAAATAAATCAACCAGTGGTAGGCGAGGATGGCCGATCTGCATAGTACTTTGTCACGAGAAAAACGTCAGGAGAGGGCACGGACGAATAGGCGAGCGTAGATTGATTCCAATTTCCTTTTTGTTACATGGAAGGAGCATGGATTATAGGGGAGGCTTGCCCTATCAGAGGCTGCAAAGACAACATGGTTCGGGGCCTGGAGGTGTTGGTTCCTTCGCACTAAGTTAGTCGCGTTGTAGCATGAGGTCGAGGAGCTAGGACCCCACGGTCCACAAAGGGCCCGCAGCGGTCCACTCCGGGCCGGCAACCTAAGCAATGCAAATCCTGGACCAGAATTTGATGGGAATTAGGGAGGGGGGAAGGGGGGAAGAAAGAGATGTGGACTGGGGAAAAAGGTAAAGATAATGCTCATTAACAAAAAGGGGAGCGAAGGAGGATTGAAAGAGGGACAGAAAAAGAAAAGACAAGACAAGAAAGCTAAATAAAATGACTGCAAGATAGAATTCATTGATTGATCGATTAATTTTCTTGCCCTGTTTAAAACCACCTCCGCACCCAAGACATGCAGATATTGATCGGGCATTATTGATCGGGGAGGGCAGGACTTCGGCCGAATCCAGTTTAGCCCCTCTTTGCGCTGCAACTCGGTGCAAACCACAAACCTTGAACCCTGGCAAGGACGGTCTGACTGACTCGGCAGCTCGGGTTTACATGCTGTGGCTGGCAGACACTTACAGTGGCTCTGCCTCGAAGCGGCAGACACCTCGTCGCTGTCGGCGCATCACTGCAGCCCGTGGGCAGTGTAGGCAGTACCTCCAGAAGTAGGCGTGACCTGGAGACCGGGCAGGTACACTGTACGGAGGGTGACGCACATTTAACCAGTTCCCTAATGCATGTACAGCCTTACCGGGGCTTTCAGTCTCAGATGAAAGTCGGTCTCAGATACCTTAAAACCTAAGTAGTTAAGAGTACGGCTCGGGGAGGCGGGAAAACGTGATCAATGCTGCTCCAATCGCCAATGCCGCCCCGCTTGTTCGGATGACCACGAGGGCTGTCAGGTCGAAAAGTTTCCCTATTGTATGCGATACCTGTCCTGTCAGTCGGTTCTGGCCTTCTGGCTGAAGGATCTCGGCTGGAGGACCTTTGAATCTGATCTATCAGAATGCAGCCGTGGTTGACACAATGGACAATGCTGGAAGGAAGAACCGATCGAGATTTTCTCGCTTGTGTCAGAAAATCAACAGATCGAAAAGGGTATTTTCTTCGCACTATTTTTATTATTTTTTTCGGATAAAACAAAGAATAATGAACCGGAGAGAATGGCTGGACTTTCCTCCGTCGAGCGTTGCACAACTAAGGGGGGAGGGGAAGGGGTTGGCGGAATTAGGAAATGAATAATCGACTCGATATGATTATCGCACTGATTTATCTAGCAGAGACCATAGACTTTGACGGCCTTCCAATCGATCAGCCTGAGAGGTTGACAGCCAGTCGCCTAAGGAAAATCGCTACCCCATCTAGGAAAGAGTTGGCATGGGAAAAGCGAGACTACGACCTGAGGTGGGCTGGGAGAACGCCATCGAGTTTTGTGTAAGGAAGTAACGATAGCGTGGTGGGTGGCTTCCCCTTTTTCTTTTTTCTTTTTTTTTCTTTTTGTTTCTGCTCCTGTTTCTTTCTGGATTCTTTTCCAATCCCTCATGACTGGTCCAAAACCAGAGTTTCTCCTGTCAGGAACGAGAGGATGTTACGTACGGAGTAATAATAATGTACGAGGAGGGGAAGACAGGAAAATGTGGAGAAGATTCAAATTGAAATGAGAGTTAGTCAGAACTTACTAAACCCAGATATCTCATGACAGGTTTCGAGTAGATCAATTACACATGGTCAGGGAGAAAAAAAGAAAGGAAAGAACTGGGCAGGAAATGGCCGGAGTGGTGCGACGTCAGACATCGAATTCCCAACCCAAAAAAGGTGGTGTCATGATAGCCTTACCGTTTTACAGCGCCAATAATAGATATCTGTCAGGTACGCAATTCGGTGCAGATTTCCCATACTTCCGTCGGGATTAATATCTCACCTTAGTGCCATACAACATGTACGAGGCAGATACAAGGCAGATACTCGAAGTCGAACCGATGATACTTGACTCCCTCGGTGTATTCCAAGGCATGACCATCACGTCATTCGGTGAGTGCTCGAGCTACATACACCGTACATACGCTTTCAAGAGATATGAGGGATCATGAATGACATCAGAGGGAAAACGCGGTGGATTGAGCAGAGACTACTGTGGAGTGCCAAAGTCCACCGTCGCGGCGGTAGAAATGGCCGAGGACAAAATGAGATCTTAGTGGTGTGGAGATGACCAGATCCCCATGAGTGAAACCGGCATGTTCGGTGTCATGTACGAGGATGCTTCTTGGCCTGTCCCTCTCCAACTTGCAATCCCTAATTGGGTGCTCTTGCGAATTCTTTGTCTGTCCATTGTTACAGCACTCGAACCACTGAAAGCCACGGACGCTAAGTGGATGCATGGAAGGATCCCGCGTTACCCAAGGCAAAAATATCATGAGCCGACTATCGTGGGAAAGGACAGGCTACAGTAAGAACCATAGCCACGATGTTGTGGAAACTGACAAAGTCCCTACAGGACACCCTACACCGTACTTACATCCCACCTCATCGGCAAAGGGAAGGAAGCAGAAGCCATGAGCAAGACCAATGCAGCCTCCACTTTTGTGCTGCACACCGGCATCCGTCAGTCGGTCATCTGACGAGCAGATTTTCACCTTCCTCTCGAATCTTTTTCTTTTCTTTTTCCTTCCTTTTTTCATCCATCGCTTCTCCGCCATTCAGGCTCTCGTGCCTATCACGGGGTCAAGGAATATCGGAACAACATCGCAGCTTTCCCAGTCCTGAGTCTCATACTACCGCTCCCTTCGTCTAACTATAGGTTGTCGCCTTTCTTTCTCCGAGGGCCATTCGCCATTCAGCCTATCCGCCGAGGCTGTGCAAATTATACTTACATTTGCCATCATCCTGCCGTAGGTGTATCAGCAAGTGGACGCCCTGCTCGAACTGATCATCATCCTGTTCCCCACCATGGCGGCTAACCGCCTTTCTTTCGTCTTTGTCTGCCATTCTTTGCTTTTTCTGTCGCTTTCTCTTTGTGGATGACAGAAACGAACGAAAGGCAGACCCAATTCCAGATTCATACCCCTCGGTGCCAAGGTTATGCTCAGCAAAAAAAGGAAAGCCCCGCAGTCGAACGATGGCACATCAACCGTAAATTTCATCGTCCTACGGTGTAGGTATGTATTACTTCGGGAAGTACGGCGTCGCAATCCTAATCATAATGACATTAACTCGCGTGAAACTTCGACCTTGTGCCTGGTTCCTGAAAGCCATGTACTCGAGTGACCAAAAAGCAAACAATCGCACATCAATCGATAGATCACTATCTGGGAACATTGAATTGTGGGAGGATACAATAACCTGATAGAGACAGGCCCTAGTCCTACATCTAATCCTGCTGCTACTACCACTACTACTACAACCCTCCAAGTCAGCACCTCGCAATCAATGATGAACAAACTAAGCAGGCAAGTAATATCGGAGTTACGTGTGTACACTACCTGAGGTAAGGTAGTATCCGTCCCTCGACACTGACGTACGTACCACTGGGGGAGCTTCCGATCCCGCGCAGACCGCTTCTTGTAGCTTACCCGTCGTTGACACCGTACGCAGGGTTCAGGCCTTAGGCCCTACGAAGTAGTTCAGTTATGGCTGACGACGGGGAGGCGACGACGGGAGGGGGTGGGAGAAACCTTCCCTGACGTGCATTATCAATTCGTTTAATCCCTACGAATTCGATTGGTGATTGGTAGGAAAGGTGAGAAAATGGTATTTCTTTAACTCCAACTCTGCACTATGGTTAATTTGATTTGGTTTATTGTTTTTATTGCTCCATGGCGGCTGTCATATTGGTTCTTCTGGGTAATTTCTTTTTATTTTTCTCTTTTGTGTTTTCTGTAGGTGTCAGGATCATCTTGTTCTAGTATGGTTTTATTCTGTCAGCAACAAACAATTACCCTGTAGAGTAAGTGCCGAGTGACAGGGGGTTGGGAGAATGGCGAGACAGTGGGAGAGAGAGGCATGGAATAAATGCTCAAACTCAAAACCCAACCCCATAAGCCCGAGCGAGACAGACAGAAAAGAAAAAATAAAAAGCCAAGGTAGCAACGAATGTAGGTACTAACTAGTTGCGTCCTGGATCGCTCCCCTCCTTTTTCTCCTCCTAGTTACTTCGCCCCCATAAGTAAATACCGTATATTCGGCGCTAAGGCGAATCATAGCCCCCGAAACAGATTAATTCAAGGCATAGGTAGGTAATTCCTCAACCAGGTATTTATTATTTACATTACATAGATTATGTCTTAGTATTGCTCATTCGGTGTCTTGGGTAGAGTAGAGTACTGTAAGCCAAACCACCCCGGACCCTGTCTACACCTGCAGACGCTGCATTAACTTGCAGGATTGGATTTCACTAACTAACAGGACAAGGAACCTGGTCGGTCGGTCGGTCGGTAGCTACCGTATAGGTTCGGAGTGGGAGCTCCGTACGGGAGATGAGGTTGTACGTATGTCGATTCGGATGGCGGGATGGTTGACGAGGTAGTTGAAAGAGATCGGTGAATGGAGCTACCTAGACTAGGGAGTGATAGTTGGTCTATAGTCTATACGGTCCCTGGATGTTAACTGCGTTTTTGAGCTGCTTGCTTTCAGTTTCGACTATACTAGTTTTGATCAACACTTACCTAGGTACCTAGTCTCTCTCTGTATGTGTTTGCTTGTATGTACAATACTTACCAGAAAGTACAGAGCGACATCCATCCATGCATTGGTACATGGCTACAGTACCTACAGACCACACGAGTATGTACCTACACATACACATACACATGGCCAATTCTGTATAACTGTACTGTACGTACAAACAATCTGTCAGGTTCAGTTTCTGCATGAATCGAGTCCGATCGTACCAGACAGAATGCTTATTACCCCTCGGTTCAATATGGGGAACATTAGATTACTTAGGCCAACCGTCCGTGCAAGGCCAAGTTTTGGCATATTAAAACCGAGTCGTGGCCAATTGCCCGTGCGCAAGGGCTAATTATAGTCAGGCCGGGCTAGAGTCGACTACAGTAAACTAAGGTAAACTACATACAGTACTTACGGAGGACGGAGAACATGGCATGGCATGCAATGGCATGGCACTATTAAGGGATAAGTCCTACAAGAGCTTGGGGGTGCTCCATTAGTAGCTCACTACCGTCTGTGGACAACTCCTTTGGGGGTCGTGACTGTCAGGTGATCATTTACTCGGGAGTGGCTTCAGTCAGCCATGCTGAGAGCTCTCTTTCTCTCTCTGTCTGTCTCTCTCTCTCTTCCTTCATCGCCTGGGAACGGTGCACGTCCGTCCTCGTGTCTCAGTCAGCTCTCTTCGCATCATCCTGGGCCAAAGTCAAAATGAAGAAAAGGATCGAGACGAAACAAATGGTACTTTTTTTTTAAATCATCAACTGCAATCTAAGGCCTATGCGTCTACCGATCCTTAGCAGTCCGAGAACAGGGGGGAATCTAGAACCTCAAGGTCGGAAACCTCGGAATAGAAAAGCGGATCAGAGCAAATAGTCGCTTCCAAACAGGAAAAAAAAAAGATGAACATGAAAATTTCGGCAGAACTACTGTAGGTACTGCTGAACCAAGAAAACCCTATTCCAGATTTTCCGACTTTCAACCTACTGTCGAGCTATCATCCTCCCTTTCTGGCACCCCTGCTCTTACTCAAACAAGATAAATGGACTGTGCATCACGGACAGTAGCAGTTGCAAAGCAATACACACTAGACCCATGATTCAGTACAATCTCCTCTCAAACGAGTGATCCTGCAAACCGGGCAGCAGGTGGCATAGTTGCTGCCCGTGCGCGAACCGTCTCCACCGCCAATCAAACTCTCTATGGCAGCTTCGCGGAAAAGAGTTGTCACAAGGGCTGGGCCTTTTGGACATGGATAATGAGCGAAAGAGCACCACCTAACACAAATCATCCATCCTCTTGAACGCGATTCGCCACATTCGTCTCCGCTCTTACGCGGTCATAAGGCACAGAATCGATGTTAATCGTTTACCGCTTGATAATCGTCACTGTAATCACGCCAGTTAGCTCCGTTAAACGGTCAGGGGGTTATTGTGGATCAAAGCGAGAGCGTACCAATATCCTCGTCTGCGAGCTCGTGCGTGAGACCAACACGCTGCGGCTGATGCTTAACAGAGCGTCCATATACAATAGCCTGCTTGAACTGGTCCTTGATCGTCCGGTGAATGGCATTACACTGGTTCGGGATTAGCAAAGACACGGCCAACATAAAATAATGAACAATGGGAGGAGGGCCATACGAAATCTTCGACCGTGGATGCGCCTGCCTTAAGCACAACGGGAGCAGTGTAATCGGGGGCCTTGCCCTTGGGTTTGGTGTAAATTCGGCGGAGGTTGAGCTTCTCCCACATGGTCTCCAGTAATTCGTCGATGTTCCAGCCATGTTCGGAACTGATGGGGCAGGCGTTGGGAATCCGATACAGCAAGTCCAGTTCTTGAATCGAGATAGAATCAATCTTGTTGAGGGCATAGATAACGGGGATATAGGCTCGACTCTTGGCTTCGAGAACATCGATGATATCGTCGACCGTCGCGTCGCATCGGATGGAAATATCCGCCGAAGAGATCTTGTATTCGTTCATGACGGCTTTGATTTCCTGTTCGACAAGTGATTAGCCAGGAACACTCGCGAAGCATGGACATAGCAGAACCGTACATCATTGTCAATGTGTGTCAAGGGAACGGTGCTGGTAACCGCAATACCACCCTTGTCCTTCTTCTTGAAGAGAATGTTGGGGGGCTGCTTGTTGATTCGAATACCGAAGCCCTCCAATTCGTTTTCGATAACCTTCTTGTCGACCAGCGGCTTGTTGACATCCAAAACAATGAAGATAAGATGGCAAGTCTTGGCCACGGCAATAACCTGCCGACCACGACCCTTACCATCTTTGGCACCCTGAATGATACCAGGAAGATCAAGAATCTGGATCTTAGCACCGTTGTACATGACCTGTCCAGGTACCGTCGTCAAGGTTGTGAACTCATATGCGGCAGCTATTGTGAGCCAATGTCAGTACTGATCCCCGTTTTCGCTCGATTCATTTGAATGCAAGAAACTTACCTTCTGAGTGCTGGCCTGTCAATTTGCTCATCAAGGTACTCTTTCCGACTGAAGGAAAACCGATGAACCCACTGTGCAAAGGTTAGATCGCGCATTTCAATGAGATCCCTTTCAAAGTATAGAACATACACACTAGCAACACCAGTACGGGCAACATCGAAACCAGCTAAAGAATCTGCATTAACAGATTTTCGTCATTCCAATCGAATGCAGTACTTACCACCACCGCCTCCACCACCACCAGACGGGGTCAAGAGCTCTCTCTTTAGCTTCGCAAGCTTAGCCTTCAACTGTCCTGCAGCGCATTGTCAACCTCCGATTCAGATCGCGGTCGTTTTGTTGTTGTTCTGCCTACCCAAGTGGAAGGATGTGTTTTTGTTTTTTTGAGTCCGAGCCATCTGAAGAAGCGGATTAACGTCGTGAACCCTATAACGTCACAGGTACAATTGCTGCGCGGTATTTGAAACGAACCTCGTCCTCGATTTGTTTGATCTACATTGATACATGGTCCATTAGCATGATTCTGGTGACTATCCAGAGGCTAGAAGCTTGCGACATGAGCGAACCAACCTTCTCAACTGTGGTCGACATATTGGCGGTTGTTACGAGTTTTACCCCTCGTACAGGCACAGATATTTAGATCCAAAGAAAAAGAAAAAGAGATAGGGAGAAATGGAACAGTCTAGGTATATATGCGGGTTCCCAGGTCCTGTGGGATATGAATTATGTCACACGTTCTCTCCTGCCGTGGTGGTTAACCAGAAATGCAGACTTCGCAAGTTTCGCAGACAATCTTTGAAATTGTGGCCGCCACTTCATTCGCCGCTTAGTCGGGCGGAATGATCACATGGTGGGGCCTCGTCGCCTCAGGCATAATTAAGGCATCCCCGCTTATCGACGGGCGGCGGGTTTCTTGCCGGTCATGCTTTCCTTCAGTGCCCTTCTTACGTCGAGGCATTGCTTCCAATCAATTGCGAAACATTCAATCTCTTGGACATTACTATCGCGCTAACCGACTATATTCTTTTCCATCCATGTCTATCGCGCTCGCGGATTGACCAATCTATCACTATCGCCCAAGAAACAACTCCCCCACTCTCTCTCTCTCAGAAGCACATACATCTTCTCGCCTGGATCGTTGAAACGCAAAGTAGGAGGAAAATCGTGGAAGATGCCCTTCCTCAAATCCACGGACCCACCCGACAATGCATTCGAGCAATTGGTGCGCGATCTCAGCGAAACCCTAGGCTCAAGCTCGGGCCTCGACTCCGCGGATGTCGACCCTCTGGACATCCAGCGTCTCATGGCATGCTACACCTCGAACCCAGAGGAATGGCAGGATTTTGCCCTAGGTGATTCTAGTAGAACATACACCAGGAATCTCATCGATGAAGGAAATGGCAAAAGCAATCTTGTGAGTCCTGCATTTTGATATGATATAAATTTCCAACCATGTATAGCATAGATCATATGCAGGAACACTTAAATCTCCGAAGGAAAATCAAACAGACCCTAAAATGAACCACTCCAGGCTAACCATTCATCATCCATCTAGCTGATACTAGTTTGGAGTCCTGGCAAAGGTAGTCTGATTCACGACCACGCAGATGCTCACTGCGTCATGAAGGTACGTAGATCTATGCATGCATGCCACAACCTGTTAGTTCAAGACTCACCATAGCCTGACATACGGTATAGATTCTCAAAGGCTCCGTCCAAGAAACCCTCTACTCCTGGCCCGACCAGAACAAGATCAAACACGGGGAGACCTCGCCTCCGCAGATCAAGAAGGTGACAACATACAACGAGAACGAGGTGACATACATGTCTGACAAGGTTTGAATCCCTCCACCGCGTAAATCAAACAAGTCACACACCCAATCTGATCATACTGAATGAAAACCAGCTGGGTCTTCACAAAATCTCAAATCCCGATCCCCACAATTTCGCCGTTTCGTTGCATCGTACGTATCAACCCCATCTCACGCATGGTCTTCACCTTGATCGGACTGGTCTATCTCACCACCTTTTTCAGATCATATTTAGTCAACTCGGCATTAGAAACCAGTCCACTAATTTACATCATATAGTCTACACGCCCCCCAACGCCGCAACCCGCGGGTTCTCCATCTTCAACGCCGAAACCGGCAAGGCCATACACATCAAACAGTCGCATTTCTACTCCGTTCGAGGTCGACGGTGTTCGAATCCCGCGTCCTGAGTTTTGTGGTACAGTTTTTCTTTTCTTGCTCTCTTGGAGGAATTCATGCAATCAGCGTTGTGGACATTGACTTGTTGCGCGGTCGTTAGGTTCTCTCTCCTCTCCCTCTCTCTCTTCTTTTTCTTTTAGGTGTATTGGCGTTTTTCTTCCTTGGGAGGTTGCGTATGTGCGTTCATTATCTTATTTTTATGAAGATCCACGATGGAATGATGAAAAAGGGACGTATCCTTACATTGGGGCTGCTTGGGAACGGATAGACGGATAGATAATTAGATAGATCAATCAAAAGATAGAAATGGCATGAAAATGAACCCCCTACCTTAGCTACTACATACCTAAAGATTCTCAGTTAGATAGATGGAGGTCTAAAAATGTAAAAGAATTATCTAGCTTATATAGTCTATAAGGCCAATACACCCTAATAAAAATCTACTTCACGACACAAAAAGCATTGAATAGAGGAGAGGTAGTCCATAAAATGAATAGCCATTTGCTCCTGATGCATGTATGGACAGAGATATATTCTATCCACGAGAGAATAATGCTATGCATAATGTACATACAACAAAAAGGTGACAATGACGTCAGACATGTGCTAGCGAGGACGGTTGGGGACAAAATTAAACTGAGACACACTGGAGAGCAGGGCAAGCGCATGCGAAAAATAGAAGGAAGCATGACAAAAATAATAGAATAGTGAAGAGAAAACAACAAAACGTGCCAGAAACAGACGTGAGACATGGAGCAAATTGAAAGAAATTGGAATGAAGAAAGCGAGAGAGGACAATAGAGAGAAGAAGAGAGGAAGGAGGGAAAGAAACCCAGTTCATCAGACTCAAACTATATTCCAATCAATCCGGAGGTAAATCTTCTGCTGCGGCTGCAATCCTTTCAATGAGTAGATCTGGGTTCTCTAGAACCTCTGATTGACGCCGTTGCAGCTCTTCGAGGCGTGTCAACGGATTCTGTTAAAGTCCAGTATAAGTATGCCGCTCGAAGGAGATGCAAAAACACATCAACCGTGACACCCACCCAGTCCTCCTGGCTCGGCACTCCTTCGGCAACGGGTAGTTGGCCCGTGGTGAATTCCTCTTCTTCCGATGTGCTGAAGATGTGTGACGACCTTCTCCTGATGGGCATTGGCGTGACTGGCAGACTGGGACGCTCAATTTCGCTGGGGAAATGAGTCAACCGTGTGTCTGAGCCTGGTTCCGGTATTGTTTGCCCTGAGGATCCATGTCCAGAACTGGATGTACCCGATATCACCTGAACCCTGGCCTTCCGAGGCTTCTGGATCGATTGGATATACCGTTGAATCTCCGGGACGTCGTCCCATGCGTTGGACCTGGTATAGTTTTCCCATGACTCCGGAGGCTCGCTGTAAGTCCAGGTAAAAGCTGATTCCAGAGATCGCGACATCGAGTCTTCTTTGGAGAACTCTGTGGAGATCCTTGTGCTGCTATGGCTCGGAAGAGAAAGAGTACTTTGATCATCGTCCACAAACACCCGAGTGGGCTTGGGCATGTGACTCTCCCAGGGGAATATTTGCGTGAGCTTTTCAGGCTCAGGTTTGGTTTCCGGCACATCATAGTACATGTTTTTGGGGGCTTCCGGATATGAGACAGGCGGTTGGAACAGCTGGTTATCCTCTGACATGGTGTATGTCTTCAGTTCCAAAGCAATAGCTTCGGGCTTGCTGTTCAAAGGTGGAGGCTCACTATTCTCTGTAAGTCTGCATCCAAAAACAGCAATTCGGTTATTTCAACTTACTGAGGTGCGTCCCATTCTGCCTTGGGGGCTTCAAAAGTCGGGGTTTCAGGCCTAGGCGAGGATCGCTCTACCGGATGCTCTTCCTCTCCATAAGGACCTTCCTGTGGTTGGCCACTGGCTTGAGTCTCAATAGCACCTGAAGATGGCGGGTACGACGTCAGTGGGCCGACGTCTGATTGGACCCAGGATCGCTGCTCTATATGCGTGACAGACGGAGCCCCATGCGGTTGCGGTTCTATGTAAGCCGATATGTGCTCTTCCCCCCGTACATACTGTGGAACAGCACTGAAAAAGGGTGCTTGCACGTTTCGGGTAATATGTGACTGAGGTTCTTCTGTTCGTGGCTGGGGGATGTCGACAGGCGGCTCTATAGAGATGGGACCATGATGTTCGCCATGTTCAGCTTCATGTGGCGTGGAATCATCTCCACTCGATATTTGCTGCGGCGCCGGCGTTGGTGCCCAGGCTGGTTCTGATGGTATCACGCGCCGTTTTTCGGCCGGTAATCCTTCAGAGCTCGGAAGACTTTGGTCTGACGGAATGTGCGGAAGAGCTGTCGACGAAGATGGCTCCACAGGCAGGTCTGGTTGATGAGTTGCAATATCAGATTGCAGAGGAGTAGGCTCGCCCTCTGGCTGATCAGTGTTCTCCGGGACATGTTTGGGGATGTATTCCGGGACACTCGCAGCTCTCGCGACAGGACGGTAATGCCGATCGTAAATCGCCCACCACCTGCCCAGTAACTGGTTATAAGGCGAATCAGCCGGAGCCACCTGCCTCGACATGTTCCAAGGCTTCCGGGATCCGATAAAATGAATCAAGTTAATTGTACTCTGAAAATGTTTGTAGGCCGGTATGTACTGATAGTTTGCGCTGGGTGTGCAGTTATAGGTGAAACTGAGTCGATGCCAGTCCTTGAAATGCAAGTTCAGCAAGCCCTGATCCGCGCCATCAAAACTGATGCCTCGTTCTGCGAGCGCCTGCAGGGCGAAATAATCCTCCAGGTTGGGTCGCAGCACCATCAGCCCGCTGTTAAAGCAATCCGGCCAGCCGACATCCGGGACAGCGGCGAAATCCACCTCGAGATCGAGCAGCTCGTCGGGGGCTCGGAGCGCCACAACATCACAATCAATATATACAATGCGCCGGAACTGCGTTTGTCGCCAGAGCTCGATCTTAGTAAACGTGGCTATCAGGTCCGGACGCTCCATCAGCCAGAGGTTCGCCGGGGTGCTGTTCGTCATCGGGTGAACGGGGATAAGTTCATCGTATATCGTCTATGAGAGCTCTCATTAGGGCATTGCGCGTGAAACCCAGCCTCAAAGCATTGAAAGATCCTACCCGAAGCTCCTGAATGGTAGCCGGCTGTAAGGTGTCCGGCGTGTAGAGGACCACTAGTTTCGCGTTTGTTCCATTGTCGCGCAAGGAGTGAGCGAGGACCACGGCTCCTAGAGAGAGCACAGGAGCAATTTAGAACGTGTTTGGGAATCAAAAACAGCTACCGGGGATGCCAATTGTTTACCAGGGAGATAATGATCGCTCAATAGAAGCTATGGGCGCGGTCAGCATTGACTGCGACACTCGAAAGACCAAAACCAACACGTACAGTGCAGTAAGCTACACTCCCTTCGGAGCTCATGGTGGCGATGTTAACACCGCAAACAATTCACACAATTACTGCGACAAGAGAGGGGAGAATCTATAAATAATTAAGGAGTAAAATAGGAAAGAGGGAGAAAAGACAGTGAAAGGCAAGACAGGAGAAATTGAGGTGCGGTCGGAGCTTTTGTTATGATTGCCCCCCCTCCTTGCGCCGTCTAGAAACTAGAAAGTGACGTTTAGGGCCGACCCCGCATAAGCTCCAGCAGTGGCTGACGGATCTCGTACAACGGATCGAGTGAGGTCTTCCACCGGAGCTGCATTCCGGTGATAGAGCTGTCCGGAGAATTTACAAACACGTTTTCTAAGCCATTGGGGATGGAGCAAGTCAGAGGAAAACCAAAGGGAAGGAACCCCAGGGAAGGGAGAAGAAAGAAAAAAGGTGAAGCTACAGCGGGAGGCAAATATTGGATAAAAAGGGGATGGTGCGACACCGTTGGGGAGGAGAAGGAGAAGATGAGGGGAAGAAAGAGAAAGGAAAAGGAAGAGGAGGCGAAGGGGCGACAGGACGAGGCCCCGTGCGCTGCGCATCCCGTGAGGGCGGCCGCTTCTCCCCCTCGGTCAAGTACGCTGGACGCTGCTCTCGCCGTGTCTCGACCCCCCGACGACCGGCGCTTGCTCTGGCACCCCCTTCCAACCTCCTTTTTCTCGATCTCAGGGGAAGTGACACGAAAATTAGCATCAGAGTCCGATTCAGAACTTAATATTACACAAGAACGCTCAAGACCATTTATGCAACCTTCTGCACAGCGGGTGGTTGACAGAGTCACAACATACAAATCTCTTCTCCAACCAAAAATCATGGTGACACCGGGACACAGCTGAATATAAGAAAGACAACCAAGCGAGCCGAAGCAACTTAGAATCAGTTCACTTTCGAACGGTCACAGCAGCGCCCGGATAGCATCTTTGGATGGCAGCCCCGAGATCCTCTTTCTCGCCCTGGACAGCCCACTGGACCGCCTTCTCCAGGGCGGCGCAACTCTCTTTCTCCAAAGGCGTGAAATGACCGGATCGAGGAAGCTCGACAACCTGACTGTTCGGAACAAGATAATCGGAGATTCCGACCAGACACAATTGCGGATCAAGCGCCAGATCGGCCTTGCCCCACACAAAGGTCGAGCTAGCTTTCAGGGCGCCCTTCGGACCTTCGTTGAACAGTCCCGCGCCGGAACTGACTCGTCTATGCTTACCATGCTGGATGTTGTGCAGCTCAGCGATGGTCTCGGCAGACTTCTGCCAGCGTGCGAAGGCGGTGTTGTCCCGGTAGTAGGATGCCATGTGCATGAAATTCGAAAGCGTGCGTTCCTTGGAGATCGAAGAAGGGTATCCTTGACCGCCGGCAGTCTGAGTCTTGAGTTCCTCGGTAGATGGGCCCATTGTACTCGCCATGCATTCCGCAGCGTCCACAGGAGTATACTTGTCCGTCCCGTACGATTTCCTGTGAGTTAACTTGAGGAAAGAGTGGTTTCCGCCTGTGCCAAGATACTGAACGAAAGAAACGGGCATCTTCATGGCAAAGATGTATCCCGAAAGACCCACTTGCCGAATCACAGGTTTCAGGGCTTCCAAAGCCTTGAGAATCGTTGCGCGAGACTGAATAGGGGAGCGTAGAGAGGTCTTGAGCATCATGAGGGACGAAGAAAGTAGCCGACGGATATTAGACACAACGAGACGGGTCTGGCGATTTGGTCAGTCTTGATACATCAGTATCTGCACAGGTGAGCTTACCAGTGGGCCATTGCTAAGGATAAATCGATCGGCCAACTCAGGAGCTTCGGACGCAAGACGCATGGAAAGAACACAGCCCCAATCATGTCCCACGATGATGGTTCGCTTCTTGTTGGCCTCCGTTTCTCCATCGACGCCGTACTTCGACCTGACGGCCAAGATAAACCCGGTCAAGTTCTCGAGCACATCGGTAGCCGTGTATTCATCCAAGCCGTCACTGCCACCATAGCCAGGCAAATCCACGGCAACGACCGTCGCTGACTGCTGAACGGCAGGGGAACTCAGGAGATTGCGCCAAATCGCCCAGCTATCGGGAAAACCGTGGATGAAGATAACCAATGGCTTGTTGTCCGCCGTGGTCTCGGGAAGGTCATTGCAGACGTAGTGGAACTTGAACCCGTTACGTAAGGTAATTATCTGATGGTGCAAGCCGGACACGGTCTTCGAAAGGTTCCAGAGACGATCGCGAGCTGCAATTGGGTAAGGAAGTCAGTTTGACCAGAAGCGACCACAGCATTATCACATGCGCAAGGGGAGCAGTGGTTGCAACGTACCCAGTTGCAACTCCAAGATCTCCTTTTCGTCGGGTTGTTTGAAGAAATATCCCTTTATCACCGCGGTGAATCCGTAGGCAAGCAAAGTATAAAGCCCATAGGCGAAAAACACGGCCTGTTTCAGACCATTGAGGAGTGGGTTGGCCATGGGTGGCAGCAATAGGGGAGAGACCCTGCTTCAAAAGGATGAAATTTCCAGGCCGTGATCTGATACCGACGGGGAGGAGAGAATATCAAACACACGAGAAAGAAAAAGAGAGACACAGTGAGAGACACAGTCCGCCACCTCGGCAGGTTACGTCTTAGGTATTTATAGGTGAATGCTCCATCTGCCCACGGTGCTACTCGGAATTAGTGCAACCGTTTAGATTTGAAGCGGGCGCCGTGGGTTAAGCTCCGCTGCCGAGCGGCCATTGGCTTCTCTGCCCGCCCCGTGAGCCCAGCCATGTGAATGACGGAGTTGAGTGCCTCATCCTTCAGGCGTAGAGCACGTGCCATCTCGCCATCCCCGTTTGACTTCGGTCCGGTCCCAATTCGGTATCCAGCGGAGTTCTCATGCGCTCATCGAGATAAGATACTTGTCGATCCTGCTGTTCTTCGGAAACCCCCACTGTGATTATACTATTCGGATAATATCACCGTTGGGTTTTCGATGCTACTTCATAATGTCTTGTGTGATGGATACAATCAAATTTACACCTGCATATCAAACAGCATGCCACTTCAAGCATATGCATGAGAATACGTACAATATCCGCAAGTCAGCGTGCATCTCCGGCTGTTGTTGTCGCAACAACAAAGAATTGTACTTCTTCCGCATGTTACACACAATGCTGCCACACAAATGCTGAATCGCATTGTTATATAGCCAGATCTCAGAAGATAAAATAAACCGAAAAATAAAACTAGAATAAGCAGAACTCCATACACCATAAATGCAGCCAGACAATGCAAACCCCAATCCGCTAAAAACGATGCTTGCGGGTATCGACTCGGAGCGCGCATAATGCATAGATCACACAATCATGTCCTGATGGAACCATCGCACGTAAGTTCGTGTCACATATACAGTCAAGAGAAGATTCAACAGAAACCAGTCTCTCGGGCCAGAGATTCAAAGAGCAAATCCCAAGTTTTCTCGGTTATCGTCAACAAGTCGTCCATATCTGTCAAACTAGATTAGAAAGACCGCTTAGCTTTTCGCGACAAATATTCACTCACTCTAGTAACAACCTGAAGAGCCACACCTCCATGTCTTCGTTGCGCAAGGCACTTTGGGCCCAATCACGGCTCTGCTGGGCAATCCGTGGAGCTGCAGTCTTGCCTTCTTCTTCGGCAGTAAAGTATCGCATAGTCTCCAGATATTCATCGCCCGTCAAGCCTAGAGGGACGTAATGTACCCATGGCTTGACCCATTCGTCGTGCCATTCGCGGAAAACGGACACCTTACAGACCAAGCTCTTGCTTTGCAAGAAGGCATAGTACCGACCGCTGAAGGCGTTGCCGTCAATGTCCACCAGATACTTGTAGGCCCAAGCATCCTGTTGCTCAGCTGGTTCGGCAAGTCGAAAGTATTCTCTTTGAGCGGCGCAGTCAACGGAATCACACTGTCCGATGGAAGTAAATGCAACGTCGAATAGATCACGGTAGGCATTGCGATCCACTTCGTTTGACTCCCAGCGACCGGCCTCATTCTTTCTGAGTACCTTCGCTTTGTTCAGGGCATTGATATGACCGACAAATAGCTGTCGATGGTGTCGTCGCCAGCCGCCACCTCGAGAAAACCCGCCTGTCGTTGACCCTCTCCAGTACAATTGATTCTGTTTTTCTTCCCAGTCCATGTCGCGCGCTTCGATGTAAGGCACGTTGTTAGCCCAGTACCACGGGCTAGGATAAAGAATGTCTTGAAAGCTCGAGATCTTGCTCTGCGAGAAAACGGGGAAGAGATCGCGGACAACGTCAAAGGCATTTGCGCGCTCCAAAAACCCAAACTTGTTCCGGAGAGACGGTGAGGTGCATACGTCGGAGAAAGCGGTGGTATTGTAGATATAACCAAGCTCGCCAAGCGCATAAGCATCAACGACGTCGGGTGCATTTTCATCGAGCGAGCGAGCGGGACTATCCACCGGACAAGAAGCACGAGAGCTGGTCCAAGTAGGTTGATGAGCGAAGCGATTGAATCGAGTCGTGCGGACTTCGTCAATCCGATCGCCCTTGTTCAGCTCGGCCGGTTTAGCTGACCACGCATTGACCGGCTTTTGATTCTGAAAAGCGCTCGGAATAGCATGGTCCTTGGCGATACTGACCAGCCTCTGCAGATCTTCGCTGGGAAGGATAACTCGCGGCTCATCGTGCGCATTGAACACCAAGTCCATGTCGGGCAGATGCTTGACAAAACTCTTCATCATGCCCGCGGTGGCATCTCTCTGCCATTTTTGCTCCTCGGTGCCACCCTCGACCAGAGTGACTTTTCCATCTCGGATAAGGACACCCAGCATAGAATTGTCGAACCCAAGAGCCTCGTGCGCGCGTTCGCGAATTTTCCTCGGCTCCAGAGCCCAGAATGGCAAGAGGGAATGATAGATCGTGTCGTACTCGTCAATAAGTTGGACGCCCCTTGCTTTAGCAAACTGGAACCACTTGTCGAAGTGCGGCGGGGGGTTCATGCCATAACGACGACGGTACTCAATTACGGCCTCATTCAAAGTTTTAGACTGGCGTGATCGGAGCTGGTCGAATTGCTGATCGGCATTGGAAATCAGGCCAGACATCGGGTGTTCAGTTTCAGGGATGTCTGGGCCATGGCTCTCGAAATGTCGGGTGGGCCCTGGAGGGGATGAAAGAGGGGCAGAGGAATGCGGAGGAGGAGAATAAGGAGGAGGTAAAGGAGAAGTGCTCAAGGAATATGAAGATCCATGTCCTCGAAGTAGAACCACCGAAAGGCATGCCAGAACGGCAATTACCAACAAGGCCACCAGGCGTTGAAGTCGCATCCTGCCATCGAAAAGTATCTATCCATGTATGAAGATGAACAATCAATCCTGTGGAGATAACCAACTAGAGATAAGGACGAGAAGGAGAGGAGACAAGGAAGGGAGGAAGAAGGCGCTGACTGTGCAAGAGTGAGCCTGAAGTTGATGGGTGTAGATACCTGGACACCTGAATCAACAAACAGATGCCAAGACCGGCGCCCTAACAACCGGCTTACGACGTCTCCACTTTCGACTTGATCTGGACTCTCAGATCTCGAAAATCTGAATCTGATGTCATTCATATAGTAGTACTACCCATTTCCATGTACGATAACTACTGATCTATCAATGGTCTCCCTCCGCATGCCACCGCTGTCCAGGTATCTGTCCCCCATCCACCAATATATCCGTCCCCGTTATAAATGAAGCATCCTGACTTGCAAAAAACCCAATAACCCCGGCGACGAGCTCCCGATGCTTCAATTTGCGCCAGGGTAGATTCCTGTAGATTGCCTTGCATTGCTCGCTCCGACATCGCTGTTAAGATAACGCCCGGACTGACCGAATTGATGCGGGCTCCTCTCTGGCCCCATTCGTAGCACGCAGCCTGTACACGGAGGATGTTGCCCCGTTTCGATATCCCATACGCGGACATCGTGTCGCTCGAGCTCAAGTCAAGCTCTGCGTGCTGAAGAAGCTGGTCTCTCGGTGCTTTGGCCAGGTGTTGCTCCAAGGCGGAGGACAGCGTGTTGTTTTGAGCTGCCATGCTTGTGATACAGATCATGCTGGTACCAGGAGAAGCTACCATGAGGAAAGAATCAATCACATTGGCGCTTCCGATCAGGTTGATCTTGTATATCTGGGAAGTAGTGTTATTCACCGGAGACACTCCAGCCGTGTAGACGATGACTTCGATACTTCCACGGCTAAAGGCGTGTTGCGCAAATTTCAGCACCGCGTCGGCGTCGCTGATGTCTAGAATATGGCCTTCTGGCGAGAAGGCTTTCTAAGGCCGAAACTAACTGTGTCTTTGAGAAGTCCGCAAGGAGCACTAGTCTGCTATCTCCGAGGCGACGCGCAATGTCAATACCCATGTCGCCCGACCCGATAATGACGAGCACGGGGCGGCTTGTGAGCAGAGTTGGGAACATAGCCGAGGTCATTGAAGTCATTTTCTTTTTATAGATATTGAACCCTATGATGTTCGACGATCGTGGTTCTCGGTAATACAGCGTTTCTTTTGAACAGATTCGTTTCGATTACAACTAGAAGTTTCAAACGGTCGGCCTCGAAATTTCTAAGAATGCGAAAAGACTTTGGGTATTGTTACATGCAGATATCCGGCGCTTAGCTTGAATAAGTCTTCATATATTTAAATCTGCGGCTAAACGTCTTCGAACAACAAGGGGGTGAAGGACCGAGCGCATAGTCTCTATATGGAAAGTAAGTGCGAACAGGTTCTAGTCCTCAAATCTTTCAAATCCGTCTTTCATAACCAACCACCAATGTCACAACCCAGGTCCTATCGTTTCACAGTCCAACCACATGCAAAATTGATTCCAAACCCCAGCACGGCCTCTAAAACAAACAGCTGGGCCTGAGGAACATGAAAGTAAGCCGCAAAACACAAAGCCCCTACCAAAAATAGGTGCGTGATGTAGAAAGCCTGTCGTTTGGTTTTGATCGGGGCAGTAGTCCAGGACCACATGCCACGAGAGGCACTCAAAGGTCGTGCGAAACCCATCAGTAATATCGCCATGGTGATTCCACCAAGACCCCATTGAACATCGGCGTCTTGGATACGTTTCTCTATTAGCGAGCTAAAATCCGGATGACTGGACTGTATAAAGAAAGATAGGTACAAGATAGCATGTCCGGCAAGTAACGGCGACAGGACCAATCGGCCTAGGAGCCGATGATAGGGCGTTAGAAACGGCTGTGGAATAGCCGTCAACACTGACAGAGGCGATGGCGCTCCGGGTTTCGAAGGAGCGATGTATAGAGCAGGCGACATGAGCACTTGGAAGGGGAGCTGCGAGAGGCCAACATGGCCTAAAGCTTTGGTGAGATGCAGGTAATCTATCCGTGCAATTAGCTGGGTTCCCCGACAGAATTCGGTGCATGTGAGCAAAGATACTTACCATCCCCTGTGTTCCAAATCGAAAGACTCACTAGCCATGCTAGCCAGAGGAGAGAGAAGATATATTGCTTTCGTGTTTCGGTCCAGCCCGGAAAGAGCGGAGAATCCAACCATGATTTCGGCTTACGAGCGCGTCTGTTGTTGGGTTTATCTGCGCTCTTTGTACTTTCATGGTAGATATGATATAGTCGAATGATGGCAATGACTAGCAACACGGAGCCTTGAGCATAATATCCGCGAATGGTTAGAAGCTCCCGACGCTGTTGCTTCTCGGCTGGTGAGACGGTCACGAAGTGCCAAGGCCACGTGAGTGACATCGCAGAGGAATATAAAGGGGATTCTATAATGACCAGAAAGAAAAAGGGAGAGATAGATAGTAGACTAGTAAAACAGAATCAGGTGAAGGTGTGCTGTACGCGATAAGAGAGACGCGCATGAAGAAGGGCTGAGCTGTGATGGCGGCAGATCTACAAGTGGCCCATTTCGACGGGGAGAGCCTGACTAACCCTCCGCCTGCGACTGGTCAAATAACTGCGCAAGAAAGGGTGCCCTAGGCTACTTTTTTTCTGCGCTTTAAACACGTGAACCTAGCTCTAACATAAGAACATCACCATTGGATTTTCATAGGATTATTTGATAGTGGACCAAAAAGACTCTACATTGCATGCGCCATGAAGCATTTCATCCCAGTCAGGTGACCCGACCATTTCTAAGCTGACGAATCGTCATTTCCCCCCCAAAAGCAGTGTGAGTATACGATTTTCATTTCCCACTCGTAAGAAAGTGTTCTCTTAACACGTGTAGGCAGCCGACCGAGACCTACGCCGAGTCGTGGCATTCGTTCACGGCGAAGTCTGCATCACCTCCTCGTGGCCGCCTGCGGCAGTCGTTGCAAAGTACCGAACGTCAACATCCTCGTCCTGTTGCAGTTTCTCTAAGCTCGGGAGAACCCGCTGCTGGATGAGGTCCTGGCTGCGTGGCGATTGAGTTGCGGTTTTGCCCGACTTCTCCAGGTCCGTCAAGGTGCCCTCCGCCGGGAGGCGGCGCATTGTGTCAATCAATACTGCGTAGGACTTGGCAACGTTGAAGCGGATGTTCGGAATCTCATCGGCCACGAGTCTGTCCATGATGGGGAGTATCGAGTTTTCAATGATGTCCAGAGAGACAACGGGCGCAAGGGTCTAGATGAACATGTTAATATGGCATTTTCTAGGAAAGACGGAAGGCAAGCATACCGAGATAGCGAAGCATGTCGTCATTCTGTACAGGTAGTTGGGGTGCTGTCCCATCGCCATGACCTTAGGAATAATGGACCCCTTAGCCCAATCAACGCCGAATACTTCCGTGAGCTTCCGCAGATTTTGCGTAGCGGCCTCACGGATGGAGAAAACGGTGTCACCAAGCCAGCCCATGCAGAGGTCGCTGAGCTGTTCATCGAAGAACTTGACTCCCAGCTGGCTGGCAAGAAGAGGGATATACTCAATGATTGCGAGGCGAACTCGCCATTGCTTGTCTTCAGCCAGTTGGACAATGGCGGGGAGAAGCGACTGAGAGAGGAGTTCAATGCCGATGACTGTACAAGGTCAGGCTATGCGCATTCAATATGACATATCTACCGGGATGCAGTGCTTACCATTGTTGACCAGCTCCAACTTAGAGATAATGTGCAGGCGGACATCAGGGAATTCATCCTTGAGCATCTGGAGGAACATCGGAAGAAGATGGGCAATCGTCCTATGTACAAATAAAATGGTTAGCGCCTTGATTCAGTCGACTGTAGGAGACAGATGTGCTTACTCGTCCTTGCCAAGCAGTGGCGCAAGGCCACTGATTTGGGTACCCAAAGCTGCACGCACGTGTTGAGACGGGTCCGAAACAAGATCTTCCACACTGGTCATGATTTCGTTGAGAAGCGTTTCCCGGTCAATGAGACTGCAGAATCCTGTTGCAACATTAGCCTATGACCATATCCGAAAAGAAAATAAGAGACCTACCTGGGATCTGGCCCGCAATCGCAGTACGGACTTCAGCTTCGGTATCCTTCAGAAGCTTAACGAAGGAGGGCACCATATCCCGGGTCACAACCTCCTCGTGCACGGCTTTAGCGATCTGGAAGACAGCGTTAGAAGGGCGTTCATCGAAGATATGTCAGAACAACACTTGGCGAACCAACCTTCTCGTATCTATCGGCAACCATGTATCTAACCCTCCAGCTCTTATCCTCGAAGAGGCTTCGCAAAGAAGTCAACAAGACACCGTGGCTAGGCTGTTGCTCCTTGGGGATCTCCTCGGCGATCGCAATGAGAATATCGACCGTGAGCAGACGCACGCTATCCTGGTCGTCATTGGCCAGATATTGAAACAGGGGTATCATTTCCTCAATCACGACTTGAGTGTTCAATTCCTTAACGAACTTGGCGAGGTTGTTTGCTGCCTGCCGTCTCACCATGGGCGTTTCGTCGTGTACGAGACCTCCGAAGTATTGGCGGAGACTTTGCTGCAGCGGCTGGGGAGCCTTGCTGTATGGAGCACAGTAGAGACCGGTAGCAGAGACTTTCGAGGTGAACCAATCGGCTTTCGAGAGTCGTAGGACCATGGGGACGAAGTAGTCTTCGATTTGCTTTTGAGACAGTTGTTCGCCGATCTTGTTGAGGGATTCCACGGCCTATGAAAGTGTCATTTAGTCTGTTCCCTCAGCATCAATCATCTCACCTACCTTTTCTCTAACCAAGGGTTCCTCAATGGCGGCCAAGTTCTCCAGAGGAGAAAGGAGAACGTGTCCGTATTCCGAGCCGCCGACATACTCTGTGAAGTTACCCAACTCTTCGCTCAGTGCGGTCAAAACTTCATCCTCATCCTCGACGGAATCTAGGAACGTAAGGGTTAGGCGGGTGATGTCACTGGAGAGGCAACGGCGGCAACTGACCATCAAGGAATGGGATGAGTTCCTCGCGAGTCCGCTCGGGCCCCAAGGCCAGAGCAATCGTGGACAGACGGTGGATGGCATTGAGACGGAGGAGGACGTCGTCATGCTAGAAGAGGCGATCGTCAGAACCTATTACGCCGACGACCACGGGGGAGTCACGAGGGACACCGCACCTTCAACTCGTCGATAAGAACAGCGATAGGGTAGAGCTCGTCGTTTTCACCCTGACCCTCCATAGCGAATGTGATGGATTATATGCTTAATATGTGCTCGGAAGAAGGAAAAAGGCGAGAGGCGAGGATGTGACCGGTCCCAGTCCTCACTCAGGCAGCTGATTATTGTTGCTTTTAGACCAGGTCTCACGCGGAACCCGGAGAGAAGACTCGGAGGTAATCTAGAACGGAGGGGCAGACCAAAAAAGGAATAGGAAAGACCAAGTTTAGCACCTGCTCGGATGCGGATTAGCCTGTGTAGTCGAGGGAGGCGTGGTGGTATAGGAAGGGATAAAGAGTGGATGCTGCGAGAGACCCCCGGAGCGAGGTTTCGTGGGGTTTGGGCCGCCGCAGGACGACAAGTGAGCAACAACAGAGCAGCAGTAATAGCAGCAGCAGCATACCTCGACAATTGGATTGGGGCCAAACAAGCGATGGTCCAATATTTTGGGGAGCAGAAACAAAGGGGGAGGGGTGAATTAAGAAGGGGATCCGAGGCGGAGAGGGAGAGGGGGGGGAGCAATCTGATAAAAAAGAGGACTTAACAGGGTAGGATTGAATCTTGCGAAGGAGAGAAGAGATGACGGTCTGCCTTTCCTGAGCTGTGGCTGAAGAACGGGAAAGTGACCGTACGGAAATGGTATGGTAATCCCGTTCTTTTGGAGGGGTGTCTGTGGCGGTGCATCTGCTGTGGCTGGTCGGCCCTCCGAGAAGGGTCAAGCCCCAAGCAGCAAAAGTGCGACTTTATGACTCCGACTCTCTGCCAGCGCAACGCCGCAATTCCCTACCCCACTTCGTTCTGGTTGGATTCCTGTCTGTTCTCCGGTTGAATCGTGCAGTGCCGATTCTCCTGGTGCAAGGGTACTTCCTGTCGCTTGTTCTCTGACCTTGCCTATCTTCCCCTCTGCGCATCCAAGAAACCCCTCCATCATGCCCACTATCTCGGTCGACAAGGCCGCGCTCTTCAAGGAGCTCGGACGGGAGTGCGCAATCCCTTTTGATCTCCTCGGAATATAGTCGCTGATTATCTGGCCTGCAGTTATACCACCGAAGAGTTCGATGAGTTGTGTTTCGAGTTCGGTATGTTTGTTGAACTGTCCGTTTCTGCGGGGTTGATGCTAACGTTGCTCGATAGGTATCGAACTTGACGAAGATGTACTTTAACCCTCCTCCGCCTCTATATACACGTCTTTCTAATCGCCGAGAACCTATAGACCACGGATCAGGACCGACCAATCGTCGATGGAAAGCAGGTTCCGCCTGAGTTGAAGATCGAGATCCCGGCCAACCGGTACGCCCTCTCCGATGCCCACAGAGGCTGATAACGCAAAGCGCATGGAACTGAGTGGTTTGGCAGATATGACTTGCTGTGTTTCGAGGGAATTGCCCTTATGCTCAACATCTTCTTGGGCAGACAGCCTCTCCCCAACTACCGGCTCACCCAGCCGGCCAGTGGAGAGCTGGAGAAAATCATCGTGAAGGAGGACGTAAGTGTCGCACCCCGAAGCCTCCCTGCGGATCAATCTAAACTGAGCATCTGCACATAGACCATGAAAGTCCGACCGTTGGTTTCCGGTGCCATCCTCCGCAACATCAAGTTCGACAAGGCCCGTTATGAATCTTTCATTGCTTTGCAGGACAAGCTGCACCAGAATCTTGCTAGACAGAGAACGCTTGTGTCCATCGGTACCCACGACCTGGACACGATAAAGGGACCTTTCACCTACGAAGCCCTGCCGCCGAAGGACATCAAATTCACCCCTCTGAACCAGACCAAGGAGTTGGATGGAGAGGAACTGATGGCTTTCTACGAGGTATGACTGGGACATACGGTAACCCACAGGCTTAAATGCTTACAATCATCGCAGAAAGACAGACACTTGGGCAAATACCTTCACATTATCCGAGACTCGCCTGTCTACCCGGTGATCTTTGATTCCAACCGGACCGTCTGCTCGCTGCCGCCCATCATCAACGGTGACCACTCGAAGATTTCGCTGGACACGAAGAATGTCTTCATTGAGATTACGGCCCTTGATAAGACCAAGGTTGAGATCGTAAACAAAATCATGGTTGCGATGTTCTCCCAGTACACGACGGAACCCTTCACGTATGAAATCTCCGTGTTCTGTGGCCCAGAAAATGAGACATGCTAATTTGTTAATCGATAGCATCGAACCCGTCCAGATTGTGTCCGACCACAACAACGCGACCAGAATTACCCCGGACATTGCACCCCGCACGACCCAGGCGGAGGTTTCCTATATCAACCAGTGCTGCGGTCTGGAGCTATCTCCCGAGGAGATCTGCAACCTGCTGAAGAAGATGGCCTATGATGCCAGACCGTCCAAGACCTCCCCTGACCTTGTCGATGTGGACATTCCCCCAACCCGTGCCGATGTACTCCACCAGGCAGACATCATGGAGGATGTTGCCATTGCGTACGGATTCAACAATCTTCCCCGTTCTTTCCCTAGCAAGTCCGGCACCATTGCCCAACCTCTACCGATCAACAAGCTGTCCGATATCGTCCGGATGGAAGCGGCCATGGCAGGCTGGTCCGAAGTCTTGCCTTTGATCCTGTGCTCCCACGACGAGAACTTCGCCTGGCTCAACCGCAAGGACGACGGCAACACTGCCGTGAAGCTTGCCAACCCTAAGACCCTGGAGTTCCAGGTTGTGCGTACCAGTCTTCTTCCCGGTCTGTTGAAGACGATCCGTGAGAACAAGCATCACTCCGCGCCCATGAAGATCTTCGAAGTCAGCGATGTCGCCTTCAAGGATCTGTCCCTGGAGCGCAAGAGCCGAAACGAGCGTCACTTCGCTGCGGCGTGGTACGGCAAGACCAGTGGATTCGAGGTCGTCCACGGCCTGCTGGACCGCATCATGGCGATGCTCAAGAGCGCCTTCATCACCGGCGAGGAGGGTCTTGAGAACCCCGCCATGAACGACTCCCAGTACTGGATCGAAGAACTTGACGGTAAGTCCCCAAGATGGCCGCACAATTTGCAGAAAGATAGTTTACTAACGCTTTTCGGATTCTACAGAGCCCACTTACTTCCCCGGTCACTCCGCCTCCGTGCACGTGCGCATCGCGGGCAAGGACCACGTGATCGGTGCCTTCGGTATCCTGCACCCTACGGTGTTGGAGAAGTACGAGCTGAAATACCCCGTCAGCACGCTGGAGATCAACATTGAAGCTTTCCTATGAGCGAAAGGGTAGACGAAAAGCGCCTTAGACATTAAAGTGTAGAGCATAGATGTGCTTGACCACTTAACATATACGCCTAGAACGCCGGTGTTACGACCAAGAAAAAATTAGCTTCTTTTTAGTTTGAGACAAATTCAAAAAAAGATTACAGTTGATATGTACTGCGTAGTCGACTTGGACCCGGGGTAGATTTCTGACGTCAAGGAAATCCATACGAGATTGAATAGTATGCATGGGGCCAGTCAAAAAGGCAGAAAAAAGAAATTACGGCGTATGCGAGATGGAGTGTTTAAGATGTTTTTTCCGTGATATTTTGCTTTTATGTTGATTCCAGAGATCTGGAGTCCACCATACGCCAATGGAGGGAAAAAGTATAAGAAAAAAAAATAATATATGAACCGTAAAAATCTTTTTTGTTTTGTTCTTTTGGAGAAGCCCCGTAAATTTTCGTTTCGGACATCAATCTTTTTGGGTTTCATCCTACCCAGATCTTTCACTAGTATTAACATTCTTTTCTCTTCATCTTTTCTTTTTCAGGAACAGATTCGTAGAATGGAAGACGCCTTCCGCAGCAGAGGTTGGGGATGCGGCGAGAGGAGAGACATTGGAAGATCATGTAGTTGTTTATTTGCGTCAGGTAAAGAAACAAGGTAGGACGACAGGAACGAAGAAAAAAGAGCAGGGCCTAAGAAAAGAAACCAGATTACTCCTGCGCAAAAGCCTCCGCGCCGGCACCTTCCTGACCCTCCGTGGCCTGCTGCTCGGCCAGGCGCTGCTGCTCGGCGAGCTGCTGAGCGGCCAGAGCCTTGGCACCGTAGTCCTGGCTCATGGGCTGGAGGATGGGCTGCTCCTCCTTGGGCTCGATGATGGTGACGGAGTCGGGGAGAGTCTTCTGGGGGCCGGCCTTGCCCTCGGGGTCAGAGCCACGCATGATCTTGACCTTGATACCAAGGACACCCTGGCGGAGGAGAACGTGGCGAGTGGCGGAGTCGATGAATTCCTTAGCGGGCTGACCGGAGTGGATCATGAATCCGTCCTAGAGAGAGAAAGATCGCAAGTCAGTTATGCGTTGACGCATTGTCGGTAAATCCGTTGTGCTGAAATCGTCTCCGAAACGTATATCCCAGATCTTCCCCATTCATACTCTTTGAAAGATATATCCTTCCAACACGATTCAGACCGGATTCCTTTCGGGGTTCAAACATACAGTGAACTTCATGGACTTGGCACGGGCAGCACGGAGCTTTCCGGAAACGACAACCTCGCAACCCTTGGCACCGCTCTCCATGATGAAACGGAGAACACCGTAGCAAGCACGACGGACGGCCAGACCGTTGAGGAGCTTGTAGCGGAGGGACTCGCACTGAGCGACGGCGGAGAGACCGCGGTTCTGGACCTTGGCGGCATAGAGGGAGACGGAGTTCTCGGGGAACTTGAAGCGCTTCTGGATGAGAGAGGTCAACTCGCGGATGCGGCGACCCTGCTCTCCAAGAACCTCCTGGGTGTGGGTGGCACGGATGACTGCGAAGAAAAGAACACCCGTTAGCATTCAAAATCGATCCATTTCGTCTTGTTGTGTCCCATGTGATCTATTCCTTCCGCCTATGCGCTGCTTTCGTTGTGTTTTGATTTTTTCATGTTCCGTTCCTTCTCCTGTTCTTCCTCATCCAACAACTTCTTTCCCCATCTCATCCCACACTGGGCACGAAACAAATAACAAGGATGTGGAATCGAGCGACGTACTGATGTCGGTGACGGTGGGAGTGACACGGACTTCGACACCCGAGTAGCCCTCCTCAGCCAGCTCGCGCTGGAAGAACTCGTTCAACTCGGCATAGAAGACACCGTCGGCGACGAACTTGCGGCGCTTCGAAATAGCTCCCTGGACAGCAGCCATGATTTCGTTTCTGCGGGTTGGATTGGGTTGTCGAAGAAACGGCCGAGGACGCGGTTGTGGCGGAGCTCCAAAGTTGGGAAGTCGTTCGAGGGCGAAATGGTCGGCAATCGTCGAGATCAGTTTTGAGATTCCGCGTTAGTGGGGGATTTTTTGGCCGGTAGGGCTTAGGGTTTAGGGCTCTACACCGCCTGCTACTTCGGGGCGCTTCGGGGCTGCTCGCTGGGGTGCCTGATCCGTCGGGCACCCAGCTATGTCATCGAATACGCTTGGACCACCTCTTAAGAATAACTCCATCTTTACTCCGTACACCGTATGTACATCAACATCTCACAATTGGAGGTTGGCTTTGGTCACATCATGAGCAAACGTAAAGTCAACAGCACTTCATAGCCATGCACACTCATCACAGTTCTAGACATGTTCTAGGCCAGTCCAGTGGTGGCCGATCATTACCATAGATACATCGAATCGTTAAAAGTCACTTCCAAAGTTTTTAAACTTGAGCAAATGGGACTCTCATTGCATCTCAACTTCCATCTGACTGATAGCCTTGGAAGCTTGGCCATTTTCCTTGTTCTTCGAGAAGGACAAGTCAGACACTCCCAAGGACACGTCATCCATCTCGGCTGCGACAGCCTTAGGGGACTCTCGGTCATTTGCTGCGTTTCCAACCGGACTGTGAGAGGATTCAACCGCGGTCAAGACCGGTGTTCTGGCGCGGGACGTATCGCGGCTGATTGGCGCAGTAGCACTGGCCGAGCGAACGCCATTCATTTCGGCATCTGTCCGGCCAAATGCCTCGCTCCACCATTTGACTTCATTCAGTCGAGGGAAGATCAGACGCTCTTTGCCGCGCTTATGGTCGTCGATGATAGAATCATACTGCGGGTTGAGAAATTGTTCCCTCCGAGCGAGGAAGTAATCCCACACGCTCCGAGTCCGCTCTTTTGCCTTCCAGTCCACGCGCTCTTTTTCGCTGTTGAAGAGGAAAGTGCCAAATTGGCAGGCGTAGAGGTGATAGAGTAGCCGTCGCAAAAACCGTTCATTAAACTCGAATCGTGTAGGATACTGGTGTAAGAGCTGATAGGTTGCATCCAAGAATTGATGGAAAACGGGGCTTGTCTCCTTCACCTTCGTTACTTCTTTCTCCGGACCGGCTGATCTTGGTGCCGGGCTGGGGTTCTTAAGGCCGGGTTTATCAGAGTCATAGCTTTGCATTTCTCCCTCCGAGTCAGGAAGAGAATCACGACTTGTATTGTCCCGGTTGAAGAAGCCTTTGGCGCTCAGGAATGCGTTTTCAATAGCCTTACCGGCCCCTCCGGAATCGCCAAATCCACGGTTGGAGTCGCCCCCAATTCTTTCATTCTCGATTTGGAACCATTTGTCACTATTCAGGTGACCAGATCGATGTCGGAACATGTGCCCAAAAGACAGCCAGTCTTTTTCCACCAGTACCATAAAACCTTCCATGGTCCGATAATAAGGGTCAAGGCACACTTGACTTAGAGCACTCAATTGACTTGTTCGGTCCCATCCATCGGAGCAGTGGATCAAAACATGCGAGTGTTGAAGACCAACCTGACGAGCGATCAAGCCAGCGCCGTCTAAAATGCCAGAGATATGCTTCAGCCATCCGCTGCGTGCAAGGAGGTCTTTATTTGGCCCCAAAGGCGTAACATCGGACTCCTTTAGCGCATCGATTACCTTGTTCAAAGAGTCCCTCATGACGTGAATATTGTCGATCCCGAGGTACGCTTTCGTCGCGAACTTATAGTTGTCCATATTTTCAGAGCCAAGGCCCACGGCTTGCATGGCAAACGCGTTGACAGTTGGCCGCGCGTCGACAATCAAGTTATGCTGCTGAGCCCCATATACATGGGGCTTCTGCTCCGTGTCACCTTGGAACGCCAACATCTCTTCTTCCAGCTCCTCGGCGTTGGTTAAGGTAATTCCCGCCTGATTACTTGACATGTCACCCTGCGTCGAGCTGGAAGATTCGCTTTCAAGCTGCGCAGGAGTAATGCCGGCCAGTGGTCGTTCTGAGCGGGAAGTTGAGAAAATCGCGGCTAATAATTTCTCATCCTGAATGGAACGGTTCTGACGCACACCCACCAGGGGCTGCGAACTTCGGGTAATCGAGCAATTGTTAATAGGGTGAAGATATGTCAGGACAGGAACCCTTGCTCTCGAACGATAGCGTCCTGCATAATTGAGCGTGTTGTCAGAAATGGCGGATGGGATCGGGAAAATCGCAGGATATGTCGGAGAGAACTGGATTTGCAGTCAGCAGGATGCCATCGGAGGCCACAGCAAGAAGTTTTTACCCCGTAGTCCATGTTTATTTGAGATATACGCCATCCATGGCCTTCCTGGTCCACACCTTGCCTAGCCCACTCTTTACGTGGGTTGTACAGCTCCCAACCGTTGAGCTCACGCTCCGGGGGAGGCGGCTGGTAGGTAAATGCATAGAGTTTATCGATCCGGCCCACTTTGCATGTCCATCCCTTAATGCATTCGTATACATCACGCGCCTTGGATTCACTAGCGAAATAGAAGCACACGAACGCAAAATCACGACACCGCAGACGGATTGAAGAAGGCTGGCGGGAAGCCGCGGGAGTCGGACGATAGGTGCAGAAAGAAATTATCGGATAGGTTATCCAAAGCTCTTTCGGCCTTGTGGGCGTATCCTGAGTTTGCACGTTGTTGGGAGTCGGGGGAAGGTGGGAGAAGATAATGTGGTGAGGGGTGAGGTGGAGGTTGCCAACGACTTGTTCACCACGACGCGCCAAGGTCACATCGTCAACCTTTGGGACATCAAAGGAAACATATTAGCATATTGTTACTTGCAGAAACATCAAGGAGGCAGCATACCTTGGCGACCCGTGTTCTCTCCATGCCTTTGCTATTATTTGATCCGCCTCACCTTCATGGCTGACCCTTCATTGAGAGTATATTGGAGGCAATCCTGTACAGTAGGAGAGCTAGTAGTATAAGATAGTGTATGCAATATGTGCTCAATATTGACAAAACAAGGGTCAGAAACCAAAGAGAAGGACGGAGTTTAGAGCGGGTTTGGTGGAAGCTGGAGGGAGGAATTCCGGGGACAAAACCAGCGGGCAGCACGGGACCGGTCAGATGCGGAGCCCCTCGCTAACCAAACCAACTCGTCTACGTCAAGGTCCAGTGATGCTTCCTCCTTCACTCCTTCCCTCCCTCCACCTCTTCGGACTTACATCGACCAATTGCCCTGTCTGACAAAAGTGGTACAGCTGCAGGCAATATAATCCAGGAGAACCCTCTTGATAGTAATATTTTGGTCATGTTTCCTGGCTTCGTAGTCAGGTTGCTCTATACTACGTTCTGCCATTCGACTTGTTACAACGTTTGAGTGCTCCGTCTATTGCCAATAACTGATCGTTCGCTCCCTTATCTCAGCATCTGCTATTTAATCTGTCTGCCAGAAACATCCCACTGTGTCTTCATTTCATGCCCAACGACACATGTCCATGTCCAATGCGCATTAGCGCATGCGACGGCAGCCACTACTAACAAACTTCCTTCGATCCTTGTACAATCATGCTTGATTCAGGCCTATCACCACCCACTGTAGACGATATCTTCCGATATCGCTATCAACATGGGACGAATCTAGGATCTGTTTTCATGCATGGCCCGTGGTTAGACAACAGCGTGTTTGAAAATGACCCAGACGGCTCAAGGGAACTCGAAGCACTGAAAAGGTTGAACCCCAACCAGCAATGCCGTCTCCAGTCTTATGATCAACTTCAAAGATTCGTGCTGATCTAACGAGATATCTCAGTTCACTTCACGAGAAAGGACTCAAGCAAACCACGTCTATATGGCAAGCTCACTGGCTTTCTGCTTTAACCGGGCAGGACTTGACATGGCTCAGAGATGTCGCCAAATGCAATTCGATTCGTCTACCTATTGGGTTTTACACTCTTGGGCCAGCCTTTTGTCTAGGCACCGGCTTTGAAGGAGAACCATCTCAGGTGTATACAAGCTGTTGGAATACCCTCAAGCACTTGATACTGAAATGTCAACTTTACGGCATTGGAGTCTTGATTGACCTTAAAAATATCCCGGGTGGTCAACTTTGCTCTCAGGATGAGAGCAGCGAAACGGTAAATGTTTGCGCCAGCATTCACAATCGGATATTGGTCAGGGACTGCCTCGCTTTCATCGCCCAGGAGGTCACATTCCACGCCCTATGCGGAGTTATTGGGGTGCAAATTTCCAGCGACTCAGACTGGAGAACCTGGGGCCATGAATGGTATGACGAAGTTCTAGAGATCACGAGTTCAATTAATCCATCTTTGCCCATATATATCAACGATGGCCAGAACCTGCCCGCAGCCCTTGATTATGCAATATTGCGAAACAGGCTTCCAGCCCCGTTGAATCGGAGCCCGATTGTTGTGGAGTCGCACAGGCACTATATTGCTGAATCGGACCAATCTCAAGAACCCCAAAACATACTCGAGAACGTCGCCAGGGCACTGACAGAACTGACGGTCCATCATGGCAAGGTTGTATCACAAGGAACTGCCGTAGATGTCTACATTGGAGAGTACAGCTGCCACATGAACGACGGGGCTTGGAAGCACATGGACACATTAGAACGAGATGTATTATCGAAGAGCTTCGGCCAGGAGCAAACCAAACAATGGACCTCCAAAGCCAGTGGATCTGCTTTCTACCGCTTCAAATCGAGCGGAGCCTGCGGTGTGGAGCGTGATTTCGAACAACAAGTCAAAAATGGCTCGATTCCTGCACCAGCATGGCTTACGGTACCTCGTGACCAAGTTTCTGCCAAAGTCGAACAGGCAAATTCCCAAAGGCCTCAGCTGCAAAACAAATTCCTCTCACAGACTTCAGGATCCATGAGCCCTCATGGCCGCCGCCGCTTCTCCCTTGGCTGGGACCTTGGTTTCAATGATGCGCTGTGCTTTTTCGCCGCGATGTCTCGAGATGTCATCCCTGGCCACAGGGACGGGGGAGACAAAATCGGTGCTCTGGACCTATGGGTTCGGAAGCGTGTAATTGAAGCGACTTGCTTAGGCGAGGACCTCGACGTTGAATGGGAGAATGGTTTCCGAACCGGAGTTGACGATTTTTACAACGCAGTTGCAGTCGCCATTTGAATCTCATGACAGGGACACGGTATCTCGCAACATCCAGTTCAAAGCTTGTCGACTATTTAATGTTGAGTTGGTCCCTTTATTGCTCGAAATCTTTACTTCAATTTCTCGTGTACGGAGTAATTCGGCGGCACATGAGGAGCTCAAAACACCGTCGAGGTTGATTTTTCTGCTTGACTGCTGGCGATGAACTTATCTTGATATTTTAGGTACGCAGATGCCATCAACAGCTATAATCTTAATAATTCAGTGACATGACATTCCGAAGATCTCCAACATTTGCTCTAGACAAGAATAGGCATTAAACGGAGGGGATGGTTCTGTATTCTATATACATTGTTCAGAGATGGTTAATTAGTACATAAGCCACAGATCATTAAAGGCTCTCAGTTGACGGTTTCTAATATACATGACTATGACATTGGCGTTGCACGCCAGGCCTTATCCACATCAAAAGCCAACGCACAAGCAGCTTTATAAAAGGAGCTGAAATCCCTAGCTTTCATCGAATCACCCACCTCATGGTAGGCAGAAACAGACGAGTCCTTGGCTAACTTCATATCCAGGAAACAGTCCGTGTTCCGGTGGGCATAGTACGGACCGCTTTCGAAATAAGAGTAGTTGAGCAAATGGCCCTGGTAGAGGTAACGATGGATGCTTGTGGATTGAATGCTGTTCACGGGCAGGAACATGTATTCGCCCACGGTTTCGCCACTGGGGTCCGTATTTTCGCTGGCATTGGACAAGGCGTCGTTCGGGAGCGAAAGGTCTATGAAGGCGGGAAGCGGTCTGTCCTCCCGGTTGGTTCTAGCCTTGAGAAAGACATCTTCCAGGGTCTGCTGAAGGTTAAGGAGGAAAGGGGTTATTTGAGCTCCTTCCAGGAGGTCGCGGGTTAGCTTCCGCGTGAATCGGAGATCCAGCCCGTTCTCCGGAAGCAAGTAATCCACGGTGGTCTTGGATAGAATCGTTTTGGCATCCTGCAGGCGCACATTGACAGTCGGGTTCACATCATCGCCGTGTACCACTCCCACTGTAAACTCAACGTCAAGGGTTGGGAATACGTTTGCGTGTTTCCAAGACGGGACGAGTTGAATGCGGTGATGTCGGGTGGAGGTAGGCAAAAGAGGGGTCAGGCGACGAAGAATGGATGCCACTTGAGGGATATCGGTGGTAAAAGTCCGAGGAACAGACAGTTTGCCGAGTTGATTGGCACTGATGGTCTCGTTCACGAGGGACGGCTTGCGCTGGAAAAGACATCTGCCAACGGCCGCTGAAACGGACTCGTGCACTCTGACGTCATTTTCGTGATCGATGTTGGGGCTGGATTTCTGTCGGAGCAGTTTCAGAAGCTCGTCGGGGAGGCGTGTTTCGTGGTTGTCGAAAAGGGGCGTTTTGAGATGTTTGGCCTTAGCTGATTGAGCTGGTGGGACAGCCCACCGAAGCCATGGCTTTTCCCGGTTCCACCAAATTGTGCTATCCTCTGGGCTGAAATCGTGATATGACACAGACTCAGAGGCAGAGACATATGTGCCAAATGGTGTTTGAGGAGCAGTTGTATCATGTATCGCTAGGTTGAGTGTTCTCATGGCATCGTCTGCACCCTGTTTGTTTTCGGCCAAGTAAAACAATTTGCTTGGTTTTGAGGCATGTTGCTCAAATGCCACGCCGTAAGTCGTGCTGATCCATGACAGGAATTCTGGCTTGAAAATTCGATCGATAACTTTGGCTCTAGGATCATCTTGTGGGTATAATTGAATGTCTTGCTCTCGTATCCTGGTTGTAGCATCGTGTACTACATCACGAAGGGCTTCGCATGCTTTTTGGCTTCCGGTTATCCGAATCAGTCCAATAGAATGTGTCAGGTCAACTTGAACGTCGTGGAGGCTGGCTAGCACCTCGAATGAGAAGTTGGTGGATCGAACGAGGAGTGACAACAAAGGTGGCGGGAGCTGGTAATCCAGTTGACCAGTTTCGCCAATAACCCCGAGTTTCCAGCAATCTCTGAGAATCGTTTCGGCTAGAATATCCTTTGTGGTCACATCCTCTTGTGATTTCGTAACTCTAACGCCATTGCGCACATCAGCTGTGTCAAGAAATGTCGAGATTCCCGGCCTCCATTCAGAAGCATGTCCTAAAGCCTTCCCATCCTCCTCCTTCTCCAGTAACTCAGATATATATGCACTCATTTGTTTGACGCTAAGAGACTTCCAGATCTTTCGTCTGTGATCGTGCCACTCGTCGAGGGACAACTTATCCCCTGGCTTGTAACGTCGGAGGAATTCGATATTCTCGGTCACCAAATCTTCGTCGACTAGAGTCTCGGAGGTCTCAACATCTCCCAGCATCAGCGACAGGCCGCTTTGATCCGCGGACTCATCCTTGACTCGGCCTGGGTATCGGCGTTCTCGATCCCTCAAGAGAAGCACCTCCGCTGATTCACCCAGCGCTGGGACCGGGTTAGGCACTCTTTTGCCCCACTGTCCTTTGTGACGCGCGGAATCCTTCAGATGAAAGCGCCTTTTAGCTGTGTGTCTTGGCGGTGCCCTTTTGTCCTCGTCCCCGGGCTCGGATTGCTGGCTATTGGAGCGAAGGAATACATCGTACCGACGCAGTGCGGGCGACAGCGTGCATTTTCGGCATATCGGTAAGGGTTGGCAGCTAAGCAGATCTGCTGCAGCTTGGGAGGACCGCGACAACATAAGTAATAAAGGAAGCAAGTCGCTTGGGTTTCTGCGACCTTGAGAAAAACCGGCCTTGAGAAAAAGAAAGATTGGGATCTTTTGCGCCGCGGAGAAGAAATGGGTCCGCAATGCGCTAGTCCTAGAGCGGAATGGTCTCTAACCGGCTTTCGAAGTATGAAGTTATCATCATGTCTCTCACCATTCAAATCAGAACAAAAGATGTAATTCAGCGCAGAATATATAATCGGGTATTGACTCTAATTTTCAAACCAGAACGAAACGACTATCTCCAGCCTCACTCCTTACTACTAATTTCCCAACTCTTCAAATCTTCACGAACATCAAACTCCGACAACTCGTTATCACTATTGCTGCGATTTCTCCATGCGTTGGCCTTGGCAGTACTATAAAGATTCTGCTCAATACTCCCAGCCTTTCTTGTATGGCCTATGGCGGAGTGATATTCAGGCGCCCTACCATCGTGGCGAAGTTGGTTACTCCCGGAGCTTCTGGGTCGTCGTTCGAAACTAGGGGATAGTCGGTTCGGTGTACTGGATCTTGCACCTGTATCGTTCCTAGTCGATGGGTCGTCCTCTGCTGCTCTCCCAGACCGTGCATCGTGGGTATCCTGGCTCCAACTGATGGAGCCTGAAAATAGCTCTTCGATCAGCTTATCCGCCGGCAGGTCGTCCGATCGAGCATTCCAGGAAGCAGCTAATGTGCGGCGATACATGTCCTGCATGTCTGCAGCCTCTCTGCTCTGGGTGTTTATGGTGGGCATGGGGCCTAAATCCACCGGATCGCCCTGTTCAGCAGAAACCACGCCGGCGATTCCTCCAAACACCATGGCCGATTTCAGGGGCGGTCTGCCGGCCTTGTCAGTCACGAAACTCACGGCCATCAATCAACCCGCATCATCGACTTACGTTGTGAAATTGCGATCGCCATCCACCTGGTGCATGGCTATCGCGATTTTTAGTGTGCTGTTGATCTTGCTCTCCTGCATCAAATATCTCCTGATGACACCTTCATGATCATCACTCTTCTCCACATACTCGGAAAGGTTCAGTCGGATCCTCCCCAGAATATTCCTCGCCTCTCCGGTTGCTCCGGCCTCGAATTCCTGAATGATCTCGAAGTTGATGTCGCATTCGTGAAGGGTCTGGTTGCGATCGATCGTAAGCCGCACCGACAATGTCTTCTCGTAGTTCCAGTATGCCCGGTGGTCCAGAATCACTGCCTTATCTGTGTGTCCATGGTGTTCAGTGGCGCTCGTTGAAGGTAGACGCCATTTCACATATGCTGTTCCGTTCACGAGGGGGACATTATTGAGATCGATAATCTGGAATAGGTAGCAAGTCAGCATCACATTTGAACTGCATACATGGTCGGCTTAACTTACTCGGAGGACAAGCTCAAACCTGGGCTATCCTAGATTTTCAGCATACCATCCCATGCGGTTTCTTCTCCGTCAGTCTGAACTCACCCTCCGATTCTTTGGAACTGGTAGAAAATCACTATTAGCATCAGAAGATCAGACATGAGGTCATCAAATCCGGCCCTGGCCAAAACCACCCCGGTCAAAGGTATCCTGGGAAAACATACCAAATGCCTGCATAATCGGCAAGGCGCAAGATCTGCGTTTATTCGGTGATCATCGGCCACCCATTGACTCGAATCTGCTCTGGTCCTTCTTTATCTTCTCCAGCTTACTACCAGGTAGGGGGGTCCGATGGCCTCGGTCTCTCTCACCCCCCACACTCCTCAATGAGGCGGTGAGTCGACGGATCCGGCAGAGACAGACCGCCCCGGTAACTCTCCGCTTCGGCTCCAAATTCCACGGGCGCCCCCGAAGTTCATCGCTCGGCTTGCAACCACCGATATCCTGTACCTTCCGCTCCCATCGGTCGCGAAACCATGAATTCCTCCCAACTACCACCTCCGACTATGGATCGTCCTCCTCTCTCCCCGCCCTCTGAGCCTACATCCTCTCCCACCACCAAACCCGTCCCATTGGACTCGTCCATCCGCACGACCCCGATCCATCCTCTCCTGCCCGGCGTGCGCGTCCCGAGTGAACCATTGCCACTTTATAAATACCACCCAGTCACTTGTGCGCCGATCGACCCCGAAGAACACCGCGCGCAGCTTGACGAACTGCGCCAGGAATTCCCTACCCCAGAGGCCGCGCTCAAGGCACAAGAGGAAGCGGCCCAGGAAGTCAAGCAGAAGATCGAAGAAGCGGAGAGGAAGCGCGAAGATGTGCAAAAAGCCATGGATAAGAAAGTCAAGGAACGGAATACCGAATTGAAGGTCCTCTCGAAGTATCAGGAGGTTAAAACTTAGGGCCTTGTGGATGCCGTGGAAGAGGTCCTACCAGATACTGAGAGGGAGGTTCTGTCTCTCGGTTTGGGTGGAACTATCAATTATCACTTTAACCTCAGGTCGCTAGAGGAAGCACGCGATCATTCGAGGGCGGTTCAACAAGGTACCATCGAGACCTGAGCACCTGGCTTGTCTTGCGCCAAATTTCGCCGTCTTGACTCAGGTCATCGCTTAGCGCGAGCGCGCGCACACAACATGCATATGAGACATGGAAGGCTCCCAATGTGCCGTTTGCTCGGCTCATTTTGCGGGGGCTACCTGGCTCAATCTACTCGATTCAGCTCGATGTACAGCAGACTTCCCGAGAGCTGAGCCAACCTTGGGCTAATCGCGTTTTTGCGTCAAGAAAGTACACGTGCGATGGTTCCCACAGGCTTATAGAAGTTGCCAGGGCATCAACATCGAATTTAGGTCCAGTGGATTGCCTAGGAGCAAGAATAGGAAATTTTTGTCACGTTGTCATACCTAATAAACTGGTGAATGCAACAGACGCTCGGCAGAAGCTAGGGTTTGACCTCGATATATGGTGGAAATATCTCAAAAGCACGACACCATGGATGGAATTATTACTGGCGAATTAAAGCCCAGGGATTCCGGGCGTCTTGTTCTTTTTTATTCCAATGTGAATTACTGAGTGGCTTAGGCACTTCACGTCGCATGCGACTAGTCATGGTTATGGGCTATCGACCGATTTGTATAAAAAAAAGACATCAATGTATGTACCAGGCATGTCGTATCATATCGATGGCCGGCAAATATCACAAACATGAAATCCATCAACATAAAGAAACGCGTTATTACTCATATTATTAAGTAACTTCGTTGTCCATTAATCATAAGCCCGATATGCGTTGCGGCTCATTATCCCCCCCTTTACAATGTACCCAAGATCTTGACCAAAACGGGGAGCAACTAGAAAGAGAGAGTATTAGTTTGAGGGGTTGGTAAGGTTTTCAGGGATCTATGAATGAATGACTTACCTCAGAAGCATCCTCAATCAAGATTTGCGTTTCGTTGACAAACTTGGGAGACAGCAGGTGGTCGGCGTTGTCCAGAAGGCCACCGACTTCTTCCAGGAGGTCATGGGTGACGAAGGGCGAGACATCGTTGATCAAGTCCCGGGTCTCGTTAACGAACTTAGGCGTCAACAGACGAGTACCGTTACCAAGAAGGAAGCCCACTTCCTCGAGAAGCTTGGGAGTGACGGCAGGCGACACAGTGTCAATCAGGTTCTTGGTCTCGTCGACAAACTTGCTGGTCAGAAGCTTGTCGGCGTTATTGAGAAGACCGCCGACCTTGCCCAGCAGCTCGGGAGTGACAACAGGAGAGATGTCATCAATGAGATCGCGCGTCTCGTTGACGAACTTGGGCGTGAGAAGGTGGCCGGCATTGCTAAGGAGACCGGCCACTTCGCCGAGCAGGGCAGGCGTAATGACCGGCGCGATACCGTCAATCAAACCGCGGGTCTCCTTGACGAACTTGGGTGTCAATAGGTTGTTGGCATTACCCAACACACCTTGAGCCTCATCGACGAATCCTGGCGTCAACAGAGAAGCCGCACTCTTCAGCAAGCTGCTGACTTGCTTGAGCAGTTGAGGAGTCACCACAGGAGCAACCGAGCCGATCAAGCCCTTGGTCTCCTTGACGAACTCGTGCGTGAGCAGATCAGCGGCGTTATCCAAAAGACCAGCCACCTTTCCGAGGATTTCGGGGGTGAGGATAGGAGCAATCGAGTTGATCAAGCTCTTGATCTTCTTGACGAAGTCCTTGGTAAGTAGATCGTTCGCGTTGTTCAGCAACGAGCTGATCTCCTTGAAGAGCTCTGGCGTGACGAGCGGGCCAAGCGAGTCGATCAGTTTCTTCACCTCGTTGACGAAGTGAGGCGTCAACAACTTGTTGGCATTGCCCAGCAGGTCGGTGAGCTCGTTTCCATCGATCAACTTCTTGATCTCGTTCACAAACTGGGGTGTCAACAACTTGTTGGCATTGCTCAACAAGGAGGTAAGCTCGTTTCCATCGATCAGTTTCTTGATCTCATTGACGAACTTGGGCGTCAACAACTTGTTGGCGTTGTTCAGCAGGGAAGTGAGGGCGTCCGAGTCGATCAGTTTCTTGATCTCATCGACGAAGTGAGGAGTCAATAGCCTGTTGGCATTGCTCAACAAGTCGGTAAGCGCATCCGAATCGACCAGTTTCTTGATCTCATCAACGAAGTGAGGCGTCAATAGCCTGTTGGCATTGCTCAACAAGGATGTGATATCGTTTCCATCAATCAGCTTCTTGATCTCATTCACGAATTGAGGCGTCAGCAACTTGTTGGCATTATCCAACAACGAGCTAATCTCCTTGAAGAGACCAGGCGTGAGGAGCGGTCCAAGCGAGTCGATCAATTTCTTGACCTCGCTAACGAAGTGGGGTGTCAGCAACTTGTTGGCGTTATGCAGTAACGAAGCGATTTCTCCGAAGAGTTCAGGCGTGACGATCGGACCGAGCTGTTTGATCAAGCTCTTGACCTCCTTGACGAAGTCCTGGGTCAAGAGGCCGTTGGCATTGTTCAACAGGGAGCGGATCTCCTTGAACAATTCAGGAGTCAAGATCGGGCCAACGGCCTGGATGAGCTGTCGCGTTTCCTTGACAAATTCGGGAGTGAGCAGGTGGTTGGCGTTTCCAATCAGACCGTTGACCTCCTTCACAAATTCGGTGGTCAGGAGGTCGTTGCCATTGTCTAACAAGGTAGAGATCTTCTTGAACAGATCTGGAGTGACGAGAGGACCGATCGAGCTGATGAGCTCTTGGGTTTCGTTCACGAAGCTGGGAGTCAACAAAGAGTTGGCATTGTTCAGGAGACTCGTGACCTCCTTGATCAACTCCTGGGTCAGGAGCTTGTGTCCTGTGTTGATCAAATCCTTCGTCTGATCGGTGGTCTTGTCGTCAAACAGGTAGGCAAAATGATGGAAGAAGGACTCGACATCCTGCAAGAACGTCGGGTTCAGGATACCCAATAGACCGTCAATACCATTGCCCAGGTCTTTCAGAGGATTTCCAGTCAATCCATCGAGAAGACTCTTCAAAGGGTCACCATTGTTACTCGTGGAAGATGGCTTGGAGGAGTCCGAAGCTGTGACGGTAGTTTGTCCTTTCGGCTGAGCCGTACGGGAGGGACCGGCCTCATGGGAGGATTCGGCACCACCCTGAGACTCTGCGGGCGTCTCGGCGGGAGAGGCACTTGAGACGGCAGCACTCCCCTCCGAGTTCTGGGAGGAGGAACCTCCATTGCCGGTGGGGACAGACGGGCTATCTGTCGATGCTGTGGCGGCATTCTCACTGGGTTGAGCGTCTTCTTCTTCTTGGCTTGCGGATGGTTTTGGGGCTGCGTTTGACTGTGCAGGAACGTCGGCAGATGTTTGCTGGCTGTCAACATTGGCAGTTTCCTGCTCTTCTTCGACATCGGAGTTCTCCTGTTGTTCGGAATTGCCACTCGATTGTGCAGTCGGTTCTGGCGTCGTAGGGGGAACATGAGCTATAGAATGCTCCTCTGCCGGAGCACTCCCCTGTGTCGGAGCATTGCCCAGTGCTGAGGACACCTGGGTCGGGGTTGCCAGCGAGGCGCTAGAAAGCAAAAAGGCGGAAAAGATAGTTGAGAAACGCATGCTGGGTGGATGCTCTTGACGGGGGGAGGACGGCCAGCAATCGACGGCTGGAGGGACCGAGTACAGATCTACGGAGGCTGCAAGGCTTCCTTTATATCTGCAGGTGTGCGGAATCTACTCCCCACAGATCCATTGACTGGAACAGACCGAGGATTGTCCAATAATCCCCACATGTGAACTGAATAAGTCGAGTTGGTTTTTGCGTCGTTCCTACGCTACTGATGTCAGTGGCAGGACGGTTCGGGCTCGACCTAGCGGAGGTAATTCCCCTTTAGTTTCCGCATGGATACGACATGTTGATCTTTTTTTTATTTTTCTTTTCTTTCCTCCGGGGCATGGGTGAGCCATGGGGCGGGCTCTCCCTCTCTCACTGCCTCCGGCGCCGCACGGGATGATTCTCGTGGGCCAACGCATAATTTGGTCCGATCCGAAGCAAGCTATGCCTGTCGGACTGAGCCGTGCACTCCATGTTTCGTTGAAGGATCTTACTTTGCGGGAGGGGGAAGAGGGGGAACGAATGACGAGCACGGGAGATTGCGAAGTGCAGCGAGAATTGTTTTTTGGACCCTTTGCAAGGGTTTCCTTTTTCCGCTCTGCTATTCTATACCTCGGTGATCAGCATCAACACTTATCGTGTACGGGCAAGCGAGCATCTGACAATCACCTCGTTCCTCTGGGACTATAAGGGCATGCACCAATTGACTTGCCGATCTGTGTCAAATAGAAGTCTGTGATTGGGTACCTGGCTGGTAGTATGTTTTTAGTTCCTGGCTAGGGTGTGAGCCACTGAGGTACGGACCCTAGCAGAGTCTAACTCAAGCATCGGTGTGTTGGGGGTGCTCCACAGTCATAATTCTTGCCCTGATTCTCTCACTTGAGCACTCATTGCCAAATATGGTCCTACTTGCTAAGCCTGTTCGAGAGAAAGATTTCCGAAACGCGCTTTTTTTCTTCTTTTTTTCTCTGGCGGAGACGGATAGTAGACCCATGGAAAATTTTCGAGATGCCAACGAGCATATACTAGTTCAAATGCGAACCCACTGTTTGGAAGCAACGACTCGCTCTGGATCTGAACGTCTTCACCATCAACATTCTTCGGAATGTTAGGTATTGCAAGACCATGCAAGGACGCAGTCGACGCAGCAGCTGCAGGTGCTCCGCTGGCTACTCGGAGCGTTCGCTCGGTAACATGTGATATCTAGGAACAGCTTAAGCCCGAGATTGGAACCGGTCATTGGATGAGCGTTGCACCCATGTTTCCATCTTGGGATTAATTTCTTTTAGCTGGATGATCGGCAGTGGCCATTAAGCGGGGTTTGCGCCTTGGTTCCTTTTCGACCACGGTCAAAATCTTGTTTTTTCTTGGGAGGACGAGATGGAGAAACGGCTCATCGTTGCCCGGCTCTGACCTTCACCCCGTATATTGTGTCGCAACCGACTCCACTGATGTGCGAGCGGAGTCAACCATTCGGCGATTCTGTGTGGGCCATTTCCCCGAGAAAACGTACCTTGGCCCTGGGAGAATCTGGGGGTGCCTTTTTCTTGTCGAGAATAAAAACGAAGGGAAGTAAATAACAAACAAACAAATAATCATACAAGCGTCCCCTTTGCTCCAATTGAACATTCTATTATTGTCTAATCGTAGGTGTAATGACGCGGTATCAGAGACACTTCGTTTTGTTGTAAGACAGCGAAATGCTTATCATGCTATGGGTGGCATTCACCTTCCAGCAGGAAAGGTGCACCTGCAGCATCAGCCTCCTTGCTGATGCCTCGATCCAGAAATCTCCGAGTTAGTTCATTCCGGATGAGGCAATCCAGCTTGATAAGCGATCTTGGGCAATATAATTTGAGTCAATTATATTGGCCCTGACCCGGTCGGGATGATCCTGGGGAACCGCAATGGCGGGGGAAATACGGGTAGAGCAAGCGATCGTTCAATGCTTCGGGCACCAACAGATTATGTCACTGGTAATATATTGCGATCCGCAAGGGCGACCAAGGCCCAAGGACCATCTCGGCCCAGGATTCTTCGCTGAGACATGCGGGGGAAGCGTCGGTCGAGAGTCGCGATGGATGGAAGATGACGAGATGACGAGAGGGACGAAGGGGAATCGCGAAGGTTTCTCTTTTCGGCCGATCAGCTGAACGGGGAGTCTCCACTCCTTAGTCATTCTCTTATCCCCGTCTTTCTCTCTCTCTCCTTCCTTTTCTTCTATGGAACTACACGATAGATACTCGTAATTACTACTCCCAATGGCCTGAAACGCCATGGTCGCTTTGAAATGGCTTCTAGTGCTTTTGTTTCCTCCTCACTTTTCTTAAGGGGGGCACAAAGATACTCCCTAGATAGTCCTAAAATTCAGACCCAGGCGGACCCAACGGTAACAACTCAATATTCCGCCGGTTTGGCCTTAGGGGTGGAACTCAATTCGACTCCATCAACCCTTGGTCATAGCAGAATTGCCTCTGGGAACTGGCCCTCCTGTCAATCAGGAACCAACCTTCTTTCTATCGTGGGCCAGACCAGATGATACTGGAGAGGTTTTTCCTGTTCCTTTCCTCTTCGCTGCCTCTGGAGTCTGGACTCACATTTGAGAACCCATATCTAACTTTCGTACCTGTATCAGATATTAATAGCATACAGCATACTTGTCCTGAACCAGTGGCACCTGCACGGAACCAAAGAAGCGAGATCTTTCTCATCTATGCTTATTCCAGGACATTGGGATCTGCTACGTATCTCACATTCTTGCGGCCGTTTGCCCTGGGTGCTGTACATAGTACAGATGAGATCGGATTTCCCTTGCGTCGCTGCATGATTTCAAAACGCAATGTAACTAGACGAACGTTGCATCGATCCACCATGTCTGTCTAGAGCAGAGTCAGAGCATGCATCCTGCCTAGCTAGGCCTGACTCCACGGAAAGCACCCTGAGAACGACAAGACAAACGTGCCCAGGCCCATCAGGTCCTATTTTTGAGAACCATGTCTACCAACATGCTAAAAGCTAAAGCCAATAAGGTGAAACAGTGGGAACCCTTTCTAAAGCCTGTCTGGTTCCTCTCAAAGCCGAGACGTGACAACTACTTCCCGGTCAACTCTCGGCATTCTTCAGCGTCGACGAGCTTGGAAGATGTGCCTGAAAATCCATGATTGAGTCAGGTACAGCCGGAAAAGCTAAATCTCTGTTGACTCGTTTCTTCAGGAAATGTCTTCCACCTGGACTCCTCAATTGGTAAGATGCGCGGTATTCAGAGAGAAGAGAAAAAAAACTTAACCATCACTGAAACCTTCGTGGTTTCAACGGGGAGCTATAGTTACTACACCTCGCAAGCTTTCAACATCTGATTTCTTGTCTCTCTCTGGCTTGAACCGACAGGATAGACAGATTTTTCCATCTTGCTCTCCTTATTCATTGCTAAGAGATTAAGGGTGCGACTTTACCTACATGCTCAACACGTGTACAAACAGCCTCAACTTCAAAATTCACGAACGACCAAATTGCAGATCTTCGTTTGAAACGAAGCCAAGTGGTGTCGCTAGATCCCTATTCTCGCTATAATTAAATATGGTCGATTTGCAGAATAAGGGACAACCTTGCAAATTGCTCTGAAAAGTCTGTTACCCTATGAACTGACCCATGTGTTCCCTTTTCTCTGCCCTGGGATGGAGGGAATTATCTCTCTCGGAGGAGGGGAAGGGGGAAGGAGAACCACACAGAGTATCAAGTAAATGCGGGCTCCACTATGAAAATACCCTGTGTTGTATCTTCTTTCTTGCACTTTGTTTTTCTCTCCCGAGAGGTGGTTCTTTAGACTTATCTCCCTGGTTACGGTTTGTTCTTCCTCTTCTACAGAGCTAGTAAGATTCATGTGTCCATGCATAGGTCGTTCATGGACGTTATTTACGTACATCTGGGCCGTAAAACGAATAAGGTCTTTCTATGAAGGGGACTTCCTTTTTGTTTCTCTTTCACATATTCATAGAAGTTGTTTGCCTAGTCCCATCGCTAGTAGTTTCTCTTCGGGCATGATGGAAGTTGACCTCTGCTACCTTGTACAGTACAGTACATGATAGATGCATAGATAGGCGTAGATATTCAGGTATATGAGCTCAGAAAAAACATGTAGATCTTCAGACAAGTCTCTTGTTAGTACACATATACATCCAGCAAGAGAGTCCCGTCTTCGCGGACACAGTAGGTATCCGAAGTTCCTGGGTATGTAATATGCAAAAAAACCCAAATCACTTCTCCAACTCAGCTTGCCTCCCCGCCGTCAACTTCGTATTCTCAGCCTGCAAAGACCCGATCAACTCAACCCACTGCTTCCGTTCATTCCGGAACTTCTCAAGCTCCTTCTTCAGCTGCTCGTTTTCCTGCCGCAAGGTCTCGACCTCGGAGCGCGTGCGGGATTTGACCTCCCGCTCTGCGTCCTTGCGCTGGCGCGCTTCGATCTTGGAGGCCTCCTTCAGCTGGTTCCGGTTGATCTTGCTGAGCTGTTTGACGAGCTTCGCTTCGTCGTTGAACAGGCCCGAGGCGACCTTGTGCATGCGGGCCGAGTCGTTGGCGGGTCCGTTTTGACGCTGTTGTTGCTTGTTGTTTTTATCTCCGGAGCTCTTGTCGGAACCTTTCTTGACGCTGCTGGCGGGGCTGCTGCTGGCTTGGTCGCTGGTGGGGTCGCCAATAGATGCTAATGCGGCGGACGAGGCTGGGTCTCGTTTGAGGTCTTCGTCGCGAGGGGGCAGGTGGAGGGATTGGATCTCGGAGCGGACGCGCTCTAATTGTGCTTCAGTGTCACGCTTCCGCTCTGCCAGCTTGATGAGCTGCTTCTCGTGCGAGGTCAGCTTGCCCTTCTTCGCCATCATGGCGTCTAGAGATGGAATGTCTTGTTCGAGCGGCGTGGCGAGACCCGATTTTATAGAGGCCGCGGCCGATGCATTGCCTTGCGATGCTTGGGATCGGGTTTCACTGTTCTCCTTGTCTTTTCGTTTGGCAGAAGGACTAGCTGGTGTGGTGGTCGAGTCTGCGTTGCCTCGAGGCGGCTTTTCGTTCTGGGATCTTAAAGTATCGTCGGAGTTTGTGCGTGACAATTGGCCCTGGCGTGGAAGGTAATCTAGCACTGCCTGGGGCGCATACCGCTCTAGGCCGGCATTTAGCAGATAGGCAAAGCTGGCAATTAGTCCATGGTGCTCGACCTCGATATCCGAAAGGTCATCGTCGCTAGATTCGTCGTCACTTCCATCACTCGCCCCAGTCGTGTCTTCTGGCTTGTCTTTGGACCGGCCACTTTCCTCGTCCTGCTCGTCTTTAGTCGAGTTGGATGGTTCAGTCTCCCGACAGGCCCAGTCTAGGAACTTGCCTGCATCCGTGCAGATACTCTTCGGGGTGCCCTTCTCTACCATCCATCGAGGGATAGTGCCTCCGGGGTCACTCCGAGTGACCATCACCCATTCCACAGGGTTAGACTCTTCATCGTCATCCTCCCCAGCATCTTCTTGCCCCAGCTGCTTCTCACCAACCCCAGACTTCGTATCCCATCCCTTTTCTCGCTTCCCCGAACCCGCCGACGTAGCAGTATCTCCCCGTCTCCTCCCCCTCTTCCCCTCCCCATCCCCAACCGACTCCTGAGAGCCCTTCTCCCTTGTCCTCCTCACCGAAATCTCCCTTATAAACTCCACCGACTCATACTGCCCCCGAATATACCCCTGCGACGGAGGCACATCCGGATGCTCACACGGCTTCGACACCATCATCCAAAACCTCCCCCCGCCCTCATCAACACCAACCTCCCAATTAACAATCAACGCCACAAAGTCCCTCGGAGTCGTCGGTTTCGGAAACTGCGCCGAGACATGAAACACATTGACCACGCCCATCCGCCGACCCTCCTCATCACAGACCTCAATCTCCTCAACATGTTCCTCAGCCCCGATCCCGCGCACCGACTGATCCGGCGTACGCCCTTTCTCCAATCGCTTCCGATTCCGCCGCAACGTCTCCATCATCTCGCTGGACAACTTGGCCTGCCAGTTCGTGAACGAGAGGCCCTCGTGGACACTGCGGCGGGCGAACCACGACCCGTGCCCGTCGCGGCCCTGCAGCTTGTGAATGAGGAGCTCGAGCGGGTTGTCTTTCGCGTTGGTCGTTTTGATGGGTTTGCTCCATTCGCGCTGCAGGGATTGGAGGGTTGGGTCGGGGGTGCCGAGGCGGGCGGGGGAGGGGCTGATGCGCGAGGACGGGGACGAGGACGAGTGGTTGTTGTTGTTGGTGGGGGCGAGGTTCGTGGAGGAGGAGTTGGTTGGGGGTTCAGGGACAGAGTCGATGATCAGTCGCGCTTTGTGAGATAGGTCCTTGACGTATTCTCGTAATGCGTCGGGAGAGGAGGGCACCTCGTCCCAGGATATCGGGCCTAGGGATTCTAGGGCATCCTGTAATGCTGCCATCGGGTGTGGCGTGGTCTAAGTAGTACGAGGTTGTCCTTGTAGAGCTGGCAGAGAATGGAGATTAGAGATAATAAATGGAGATTCCTCTAGAGGAAAGAATAAAAAAGTGATTAATGATCAGAAACATAAGCCGAATGGTGGCGATTGTGATTCGGCTTCCAAATTGAGGACTCAGGGATATGTAGAATTAAGACCAAGCGAACTATTAAGATATGATGGGTAGAAGACTGGTTAGATCAGATTGTAAACCGTCAATTTTCCAGCAGTTTAGCATGGGGAAGAAGAAGAAGCAGAAAGGATGATGGTTGTTTCTGCCTTGTCCGGGGATCGGGGATCTGACGTCATGGCTTCGGGGGCCTCCTGAGCCAAGTCTCTTTACGGCGCGAGATACGAAATACGAAGCACAAGACAATGAGCCCATCAAGATTGGTTTCATATCTCAAATTAGGATGGTTTTGGATTGGATACATCATGCTCAAGCGACCAATGCATAGAATCAGACTAGCAAGGACCAAAAACAACGAAAGAAGAGAAGATGGGAAACCAGTCCTCGAATGAACCAGCGATGCCAGCATCCGATTCTCGTCATCTTCCCCCTTCATTCAATGAAGGAGAAAAGATACAAGCATATCCAGGTATTCTCATAACCCAGCCTGGACGATAGGGGATGAACCTATCAATAAGACAGACACGGTTTGCAGGCGGAACGATAGAGCCAAGGAGTTTGGGGTGCCGCCTCGGAGGGGGGAGAAACAAAGGTCACGGACCAAAATGTTCTAAACCCAACTCAAGAGTCTGCCACAGACAGATCTCCTGAACCTCTGAGAACACACACCATTCTCCTTGGACTAGTCGCACGCCCGCAGTCCATGTCGCCAAAATTTGCGGCCATACACACATACCAGATGTCATATGGCTCACCCCGTCGCAATACCTACCCTCCTTTCAGATCCGACGAATCGAATCACCCGTCTGATATCCAGTATCAGAAAGAAAGCATTGCCTCCAGAGAAGGCAGGGGAGGGGATGCTGGTTCCTGACGCAACACTATCCCCTATCGTCTCTGTAGGACGGTAAGCGACACCGAAAGAAAGATGCACGTTCCTCATCCAAATCATATCCCAAGCCGCGAGGCTGACCAGGTCTTTCATGACATATATGCGGGACTCTATCCCCATGTAATAAAAAGCAAACAAATAGCCGACCCGCCGCTTCTTCATGCACAAAAGGATCAAACAAAACGCTAACGCTGGCTCAGAGATGAAAGAAAAGATAAAAAACAGAGGCAAAGAAATCAAAGAGTGAAGAAATTATGTCCTTTGAAAAAAGAAATTGCAAAATATAAAGATCGAAAAAGGGTAATCAGACGAGATGGAGTATCGTAGTTCGCAGAATCAATCAATGATAACGCCGTCACTGATGCCTAGCCTGTTGTCTTTGTCCGGGTCTCTTGTCGTTCTTATAGTTTATCGGACCCCGGAGACGCAAAGACATCGTATTCGGATTGGCGATGCAGGCCTCGGAATCTATGCCAAAACAAATGCTAAAGTCAGGGAGACCATCAACATCAAGTATCTGGTTTCGAAGACCTTTACATCGTTGTCCCGTATTGTAGCGGCAGCGCGAAATCTTGGTAGCGGTCGCCCCATCCAAAGCCAATCATGCTCGCCGCGGTGCTGCAAGGCTGAACCAGCATGCTAGGTAGCGGGAGGACCGCGAGAGCGGCCGACGTGGCGGCGACGCTGTAAGACTGCGGTGTGGTGTATGGCGAAGTGGTATACGGTTGGCTGTAGGGCGTCGGCGGCGAGGCAATCGGCATTTCATTAAGGCTGTTGAAACTGGCCCACATGTTCGGGTTAGAATCCCCTGTAGTGGCCGTGGCTGGGCTGGATGACAGTACTTTCCACGAATCCATCGACACCGATGGCTGCACGGGGTCTTGCCACCACGTCTCCGGCCCGGTAGAGCTGGGAAGCAGAGGCGTGGAGCGAAGGACGTCGACGACCCCGGCCCGAGGCGGCGGCGGAGGGAGCAAAGGCGTGAAAAGGCTCGAGATCGCAGTCTTTGCATCCTCACTCCGACCACCGAGCAGCTCGCCCGCACCATCCTCCTCGAGGCCTTCCAGCGCCTGCACGCTCGTGCGGTAAACAAATTTGTTGGCGGCCTGGACAAACTCCTCCTGCAACTTCTTCAGCTGGCTTTCTTTCTCGGACCAGTCCCACAACGCGGCGGCCGAATCGACGGAATAGACGTCCTTGTGGAAATCGACTAGCGATTCGATGGTCTCCGGGGTGAGCTTGAAGGCGACTTCGTTCTGCGAGACCATGTCGACATGCACCACGTAGGCTTCGATGTGGACCATTTGATAATTGAATATCGCCTCCACCAGAGGATTGTCGTCCTTCCTGAGTTCCGAGTCGGGAGCCTTGGGAAACGTCATAGAGCAGAGGGTCCAGATGGCGTTGGGCGAGGACAGGGTCTCCGTCAGACATCGGGTGTGCTGAATCACATTGTTCAAAGGTCGCTTAACTCGGTTGACTCGCTTCAAGGTGGCCGTCAGCCACGGCTCGATAATGGTGCTCAGCACCACATTCGGCGACGACCGCGGCGCAAAGGCAGCGGCCGACGACGGGAGCAGGACCGTTGGCATTATTAGAGGAACTCCACGACGGGGTATACTATATTGGACTGTAGTGGGCGAAAATGAACGGAAGTAAAATCTCAACAAAGAGAAAAAGGATAAGAAAGAGCAACGATCATAAAGACGACATTCGCCCACACCAAGTGAGGTTTCGTATGCCGGTATAGATCAGAGGAGGCGGACGGGGTCACGAGCCGGTAGAAACAAAGAAAAATGAAAAGGCCTCTTTGCGGACTGAGGGGCAGATGAAAAAGCCGGAAATCGCACCTGATCTAGCCGGAAGCGAATGGGACCGTATAAAGAAAGTTATATATTAGGAAACGCACAGTTCAAGTGCCGGGTGGAGTAGGAAGGATAGTGGAGTGTTCAGATCCGAATTATAGAGTGGGCGAGCTTGCGCAAAGGGTTCTAGACGACGGCCGAAAGGAATGTTAATGAAAGAAAGATTAGGTTGCCGTGAAGAAGAAAGAGGAGGGAGGAAGGAGGAGGAGGGAGGGGAGGGCGGAAAGAAGAGGACTATGAGAGAGAAGAGCAGAAGAGGAAGAGAGGGAGGGAGAGGGAAGTAAGTTGTAAGTAGAAAAGACGAGGAGGGGCGGGAAGAGGGTTGGCCCGAACGGGCAAGAGGATGGCAGTACAAAAATGAAAAATGGAAATAAAAGGTCGTATTTGGTTTGGATTCAAGAAATACGGGGGAAGGTCGATTGGAGTCGGTTCGATAACTTATACAAGACAGGGAACAGGAGAAAATCGAAGAAAAAAAAGAAAAGAGGAAAATAAAATATAGCAGTTATAATATCATTAAAATCAAAGTTTCATTCTAGTCTGAAAAATTTTAGTTCTACTATAATGTTTAAAACCAGGTAAATAGAATTCAAGAGGGTAAAAAAATCATTGGAATGATAGATGGATGCGCTACAGCAAGAAAAAAAAAGGAAAAGGACAGAACCAAAAACGAAAAATCGAAAACCGTAAAAAAGAAAAAGAAAAGAAGAGAAAAATGACTCCCACTGGGCGCATGCAGGATGGATGGATGGCGATGTCCGGCGACTTTCTCTTGCAGACGCGAAATCCCGATCGTATGGAACAAGTTCTACACAGACTACGGACAGTCCGTAGACAGTCCAGACGGAGACTCATCCATCCATTCAACCTGTCTTCAGGTTCGGAAGACGATACTTACTACTGTAAGTAGGTCTTACGGAGTATAGGCACAAGGCGCCTGGATTAGGTATGGATACGGGAATTTGGCCACCCTACCGGATTCACCGTCCGATCTCAGCTGTGCACCCTCCCTCGTTAGCATCATGCAGCCGTCCAGAATCGTCGGCGACGGTGGAGCCTAAGCAGGTCAAGACGTCACGCCTCGAAGAGCAGTGAAGGCACCCTGCACAGGAGTTTCTACGCCGTAGTATCTACCACGGTAGTAGAAGGGAGCTGTAAACCATAATAATAATATCTAGACCTCCCGACCCAAACCATGGGTCAAAGAAACGTTGGCAAAAAGCCCTAGAAAGCAAAAGTCGCAGTATGATTTGAAGAGTTTAAGACACAGGCTCCCGAGTCAGTGTCAAAGAGATCGCAAGTAATTTCCACCCCAAAGTCAGTTTCTGTGACTCTGTCATTGATGATGAACAATTCAGGGTTTGTCCCCAGACAAGGAGTGTCACAGACATCAACCATCAAACCTGTCATGTCGCCAGATCTGGCCCTATCGAGACTCTCAAGTAGGAGGCCGAACGGAGTAAGCAGAGCAGCTTAGCTACGGAGTCAGAGATGGTCTTACAGTTCTGGTGATGATATTGATAACAAACTCTTGACAATATTCTTACATTATTGCAATGCTTTGTTACACCCGACAGAGCAGCGCCAGATCTGAGTCCACGATAGAGGCATTCGGCACCAAACCCTTTGCGGTAAAAGAGGGCTGGCTGGCTAAGCCCCATTGCTGATCCACCGGATGCATCTCGGGCAATTGAAACGGCCCTGTCCCCGGTATCTGACCGTTTTCACTACCTTTCATCATTGTGGGCATGGTTTTGACTAGGAGTACTCAGTACTGTGTACTGTGGGAAGTCAATAGAATGCAAAACTTCCAGACAACAAAGGAGTAAAACGATAAAACCACCCCGCTCTCGTCCAAACCATGAAGATCATCTGATGGCAACGAGCAGGTCGCAGCCTAACGGATTGTGTGAACAGTGAATCACCGAATACACTAAATCATAAATTCAAATTATTCAATACGGGCAAAGAGAAAAAAAAAAAAAGCTGGAATCCGCCACCGAGTGGACCCCCGTCCGCCTTTTAGTGTCTCTTTTCAGCTGGGAAGTTCCCATCCCGGCAGCCTTAGTCCTTTAGGGCCAACTGCGGGTGAGGAAAATCCAACCTACGCAAGATCCTTCCTACTGTGTCCGGTCATGTATTCAATCAGCCTAATAGTAATACTGTAATAGGGTCTTGGATTCTGATCATTTTATAGAGTCCAACAATCCATATAAACTGTCCGCAGCACCCAATCTTCCAATCAATAATCACTCTTATAATCCTCAGTGCAGGACCACGGTTAAGATTTCAATCACCCACGAACTCTTGCGGTTAACACTCGCTTGCAACTGGATGGGCAACAAATGTGGGCTTGTGGTCCGACTCCATTATTGGACCTGTCTTTGACCAAACCATCACACATGCAAATGCAAATGCTGTTATACGCGCCACGGGGAAACCTGCAGTCTTGCATCTACTCACGATAGAGCCAATTTGCATTTCTCTACGGTGTATCCGTAGGCAAGTTGTCGGGGCTGTCGGACAGAAGACCAAGGAAAAGAAAGGCTCCACCAAGCACTGGCCAGTTGCACAACGTCTTTGGAAAACGGAACGCTAGTCCTTTTTCAATCCAGAATCCCGCCTTTTATACTCACCGTATCCCACAGTCTGTGTCATCTTCCATGGTTCTGTATATTCTCCGTATGGCTTTGTCACTTGTGGTCTGGACGGGCTCGACTAGACCCTGCACGGTTACTGTAACCGAGCCACGGAGAATCCCTTTGTCGCTGATCTCACAAGAAAAAAACCAAGGAAGAAAAAGTTCGACAATTTCCTTGAAAGGGGGAGTATAAGGGGGCAAGAATTGAGAAAAGAGGAAGCGAGCACGGAAACCACATTACTCGACCATTCTAGCAACCGCAACCACAAACCCTACCAACTCACGGACACAAGGAAAAGCAGTCTCCCCGAAATTCTTTCCCCGTTGAGATCAGTCTAGTTTCTCAAACTAAACAAATGAAAAAAAGACCTCAGTAGCTCAGCTGATGAATCATGGTCCATGGAGGGGTCGTCGAGTCTCGTGGGGCGAGCTAAAAGGTCTTGGGCAGGAGGAAAAACGTCTGTTCGGGCCTCAGATTCGCTGGCGCCTTCAGAGTCCGGCTCCCTGCGCTGCAGCTGAGATCCCTGTTACGATCTACCATTGGACCGAGCCTCGTCGATAGTCATCTCCAGACTTTCTGGAATAGGAACCGTCCAGTCTGCCCATGTAAGTCGTAACCATGGTACTTGGACATTACAAGCATGAGAAGAGGGGAGGGGGTCGTCGGGGAGGACGGAGGAGAGACCTTGAGTTGGAGTCTAGGGCTTTGCCATGCTCTCTCTTCCGTACTCCGTGAAATCTCGGTTCCGATCTGCATTTTCCCACCCCTACTCCGGAGTCTGCGTATGCGCCTGTCCCGTCGCCCTGGGCTAGATACCTAATCCGGAGGAATCGTCCGGTATCCCACATGCAACGCAGTCAGGGTACAGACTAGCTAGTAGGTACAGGCCCTCCCGGGATCTTGCCCCCTGACTTTGTGTTGCTCCGTATAACGGAGACAGGTGGCATGCTTGGGGACACTGCATCTTCCGGTTAAAGACACTGCCCATGATGAAGCCACCACTGATGCACGGTCAGGGGTAACGTCAACCTAACACCTTCGGGACAGGCAGAAGGAATAATGCAAGAGGGCTGGTAGCTGCCTGCTAGACTTTGCCATCGTATCGCCTCTTCCGAGCCGTCGTGTATCTGTCGTCCTCGTTCTCCACAGGCGACACTGACAGATCCGGGTTGAGAGGTTGAGCTTGTATGCTGCTAGAGTCTCAGCAGGCGCTCAGTAACAGATATTGATAGATGCGGAGAATACTTTTGCGATGCATGGAATGAGATTGGCAGGATGCCGGGCTAGCGGTAATGCAGGCGCATCGCGGAATCGGTTGGAGTCGGTTTCCGATAGCTGCGGTTTTACACAGACGACGCCATTCTTGCCTCTTCGTTCGCGAAAAACAAAAACAAAAAATCTCATCGACGCGTCGTCAGCTGGAACTACGCCATAAAGGGTTCGGTTTGATCATCATTCGTCCATCTGTAAGACACCGGACATGGTCGCTGGCCACCGCAGGCAGAACAGAAAAAATAAATGGAAATCCAAAGCATGTGGTCCATACAGAAATGGGTTTGCGTCCAGCATCGGCGATGGCCGATTGCTGCGCCTCGCTGGGGCATCTGTCACGTTGTTCCATTAGCCACCGTGGCTGTGGCGCAGTTTCTGCAGAAAAAGGGTATGACATAATGTTGCTAAGATTAACACCATGACACAACGCATAGCGGAGTCTATTGGGGCAAAGGAAAAAGTTGAACAGAATATAAATGGAGATGGACTGGGAATAAGGGAAGGCGGCAAAATAAAACAGGAAAGTGGACAGACGTGCATGTATATCGTTTCCTGAAGTGGCCAGCAAAAAGCGGGGTTTCTATATAAAAGCCGTAGGCTGAGTGGTTTACCACGCATACCCAGAGTAGTCGATAGGCTCAATGTTATCCTACAAATCCATGCTCCTGCTTGTTTGCTGTCAGTTGGCAATGCTAGAAACACTCACCCAAGCGATTAAATAAATCTGAATGGGAAAATCAAGTGCACAGAACCAAAAGACGAAAGGAAGGAAATCCACTCACATGATACCCTTTAGCGCCGAACCAAGTTCCAAATGTGATCATTTCCAGAGCATCACTGATGCAACAAATAAACATCTTTCGTCCTCCCTGTCATTCCCATAAAGGAATACGGAATTACTTTTGAGCTTAAACGACTCGGCAGCCTGAAGAAACCCAATGTAGCAGTGATGCACCCCCCCCCCCCCGATATGTATGAACGCACAGTATATCAACAACAACCATGGCAACACAGCGACTGCGTGCGACATTACAATGTATTACAGCATCATACCATCGTCCTAGCTCGATAGCTACAATGTACTGTACATTACCTAGCAGGCTAGTACCTACCTCTTGTCCGACATGCGTCTAAGCGCCCTTTCCCACCCCCTAGTAATCGTCCCGAGTCAGACTTTAGCCCGGGCACAAGCCTATACACACGCAGGAGGCCAATGCGGATGCCTCATTCCGCTCTGTACCCCTGTTCTTGCTTCGAGTGGCACCGTCCCCACGACCCTGACTGGTGGACATGCCGGTTGCATGCATCGTCCAGGGAATATCTGTCGAGACTAGACGACCTAAAGGGCCCTCATGGTGGTGGGAGGGGGTGCATGTCCAGACCCACCCGACCTGCTGACAATGCATACAGAAATGGTCAGCTGTTCTGCTAGCCGCTTTGGGGTGGCCCTCGAACGACCAATTTGGATTAGCTGGTGTTTCACGGCTGGACTCGGGGGGGACACGGTGAGAGGGTGAGAAGAGGGGGGGGTTCACCGTTCAGTATATGATATATCAATTCCGTGTTGGACGGGCTCTTGACGTCACGGGTCTGGACCTGCGCTCGGTTTCATCTGGGTCGGTTGCGGGATTCTCGACGAGGGAAAGGTGCGAACTGGCCTCTCGACATCTAGAAGAGCCGATAATGGATGGATTTACGCTCAGGTAGGTAGGGTGTTGTTGAGGTACTTTTTCTTCTTCCCGGCTGCCAGGGCTGGTTCCCCGGTTGCCGTGTCAATGGACGCGATAGGTTTACATGGTAGCGCAACGGGAAGAATTGGATTGAACGGTGAGCATGGTGAATGAGCTTTGTTTGACTGATTGAGCTATATGCATGGTTGCACGCAAGCCTCGCGGATCAAAGGTGTTATTTCACCTCTAGGCGAAGGCTAATACTGGGGTGATGTGCAATCACATCCCATGAGGAGGAATGCAACTCTTTGGTCTGTTTCGAGTTGGATCTCGAACTCCAATCGCCATTTTATATCTTATTATTCGCTTACGTAGTTGTTGCGGTATGTTGATTGAAGGCCCATTAACCATGCTTGAGTAGGGCCGTCGAAGGCCACTCCTACTATGGGTATCTCCCAGACATTCGAATCTTCCATTCACCCGGAGTATTTGACAAAGACCTCATGTTGTGTTGACTTGGGCGAGGCGCAAAGTTGAGCAGAAACAGTACGCACGTACGCACTATTTTTCCTGGGTACAGATGATATTTGGTTATCTCTCCAGTCGGTGTGTAAAGATAGTCTACTGTTAGCTCAAAAGTCTCATTAGCTAGTAAACTACACATTTAGATGTGATATACTAGCATTAATTCACACGCAGGGCAAGCAAAAATAAATAAAATAAAAAGGAGAGAGAGAAAAGAAGCCCAGATCGAACGACTGCCAAAAAGAAAAAAGGAAATGTCGTCAGCGACAGGACTCGAACCTGTGCGGGCGAACCCAATAGATGAGATAGATGATAATCCATTCTAGTCTATCGCCTTAACCACTCGGCCACACTGACATCTCGATGTAAGGAGCCTACAAATTTAAATCTATAAAGATAATTTAAATATGATGCGATTCTGTCCACCATGCCGTTGTCTACAGTATACCAAACATCCCGCTGTAAGATCCCTTTGTTCTACAATCACTACCATGATCGTCTTGAGTAGTTGAGCCAATCTAGTTTAATATAATTGAATAACTGTGAATCATCTTTCTGCGGCCCAGGTCGCTTGACTGGCTTAGGCACCCCGCGAACGCGAACTGAAAGTCCTACTCCGTACTTGAGGATCCATATCTACAAGGGACATGGATACTTCACCCGACAATAGTGCTGCACCAGGTATTTCACCAATTGCTTGCACTCCGGTCTCGTTCTGCCAGTAGTCGGCGAATCAAAGATGGCCCCGGCATAATTATTAGTGCGAGCCAGCATTGTCCCCAACAACCTCCTGTCCATCGGATCTGGACGGTCCTTATACTGTCGAACTTCGCACAGGGCAGCACTGATATCCCACTGTAGCCCCCGGGCTTCTACTGCCTTCAGTAGAATTCGGAGACAGTTACTCCTCTGCGAGACCAAGGCCTGATGCAGAGGCGTCTCACTGGCTTCCGAATTGTTGATTCTATAAAGGGGATCAGCGCCGTGATTGAGCAGGATATCGACAGCGTCGCGGTTGTCCATTTTTACGGCATGCACCAATGCCGTTGCTCCAGTTTCACCATCCGTAGCTTCCACATCGGCGCCGTATGCTAGGAAGAGCTCCGTCATTTCCTTCACCCGACGGTGGTAACCTCCAGCGGCTACGCCGAGCAGTGTCCTTCCTAAGTGGAGAGACCCCCGGTCACCACCTGAAATCCTGCCATTGGCGTCGAAACCGCTGTCGAGAAAGTACTTGACGATCTCCACTTGGCCCGCAGAGATAGCTTTGACTAAAGCTATTTGACATTCCTGGTTAGCTGGATGGACGCTGCCACCTTGATCATTGTTTGTCTCCAGCAGAGCTCGGACCATCTCTACCTTGGTCTCCTTGCTGGTGTCTTCGTTGGGTGGTCTTCCTGGTGCTATTGCTAGCTCATATAGGCTCTGGCCATCTTGATCGCGTCGGGGCTTCTGGAGCTGTTCCCGTGGGTTTATGCCGGTTATTTCGAGGAGCAACCGCACGGATTCCGGGCTGCCTAGCTCAACAGCCCGCTGTAACATCCAAAGATTGTTGTTTTTGTCATAATCTGCAGTCGCGCCCTGTTCGAGCAATAATCGGATCGCCTCTTCGTGCGGCTTAAGATTATATAGTGCCCTGCTCACAACGTCCCGTCGACTCGACGAACCTAACAGCTGTTCGCAATCCAGGATATCTCGCAAGAGCTGGACCTGATTGTTTGAGCACAGGGTTTGAATCAGGTTTGCGATGATTGTATCATGTTCCGACCAGTACTTGGCTCGAATGCATCTGCGATCTAAGAATCGCCGAACGATACTCCCGTGGCCTCTCGCGGCTGCCTGCCGCAGGGGAGTGTTGTCTGACAAGAAAGCTTCTGCCGCTGACGACCATTTATGTGTAGGATCACAGCCTGCGTCCAGTAAGAGTTGAACAGAAGAATCGCAGCCCACCGCTGCACAAGCAAGCATAAGCGGCCCCAGTTGATAGCTAGAAGACGCGATTTTCGCCGGGATGTTGACTCTATCTAGCAATGATCTCGTAATTTGGCCATTTCCCCGCGAAGCTATGCAGGCCAAAGAATCCAGATCAAGTTGTTCCTTGAAGAAGTCAGGCTCTTCTTCCTTTTCTAATATAAACAGAACGATATCCTCATGATTTCTAGCCGCCGCATGGAACAGGGCGCTCAGTCCCGCAGCATCCCTTGTTCGATGGTCTGCCCCTGCATAGAATAGGTACTTCACAATATTTAAATGCCCAGAATAAGCCGCACTCGCAAGAGGGGCTCTACCATGGCGACCGGGCGCCTTTAAAGTCGACGCCGTATTCTCAACTAGAAATCGCACGCCTTCCAGAGATCCTTTGTCTGCCATAGTGTCGAGAGCGGTGCGGCACCAATAGTGATCTACGTCAATGTAATCGGGATCTGCCCCATAAGATATCAATAGTCTCGCTGTCTCCCAATGACCACATAGAAGTGCACGTATAAGCGGCACTTCTTGGTAAACATAATGGCCATGGACGTCGTTAATTTCGCGGTCAAGTAAAAGTCGAACTAGCTCTGTGTGGCCAGCTCCTGCAGCCTTATAGATCAACTTCTTGCGTTTATTTTTCTCCCAAATCAGAGGGTCTACACCTTCGTCAATGAGGTTTTCCATAAGAACGTGGTCGCCGGTTTCCAGTGCATGTTCAATGGCCTCTAGCTCGTGGCCCTTGGCGTAGCGCGCAACTAGGGTGTCATTGACAAGCGAGTAGAATAGGCGGCAGCTCCGTGAAAAGGCACTGGCGTCATCAGCGTACTCTAGAAAGTCGGCGATGTGGTAAAGGAGCTCATTGGGGAGATCCTGAAGTGGCATGTTGAGGAAGTTTCTCAAGCACAATCAAGGAGTGGGCTAAGGTGAATAAGCACAATGGTCTATTTCCTTTGGCGCTGGATGGAAAGAGATATCAGAATACCTAGTGGTTCGTCCCGCAACTCCTCGAATCGGACAAGAAAGACAATACCTGAAAGCCTCAAGGAGGGGGATGATCGTCGAGTCAAAGCCTGTCACACTCATCGATCTGTCCCTAACATGTAGATGCAAACACACGGTGGTAGAAGAGACGCGATTAAACGGGGTGAAGACAATGATGGAGACCAATATAGATATATATATAGGGAACAAAGCCCTATTTATGTAGACTGGTCAGCAGAGATCGTCAATGACAATGCCATTGAAAGAGCTGTTTTTTCGAGGGATGTTTCTTATTCTTAACGAGTAAGCCTTTGTTTCATCGAATGTTGTTTTATTTCATGGGGTACTCCCTTTTTGCATATAAAGCGAAACGTTTGACTGGATTCACCGAGCATTTATGCATCTTACAATTGTTGGTTAGTACTTCCCTAACCTTGTATAAGAACAAATCCACCTGTGAAATCTCCGGCTTCGTTACCGGAAGATTCCTGGGGGATGCTCATCGCTGAATCGAGTTCGCTGTTCAAAAGAAACAAGGGTTGGTGCCAGCTTTGTAGAAGTTCCGCAGGGACCGCTTGCACAGCAGAGGCCAACCACGATGAAATGAGATGAAAGGATGCTCTGACCGATACCTAATTGATTGATTGATATCGGAAGGATCGAGGTCCTCTAGGGTGTTGCCCATCTAGAGGTAAGCCAACGGCGAAATGCTCGGTCTATTGCCTCAGGCATCCAAGCGTCAACAAACTTCAGTGCTGGAGGGAAAACATTGAATAACTGTGCTGTATTGCTAATTCTGGTTCCATTCTGATGCCAAGCACCAAATGTGCATCGACTCACAGGATCCATGTAATCCCAACCCATTCGAGATATTAAGTATCAATTAAAATACAGGCCAACCTCTGCGGCTTCTACCTCCCCCAGTCGCAAGTGTGAAGATCTCCCCATCGACCAACATCCCCAGTCGTCATCAGTCGAACGATCACGAAATTGTGGGTACTACCTGCGACCAGCATCGCGTAGTATTTCCGGAGCACCAAGTCCAACCAGTATGTTTTTATCAAGAGATTATTCCATCGGCACATATAAAGAACGAGGCCTGCTCACGTATGATGCGTATAGTTTGTGGGTGTGTCTCGTCTTGATCTCGACTAAATATTGTTATCGTACGCCCCAGTGAATGCGATCGTAGCCTCGTCGTGAAATTAAGACATAGTCGTTTGGCATCAGAATCTTTATTCTTGCGTCTGATCAAAAATCGCAAACATTAGCCTTCGCGCTTAAAAGAGCAACACCAGAACGAAGCCAAGAGAGCAGAACTCACCTCCGGCGGATTTCCCGCGCCTCGAACCATCTTTTCAATCATCGCCGCGCGAACCTTCTCCTTGGGCTCGCCCATGCCCACAGCCATGTACGACAGCATCGGCGGGTGTCCAACATACGAAGCGTAGCTGTCGCGAACGATGTTCGAGGTCCACTCGTACTTGGTGGTGTCGGCGTGGCCGGTTCCGACGTAGCGGGCCTGCATGGCCTCGAGGTTCTGAAGCGTGCGCAGTTTGTCGGCCATGATGAGTGGTATAGACGCGAATCTGGTGGGTTCTGTGAAGATGAGGATAATTGGGCGTCAATGGGATGTCGGATGGTTGAAGTTCGGAATGAGTTGAGTCGGGGAGAGTCACGTGATCACACCGGCGGTTATATAAGAAAATCTGGCTTGGATCTGTACAATGATTTAAGGTACATAGCTGTACAAGTTGGATTACGTTGTGGGTATTCATGGAGAAATCAGATCTGGGCTTACCATTGCAGTCTCGTATAGCGTCCCTGGTTCATGCCCATTTCGATGGCTTGCCTAGTCGCAGTAAGCCGACGGTGCGGCCTGATGGGACGAAGGAGTGGATTCCCATGTCCGGAATCGTGATAGTGAAAGGTGAGTATCCCTTGGTTAAATTTATGCAGTTTCTGATTGTGTGGTTTTTCTACTCAAATCGAAAATTTATAGCCTCCGAAGTTTATATCAGACTAACCATGCCATAGGCGAGAATACATCCTCGGAAAAGCTGACCTGCGTGGCTGTCACGTAAGTTCCATATATCTAGTCGAATACTCAATTGATGTATCCCATCTAACATATCTGACAGTTCCGGAGCAAAATGTCTTTCTGCATCCCAAGTTCCCAATGGCAAAGGCCTCGTGCTGCATGACTGGCACGCGGAGATTCTTGCCCTGCGGGCATTCAACTACTGGCTCCTCTGCGAGTGTCGCAGCGTTCTAGCAAATGAACGACATCAAGGTCACTCAGATGAGATCACGGGACCATCAACCTCATCAACAACATCCCCTTACCTCCGTCGCCGACAGCAGAACCCACCTGAACAACTCTCATCCCCGCAACCCCCATTTGAACTGCACCCCGACATCACAATTTACATGTATTGCACCTGTGCTCCCTGCGGCGACGCCAGCATGGAGCTCTGCATGGCTGCACAAGACGACCCAACGCCATGGGAGATCAACAATCCTTCAAACAAGGACCTCAATCCCGCCTCCGACTCCAACGACGACACCCAAGAGCAAGAGCAAGAGCCCACGCTCCTAGACGGACGAGCCCATTTCTCCCGTCTAGGCATCGTCCGTCGCAAACCCGCGCGCGCCGACGCCGACGCCACCCTGAGCAAATCCTGTTCAGACAAGCTAGCTCTCAGACAGATCTCGTCGCTGCTATCCTTCGAGACGAGCCTGCTTGTTGCGCCGACAGAGTCGGCGTACCTGGCCGGTGTGATTCTCCCCGAAAAGGAAATCAGCCATGTTGGGTGTCAGCGGGCGTTCAGTGACCAGGGTCGATTGAAGGATTTAACGGGCCGATTTTGGCCTCTTGATGGTGGTGGTGAGGGTGATGAGGAACCTAATCCGGAGAGATCTGGATACCGATTTCGACCGTTTCAAGTCCTCTCGATACCGGATGAGCAGTACGATTCGCTCTGGGAGTTTGGGAAGACTCAGGCCCGCCCCATCTCATCTGACGAGGTCGAGGTGGAAGTGCAAGAGAAGCGCAAGCCCGGGATCATCTCGGCAATTTGGACGACAGCACCGTCAGCTCCGATTCCCAGTCCAGGAGCGCCAGCAGCTGTAGACGCCAGTGTGAAATCGCTGCCCGTCCTTCGAGGATCCAAGACGGGTCTGTACGAGAATATCATCAACGGAGTGAAGCAGGGGAATAAGGCCTCTGCGCCTCTAGCTCGTGGAGCGTCGGCACTGTCCCGTGCAAAGCTATGGGGAGTTTGGAGAGAGATTGTCCGGGTTTCTTATCCGGAACCTGCTAATGAAGAAGTCAATGCGAGCGAGCAAAAGGGGAAGCTAGAGGAGCTACTTGTCCCGACGGGGATTGTCGAGGCCGCTACGTATCGAGAGTTCAAGAAGACTCCCGCTGCAGAGACGGTGGCCATCATGGCGCGAAGATCGGCGATACAGGAGGCGAAGAGAGTCCTCGGGGGTTGGATATCCAATGTAGATGATGCAGGCTGGGGATTGGATGTTTTGGTTGATCCAAAGAAGCGAAAACGATGAGGACAGAGAGGATATACCAATGCTGGACGAATCAACGTTTCATTACGTGTTATGGGTTGGCTAGAGAGAATCATACAATATACCCATCTGCTTCTTTCTTATGCTTAATTATTGAATTCAATATCAGCAAGTCTAAAGTTGATATGTACTGCTAATGGTGAGGATTAAGGATATTTTTTAATCAAAATATTGAACAAGATAAGTTACCAAGAATATTAATGTCGAAGACAATCCGGAGCGAATCAAGCAACTCCTCGGACTAGTAAATGCCAGGGATAATGCGGCTGCGAACCAAGGATGTATACCGGTCCCAATCAGCACCATACTTCCTCTTACACTTCTCCTCATCACGTCTCTCCCGGTGAATGAGCAGCACTCCGAAGTAGATCAAGAAGAAGTAGGTGAAGATCATTCCCCAGCCACGAGTCTCCGGTGTCTGCACTGCCTGCTTGTGAACGGCTCCAGTAGCAGCATCGATGCTCTCGATGATTTTAAAGCCTGCGATCCCGGTAGGCAGCGAGTACGACCACGACATGGTCCAGTCACCCAGGTAGTTGATATGGCGCGCACAGCCCCACCATCCCGAAGTCATCAGTTTAGATCCGCTGGCAGTTTTGATATACTTGATGTGGCTCACGCGAGGGTCAGTCGGATCGGTGCGGAAGCGATTCTTTTGGTTGTTGGCACCGCGGAAGATGATGTAGCCTGCGGCGGTCACGCTCAGCACAAGCAAGATTCCCTTGACGCCCAGCTCGAACGGGAACATCGCCAGGTATCGGGTCTGGAAGTTGTAGATGAAGGGAACCCAGACGATATCACCAAATGAGAGCATGTAGCCGAACCCATCCATGATGATGTCCATAGTGGTCAGAAGCGCCGGTTCCATGTACAGGCCATCCAGGACGTAGAATGCCTGGAAGAAAGTGGAGATTACGATCGAGTCGGTGACGTAGCCATAGGTCCGGTACTGACGGGCAATGTTGGACAGGTTCAGGATGATCCATCCTAGCAATCCGGGCCGCATTTCAAACCAAGACTTGATATCGATGGTGCGCGACGCTTCGCTGACAAATGGGATTGGCAGTCGAACACGCGGGTTCAGCTCGCGGCCGATAAAGAAATCGTATAGCACGTTGCCTGTGTGGCCACCCGGCGCCAATTGCCTGAGATCGGGGTTGAGCTGACCGGGCGCCGGCACCGTGAAGCTTTTCGCGTAAACGAAGATAGCAAGAGCGCTGCTGATCGCCAGATTCGCAGTGATCACCTGCAAGTAATTGTCCCAGAGGAATGTCCAAACGACGAAATCGGCTCCATACACGTAAGTACCGAGAGCGCATCCGGAAAGAATGGTGACGGCGGAGTTGAACGCTAATTGAGAAATCCGGTCAGATAAGCTCCCTCACAGAATCACAATGAGAGAAGCACCCACCATTGAACTTGTATCGGAGCCTTCCTCCACAGGCCAGCACCGTGCCGTCCACCTCCTGACCAGGCAAGAAGACATAGAGAAACAGGCTGAGGAAATAGTAGCTCAGCACCCACAGCGTCACTTGGACGTCAAAGAACGCACTGAGCCCCTCCTCTGGCCAGTTCACTTCTTTCTTCAGTTGATCGAGAGTCAGGGTGGATGGATGGAGCAGCGACGGGGCGGGGCAGCCGGAGACATCGTTACAAAGGAAGGTGAAGCTGTAGATGAGGACTGGGAGACCGAATACAATTCCAAACGCGCCGATGCTAAATCATCGTCAGCTATAGTCTCTGAGACCTAAAGATCTGAACAGAGGGCAAAGCACGTACGGGCCGGCGAACTCGTAACCGCGTTTCTCGGGGACCGGTTGGACAGGGATGTTGATTTTGGATTTGGAATCTTTCTTGGACCCCATCTTCGACAGGATATCCCTGTGCTTGTGGGATCTGAGCGGAATTGGCGGGGAAATTTAACGGTGACGCAAAAGCTGTCGGAGGTTTGGTTTCAACGGATTTCGCGCGCGCCGGAGATCAAGTGCGAGGGAGGAGACAATGTTCCAGGAGGCAATGAACAAGAGCTATCTCGAGCAAAGCGAGACTTATAAAGAGCGACAAGGACAGAGAATTGCCAAGGGCGCGCGCTGAGCTGAGATCGGATGCGCCACAGCCGACGGGGTCCGCGGATCTTCACAAGTCGCAGTTCTTCGGTGGAAGAGGGAGGTTTGATTACGTTTCATCTCCTCCGCTTCTGCTGCCTCCTTCTTCCCCCCATCTGGATCTCTGGCCTCTCCGCTTAACCTATCGGTCCTTACCGCCGTCTTTCTTTTTTATATCTCTGTGGACCTTCCAATTCGTTGTCATTATTGTTTCCACACTGTCCCGGCTCTCCTTCCAGCTCCAATTACCTTATTGTTATTGTCGCTCATCATTCCTCCTGGCGCAGCGCTGGGGTTCATCCCGCCAACATGAAGTCGCCGACCTCCTCAATTCTTAGCCTTCTATATTTGCTCGCAGCCCCCCTTTCGTCGGTCTACGCAGCTTCAGACTCCGGATCGAAAGATGCTCTCTCTCCCTGCGTCGCACGCTCCCCAACCTCCGGTCTCTACTACGATCTGAACGCTATCTCTCTTTCCCCGCCCAGCTCCGACCATGAAAAGTCTCGCAAAACCACCCGCGAAGAAAGCTGGCATGCCAAGGGCCACGACTACTCGGCAAACTTCACACTGAATGTCTGCGCTCCGGTGGTGGAGAACATTACTGATGTGGTGGGAGTTGAGCCCGAACGCTGGCAGAATGTCAGTGCCTACTATACGAAGGAAGGCAAGACATACTCGATAGGGTGCGTACACACTTCGAACATGGCGGATACATCTGTCCATTTGACCGGAGGGGAATGCAGCTGACTGGTGATTATTTAGGCAACAAGCGAACGAGCCTTTCTTCCGCGGACGCAAGCTGGTCTTGAACTACACCGAGGGCTCTCCCTGTGCGAGCGAATACATCGGGAATGGCTCGCGCAACAAGTCCACCATCATGTCCTTCCTTTGTGACCGTGATGCTCAGGGATCGCAGGCGATTCCATCCTTCGTCGGCACTATGGATGACTGCACATACTTCTTCGAGGTTCGGAGCGCTGCTGCCTGTGGCGGCATTGCCCGCGCCGACGGCCAGGGTCTGGGACCCGCCGGCATCTTCGGTGTGATGTGAGTGTGGATTGTTTCCTTGACGGATGATGCACGGATGACTGACTTTGACAGTGCTCTGATTGCTGTCGCTGCGTACCTCATCGGTGGTTGCGCCTATCAGCGGACGGTCATGCACCAGCGCGGCTGGCGACAATGTCCGAACTTTAGCCTCTGGGCGGGGATGCTCGATTTTGTTAAAGTAAGTCTACTGGCATTGATACCATTTTCCGGCTCCAGAGCCCATGGAGCTTCATACAGAGAACATAGCAACACACGGTTACCAATTTCGCGGATGGATTGAAACCTGCTTTGGCTGGTCTAAAGCTCAATTACATCGGGGAAGTCGGTTGCTGTTGCTTGATTTCTCTTTTATCTTCTTTCTTTATTCGTCTATAGATTGGAGTATATAAAGCGAGTCTGTCTGTACACCTATGTCGCCGAACATGGGATAAACCATGGTTATTTCGGCATGTTTCTGTCATATTCCAGCGGACTGCGTCTGCTGATGTCAATAGTACATACATCGAGAGAAAGAGCGCCTTCCGTTCTGTGACCAAGTCATTCGCGCTGATCTTTCGATCATTATTGCCTCTGCCTTTTGCTTTCCCTCGTCATGAGCCAGGCTTATAACGACGCCGCTAACCACCATCCGTAATCCAGGACATGGTCGTCATCCTCTTCTCGTCTCTAGGCCGTCTCCTCCGCTGCCGACGATCCCCTGCGCTCGGCCACCGCAACAATGGCAGTATGCATCGCGGCCGACGGTCCAGCATCGACGCCGAGAACCGACTAATAGACCAGCTGGACGAACAATGGGAAGATTGATGGGTTGTTGATTTACGCGCAGTTCTTCGATTAGCACCTGCGCATCTCCTTTTCCTTAATGTTCTGAAACTCCATTTTTGATAGACCCGTTTCGCTTGTCATACATTTTTTCCATTCCGTTATGTTCTCTTCGGTATTCATCGGGTTTTATTCTATGTTTTGGGCGTCATGTATCTATCTTGACTGATGGTCTTCATTTTGGGTAGTCTGTATTATGAGCATGAGCATCTGCAGTATGGTATATGAGTTGACTATGACGCCGATGGTACGCTATAGAGTAGACAAACATAGCCCATGCCTAGTATGTCTCCCTACATCCATCGTCAGAAACCCCTATATAGAAGAGCCCAACCCCTGGAACAAACCCCAGTAAATCCCCTGAACCCAGCAAAACCGAAGAAATCTAAATAAAGGAAAACAAGACCATTAATCAAACCGCAACCTCCTCACCGGAAAAGCATCCCGAAGCCGCATCTCCTCTTCCTCCACTTCCTCTCTCCACCTTCTAACCCGAGCGTCACGATAACGCGCCTCCTCCTCTTCCTCTCTCCTCCTCCTAGCCAGAACATCCCGCCGACGCCTCGCCTCTTCCTCTCTGTCCTCTTCATCGTCTTCCCTTCTTCTTCTTCTTCTCATCCCTCTCATCTCCTCCTCAAGCTCCTCCTCCCTCCTTCTCCTTCTCCGTCTCCTCTCATCCCTAAGATCCCTCTGTCTGCGTATGTGCATATGCGTAAGAACCACCGCAATCGCGACCGCCCCGACCGCTGCAAGAATCAATCTGCGTTGGTAGTCTGTGAGTCGTCGTCGTCGTTGGAAATTGGTTGTCGCGGGTTGCTGTTTCTGTTGCGGTTGCATGTTGGAGTCCATGGTGTGCGGTGTGTCTCCTCTCCGTGCTTGGTATGGATAGACGGTGTACGGATAAAGTGGATTGGTGGTTTTGGGATTGGGATAGTAGTTTCTAATATTGCCCCTTTTCTTAAATAGAAAATAAGTATCAAGAAATGATGGAAAAGGGAAGACGGTAAGTAGGCAGTGCATGTAATGAATGTATGTACGGTTCTAAACAAGTCCATTTCCTCAAATCCCACAAAGTCACAAGAGATCGGCTAAACTCGATATGAGTGCTTGCCAGAGCTCTTTGGCAGTTGACTGAAGACCTCAATAATAGAGGTCTTAAGTTGTTTGGCAGTGGCAATGGCAGCGCTAATTGAATGCGGTAAAGCGTTCCCGCTTCCTAGTATTTAAGAATGAAGTTACTGAAAAATAATTTCAGATTATTTAATCAACTCCTGAGTTATCTCAAAGAAATCAAAAAGATCCTACCCATAAGAGATATTTATATCTGAGCGAACAGTACAGTAGAGTCATACAGTGATAATAATAGTGGTGATAGAAGTAGCATTATACCGCGAGTAGATTGTTAACTTTCAGAGATTGCCGGCAAAGATTGATCATAACAAACCATTTCATATACTATGGCAGCCATCGCATTCAGTTGCCAAGGTCTCGGATAAACCCTATATGGACGATTGCCACTGTCACTGCCAGGCAACTTAAGACCTCAATTTTAGGAAGCGCCGGCTGGCCTTGGTATTGTATATGCAAAGTAAAAGCAATTTGACATCAACTAGCATCATTGGTCTAGTGGTAGAATTCGTCGTTGCCATCGACGAGGCCCGTGTTCGATTCACGGATGATGCATTTCTTTTTTGCTTTGGGCTTTTGGGATGGGTGGGTCTAATCAGAAGGGGGTGTCTTGAATGCTTTGAACTTGGAAGTTGGGTAGAGGTGTATGTACACCTCATTTTTCCCTTTTGGATTGTGTGCAGAGATATGGCATGACTACTTGTGGCATGATCTGTCAAGACGATGAATCCTCTTGCTAGATATATATCAATGGCCCGCCCCATTCCATTCAAATTCTTCACTCTGTTCTGAAAAACAAAATATATAATGTGATGTGATATATAACCCAACCGGGGATAGAACGCACAAAAGAAGAGGATATACACAATATACAGAGGTAGAGGTAAGGGTACATACAAGAAAACGCTACTGTCGCGAAAACGATAAACTCCGTCTTTTCCAGAAAACCACCAGGCCAATCCCATCCCATCCTATACCCTCGCCAAATACAAAAGAACGCAATATAAAAAGTGGGGAAAAAGCGAGCAAAATGTTCAGTGTATCCCGCGTGAGTGAACCGATCAGTATATCAATCACATGGTCGTATTTCATTCATATTTATGCGCGCGAGGCACCCCGGCCATTCCGAGATCGTATGCGCCCATAGGGAGATTCCCTGCGCCGCCGAATTCCAGACCCGAGACTGCCCCGGGACCGGGACCCGGGGGCTGCGGCGGATGTGCGTCGAGGCTGACACCGGCGCTGACCGGGTCCAAGTTGAATGGGAGGAACCAGGCGCTCGGCTGATAGTATTCGCCTGTCCCCGACGGTGCGTTGGGGTCCAGTTGGCTGGCGAAGATGGCCGAGTTGTCCTGCGGAGGAGCAGGAGGAGGGGGCGCAGGCGGATTCGCACCGTTGACGGCAGGCATGGCAGGGTTCTCGGGCGGAACAAAGGACGTGGTGGCGGGATCAAAGCCGGAAAAGGAGCCATAAACAAACTGCCGATCTAGCTGGGGCAGTTGGTCGGTCGGAACGGGGAAATCGAAAGGCGACTGCCCGAATAGTTGCCCGCGACCCTGATTGAACATGGCGGGCTGTGGGAAGCCGGTCCCTGACGTGCCCAGCATTCCCGGAGCGCCCTCCATGTTCATGTCCATCATGGGCTGCGTGGGCGTCGTCTGATCCAGACCCGGAGCGCTGTCGATCTTGCTGCTCTTCCTGGCATGCGCTCGCCGCGTCATGCTGGCCTGCGGGGAGGGGGAGAGACTGGCGAAGAAGTCCTCGACGCTCTGCAGGTCGGGCTTTTGGCTCATCACAGCCTCATCATTCTTCTCCTGGCGTTGTGATTCGGGATCCTCCCAGTGCTGCCTTGAGACACCGTGAGGATATTTGTCAAACCAGTCACCGTACTGGAACATCGGCGCAATTTGGCCGCCATTTTGAGTGGCCACCGAGCCTTTAATGGCGGCGTCTGCAAACTGTCGGTATCGGTCCTTGGCACTTTCAACCATGTAATGGAACATCCCCCAGTACTTCTTCATCTTGTTCAGGTACCGATACGTATGTCGTAAATTCTCCTTCGACCGAGCCTCCAACTGCGCATTCTTGGAAAAGATTCCCCAAATATGAACAGTGCTGGCCGAGTATGCGCAGTACCCGGCAAACGGAACCGTCAGAGGATAGGCAGAAGCCCGGTCTATTAGTACAGAGATATGATGTGCCGCCTCCACGGCTGCTCGCCCGGCACTGCTCAAAAATGCCTTGGGCATGTCCCGAGGAGGCCGTCCGCCCGGTGACAAGGGAATGGCAAATTGATTGAGGAAAAGCATGTTCTGGTGGATAATTATGTGCAGGAAAAGAAACTGGTTGGCGATCCTGTCGGCGGCGTGGATCTGCAGGTTCTCGTATGTGAAAGCCAAGTGAGTCGGGAGGGTTTCAGAAAACCCATCGATCTGCCGTTTGAGATGTGCGTACCCGGACTCGGGCGACCATAGTGGATGTACATCCTTTCTCTTTCCTCCTAAGTTGAGATAGTCAACGATGCGACCCCATATCACCACGGCACGAATGATGTATGCCGACACGCCCATATTCTCCCTGGCGTTCGACAACTGCCCGGCATCTTCGGGAACGGGGTTGGGGACGTTCCCATCCAAGTCTTCGGTGGGCCCCGGGATTTCCATTTGGAAGTTCGGTTCCTTCATGGGAAGTTGGATCTGCAAAAACCTTTCGTTCCCAATGGGCGGTCGTTGACTTCCGGATGAGTTGTAACGGTCCATCAAGAAGCACGCCCACATCGTCCGCCTCCGAATCTCGCGGTCGGTGAAGCTGAGCTGCGACCCATTGGCATTGTTTTGACTCATCAACGGATCGTAGTCAAGCTCCCGATGCAGTTGTAGAGCATACGCCATACGAAGAGCCTGACCGCCGAATGACCAACTCCGTCCGCCGTGACAAGTTCCGAATTCATGAAGACCCAGGAGCAGAAAGACGGTCAAGATGGTAATGTTGGGTTCGTCGTGTCGACTCATGGCGATGGCCGCGGCGGGATTTGCCCAATTCTCTCCGCGTAGAAAAGGCGGGTCGGAGTTGATCTGCGGATGGGTTGAGAAGCGCGCTGATACGGCGCAGACGGCCAGAATCAAGGCTGGCGGGACCGTCCGGGCCTTCAGCCTTCGCATGAAACTGGGTTTGTGAAGAAGGAGATAGGATTGTCCGTATACGCAGTCGAAGAACACCTCCGCCAGATGTTCCTGGATTTCCAACGAGGGTAAAAACTCAGACCCTTCCGTCAACAGGTTACTGCTGTCGGTCGGTTTGCCTTCCCGACGCATCGGGAATGTGTCCTGCGGTGCTCGGCGATCTTCACGAGTCCATCCGTCCATCTCCGCCGCAAAGGCCTCATCAGCCGACCGTTTTTTCTGATTCTTCGAATTCTGTCCCGGCTGCGGCGGGCGGACGTTCGACCGACCGATGGCCGCCATATCGCGCGTCTCTTCCTTCGGGATCGTTTTGATCACGCGATCCTCCATCCTCTTCAATCGTTTATCGAGCATAGCCATGTAATCCGTCCGCGGGGCGGCCTTCCTCGTCGTGACCTTGTAGACGCATGGGATCCGCGAGCGAGAGCAATGCTTGCACGCGGGCTTCTCGCCGGAGCAGCGAATCTTCTTCCTTCGGCACGCGATACACGCTAGCGGCAGGCGTTTTCGCTCCTTCCCAGCCTTCGTCTTCAACTCACTCCAGGCGGGCTTTCCGGTTTCGTTGTCGTTGTCGTTGTCATTGTCATTCTTCTGCTCGTCGCTAGGTGCGGGGTCATCCCTCCCCTCCTCCTCCCGCGGACGGCCCTGGCCATCATCCTCAGGGAGATGAAAGCCTGACTCGCCGGCGGTAGGCACGCTGCCGGGGTCGGGCGAGCTGGCGCGACTCTGGGTGTCGAGGTCGTCGGGGAGGCCGGCATCGTCATGGCCCAGGGCCATTCCCACGGAGGAGGCCAGGGGGGATTCGTCGGACTCGGGAGGCATCATGCCGGGCGCGGGTACCCCAAGATCGAGGCTGGGGTCATCGTTCGGTAGGATGGGGACGGGGGAGAGGGGGAAGGACCAGGCGTGATGCGCTTGGGGCAGCTGTTCTGGGGAGAGAGACGGGACGAAATCGCGGGATGAGGCGGTCGAATCTGGTGGGTATGGGGAAGGCTTGGCGTCGTTCATTATTAATTGCGCGATTCTCCGCGCTTGACATGTAGTTCACTGTTCACCAGTCCGTGAGAAAGTCTCTCAGTTCGAAATGAAATCCCCCGCTGTAGGTTAAGACAACAATGTCCTGTGGAAAGTGTATGGAAGCGATTTGAATTCTTGGAGCCAAATCAGCGTCGTCCCAATTCCGGGGTTGTTCAGCAGCGACGTCATTGGACGAACCGTCGATGACCCCTAGTGTTTCTCTCTCGACGAGGTTTAATTGAATACTGGGGTTCTTTCGGAGTCTGCTTGGAATCTCAGCGGGACTCGTTGATGCAGGACCCTAGAACTGCCGGTGTTGGTGTCCTCAAATGAAGGATGTAGGTTGGACTCGAGGTCGCTGATGTCATGACATCTGGCAAGTTTCGAGTAATTGACTTTTACTATCCAAAATGTGAAGACAAGTAGCATATAGAACTACTAACTATAAGTATATGGTATTTGTTAAATCATAATAGTCTTCGTATATTCTGGGATGTCCATTCCCCTCTCCAGCTCGTATTCCTTCCACATCTCAGTCCACGCCGACCAAAGACAATAATCATCATGCTGCTGCGATGATCTGTAACTTATATTCTACCCGAGACCTACTATGATGACTTCGGCCGTCCAGGTCGCTGGCGCGGCGCTAGAGCATCCAGCGACGATACAATCTCTTCGCCGAGGATGTGGAGGTTATAGGCGGGAAACACAATCCAGAGTCCACTGCCAGAATTGTCAATCACCGACGCCAGAGGGGGAGCAGAGAGCAAGGCGCTTACTTGGGAATGATCCAAAAGAAGATCAAGGTGACGGCATCGTTATGCCCGATATTTTCGAAACCCGAAAAGAATTCATTCAACCCTGCACTCCTCATTAGCAGACGTGACTGCGACGCTGGTTAAACCATAATCCTCCCGGACTTACAATACAGAAGGGTCTTGCCGAGAGTCATCACCGACGCGCTGTACGCAATCAAAAGCGCATTCGCTCCCGTGCGCCCCGGAAGCACTTTGTCTTCCTTTAACAGCCACCATAGCCCCTTTTGAGTCTTGCGCTGCGACGCGCGACCGCCGGCGGTTGCCGAAGTCCCATGTCTATACACCGTCGCGAGGTAGTAGATATAGGCGGTGGTCTCGAGGAGGTTCAAGACGGTCTGCGCGGCGGTAAAGCCATTCCGAGCGTTGAAAGCCGGCCAACCGTAGATATAATCGATCGTGCCGTAAAGCGCATACGGGGTCCAGATCGGCGAATGTAGCTTATTCCCCGGCATGCTGTGCGGGCGCAACAGAACGTACCCGGCGTCCCAGATGACCAGGGGCACTGAGACCAGGAGCCAAAGGGTCACGGCCGCGGAGGGCGTATGCATCCATTTTTTCCCATTCCCGTTCCCATTGGCGCTGGCCGACGGCGATGAGGGGGGCGACGACGATCTTGCGCTCGAGGGAGGCGGAAAATCGCGCGGGTGGTGTCGCGTGGAGACCATGATGGGGTGCTCGATACAGAACGAACAGCGGGTGGGCGATGCTTGGTGTACGCGGCTGCAAAGAGGACAAATTTGCTGAAAAGCTGAGGGTTAGCGCCAATGTCCAGATGGTGCGAAGAAGCAGAAGAAGAGACGGGAGGGATAGCATACCTCGGTGATTGACGGCTAGTGACGTCTTGCAGCTGCGGTGGTTCGATTACGGCATGGCGGCTGAGGGCTCCATGGGTCTTCCCCGCGGATCTGAGACTAACTCCACCTTCTCTGTGTTAGTTTGTGATTATGTGATAGTCACTGCTGGCCTGATAACTAGTCGATAAACCGGAGACATGGATACGGAGTGCACAGTGTAAAGGAGTAGTTTCCAGTCTTGCTGTGCCTGGATCTAGTCCATCTGCTGGCTTAAGCCACAGTGACAGACTCGCGCTGACCACGTGATACAATGCTGACTCATCTCATCCGTGCAAAAGCAGGTGATTTCTCTTCACTGACTTGACATCTCTGTCAGATCTGGATTTGACAATGGGCCTTGAAAACGCCGCAAAGGTTATATGCATGACCACCTTATGGTCGTAGTAATGACTGACTGTTGTCTGTCTAGGAACTTGACCGTCGCGAGCGAGTGCGCGAGAACCAACGAAAGAGTCGGGCGAAGAAGCAAGAGCATATTCGTGACCTGGAGCAGAAGCTAGCGTCATTCCAAGAAAAATTCCACCGCAAGGATGTCGAACACCGACTAGCGGTCCAGAAACTCGAGGCCGAAAATACCAGGTTACGACGTCTCTTGGCCCACTCGGGTTTAGCATCAAGCGAAATCGATGGCTATCTTCGAGCAGGCAGTGATCCGATCATGTCGGAGAAAGTTGCCATACCTCCAATACGGCGGCCTGAGGCCGGGCTTAATCCAAAGCACCAAGAAGCAGTAACTACCGCATGTTTGGGAGCATCGTCACAGAGCGAGCCAGATGCCGCTGATGCGCAGTCGAGGCTCCCGGAACAATCTCTATCTGAGGGCGATTCGGAGTTTTTCAAAGTAACCGACCAGACTGGTTTTGCTGAAAGATTTGAGAAACCGGCAAATCAGGACCAGACCATTTGCGGCTGCGCTCCTGCAGAAGACGAGAAATCGTGGCCCACTAACGGTGATATCCTCAATACTACGCTCTGTGCGATTGCAGAGGAACTAATTAACCAGTATAACACGCGAGGCGTGGATGCTGATGAGATTCGAAGAAAGCTATGGTCTGGCTTCTCCAAGGGTCTTACTACCGACGAAGGATGCAGAGTCCAAAACCAAATTTTGTTCCAAGTATTGGATGAGATCAGCAACAACTGAGGGACTGTCTCGAATCGAAGTCCCAATATCTATTATCACACCTCTATCATCTATCTGTAGCCAACCACTGCCAGATGTCTGCTAGGTCCATCTCTGCCTCCTCGCAAGCCACTTGACTACATACACCAGGCCCAGAAGCACGGGAACTTCGATCAAGGGGCCAACCGTGGCGGCTAAAGCTTGGTCGCTATCTACGCCAAATGTCGCTATCGCCACTGCAATTGCCAGCTCAAAGTTGTTACTAGCCGCAGTAAAGCTTTGAGTGCACGATAGTTTATATCCGAAGCCACAGCGTCTCGTCACGGCCAGAGTGACCAAGAAGATAACCGCGAAGTATACGATCAGCGGAGCGGCCACCCGGATCACGGACACGATCTGATGCACAACTTGCCTTCCCTGTGAAGCGAAAAGGACCAAAATGGTGAACAGAAGACCGATGAGTGATAGAGGTCCAATCCGTTTCAGAAAATGTCGATCATACCACTCCTTGCCAATCAGAAGTCGCAGTGCGAAACGAGTGACAATCGCCGCACCTAACGGTATCCCGAGAAATACCCCGACGCTCTTTGCGGCCAAGGAATAGTCAATGGTCAAACCATCGTCAGAGCCACCGATCACTCGAATGAAAAATATTGCCATTGGTGCAAACAGAACCATCTGCAGGATCGAATTAACGGCGACCAGAATCGCGCAGTATTCGCCATCTCCGCCAGCGAGTCCCGTCCAGACTAGGACCTGGGATTTTGTCAGCCTCATATATACGAAGTTTTTATTGAAGAAGGGGGCAATCTGACCATGGCAATGCATCGCGCAATTCCTACGAGAATAAGACCCTCGCGGAGCCCTCTTTCATCAGAGAGAAATGCCCAAGCTAAAGCAAGCTGGAGCTATCTGTCAACCAAGGGATACTAATGGTCCTCGGTCTTATGGGAATTGCTCACCATGAAAAAAGGAGCTATGACCCAATTTATAATTATGCTGAAACCAATCTGGATCCAAAGTGCCCGTTCCCTGAAGGACCGATGCAAAGTTTCGTACCGGACCTTACATAGGATCGGATACATCATAACAAGCAAACCGACGGCTGATACTGCTTCAGCGGAATATCTCTCAAACAGTGGTGATACACTCACCTATGGGCACCGAAACGCCCACGAATTTCCCCTTTTCTAATGCCTTGCTTGTATTCGGCACGAAGTTTCCCAGTATGATCCCGACCGCCATGACAAGGAAGATCCAAAGAGCGAGAAACCGATCAAGGATGGCCAGCTGCTGGAATGCCGAGGTTGGTCCCGTATCTTCTGCATCGGGAGTATCGCACTGGCATTCTGTCGAGATGCAGCCGGTTTCTGGATCGGTTGATGAATCTTTTTCTTGAGACATTCTGTATCAAGTTGGCGATGATACAGGATAACAAATATTATGTGTACCAGGAAGAAAAACACTGTAAGAAGGTATAGCGAACTTGGATAAGGTCTACATTGTAGATACTTCTAGAGATTTTCTCGGCTCAGCCAATCAGAGTTAGGCAGTGACATATCATCAAGTCACGTGTCAGGCCATCGAGGTACAGTCAACAATATACAGCACAACCATACAACTCTCATAACAATCGTCTTGAAACCAACCATCACAGACACTAGAATATGTCGCTATCACTTGTGTTTTGTTCCGGTTAACAGCATTTGCTTATGATATCGCACTTGGTCAGCCTATAAGCGTGCTCTCAGGTGCATAGAACTGTGCTGCACGGTAGGGACAAACATTAACAAGGGCCTGTCAGGTTAACACGATCTCGACTATGTTGTTGAAGCTACTTCAGCTAGTAAAACAATCTCAACTGAGCTTATGAATACCCCCCCATATCTAATCTGATGAATTCTTCGATAGCCCTGCCATCTTATACCGAATACTAAGATAGAGGCAAACGGGGGAAACAAGTGGATCGAAACAATAAATGTCCTCCGGGGGGTGGGGTTCTGGGCTCTATTAGCGTTAAGTAGATAGTTCATCGCTTTCTAGCCCTTCTGCAATGTCCATATCACACGACAAAAGACCTCCGAGGACCATTGAAACCGAGTGACGACAGTATGGGCAAACGCATCAGACAGCTAGCAAGAGTTTTGGCAGAGAAAAACAGACAAAACGAAACGAAACGAAAAGAAGAAAGAAGAAAGAAGAAACGGAAGCCGAGCAGCAAATAGAGCCGACGAGAAACACTACCGGCAAAAAGAAAAGAGTAAAGGCACCGAGCAATCCAGAATCAAAAGGTAAAAACTACAGACCTTCCTTCTCTACGGCTAATCATCGGCAGGAAACAAAGGCCGTTAACGATGAACGAGGACCGTCGGATCCATACTTCCCTTGACCGAGTGCTACGTTCTGTGCGCCAACTCCAGCTTGAATTGTTTTTTTCCCCTTTTAATACCCCACAAGTAGTACTCCAGAATCCAGTCAGTGAAGGAGTATGGAGACTGGAGACGGGTGGAAAGAGACAAAGACTGGTCTATCTTAGTTCGTTGACTATTAACTAGTACTACCGGGATCGGTCCGTATAATCAATGAGAAGATGACAATGCAAGAAAATTCCCGAGGACCGTCGAAGACGGTAGCCACAAATTACACCGAGATTTGGATCGTGCGGTGCCAAGCCCAGGCCGAAATGAACAAGTGACGTAGTTCACCCCGACGGAAGAAAAGATGGAGTAGTTTATGGGGTCGGTGCGGTGGGCAAGTACCGGATCTGGGGCTAGCGGCTGGTTGGCGTGAGGAAAGCAAGCAGAAAACCGGGGAGTGAGGTATTTACTATTTAGTCATTACTACAGAGTATGCACTATCGGGCAATGAGGGAGATAGTGTGGGGGTTTTTCTTGGATATGCCGATGCCATCTGTGTTTTGCTTCCCGGTTTCCTTGTAAGATCATGCCACGAGATTGAATAAGACTACTGAGTACTGAAGTTATTGCCGAGGAGCAATTACAAAAGCCCACTATCGTGCATCGTTAGCTGATGAAATCATACAACCGGAGAAATCTCGCGAATGCAGCAAGTCAGGCACTACTCCGGAGTAAAACTTCATACCCCCGCGGAGGTTCCCCACAACCCCAAGTTATTCGGACCATTCCCGGCATCACCGAACGTGGAGCGCTGTCTTCATAGTTCATTTTTCTGCGTGCAGTAGCTGAAATCTGCAGGTATCGGGGCAGGGAGAAACCTAACACATGGGACATGATCATTGGAATATAGACCCGGGGAAAGGCCCATCCACTAATGTTTGTGCCGAGTCAGGCAGCACAGCAGCGCTGGTGTTCAGAACCGCAAAACCCACGAACGAAACCGATGCTTTTCTTGAATCCCGAACTTCGCGAAAGGATTTCTAGCGGCTCGTAGACCACCCCACAGAGTAAGACCGAAGACCAAGAAACAGAGGAGCCGCCGAAGGGCTTGAATGATCTAGGCAATATCAACGCCGATCTGCAGACCTCCACCGGATGCCGATGGACGGAGGACACTCCGTGCCAGTGTCTTTTCCCCATTGCTTGCCTCAGTGTCTCGAATTGCTCCGTCATGCTTTGAAGGGGAAATTGGATCCCGCCCGCGTCGCCATGCCGAAATGAAGAGGGAAGCAGCCCGCTCCTTACGGCCCAAATATCCCCGAGCGACCCCGAAATTTGCGGCCCTTGCGGACGGTCCGCAAGGGCCGGACGACGCAGTCATAGCTATCCAAGACATCCATATACCGTCAGCGGTCAGGCCATGCAGCAATTGCCTTGCCCTGGTCATGGAGAAGAGCCTAACTGCGGGGTACTTCTGATTGCATCTGTCGAGTGAGACGGTAACATCATTGTCGTTGGCGACTTCTTTGTGTCTCTCGTCAATGCGTCGATTAGTCAGCTCTGTTGGAGCCTAAGGCCGCCTTCCCCGGAAACGGCAGTTGCGTATTGCCGTGTATCGTACTGTGTATCGTCGCCTTAGTAGCATTTTCAACATGTTACATGGAGCATAATAATAAGATCATTCAGGCATATTGAACTCATATCTTCAATCTGATTTCATGCCAGAATTCCGAATCCATGATCTAGAGCCGGCTAGGAATCCCGCATAGCCGATCGATCGTGTCCGATGCACCATGGAGGAACGCGTCGGAATGCACTGGACCTTACCTGGAGGGCGTAATGGAACTCTCCCTTCAAGGGTCTCCTTTCTTCTCCTGCATCCTCAATTCCATCCCCAAACAACCTCCTCCTTTGCGGGGCTGGAGATGCCGCCAAGAGTAATGACTCGGTGCTTTCTCGTCGAAGCCAATGAAGGGCCAACTGCCCCGTTGCAGTTGGCCTGGATTCACTCGGAGATCGTGCCGTGATCATAAGTCATAGCCATTATTCACCAGTACTACCTCATGGCCGACAAATGATGCCGTCGGATGCCTTGGAACCCATTCGCTGGTCTACTCGTCTGCTAGTTTGCTAGTCCATCCTGGCAGCCTGGCACTTGCTCGATCTGGCTCCCCCATGCCGATCACCATACATACCGTTCCAAACTTCTCGCTGCCGGCGGGTCTTTCCTGCCTCCCTCAACATTAGACTAACTACCTAGACTATGCTGCATACTGTGGGGAACGCTGCCTGTAGTTCCAGTGTACTCCCGTCGTACATACAAACGATCCGTCCAACTGTCGCTCGATGCACGTAAATTTCCCCCTTCGCTGGGTGGCGTTCTTCTCCTTCTGTTTTGTTATTAATATCTCCCTCCTCCCCTCCCTGGTCTCCCTTCTTTCCCCCTTCTCACTCCCATCCTTCTGCCACTGTTGCGCGGTTGATTGCTTCTCTTTCTACTTCCCCGCAACGATGAAGTTCGGTTGGTTCGAGGCGGCGGCTTTGACTGCTGCCTCGGTGGTCACTGCTCAGGTACAGAGCTCCCCCTTTCCCCTTTTGTCGGGACACTTCTACACGGATGTGGACGGTCTCCTAATGTTCTTGTATAGGATGACTTAGCTTTCTCGCCCCCTTACTATCCTTCCCCATGGGCCAATGGCCAGGGAGAGTGGGCCGACTCCTACAAGCGCGCTGTCGACCTGGTGTCTCAGATGACGTTGGCCGAGAAGGTCAACCTCACGACGGGTTCTGGGTAAGTGATTGAGAATCATTGCGGTGCCAGTGTATAATTGTAGAGCTGACAGACCCTCAGATGGCAGCTGGAGAAATGTGTCGGTCAGACGGGAAGTGTGCCCAGGTGAGCAATCATCCAATTTGTTGTAACTGCCGAAAGCTGACTTTACATGGTAGACTTGGACTGTTGAGTCTTTGTTTGCAGGACAGCCCTCTGGGAATTCGATTTTGTATGTCACTTGGGAATTGCTTGTCGTGACATAGATGTGAATGGCTAATCCTGACGGTTACAGCGGATTACAACTCCGCATTCCCCGCGGGTGTGAATGTCGCCGCGACCTGGGACAAGTCTCTTGCCTACCTCCGCGGTAAGGCAATGGGACAGGAGTTTAGCGACAAGGGTATTGACGTGCAGCTGGGACCTGCCGCTGGTCCGCTTGGTAGACACCCGGACGGTGGCCGAAACTGGGAGGGTTTCTCTCCCGACCCAGCCCTCTCCGGCGTGCTTTTCGCAGAGACCATCAAGGGTATCCAGGATGCGGGTGTCATTGCTACCGCAAAGCACTTCATTGTCAACGAGCAGGAACACTTCCGTCAGGTTCCCGAGGCTGCTGGCTACGGGTTCAACATTTCCGACACCGTGAGCTCAAACTTGGACGATAAGACTATGCACGAGTTGTACCTCTGGTGAGCATTCTCATTCAACCCATTTGTCACTTCCGAGATCTCCACGCTAACTTCCACAGGCCATTCGCCGATGCTGTGCGCGGTAAGCTATTTTTTATATTTTTTTTTTTTGGCTGACCCCAGAAAGTTTGCGTTGCTAATAATTCTATTGATAGCTGGCGTGGGTGCCGTCATGTGCTCTTACAATCAGATCAACAACAGCTATGGATGCCAGAACAGCGAGACCCTAAACAAGCTCCTGAAGGCTGAGCTTGGATTCCAGGGTTTCGTCATGAGTGACTGGAGTGCGCACCACAGCGGTGTTGGCTCTGCCTTGGCTGGTATGGATATGTCCATGCCTGGTGATGTTAGCTTCAACGACGGTACTTCGTTCTGGGGCACGAACTTGACAGTCGGTGTCCTCAACGGCACGATTCCCCAGTGGCGTGTGGATGACATGGCAGTCCGTATCATGGCTGCTTACTACAAGGTTGGCCGCGATCGTCTTCACACCCCTCCCAACTTCAGCTCCTGGACCAGGGACGAGTACGGATTTGAGCACGACGCGGTTTCCGAGGGTGCCTACGAGAGAGTCAACCAATTTGTGGATGTGCAGCGTGACCATAGGGACATCATCCGTCGCGTGGGCGCTGACAGCATCGTCCTCTTGAAGAACAAGAACGCTCTTCCGCTGACCGGCAAGGAGAAGAAGGTTGCCATTCTCGGAGAAGATGCCGGCTCCAACGCCTGGGGCGCTAATGGCTGCGACGACCGTGGTTGCGACAACGGAACCCTCGCCATGGCTTGGGGTAGCGGAACTGCGGAATACCCCTATCTTGTGACCCCCGAACAGGCTATCCAGAACAAGGTTCTCCAAGGTCGCGGTAACGTTTTCTCCGTCACCCACAACTGGGCTCTTGATAAGGTTGCCAAGCTCGCCTCGCTATCCAGGTAAATGCCGAAATTGGTTCATTGATATTCTCCTGTGTGCGAGCATGTAGCTAACATGCCACCATAGTGTTTCTCTTGTCTTCGTCAACGCCGATGCGGGTGAAGGATTTATCAGCGTGGATGGAAACGAAGGAGATCGCAAGAACCTCACTCTTTGGAAGAACGGCGACAACCTGATCAAGACTGCGGCTCAGAACTGCAACAACACCGTCGTCGTCATCCACTCCGTCGGCCCCGTCCTGGTCGACGAATGGTACAACCACCCTAACGTCACCGGTATCCTCTGGGCTGGTCTGCCCGGCCAAGAGTCTGGAAACTCCCTGGCCGACGTGCTGTACGGAGATGTCAATCCTGGCGGCAAGAGCCCCTTCACCTGGGGCAAGACCCGCGAGTCGTACGGCGCTCCCTTGCTCACGAAGCCCAACAACGGCAATGGGCCGCCCCAGGAGAACTTCGAGGAGGGTGTGTTCATTGACTACCGCCACTTCGACAAGCGCAACGAGACTCCCATTTACGAGTTTGGCTTTGGTCTCAGTTACACCACGTTTGAGTACTCGGGCCTGCAGATTCAATCCTTGAACGCATCCAAGTACACCCCTACCTCTGGGAAAACGAAGGCTGCTCAGACTTTTGGCGAGATTGACAAGGCCTCGGAACTCGTATACCCCGACGGACACCAGAGAATCCACGAGTACATATACCCGTGGCTTAACTCCACCGACCTGAAGAAGTCTTCGAGCGATCCCCACTACGGATGGAAGGACTCGCAGTACATCCCCGAGGACGCCACCGATGGCTCGCCCCAAGATCTCCTGCCCGCTAGTGGCGGTCCCGGAGGTAACCCCGGCCTGTACGAAGACCTGGTTCGGGTTTCGGTCAAGATTACCAACACTGGCCACGTTGCCGGCGACGAAGTACCTCAGCTGGTAAGTTAGATATGCTTCTCTCTGATATGACAGCGGTTGGGGATATTTTTGAAGCTAACCGCTTGCTATCTACAGTATGTCTCCCTTGGTGGCCCCAACGAGCCCCGAAAGGTGCTCCGTCAGTTCGAGCGAGTGCGTCTGGGTCCTTCGCAGCAGGTTGTGTGGTCTACCACGCTCACCCGCCGCGACCTGTCCAACTGGGACGTTGCAGCCCAAGACTGGGTGATTACCAAGTACCCCAAGAAGGTCTTCGTTGGAAGCTCTTCGCGAAAGCTGCCGCTGCAGGGTTCATTGCCCGTGGTGGCTTAGAAGAATGGATGAGACGAAACGATCTGTACAGGAATAATGACTTGCGATGTACATTCTTCGAATGACGACTAGTACTCTGGATATTAAGGAATAGTGATTAATCAACTAAGTTATTACTATAGTCTCTCTATTTGTGTTCTTTTTTCTCTATAAATCATTGCTTGCCTGTTGTATGTTGACTTGTAGCCAATATGGTAGGCGGTGAACAGCGACGTCATTCTCTGGCGCTTCCAAGTCTTCCTTTCGTCGTGCCTTTCGCTCTGTCCGTCACTTGTCTCCGGTGCTACAAACCACTGACCTTGGCGATCCAATTGAACCATTGCCCTCTTGCCCTTCTATTCATAAACATAAGAGAATAAATTACAACCCAGTTGGTATCTACTGGAGTTCCACTACAGGGTCAAAAAGAAAAAGGAGGAAAAGTACAAAATAAACATGTCCTCATCCGACAAACCTCCCACGACAACAGCGCGACCCAATCAACCACCAGGGATGGCACTTCTCGTCTACCCAGTGACCTTGATTGTCGGTTCGCTATTTTCCGTCCTCTCTCCGACAGCCCAGGGCTCCCGCGATCATGCCATTGACCAGACCGGCCCCTTGGCTCCTACGATCGCCGCCGATCTGAACCTGCCACAACCGCCCGTCAACTACTTTGCTCGCAAGGACAACATCTTCAACGTTTACTTCGTCAAGGTTGGATGGCTATGGACTACTCTGGCATTCTCTTTCCTACTCTTCTCCCTCCCCTCCTACGCGGCCCCCTCGAGCCACCAACCGCGACGGATCGGCCAGGCCATCGCCCGATACGCCCTGGCCACCCTAGTCTGGTATCTGACCACGCAGTGGTTCTTCGGACCGGCCATCATCGATCGCAGCTTCGTGTTCACGGGCGGGAAATGTGAGCGCATGGTTCCGCTGGCCGAGGGCGAGGACTCGCCGAGCCTCCATACATTGTTCACGGCCGCGGCGTGCAAATCGGCTGGTGGATCTTGGCGAGGCGGTCACGATGTGAGCGGGCATGTGTTCATGCTGGTGTTGGCGACGTCGATGCTGGTTTTTGAAACGGTCGGGGCGCTGGCATCGGAAAATGGAGCTAAGAAGGCGGACAATGGAGACGAGTCGTCTGTCGCGCTCAAGAAATTGTCGGTGAGGTTTGCCTGGGCGGTTTCTGGGCTGGGATGGTGGATGCTTTTGATGACTGCTATCTGGTTTCATACGTGGTTTGAGAAGGTATGTTTTCTCTTACGTTCTTTGGTGTGGGGTGGTGCTTACTTGGACCTGGCTAACATTACGATAGTTGACTGGGCTCTTGATTGCGTTGGGAACGGTCTACACCATTTATGTCCTCCCCCGACGAAATATCCCCTGGAGAGACGCGGTGGGCCTTCCGGGTGTATAGCATATATACGATCTCTTTGTCTTGCGCTCTGTCGGTTATAGAAGATTTCAGGAGTCCTTGTTTCCAGCACAGGTTCATGTGCTGAATGAATGATGCATATTGTAGAATACTATCATGAATGTATATCCAGTTCTGTTCCATCTACGTTTCCCGGCTGAGGACAGGCTCTGGTCCTAGATATCCGTGGCGAAAAGCTACACAGTCTTAGCATTGACTCACTGTCTACAACAGGGCAGACAACACAACTACTCACCTCCTGGCAACAACGCCGATGCATACATGACCTTTGTTATCGGCCGCAGATCCTCCGGCGTCCCAAGTGACTGCTCCATGTACGGTTCCCAGAAGTCCAGAATGGAGTCAGCATGCGCCTTGAGAACCACGGCTCTCTCTTTCTCCGACGACTGCTCCGAAATGCACTGAAGACCCAAACAGGTGCCGAATTCGCGGAATGCGAGACGAGACTTGATGCTCCGCTCGAAGTAGCAGTCGACTTCAAACAGTTCGTCTATATTGCCCATTAGCTCTGAAGTCACCACAAGACACCACAGGGACACCGAGCAGCAGGATTCGGACTCAACATACCAACCCGCTCATCCGCCTGGCTCGCCAACCTCGTCGCCCACTCCTCCTTCCCCTCAAACCAATGCACCGTCCACATCGTCATGCCCAGATCCAGCGGATCCCCAGACACATAATGCTCTCCCCTCCTACGCATCACACGCCTATAATCCGCAATCTCATCCGCCAACACCTCCCCTCCCCCAGCCTGCTCCGCCGCGGCCTGCAACAATTTAAACACAACATACCCATCGACCGGATCCAAACTCCCCTCCGAGCCCACCAACGGCGTCGACAAATCCACCGCCATCTTCCACACCATACGCGGCCGCGCCGATTCGCGATCCACGAAAAACCGCGGATGGATGGCCCGCGCCAACGCCACCGCTTGGCTGTTATATGTCGGATCCCCGGTCGCCAGGGACAGGCGGTTCAGCGCAAACATCCACACCGTCAGATAATGGTGATATTGGCCGTCGGCGTCCGGGCCCGTCGCGTCTGGTTTTCCGATCCGAAGGCCCCCGCCTAACGGGTTTGTGTCTGTGGCGCCGGGGAGGCGGTTGAGGCCGTCGCGTGTGCGGCCGAGAACGTCGTGCACTGTTTCGGTGAGACGCCGGGCGAGGATTAGGTATCTATCATCTGGTGCGGAGGAGGAGGAGGAGTTCTGGTGCAGTAAGGCCTCGTATTCGCGGTGCAGTGTGAGGAAATTGATCACGCCGAATGCGTCGGTCCAGAGGTATCGGCCGCGATGGCCGCCTGAGTTCGGAGGCGGGGTCCATTGGCTGGGGTCTGGGATGGAGTTGAAGTCGCCGTAGATGGATTCTTGCGCTTGCTGGAAGCGTTGGAGGCGGGGCGAGCTGTTGGGGATGGATGCGCTCATGGTATTTGTGAAGCTGCTGCTGCTACTATGACTAGTACTACTGTTCCAGCGGGGATGCTGCGGGAGATGGAATTGGATACGTGCAGTACTTAGCGGAGGGATTTTTGTGATAGATTTGATTGTGAACATTGGAGAACTCGCTTTTACTATTACCTTTTTGTTTTTATTTCTTAGTGTCGGGCGAGTTAACCTACCGTGTACGAGTTGTGACGTGGGTGTTCACCCGGTGAAGTCATAATGATCACGCTGCGAATGACTTCATCGCTCCTAATTAAGTCCCTCGTTCGGTAAGGTATATAGGTACCTGAAGGTACATCTGGACTCACTAAAGATGCGAACGTCCTGATATGCTTTCTAGATGCACTAAATCTCTCTTCTCCATGGGTATGGCGTCAGAGAAACTCCAGAAACTTTTCACCGCGGCAGCTCGTCCCTTGCCACCTATCGAGGACCCCAGTTTCGCCTCGCATTTTGATGGCTTCGGCGATTATCCTGTTGTTCTCCTGGGCGATGGCAGCCATGGCACGTCGGAATTCTACTCTGCGCGAGCCGAGATCACGAAGCGGTTGATCGAGCATCACGGGTTCACCATGGTCGCCGTCGAAGCCGACTGGCCGGACGCTGAAGTGATCGATCGCTACGTGCGACGACGGCCTGGTCCCAAGGCGCCAATCGGCGAGCACACATCCGACTACGAGCCCTTCGGCCGCTTTCCCACCTGGATGTGGCGCAATCGCGAGACGCAGACGCTCGTGGAATGGATGCGCAACCGCAACGCGCAGGTCCCCAAGGACCAGAGCGCCGGCTTCTACGGCCTAGACATGTACAGCATGGGGGAATCCATGCACTCGGTGATCCGGTACCTCGACCGCGTGGACCCAGAGGCCGGGAAAACCGCGCGACTGCGCTACGGCTGTCTGGCGCCGTGGGTCGACGATCCGGCCTCGTACGGACTCTCAGCCGTCCGGGGCATGCAGGACTGCGAAGCCGCGGTGGTGAAGATGCTGCGCGACCTGCTGGACAAGCGCGTGCAGTACGCCGCGAGCCCCTACAACGGCGACGAGTACCTGAGCGGCGAGCAGAACGCGTACCTGGTGCGGGACGCCGAACGCTACTACAAAGCCATGTACTACAGCTCCGCGGCGTCGTGGACGCTGCGCGACACGCACATGGTCGACGCGCTGCAGCGACTCCGGCGCTCCAAGCCCGGCGCCAAGGTCGTGGTGTGGGCGCACAACTCGCACTGCGGCGACGCCCGGTATACGGGGATGGGACGGCGGCGCGACGAGGTGAACCTGGGACAGCTGTGTCGCGAAAAATTCGGGCGCGAGAACGTCGCCCTGATAGGCTGCGGGACGCACACGGGCACCGTGGCGGCTGCGCATGAATGGGACGACGATATGCAGGTGATGACGGTGCGGCCGTCGCGGGCTGATAGCTGGGAGCGCGTGGCGCATGACACGGGGGTTCCCAGCTTCTGGATGGATCTGCGGCCGGGCAGGATCGACCCGAAGCTGGCGGTGGCGATGGAGACCGATTCGGAGCGCCTGGAGCGGTTTATCGGGGTCATCTATCGGCCGGAGACAGAGAAGCTGTCGCATTACTCCCAGGCGGAGTTGCATAATCAGTTCGACGCCTATGTCTGGTTCGATCAGACGGTGGCAGTCCAGTCGTTGGATACGGAGCAACCAAAAACGGCGCTGGGGAATGAGGAGACGTATCCATTTGGCGAGTAGAGGATGTAATGGACATGGGCGATGTAATGGGAAGGAGGAAGATCAGAGTGAAGGGAGAGTAGTGAATGATAGTGATAGTTATGAATAATGACACAAGGATAACATGCATAAATGTGGAATGAGTCAGCGCATAATGACGTCAACTCACCGCCCGGCATTATTTGTTTACCTTCGACTTTGATTGTTTTCTCCCTTGCGCTCCTCTCTCTCTTCCCTCCGTTTGCCTCGTTCACACCACGTCCTGTCAATTGCGCCCTCATCTTTGTATCTAGAATAGAATCTACTCTCGCGTCCTATTTATTTTCACCCCCTCATAATGGTGGTTCGCCGATCTGCGCGTCTGCGCAGCCGTCAGGCTTCCTCCGAGGTAAGAGAAGGCATTCGCCCACATTCTGCCCCCCCGACAACCGCCAACCTCACCTCACTCTCGCCTCACCCACCATCATCCCACCGCGGTGATTATGCTTTCAATGCTTCAGGGCCCTTGCATGACTCTTCACAGTATGCTGATCTCGCTCCTTAATCTAGGAACCGCAGCTGCCTGTTGACCCCGTCAACAATAACAACAACAATCCCGCTAGCAACGACGACCAGAACACGACTACTAATACCCACAACACACTCCCCGCCGTCATGGAGCGCGACGAGACCCCCGTTGTTGACGCTTCCCCTCAGCCCGAGCCCAAGGCTGCCACGACTACCACTGCCACTCCTACTTCTTCCAATCTCCGCACTCCTCTCAAAGCAGCCCCTCCCCACCCTAAGACCGCCACTACTCCTTCGGTTGTTGTGAATCGCGGCTCGCCTCTGAAAGCAACCCCCACGCAGAAGACTCCCTCTCAAAAGACACCGTCTCAGAAGACGCCCGCTCAGAAGACTCCTGTGGCCCAGACCCCCACTAGTGTACTCACTCGCCCGCCTCACCAAGAGATGCACCCCAGCAAAGTCCACCAGAGTACTACCAAACAGGCGGACTCGGGCTTGATCCTAGGCTTCAATCCTGTCAAGAAGGATGCCGAAGGCAAACCTGTGAAGGAATCCCTGGGGCAGGATACTCCTTCCAAGGCTCGACCTTCGCCCGCGTCCACCTGCTTCGGTACGCCCGGCTTCGATTTCAAATTCTCCTGCCACGAGTCGCAGCTTAGCGACGAAGCAAAGAAGCTCATGGAGTCTGTGCGCGAGGACGCCGCCAAAATCAAGTCTCAGATGACCTTGGACCAGAAAGAGACCGCCCCGCAGAAGGCCGACGATCAGCAGGCCAGCGACCGAAGAATCGCGCATCCCAAGGGCAAAACCAATCGCTTCAGCAATGCACACATGGCCGAGTTCAAGAAAATGGACTCGATTGCTGGCCACGCTTCCGCCTTCCGCGCCACCCCCGGACGCTTCCAGCCTGTCCAGAAGACTCTCAAGCGGACCAACTCCAAGGCACGCTTGGATGAGTCGGATAAGACCTCGCCCGCCAAGGCGACCCCATCCAAGCCTACAGCCGTGCCCGCCGCGTCGGCCGCGTCGGCCAGCGCCAAACGCGTGAAACATGTCAAGACTGACGACACATCTACGCACCGGCCCACTGAAGGCGAACCTCGTACTCCTAGCAAGCCCGCTAATGTCCGTCCCCGGTCGGCTGTGCGCAACTCGCTGATGACCCCGACTGCGGCTTCTGCGGCGCGCGCCACTTACACGAGCATCAAGCCCCCTCGGGCGTCCATGATTCCCTCTCTGGCACGCTCTCCGGCACGCTCTCCTTCGTTGAATCAGCCCACCGCTCCGCGCACGCCCAGGACCGACTTCAACCCCCGATTCAAGACCAATATCCCGTCCCTGCCCAACCTGAAATCGATTCTCCGCCGCAACCACCAGCCTCTGTTCTCCAAGGACCCTTCTAAGATTGCGGCTGGGACTCATGTGGCAGCGCCGGACTTCGAGTCCAAGATGCTGGTGGGCTCATCGCGGGACGCGTCGGAAGACCCTGTTCAAACCCCTTCCCCTAAGAAGCGCGTGGAGTTCTCGGCTAGCACTCGCTCCCCGGCGGCTGAAGCGTCTCCTTCCCCCTCTAAAGCTCCCGCAGTGGTGCCTCCGCCTATCTCGGATATTGTTTATCCCACTTTGCCGGTCTTGACTCCGGACCACGCGGGTTCCAAGTCAGCGAACGCCGAAGCTAAGCATACTATCCGCCAGGTTCGTCCCTCGGATGCCGCCCCTGTTACTACCACCACTTCCGCCCCCGATGTCGCCGGCGTTCCTCACGGCATTGGAAACAAGAAGCGGCACCGGGCCACCGAGGACGAGGCCGAGGCCGAGAACGTCCCGCCGGCAGAGTCTCCCTCCGAGGCTCGCAGCACTAAGAGAGTCAAGCTGAGCTCGCCGTCTCCCACCAAGATGCCCACTCCTAGTCCTACCAAGGCTCGGACTCACACCCCCATGCGGTCGTCCTCGAGTGCTAGTCGATCCGGTACTCCGGCCAGTGCTCGTCAGAAAAACCGTGGCATTTTGAGCATGAGCCGCCTGAATATGCTCGCTCGACCCAAGAACCGTCCTTGATTGTACATCAGTTTTCAGATGAACAAGACGGGGACCGAGATGACCAGTTCATATGCATTCACGATACTTTTTTCTACTTCTTTCTCAACCGCACATAGCCATGCCGCATTTCAAGATTTTTATTTCCCCTTCAATTTTCCCGGTGAATGGTGTTTCTTTTTCATCCCGTACAATTTCCCCCATTGACCCGACAGTCTCCAGACTGGCCCATGTATTTACTTCGTCGGATTTGATATCTCTGGGATTGGGTTTTCGATTTGCTTTCTTCTTATCACGCAGGCGCTTGGATGCATCCGGTATGCAAGATTCACTGGACGGCGTTGGATGCGTTTTCTTTTTCTTCAGTTCATATGATTCCTTAAACTCCATATCTACCTTGTCTCGGGCTCTAGGTGAATCGGATGTAGGAGTGTATGACATGAATTGGCCTTTTTTCTTTTCCTTTTTAATTTCAATGTTGGTGATTTGGTGACTTTGACTTGATAATTAACAACTTGTCCGTTTTGTCCTGCTTAAATTGCAATTTGCATCGAAATTTGATTGCTTTTTTATCCTCTTTACTTTCTATTCATTAATGAGCGTGAAACCAGACATACAGACCTGATGACAGATAGATAACAGATGTTTTTCTTCGCTTCTTATCTCCCTCTCGTGCTTGTGTGTTAGTCTATTAGATGACTATCGTCCTACATGGTTACCTATCAAATCTACTTCTAGGTT